GGCGGCCTAGGCCGCCAGGGACGAGGGGGCAACGCGTGGCCTCGCCCCCCGCCCCCCTTGTACAAGGTTAAATATGTGCGCGACTGTGAACCCATATGGCGAGCCTGCGCCGAAGAGTGCGCCCCCGGACTGTGCCCAACAATACAATGTAACCCCGTACAAGGGGGGCGCGGGGTACAAGGGGGGCGGGGGAATGCTCCAGACAGACGGCCGCGTAACTGAAGGGCTAGCCCATGCCCCATCGTCCCTGGCGGCCTTCGGCCGCCAGCGGGACGATGCGCCAGACAGGGCGTCTTGCCAAGCTTCTGCGGCCTTCCCGGAAGATGTTCGCGATTGAAGTTACCTCCTTGGCTTTCTTCGTGTGCGTGTCCTACCTATACCGGGCGCATTTCTGAGAGCTACAGGCGCACAGGTTTAGCCTTTCCCGTTAATGGTGTTCCAGACTCTTAAAAAGGAGGGCGAGCCCGTGTCTGATGGTGTCGCCTGTCGTCTCATTCGGTTCGCATCGGTAGCCGGAGGGACTGCAGAGGAGACGGGCACGCCGAGCGAGCGGCGAAACCGATAAGGGAATGGCGGAAGCATCTGAACAGAGCCGGGAAAGACGGAGGCGAAACCGATAAGGAAATGGGAAAAGGAGAGAGACGAACTGGCCCCGCGATATAGGGACTGGCGTGCCAAACTGTGCAGAAAAGTGGCAAAATATCGAAAACGGCCCAGAAGCACAGCTGTCCCGTAACGGTTTCGCTTAAGAGTTTCGCGAGGCCGGGCCTTTCGTAATGGTCTAGATTTTGCACGCGCCAAGTGCCTGGGCTGTTCTCTTCTTGGAAATCCGCACCAAAATGAGTTCCGAAGCGTGTCGCGCGCACGTTGGGTGGCGCCTGTCTGTTATTCACATGCTTCGCTGTTGATACTGCTAGCATTTCGCGCGGCTTAGTAGTGCTAGGCTTACTCGTTTTGGAGAAATGTGCTGACGATTGCTGGGCTTTGGCTTGCTTTCTCCAGGCTCTTCCTTCCTTGCGAATCCGTGGCGCACGCCGTTGCAGTGTGTAGCTTCGACGGCGGTGCTGCGCTCTTGTTCGCGTACTCCTTCCGATTACAGTTATAAGGAGACTGCTCCAGGTTTCTGACGGGGCAGCCCTCTATAGGGGCCCGCGGGAAACTAATGCAGAAAAGGCGGGGACCCTTTGCAACTTCCTCGCAGTTGACACGTGGCCCCCACTAGATTCCGCCGGCGCATCTTCCTACTGAGAACACCGCCGAGGCCAGCGCAGGCGACGCGCTAGACTCCGCAGCGCGTTCGTGTTTGCGCGTGCAGCTGATGCCTAGCGCCTTGCCTCCGCCATTAGGTGGCGCGCGGTCCTCGCGATTCGCTTAAGAGTGCGACTCCCTTCGAGCTTGGGAGGCGATCCCCCCAAAAAGCCGCCTCTTTTCGAAGCCCTGGCTGTGGCGATAGATCGAGAACAGACGCGCAGCGCGGAGCTGCCTCGCAGCCGGCCCGCGATAAGCCGAGAACAGACGCGCAGCGCCGGGCTGTTGAGCAGGCGGCCCGCGATGGGTCGACAACAGACGCGCAGCGCCGAGCTGCCGAGCAGCCGGCCCGCGATAAGTCGGCAACAGACGCGCAGCGCGGAGCCGCCTGGCATCCGGTCCGCGATAAGTCGACAACAGACGCGCAGCGCCGGGCTGCCTAGTACGCAGCCGGCCCGCAGTAAGTCGATAAGAGACGCACGGCGCAGGGCTGCCTAGCAGTCGGCCCGCAAGAGGTCGACAACAGACGCGCGGCGCAGAGCTGCTGGGCAGCCGGTCCGCGATAAGTCGATAACAGGCGCGCGGCGCAGAGCTGCCCAGCAGCCGGCCCGCGATGAGTCCGCAAGGGTCCGGTCTGTAATAGTTTCAGACCTGCAGAAGGGAAAGGATGACCACACGGAGGGGACCTCTCGCGAGTCAGAAACTTTTAGGAATTAGATACCGCGTGGCTTGCCAGCCGTGGCGGTTTTAGACTTGTAGAAGGCAAGCGGAAAGGACGGCTGCGCGGTTGATAGAAGCGAAGCGCCCCCACGTTCGTGGGAACTAAAAGCGAAAGGGCTTCGCCTTCGCTCTTTCTCCGTTAAGGGCGCCAGCTTTGTTCTGTTCGCCGACGAGCGACGGCCAAGATGAATCCGGGCGCAAGCTCCAGCAGCCAGCTCTAAAGCCCTTGCTTTCTCGCTACTTAAGCTGAACAGAAGCGAGAGAGTCGCTATCTCGTGCGAAACTGATAGGAAACATAGCGCACCACGCTCCCGCTTTAGTTTCCCGCAGGCCCCTGTAGACGGCGATCTAAACCATACCGGCTGCCAAGTTGCTGGACCATGGAGCCAGCGGGCGCGCGGGCGTGGTCTCTTGCTCCGCAGTCCGTTTCTTTCCGCGAGTTCAGCGGGGAAACCCTTCAAAGGTCGGGGCTTTTCAGCCAATCGGCCTGGAAACTCTTCAAAGGTCGAAGCTTTTCGGCCAGTCGGCAACAGGCGCGAGGGCTTCGCCGCCGTCGTCGACCTATCGCGGCTTGGCTGCCAAGTTGCTGGGCCATGGATCCAGCGGGCGCGCCGCCGTGGCCCCTTGCTCAGCAAGCCGTGGCTTTTCGCGCGTTCAGCTTGGACACTCTTCAAGAGTCGTGGCTTTTCGGTCGCGGTAAGCAAGGGGGCGGAGCCGAGTGGGCTTCCCGTAAGTTTTTCTGGTCAGCGCGATGGAGACGGAAGGCCTTGGAATCTAGTGCGGGCCTACATCCCAGCACGATCGGACTCTGCGAAAGTGCCGCACTCCCTCGCCAGTTTTCCCGTGGGCCTCTTTGGAGGGCGGCGCCGACCTTAGGGAGGAACCCCCTGAAGGTCACGGCTTTTGAGCAAGAGGCCACGAGTGCGCACCCGCTGGCTCGGTTTCGGCCCTCCTGCTCCAGGCCTGGCGGCCGGGCCGCGGTAGGTCGATGACTTCGGGCAGCCCGCGCACCGGTTGCCGCTTTTTCCCCAAAGCCCGGACATCTGAAAAGTTGCCGGGAAGAACTCCCGGACCCGAAGAGCCACGGCTTTGGAGCAAGAGGCCACGAGTGCGCACCCGCTGGCCCGGTCTCGGGCCTCATGCTCCCGACCTGGCAGCCGGGCCGCGGTAAGTCGATGACTTCGGCGAACCCGCGCGGCGGTTGCTTGTTTTCCTACAAAGCCCGGAAATTTGGAGAGTCTCGGGGAAGAACTCCCGGAGAGACGCCTTGGAGCAAGAGGCCACGAGTGCGCACCCGCAGGCCCGGCCTCGGGCCCCCTGCTCCAGACCTGGCAGCCAGGCCGCGACAGGTTGATGACCTCGGCGAACCCGCGCGCCGGTTGCCGTTTTCCCCACAAAGCCCGGAGGGCTGAAGAGTTTCCGGGAAGAACTCCCTAAGAGAAGGTCACGGCTTTGGAGCAAGGGGCAACGAGTGCGCACCCGCGGGCTTGGCCTCGGGCCTCATGCTCCAGACCTGGCAGCCGGGCCGCGATAGGTCGACGACTTCGGCGGGCCCGCGCGGCGGTTGCTGGTTTCCCCACAAAGTCCGGATATTTGAAAAGTTTCGGAGAGTAACTCCCTGCAAGTCACGGCTTTTGGCCGCCGCGGAGGGCCACGAGTTCGCACCCGCGAGGCCGGTGCCCCAGATCGGGCAGCCGGGCCGCGGTAGCTCGATGACTTCGACGAACCCGCGCGGCGGCTGCCGGTTTCCCCACAAAGGGCGGACATTTGAAGCGTTTCAGGGGAGAACTTCACGAAAGTCACGGGTCTTGGCCGACGCGAGTGGCGAGGACAAGGGACTTGCAGTTCGCAAAACTACTGCTGGCCTTCCAGTTCGGGCGAAAGTTGCTTCGTCGCCCTCGGTGGCGAGGGAAAGGGCCTCCAAAGCCCGCGGCGCTGCCCCTTCCGTGTCCCTTCCCGTTGTCCTTGTTTCTTCGCGTCGCAGGAGTCGCGAGAAGGTTGCCGGGCTTCCCCGTCCTTTGGCTTCGTTCCCGTTTTGGCATCTAGCGTCCCAAAACTGGAAGACCTGCGCCCCCGACTACTTGCAGCGCGGTGCCTCGAGGCTTTTCGGGTTCTTCCCGCACTACATTCCCGCGCTGGACTAGCTTAGCCACTGCTGTCCCCCTCCCTTTTTTCAGATTCGCCGAGGGGCGTCGACGCCGTGTCACAACAAAAGCGCGGAGAGAGTTTACAGTTTTTGTTTTGAGAAATCCGCGGCGCTCCTATGTATCGCGAAAGCCCATCGGCGTTATCGCTCTCGCGCTATAATCAGTCATAGCTGTTGTAGTTGGCCTCTATTCAGTCAGCTTCTCTTACCTTCGTGCACCTGCGGAGTTAGGCCAATAGACCTTTGATCCCACTCTCAACTGTGGCAAGTGTTTTGTTGCGCAACGATTTCGAAAAAGACTTTTGCTACGAGTCCTCATTGATGGCATTGCTCCAAACTACTGTAAGCCCGATGCATAATCAGTAGTGTGATGCTAGATGGCCATTCTACTTTGAAGACCGCAACTTCCACGAAGAACGCACTAGGGAGACCACGGCCTAGCCGCGGGAAACTTTTCTTCCAGGACCTCAGTGAACCTGATTCATACTCTTATGAATGTGATGATATAATGGTGTGCATCTACAATATCAATGCGCTGGTCATCGGCTCTACAACGAGAGGCGCAGATGTACACGCAAGGTTACTTGACCTTCTGATTCTGGAGAAGCTTCTTTAACATGAAAATTCTGGCTTGCGATCCATTGATGTCCACGATGAATATTTTCTTGCTGTCTCTGACAAGAAAAAACCAGGATACGAGAAAACTAGAAGAGTGGTTCCTTCCCATAATGTCTTCTTGGAACCCCGCAATATTCGCCATTGGGATCTTTGATGCTCCTCTTTTCGAAATTATATTTGACGAAGGAAGACTAAGACAGCTCCAGTAGTTTACAGGAGGCCGAGGCTTATTAGCTCTTATTTAGGTGATACCAACGAGACAGCCACTAGTCGATCGATCCCCTAGAAAGCGTCACTCGGTAGTCGTCGCAACAAATGCGAGAGTTTGCTATTGCTATAGCTCAACATCACAAACAAAAATGAGTGAAGCATTGCGCGAGAAGTCTATTTGTTGACTCAGAACCCGCCTCCCGGCCGAGTGGACTGCGTAGAACACAAGACGACGATCACGCGTGGCGCGGCTAGTCGTAGTACAAACCCCCCACACGACCCAGTAGTCCACGCGCTCATTCAGTACGCGGAAGAACAGTACCGCTCATTCAGTAGAACACCCTCACTAAGCGCACCATCTGTAATTAGTGGAGTGAGGTCGACTGAGGAATTGGCATGAAAAGGGACGGTCAGTACGGTGTTTGTCGCTTTCCCAAAGTTACAGGATGCGTGGTTCGTTGCGTTTTGAAGAATTGTGTTGTGCCAAACGGCGCATCGACTGCGTTTTGGGCATAGAGACCACGATGCATGGCTCCGTCCGAACGGGGCTGGTCGGGGAGCATTCTGGTCTAAGCTTGACATGCTGGCTCTCACTGGCTGAAACGAATGATGTTAAGGCTAATGTCTAGGCTAACTACATACTTTCACTCCTGCTTTATTTTTTTTTGGCTTTCCGATTAATATTTTTCCGCTACCAGTACGTGGCAGAAATATTTTGTAAGCACAATGATACCGAGGAAAGTACGTATGTCAATGTGAAGCTAGCTTGTTCTCTAATGCTGCAGACGGGAGCCGCCCGCTCAGCTTGGAGGCACAGCTAGGCTACTTGGAGAGCCTTGCAGCGCAGTTGACGCGATGCACTGAGGCGGAGGAAACTGCACTAAAACAGCAATACGATGGCGGGCCACGGCACGCGGTCGGGCGATCGTATCGCCGAATCCAAGTGGTCGCTCGAGGAAGTACGCCTCTTTTGAGTTGCCAAGAGCACGTTGTAGCACCCATCTCTGCGGCTACTCTACCAGTCCGCAACATCAGCGATACAAGTAAGAAGGGCACTTCTTCTATTCATATAAGCATTACCGTGAATAATCACGCTGCAGTTCAGAGCAGCAACTTGATTAAGACCTACATGTCATGCGATTTTGCGAAGTCGCTGGTCCTCCGCGTGAAATCATGGGCGAGGGACCTCCGCAAGTACAGTCGGGACGTTGCTTCCACCCAACGAATTGATAGCACAGCGGATGACGAACTGGAGGAGGGCGGCCTTCTGTCAGGGTATGCCTGGACCCTCATCGTGATTGCTTTTCTCCAAAGTCGCAACCTGCTCCCCAATGTCCTTGACGACGAGCACCAGCGGCGCGCAGTGGTCTTAAGGCTCTTCATGCCTCATCTTCAAGTGCAGCTTCTCTGTAAGGTACTCCAGCACTGCTGGAACAACACTTACACTAGAAGGCTGCAAGCATAAATAGAAGATGAACAGTAGACAGCGCCAAGAGCATTGGGGGAGTGTTGGAACTACGAAGAGGACGGAAAGTTGCTGAAACGAGTGCGGAGCATCGTGAGTCTAGTCCGGAACCGTCAAGCTCAACCGCCTCCGCCCGTCGCCGACTGCGTAGCCCTTTCTGCAGATGAACTGGCACAGTTTGTGAACATGTTAGAGCTTGATTTTTTCAACGAGTTGGCCCTTCATCTGCGAACCTCTGCCGCAGCTCCACTGCTTGGACTGGAGGTGAAGTACTGGTCCATCGCCAACGGGGGAACAGCACGATTTTTTCCGAGCGGAGGGGTTCCGTGGCGAGCGTTTCCCTTTGCAGTAGAAGACCCGTTTGATTACGGCTTGGGTTTCAATACTGTAAGTGAATTACAACTTTATGATGGCAGAAGCTCGATGACGACTATAAGTGAAAGATTACAACTTGTTGATGACGATAAGTGATTACAAATTGTTGATTACAGCTTGTTGTGATTGTCAGAAGACAAAGACAAGTAGGTCTACCAAGATGCTCTTCGTTTCGTCATGGTGCTGGATCCTGCTGGAACTATGTTCTTGTTCTAATATCAGCTTGAGCAGGAACAAATGGAGCAAAGCTTGCAGCAGCAACCACCGGAGCTGCGAAGAAAGATGCTGCAATGCCAAAGTCTCACTTGCAACCAGCACCTCGAAAACATGGTCCTAGTAAAGCTAAAGGAGCTGCAGCGGGAGCGCGCGTTCGCAAAGCAAAAAAGTACAGCTCAACGAGCTGCTGATTCGTGCATGCGGAGCGTCATGGCCGAAAACGCTAAAAATCATGTTATCAGCAGTTCCACATCCACCTGCGGCACGACCACAGGTACGTCTAGGTCTAGCGGAGTAGGTGGATCTACATCTAAGACCAAGACCATGATATCAAAAAATAAGCTTTCCACGACCGTCGAGTACGAGCGGAGCCGAGTCGACGAGACCTGCGCAGACCGCCGGTCGCCAAGCACTGCTGGGACCGCGTCCACCTTCTCGGCCACTGCATCAGAGATGGATGATGACAAGGAAACTCTTCAGAACAGGAACTCTACTAAAAAAGTTAAGGCTTCCCCTAATCCATCTTCGGAAGCATGTCAGAGACGTGCCCAGGATGTGCCTCGAGATGGATTACTAGGGTGAGCGCTAATAAAAGTAATGCCCATTTTGTGATGAACGCGAACGCATGTCCATATGCACCGCAGACCTGCGAACACGTGGATGCGATCCCTTTTAAACCGGCTGGTCCGAAACTTAGCAGTGAAGTCCTGACCTTTGACAATTCGACTCTCGACGCAGGAAGCGCGACGGGGCCACTGTGGTGTGGCAACAGCATGTTGGAGCCCTACCACGATACAATATCTCCACAACCATGCTATGACGCAACAGGAGAGTGGAACCATGCTGAATTTATTCAGCCTGGCATGACTTTTGGCGAGGATCAACACGTCCACTTTACCGTGCGTACGTCTGAGTCGAGCTACAGTGCCACTAGTCACTGCCATAGTGGAGTAGCAGGACTGGGGCCCTTGGCCAACGAAGGTTCGGTGTACGCCGAAAACGCCGGTGGCGTCTACGTGGCAAGCGAAGCGAAACGAGCATTCACCGATGAAGCAACTACCTGTTCCAGCGGCAGTGCCGTAGCAGCTGCTTATTCTCCGGGTGAGCCCGTCTACATCAATGAGACGGGGACATACAACATTGAACCGACTGCCTACAACACGCATGATGCAACAGGCTACAGCAACGACGCAGCAGCTTTCACAAATAATGCCACTGACTCCTTTCACGACGAAATAGCCGTCTACGGCAACGGTCACGAACAGGCTCTCTTGGGCACACAGTCCTGCCCGTACGCGATAAAAGAACCTGATCACGAGAAGTTCGTGTGGGCGAAGACGGGCCTTGAGGGCGTCGTTGAGAAATACTACAAGCGCGATTTTCACCTTCGACTACGTGGAACTCTCCTTAAGGCATGCGCAAGTCTATCTTCTGAACATCCTGAGAATGCTCTGAGGGGAAAAGGGGGTCTAGGTTGCACTTTATTTGATCATATATTTATCATTAATATAGGGGATGGTGCGCTAATCACTTGGACCAATTGATATCTGATGACACCGATGTGCTCCCAGACGGATGGTCGTTTTTCGTTGATGACTCAACAAAAGACGAGTACTGCTGTCGCATCAACGAGAAGAACACCGATGACAAGGACAATGACGAGTGTGAGGAATCTTTAGACGAGAACTGTTGTGATTCAACATCTGGCGCTGTGTCACTCGAGCACGTGCAGAAGGCAGATGTGCGAGAGCTAGAGCGCTCTGGTGAGAGTGTGGCGATGTACCTACGGCGAAACTTCAGCGCCACCGTGCTCTTAGTTTCCATAGGGCCTGTGCCGGAGGAGAAACGCGCAGAGCTCGCCGCGTGGCTCCGCACGCGAAACAATTTTCCCACGCACATTGCTTTTGAGTTTCTCGAAAGTGCTTCCGAGACGCTGAAAAAACGGTTGTGGCGCTGTCTCGCGGTATTCCATCCGAAAGCTGTAAGCGCAGGTGGACACTTGAACTACATCTTTGAAGCGGGAAGTCAGAAAAACCTGAAGCTCCGGTTCCAAAGTCCAAGTCTGTCACTGGATTTCGTGTGCAACGGTAAAAGTATATACGAGAAAGGCTGGCGAAACTTTGGTGACAAATCTTGATTTCGTACCTCTGCCGCCACCAGCATGTGTACACTTTGCCCAAAATGATCAATCGAAAAAATGACGGCGACTCGACAATATTCTGGGTCCGACGTGCGATTGAAAACCAAACTTTGCCAAGACCCCCCGAAATGCGGAACACGTGAACTCTGTCTGTGAAAAAGCCGATGTCTGACATTTCGCCCAAGATTCCTACTGGGCTGATGTTTCAATTGCGTCGTGGCAATAGCTACCCATACTCGCTGCAACAGCTCGTGTTTCGCAGAAATAACCAGGATTCAGCTTACAATTCTTTTATTTGCAGCTGAGGTCGGCTTTTCACAAATGTAATACAATGGGAGCAATGCGGCGATGGTGCGGCGTCGGTGCCAATCAGTAGCGCATTTGATGAACTACGCGCGGCTCATAGGAGTTGTGATTTTCTTGGAATAGGCGCGTTACATGCGTGTCCGTTCTTTCGAAAGCATTTTCGAGTGGTCCCACCTTCTGGCGCGAGTTTTCCCCATAAGAGATTTTTGGGTTCCCATCATTTTGGAGTCCCTACAATGACCAGCTTCACAACTACGCGAACACAGATCAATGCGTGTGGAGAAAAACATAGCTTCATCTTTATAAATACCAAATTCCACGAGCACGACATGAGCGTACTTTGTTCGTACCGGCCACGGACTTTCGGAGGTTACAACTGGTCGCCTTGGCGGTAGATTTGAACATCCACTATAAATGTGAGAAACATATAGAGAGACGAAGGCAGTGATTGCTGCCTCTGTAAGAACCAACGACAGCATGCTAGTGGAAATGCCCAAGTGCTGCAACACGCCAGCATTTTTTGTTTGTGTGAAAGTGAATTGGCATCCTTTGTAAGTAGGACGTAAATGGCGACATTTATGCGTGTCGTATTAATACAGTATTGGCTGAGAGCGAAGCGAGATGGACAAGGAGCTGTATGACCTGATCTCAAAGCAGAGAACCGCGCATTGTTGTAGGTGGGTTCTTCTTGAGATTTTTCGCAAGAATTATGCGTTGTTTTCAAATTTTGTGTACAGGCTCCTCTTCTCGGTGATGTTGAGGATACAGCATGCCACCGACAGTCGTTTGTTCGTTCCGGTGGTGGCGGCTGGTGAAACAGGCTCCTCTCGCTCTCTTAGTTTATCTCCTGGTACTACTGCCACACGCGCACGCGATCGCAGAGGCTTCCCTTCCAAAATCCTGGAGCGGCGCAGATCCAGCACGACCAGGCCTGCGGCTGACCGTACTTCGCAATCCTTCTCCTGCTGAACCTCAAGAGGATGAAAAAAGCGACTCAACACAGAAAAATACAGCAAGGCGTACTACTGTCAAAGCCGTTGGAAATGATGAAAGTGCTAGAGAGGGGGTGTCTTCAAGCAGTGGATCAAAAGACCGCTCGCTTGCGGTCGGGGGAGCGACGTCGGCCGCTGCACAGCGGGTGTGGGCTTTACGAAACGGCATGCAGCTTCCGAATCCTTTTTGCAGATTCTACCACAACGATCGTTACCAGTGCATGAACACAGCCGGGTGCCGCTACGGTTGCCCGGGCACATCGTGCGCAGCTGATCAGGTCCCCACCTGCCTCAATGCAACAATCGGCTGGCGCGTATCAGAAGTGGAGTTTTTTTCGGACGAAGGTGTCATGACATAATTTTCAAAGTAAAACAGATTTCTTACAATCTAGACACGTTTTATTTTCTGTCAATTACACGCTCTTCACCCATTGAATCAATAACTGTCTGTACAAAAAAGTAAGTAGGTACAACCAATACAACTACATACTTTTTTTAACGGCATTATATATTTTCTCAAGCTGTTGTTTTCTTCTAGTCTGTTCCAAGGTTCCTCCTCATTTTGATCTTGCAAATTATTGAATTTTTAGCACCTCCTCCAGGATGCACAAGTTTGATTGTGCCGAAAAAGTTCGTATCAGAGCCCAGAGTCCGAGACTCAAGTTGCTCGCGCCGCGCAACAGAGAGTGCTTATGGACCCTCCAACGCATTCGATGGTATGACGAACACCATCTGGGTAGCGCCTTGTTGCGGCAACTGTGGTATGTGGCAAGCATCTCTTGGAGCCGATTTTGGAACGCCAGAGGTGGTTCAGTGCGTGAAAATTTGGCAAGTCGATCAATACTTTTCTTTACGGCAGCATCAGCCAAGGGCTATAGTACATCACGTCTTCCACATCAAATCATCTTTGGCTCAGTACTTGTTCCTTACGTAGGGGGAAAAAATTCAAAAGTAGAACGCCAAAGACTTTATTGCTCTAATTTCTCCTGTGATCGCACTTGCGAAAGAAGGCACCGCCGTGGGACAAGACAACAGTCTTTGGGTATCGATTAGAAATTCGTTTTTGCTGTAGCTAGTGTCGCTGATGGAGAATGTAAAATTATCATGCTTGCAATTTTATCTGAACATGATGATGGAGTCTACTTCTCAATAATTGATCTCCTTCTCTTCTTATGATTTCAGTGATGTCGGTATTTATGTATAATATCCGTATCTACAGCGCAACGTGGTCACTTGGAGTGACTTCACAGCAAGTGGGCCCGAGGTCCGACTTTCCGGAATCCAAACTGCGCTCAAAAACGCAATCAAGTTCGACGTGCGTCCGAAATTACACTGTCGGAGTTTCATATTTGGGCCGAAGTTCACGGATTTGAAACTAGCTAGGAACTATTGCATATCCGACAATGTATTGCTTTGTCTCAAGATTCTGATTTTTTCGAAGTGGTGATTCGAAGATGCCTATGGCCATATTTTCAGACTCACATTTTGTTGCTAAACTGAGAACGACGTAAGAACGAAGATCTAAATTTCCATTTCCATAACCAAAATGCCATTTCAAAAAAACGTTTAGCTTTGCGGCGCAGTGTACGAGTACGCGTGTCAAGATTTGAGTTACAACGTGACCATTGGGAATAGCTTAGACCTCGCTGTACTGTACGATCACCTGTCGGTCACACCCACTGCGTACACGACAATCGACGACCCAATAGGAACTATGCACGTTCTCGTAACGCGAAAGACATCTTTAAACGGAGACACGCTGATCCTCGGAAGCCGGGTCATGCAGCCGAAAAACGTCTCAGGACATCTGAATCCGCCATCCACCTACCCCTTCTCGGTCGAATTCAGTACTAAATCTGTACAAGATTTGGGAAACTGTGATGTAACAACTATCCAAGAATGACTACATCGATCCTTGCCACTTATGTTTTTTTTGCAGGGAACGTTCTTGTGAAAATTTATGTCGCCAACAGTTAGTGGAATTCGCTACCTCGACCTGTTAAGCTTTTTCTGACGAGTCTTGTTTCCCAAGGTATAAAACCAATGCACGGAGAGTTGCACCTGTGTGCCCTTGATTACGTTGCGACACCAAGTGAAGAAGGGTCGTGTGTGCACCACAAAACCGGGAGCTTATTAGAGTTTCGGCCGTATGGGAATCTTGCAGCTCCGCTGAGTAAGGTAACGCAAAACATATACTGCATTGCACAGACGGACGGAGGATGCAGTGCAGCATTTTGCGCGGAGGCTTGTCTTAGGTTGAATAGAAGAAACATGATCTAGATCGTCTGTCAGAAGAACAGAAGGTGATACGCAGTAGTTGCACCAGTTGTACTCGTTTGTTATCCTGTTGTAGGTAAGTGGTTACTCAACGAACGATACCAGTTGCAAACGAGGCGACTTTCTTGTGTACCTTTTTCGCTAATAATCTTGCGATGGATAATACCTGTAATGCCTTTCAGTACGTGGCACGCGAAAACGGGAATCACCAACGACTGTGCCAACTACTCATGATGCCGCCTTACCCCCTTTTTGCGCCCCCAAAAGGTCTACAGCCTATGGATGGTACGCTCGACGTCACCGACTTTTACTACCGAATTATCAAGCAGAATGAAACAGCGACGCTGGAAAAAACCTACGTCACGCTGAACTCGGCAACGGTCCGGCGAGCGGGCTCGTCACTTCCTCTCGTCGGATACAGCGCCACTTTGTTCCAAACGCTCGTGATTGCACTTTGCGGACTCCTTGTGTCGCGCTTTATTGCCGGATAAGTGGTTGCAGCGTTTGTAACTCGTTGATCATTAGTAGCAGAATGTAAACGTAGACCTTGGAGACACTATTTTGCTTGAATTGTCGATGAACACGTCTTCAAAAATCAGGAGTTCAATAGTTGTGTTGTCCCCACGCGCCATGAATGAGAATGAAAAGAATTATTTCCTGCTACCAACCCACAAGAAACTGTTTTGCCAAGAAAAATCTGATGCTGTCTTAGAGTTGATAGTCTTAAATAGCTGATAGATCGATGCAGTGATCCGCAACAGTGTTGCACAAAAATTATGGGCTTGTAAGTAAGTACATAAGTAGTAAGCCAGTTTTTTTTGTTCTAAAATTACGAGTTTAGAGTTCTTTGTGGGCTTTCTCCTATGCATTGCTAAATCTACGTCAATACACGACCTTTTGCTACGTTTCTGCGGCTACTTGTGAAAATATCCTTACCCACAAAGGAGCAAGACCAGATGTGCATTGCCAAAGGGGCTTCAGACCCCGAGCTTATGCTCGCCGATTCATTTCTGATGGTTCAAGACAGGTAAAAGTACTCGATCTTGTGCTGATTGATACAAATATCGGAGGTTTCTCCTGATCGAGCCTGTTTTTGCCGATCACTACACTTACCTTCTTTCTCAAGCGATCCTCACTTGAAGAAAAGTTTCTTGTCCAATACGAATCTAGTAAGATCAACGTGACAATACAAATCTAGTAAGTAGAAGTTCGGACGAAGATCAACGTGAGCTCGAACTGCAGAAGAGCTGTTCTTTCTTTTGATGAGCATCCACGATTTAACGGTTCTTGTGATCTTGTTCCTAACGGTGTGATCTTCTGAAAAGTGGAAGATCTGTGCTGTGGTGCAGAAGATCAACAGTTAATTGACGATCTTGACGGAAACAAGATCAACAAATACAGCGCTTGCAAATTTTCCATATACCAGAACACTAGACGAATCATCCATTTCCACTTAGTAGAACTCGCATTTTCGTGATCTTCAACTTTTATTTTCGTAAAATCATAGAGATAGACTCAGCAGGTGCAAAAGTCTTCATGACCGGTATCATCGTGGCGATTCATCTGTTGTATCTATGATGAATGATAAGGAATAGTAGGAGTCGTAACGAACCAATGATTCGTGTGTGAAGTAGATTTGCGGGTCCTTTACCCGATGCATCATTACCGTGTTGTTCTGCATAAGTCATTCGATTAATTTTCACCAAGTTTTCTGCAAAGAAAGAAATTGCATTGACAGCACCTCCATCGATAGAGTTAGAGAAATAGAAGTTAACTAAGAAAAAATGCCACAGCAAGCGAAGAGTATGCTGCAGCAGCAGCTCGCACGGCTGCGAGAGCAGCACCCCTCGCGGGTGGGCGCCAAGAAGCAGGATATCTTTACCTTTCAAAACCTGCCTGTGGAGGAGGCAATCGAGTATCTTGGTGAAATAAATGAGCACAGCGCCGCCATTTTCGCAGAACTCAGAGCGGCAGACCCGGAGTTCGCACCCTTCGAGGGCTTGTTTCTGCCCTCGCAGCGCAAGCGCTCGTTTCTCACGCCAGATGAGGGCACCGCTTTGGACAAGAAGTTGGAGCAATTCATGCTCCTGCTCAGTGGCTACTTTGACAGCAGCCGAGTAGCGGTTTTGCTACTGGATTTCTTAATCTGGAAATACGAATGCAATGTCCATAATGTCGATGCGCTGATGATGTGCTTGTTGCCGTACCACGATACGGAGCAGTTTGGCAGGTTGCTTCACGTCCTGCACATTGCAGAGCACGGTGCGACGAGGCGGTGGCTCTTCCTCACTGGCCTGAAAGAAGAACGACGAACACTGAAGCGCGCGGCCTTCGTCAAGATGTGCGCACGCGATGCTAGCGTACTAGAAGCCATCTGCGAGGCTGTGGAGAAAACCATCAAAGTGCTCAAGCGGACAAATCGTCAAATGGTACTTTTTTCACCAACTTTTCTTCTTAATGATATTCGACATTCGGAGCTGTGGCTGTCAACCCCACACGAACATTTCAGTGAAGGAGATTAATAATTGAATGATGATCGACCTGAAGATGAAACTGATTTCTACCGGAATCCCACCTACTTCTTACCAATATCAATTTCTTTGCTACCTTTAGTGATCATTTATTTTGTATAACTCATAAATGCAGATGTCATTTCTGTCCGCGGTGTTGTTAGAATTGTTTCACAGTGAAGAAGCATCCGCCAAAAGCCGAGAAGCTCAGCTTCGCGTGGCGACGCGCTTCCTCGCTTTCGGCCTGAAACATCCGCACTACGCGGATCTTCATGCCTGTGCCTTGACATTGGCTGGTCATCTCTGTAACCAGCCCGCCGCCGCGGACTTGCAAGCGATATTCGATCCTGTTGCGGTGGCCAATTCCCTAGTGAAAAGTGCAACTGTTGAAGTGTTGCCGCAGACGCTGTCGTACTTAGAGCTGCTCTTCGTCCGCCACTACGACGGGGACGTCGCAAACGCAGCTCCAGTGTTTACGCCAATCTTCGGGAAGGTGCGATCGAACGCACGCGTGACGGACGATTGCAATGACGCGATTTTGACTCACGTTCGTGCTGGTGGAGCAGCCTCCGCTGCTTTTCTGCAACTTTGGTTTGTTGCACGCCTGAATGGTGGAAGTCGCCTGACGTTGGCACAGGCTTTGGGAACTACCAGCCAAAAAGAAGGAAGTCAAGCCAGCGATGCCGACAGCAACGTCGATGCGCGCGAACTGCGTGCTCTGCTGGGTGGACTCTTCTTTCAGTTCGTGCAAATGCAGAACGACGCACGAAAGCGAGAAGCTACGCGCGAAAACGAAACGAGCGATGAAAAGAAAACTGCTGCTGAAAAAAAAGACGCAACTACGCGCCGTAACAAGATTTCCAAGCAGATGCTTCCACTGTTGCGTGAGTGCAACCAGGCAAACCCGATGCTCGTGGGGTGGGAAGTGACAACACTGCTGGAGACCCTGCCAGAAAGTTGGAAAGCGAACTTCGTCGACTTCGCGGCACGCGGCTGTGATCTGCTCGACTCTGTTTCCGTAGACATCAATGAAACAGTTTCATCCTCCACGAAAAAGACGAAGAAGAAGTCAAAGAAGAGAGGAGGTGAGGCCACTGAAGAGGTTCCTGCTTCTGGCGTAGCTGGCGTGCCGGTGTTTCGTGCGCTGACACATGCAGCAGGTGAAATGCGAGTAAAGGGCGTAGAAAAGGCTGCAGAAAAATTCGTAGCAATGTTGAATGATGTAGCGACCACTGATGTGAAAAAGGATGAGACGGCGAGAACGCTGAAAGGACAAGAGGCTTTCGCAATCCTATTGTTGCAGCGGTTGTTTGATCCGGACATGCGAGTCGTAGACGCACTTTTGATGCACTTCTCTACTTTTTGGACCGCTCTGCTTGAGCTACATCAGAAGATTGTTGTCTCAGGTATCACCGCAACTGTTCGAAGCGTCGTGGTCACAACACTTGCGGCCCTGCTCGCCCAAGAGTGCCAGCGCGCTGGCAATGAGGTCGTTGCAACCGCTGCTTCTTCCTCTGAAGATGGCAGTCAAAGCCAGCGCCGAGAGCGCATTCGCGTGGCCCTGAACTTGCTTGGACGTACTGTGGAGCAAATGGAGCAGAGCAGCAAAGCGGAGTCCGACGATATGTTAACCCAAAGTGTCCAGATGTGGGTGCACCCTTTGCTGTTGATCCTCGCTGACGACGGGTTTTCTGCCGAAGGAGCTTTTGCTAGAACCGTTGAGAGTGACATCAGCGCAGAAAAAGCGTTTGAGAAGTACGTGCGCGTCACGAGCAGCAGTTGGTCTACTGCGAGTCCGCCGCAGCAACTACTGTCAGAGCCGTCGCTCCCACAACTACTTAGGCGATCTTTGGCGCCGGCCCATCTGAGCGTTACGGCACTATTGAAGCGAATGAAGTCTTCAAGCCCAACAGCCATTGTGGACGTATTGCATCGTTGCTTCATCCACTCTTCGCAGCTCCGTGCATTGTTGAAGCAAGATAAATCTGTGGCAAAGCGTCTCGGAAGTTTGCTTCTATCAGGAGAGGATACAGCAGCTTCGGCGACAGTTGAGTACCGTGAACTGCAAGCAAAGCGTCTGGAAGTACTTCTAGCTGACCCGAGCAAGTTCAAAAGCAGCGTAGAAAAATTCTTTGGCGTTTCCTCCAGAGATACAACTACAGAGTCGCTGCAGATAGAGAAGGTAGAGCTGCTTTTGGAGATGGCGTTTACGGCGCCAGAAAACAAGCCTACGGTGATTGGACACGCACTAGTGCTTCTGCAGCATTTGTCAGCCGCAAAGTACGGACCGCTGACGACGCTCGCTGCCGACAAGGAAGGACGCATGCTGCTTACGACTGGACTTCTACGTCGTATGATGCATGCGAACGCGAGTGTGCGTACGGCAGCATGCGGACTGCAGGCTGAATTACTTGGAGTCCCATCGTCGAAAGAAAAGCATGCACCTCTAAAGAGTGACGGAGCACTTTTGCAGGATCGCTCGGCACTTTTGCGACTCCTTGGTTTTGCTGGCGCTGAGGGCAAGGATAGTCTCTACACGGCCTTGATGCGGCGTAATCGTGCGGCAGGAATTGACGAGAATGTATCAGCTATCGTGGTGGAAAAGGTGTTGAAACTTCTGAGGAAGAACCGTACGGCTGTCGAGAAAGACGCAACATTCATCCACGAAGTGCTGAAACAAACTTTTGAGGACACGAACCTTGATCGTCGTGGTGCTCTGGCGCTTGTTGTGTGCTGGATTGGTCGCCTTGAAAACTCCGATCAAGCACGCGCGAAAGGCGCTTCGGATGCTCAGTTCTGGCAGGCCTTGCCAGCAGACACGATTGTGGCAGCCTCCACTGAGGTCCTCGCGAATGCTGCCTCCGATGCATCTGAGGCAGCTATCTGTGCGCGCTTTGCAGCAGTGATCTGTTCCAAGTTCCTGCTGAGCGCAGATACAAGAAGCACCTCCGATGACATTGAAGAGAAGACTATGGTGCGCAAGAAGACCTCATCCACTTTCGCGAGCAAGGTGCTACACCCGCTCGCGGAGAAGCATGCTATGGCTTTGGCTGATCACAGAAGCTTGCAGGGAGAATTGGGCTCTCATTTGGTTGTAGTTGCGGAAGCTCTTGCGCGACAGGATACTGCTACAAAGAACGGACCTATTGCGGCGACAATATTTGGCTGGGCCAACCAGTTGACAGCACGCTGTGTCAAAGCGCGTGAAACAAGCGGCGCGGAGAACGATTTTGGGAGTCAATTGTCAGAGAAGATTCGTGAATCGCTTCATCGCATCCCTCTTGATGTCACTGCCTTTCAGGGATTGTTGCTTCCAAAAAAGGACTTTGCGCGCCTAGCCACTGCTGGAGCGAACGCAGCCGCGCTGCTCGCTCTGAAAACCACCGAGTGCACTCTGTCCTGGTCTCTCAGTCTTGAAAACATGGACTCGGACGAGCTGTTGGCGCACGCGATGAAAGTGCAGGGCCTTGTAGCCGCTGCTGCCGAGGCCTGCCGCGCGGAAACAGCATCAGTACGAGCAGCGGGCGTGGCGAAGGACGCTTCAAGTATCTTGCTAGCGCTGCTTGAGTACGCGACACAAGTTCACAGTGAGCTCGAAAGCTCGGCTGAAAGTGCTCCAGTTGTAGAATCAATGCAGAGAACAGCCGAAGCTACTTGTGCATGCATGCGAGAGCTTGCACGCATCGCAGCGGAAGAAACAAAAGCGGAGACCGTGAAGAAGACAGCACAGCCGGTTGTTGAAGATGAAGAAGGAGAAGATGATAAAGCGGAACAAGAAAAGGCGAGCCCCAACAAGAAGCGGGTCAGTAAAAAGCACACGGTAACCGGTGGTAAGCTTTTCGTTGACAATTTGAAAGCCTGCGCCGCTGCTGCGGAGATCGCCTACATCGCAGTAGAGAGCAAAAAGGCACCAAAAGAATATATGACTGCATCTGATGTCACGGATGCTCCCCAGGCTGCACTCACGCTCTTGCGAAGCTTCGCGCCTTGCACAATCGACAGCTTTTTGCTTGCGGCAGCCGGTTCCGTGTTCGATCGGTTCGCGCGCATTGGCAAGGCCACAGGCCAATTTTTCTTGCACCACCTTTTTCAGGCACTGCGCAAGTGCCCCAGCGAGAGCGCACACGGGATCACGCAGAGAACGCTGCACTACTTCGAGGCCCGCCGCACATCCGACTTGAGCAGTACGCTGCTGCCATGGTTAACAGCGAACTGCGCGATGAACCATGATCCTTTACTGTCAACTTGCTCGCAAAGTCTTGTCGATGCCGGTCGAACAGCTACCAAGAACGATGACGCACAGGAAGATGTGCTGGCGACATTAGCGACACTATTGAGGGGTGCAGTCACGGAGGCTGCCTTCATGCAGTACTACAATGTCAGTTTGCGAGGACGTTTAATGATGTCCGGCGGAACGAGGAAAGGCAAAGACGAAGATGACTCCAGCGGCGAGGACGACGAAAAGGTAGATATTGTGGAGGCTGCAACCCCGAATAGCTTGATCGCGGCTTTGACACAGCATTGTACTCCCGATGAGAGGCAGACTTTCGATTCCGCGCCGATGTTGTGCGTACAACTCGTGGCTCGATATCTTGTCATGCGCGGGCTTGTCGGCGCTTCACAGAAAAGTGTGGGTGCACTTCTTTTCGCATTGTTTGAGGCGGAGACGTGCTTACTGGAGCCCAGCAGAATTCAGAACGCGAAGCAACTTCCTCGTTCGCTCTACACGCCAAGTATGAAGAAACGACGCATCGCACTAGCTAGTGCTGTCGAGGACGTGCGCAAAACGTTGTTGACATCCCTCTTTGGCCGCCACGGAACACGCGAGTTCTATGCTGCGGCCGAGTGCGCTCTTGAGCGTGCGGTTGAGTCCCGCGACTGTGCGACGAAGATCCAGTCGTGTGACGTGGTCCAAGTCGTGCTTTCTGCTTGTCTCGTCTGCTTCGAAAATGCACCACGCATGAAGGTTGTTGCAGAACCAGAGAACGGTAAGAAACGCGGTCGCGACGAAGACGAACCTGACGTGAAGGAGCGAGGCTTTGACGCTGAGATTGTCGCTGCGCAAAATCGTATTTTGGGTCTGATCGCGCGTGGCAACCTATCGGAAAGCAAGATCGCGGACACAATGGTTGGCTGGAAAAGTGTCATGCGCCTCTTCGCGTCTGCACCAACAGCACTGGCAGAGACGTGTAGCCAAAAGATTCTACCGCACGTTGCACGCCACGCTGTTTCCCTAGTAGACGACGCTGATTCGGATGCTTCTAGAACTTCCGCACGCGAAATGTTTACCTTCCTATCGCAGACGGCGCGCGAAACCCCACGAAAGCTGCTTCTTGAATCGGTGAACAAGGTGACGCCCCCACTGCTCGCGGTACTCAAGCGTCATTCATCTGCAACTCCTTTACGCAAGGCAGCTTTGGTAGTGCCAGTGCTGGCAGTTTCATCTGAGAAGTCAAAATTACCACGAACAAAACGCGGAAAGGAACACAAAACGGTGGAGGAGGCAGCAGATGTGATGAAAACCTCTGTTGACGTTATTCCATTCCCAACTGACGCCTTATGTTTGGCCATGAGCAGTTACGCATCAAAGACTGGCGCTTATCTCTCCGTCTACACCAAGGAACTGGTGGAAATTTTCCTTGTGGCACCGTCGGAATCCGCTATCCAGCAGCTCGATCAATTGTTGAAGACCTGGCTTCAAGCTGTTCCGCTGCACTCTCTCGTGCCTTTGTTCCGCGATCTCCTTGGATCCAGCGGCCCGGCCAAAAAGAATAGCAGGAAGAAAACCTCCAATACTACTACGGAAGGAGGTCGGACGAAACGTGAACTGTTGTTGCTTTCCTACCTCTTCCAGCATGTTGCCTCCAATGCGGATCCGGACACGCTAGGCCCATACGGTCCGGCGCTGTTTGACGACATGATTACGCCTCTCTGCGCGCGGTTGGAGGCGGAGGCATCAACTCCGGAAGAGGAAGCAGCCGCGAGAGAGCTCATCGCTGCGCTTTACGCGCAGTGCGCACTCAGGTTGGAACTTGACGTTCTCACAAACTTGTGGAACAAATCGGTCAAGGCGGCGCGATGCGGCGCACCATTGCTCTTCGCAGAGAAAATGGACGGCGAAAAGGTACTACCTTAATTTTTCTCGTTAATTCACTTTACAATAGACTATTGAAATTCCTTTTTTTGTCCAAAGTCTACCTGGTTACAACAGACTATTATTGTACCTAGAGAGAACGAATGCTTTATGAGTTGTATCTTGATGGGTACAATCTGTTCCATGATTGATGAGTATGCTTTTGGTTTCAATCCGATTCTGTTGCATTTCTGTGTCCCGCATTGATTAGGTCCACCGACGCTTAAAGCACTTAAAGAAAATTAATCGGTTATTTTCCTTCGACTTTGATCCCTTCAAGCAATGCTGTAGATGTGTCGCTGGTTTTCTTACTAATTCAATTTTTGCGACTGCAACAACAACGAAAACAACAATAACTTTCAATTTGTTCTGTATCGATTTTTAGCTCGAGTCGACCCTGGCATGTCGGAAAGCAGCGACGCTCTTCGAAGTTTTACGGTCTCTAGTCGCTGAAGCGCAGGATGTTGTGTCAGTTCCGTTCCTGAAGAGCCTCGGAAAGGATGTAGTGCAATCTATCACCGAAGTTGCCACGCTGGCGTTCGCAAAGGGAGAGAAAAAGACGAAGAAGCGTTCAAGAATGGGCGCGGATGCGGGTACAACTTAGAGATAATCAACATTGAATATTATGAGCTTCCTGATATGAAGTAGAAATTGTTCTGATCAATAGAAGATTTGTGCCGCAGCTATGAGGCGTTCGATGTTTGTGTGCTTAAGCAAAGCTGGTACAACATTTTTCTCTACTAAATATTTCCAAAATTGTCTTAATCTTTCGCAGGTTCTCTGCATTCCCCCATTTATGCGGACACATTGGGTTTGGTTCTCGATTCACTGCGAGCGTGCCTTGCAGCCTCGAAGCAGCCAGCTTACGCATCTGACTTCTTGACAGAGCTTGTTGAACCATTGATCAGCCTTTATGATGTGCTTCCCCAACTCACGAGCACCCGACTGAATGTTGCAGCCCAGAATGAACGTGTAACCAGCTGTGCGCGGTTAGTACGTCTCCTTGAAACGATTGGCGCCTCGAACGATGATAAGAAAGCAATTGCGCTTCAAACTGCCAATAAAACTACTCTTAGAGACGTTGCGCCGCTCAATGTCGAACTGGTGCTACAGCGGCTATTCGTGGCACTGGTGCATCAACTAGCGGAAGAGGAGGATAGAAAACAGCTAGTTTTGTCCCTGCTGCACAAGACACAGAAGGCAGTAGGAGGCGAAGTCGCGCGTCTTGCGCTAGTGCGAACACTGAAGGCTTTGTGGCGAAACGAAGGCTGCGCCATTGTGTCCAGTTTGTCGGACACGATGCTGTTCGCCGTGGAATTACTCGAAGATGAGAGCGAGCAGGTGGAGCGGGAAACGAAGGAGCTTCTGAAGATTGTCCAGAATGTCACAGGAGAAGATGTGCAAGAACTCTTGCGGGAGAAAAGATGATAGTGAGGTCCCGATGAATATTTGAATGGGAAGATTATATAATTTATTGCATTTATGTAAGTGCCGTGTCCTTTTTTCTCCTCATCCAACGACACCCTTAGGGAATGAACACAACATAAAAATGTCCTCATGCAGTGCAGAAGCGGAAGGAGAGGAGCTCTGAGTTCTCTCAAGATGCAAAATATCTTTTGTTTTTTGTTAAACAGAACGCTTCTTGAATTCTAAGGCTCTCGAGATTATTGCATGTTTTATAGAGATTCGACTTTTACACCTTCGACAAATCAATGTTTTCCAATTCTTCTAGACTACAATGACTATGACAGCATAGATGTCAATTTCGGTTTTCTTCCAGCACAAAATTGTTAGCACGTGCAAAATTGAGGAGGGCACTAGGCTAATGCGAAATGAACAATGAGTTCTTCATTATGGGATCCCGCGACAGCTGGCATTACCCTCGCCAAGGTTACTCGTCCGTCGGCACTGAGTATTCAACTCTGCACATGATTTATCCTCGGAAATAACAACTTAGATAAAAGGCTCGCTCGAAATGCCTCGAATTCCTCATGTCCGACAGATGAAAGTAGTTCTAGTTGTTCAACTTGAAGGACCCGAGAGAGAGCGAGAGGTCTTGTCTTTCCACGAGGATTCGAACGACTTTTCTTTGGATTTCGTAGGAAAATGGATTACGTCGCGTTCCTCGTACCTACAGAGAGGAAGGAGCTAAATCGGTCCTCCATCGTACACTTGCGGTAACGTCTCGTATCTTTACTTGATCAAACCGTTCTTGCGTGCTCTACTAGAAACCAGCTCACAATGGATGTAGAAGTAGCTGCACGAGAGAGCCTAGTCGGACTGAGGACTTGGTAAATTTCGAGGCTGATGAAGTCGAAACTATCATGAGGTATTGAGCGATCCAAACATCCAGACACTTGCTCGTGTCCCCACGATACCCCATCCTCCCTTACCATCCCCTATCCGCCCGGTTTTCCCTCCCACTTCCCCTCACTCGCTTTGTATATTTATAATTCTCCATGCTAGTACTAGGTTTCGTCACTGAACTCGAGATTTTTCTGACTGCATTGCCAATGATGTAAGTATCAGTTGTAGTCAGCTAAAGGTTCGATTGATCTTTATTTGGGACAAGATAAATGTCTCTGGAGAAAAAGCCATAAATTTCCATGCAATTATTAGCTAGGCTAGCCTATTCGTGGATATGAGAATGTTAAGCCTCTGCTACTTCGCAGAATTTAGTAATTTCTTGCTAGCTCTACCATGGTCTATTTTTGATGGAAGTATGTAAACGCCTGAGTACTTGTTTGATTATGTTGTTCTTCTTTTGAGACGCGTAATTAAGGTTATGCTGATTTCTTTTGTCTCTCTGCGTGCATGAATGGTTGAACTTCTCTTTTGTAGTTCGTTTCTTTTGATGATGAAGAAACTGCTTCGTGTTGATGCATGTGTGCAAGAAAGTTCTTTTTTCCAGTGGACGCCGAATTAGTATTGCGTCGGGAACCACACAACTGTACATCTTTCTTTGGAAGAGTTATTGGTGAACGTTAAAAGTGGAAGCAAAACACTCAAGCGTGGTCGGCGGGAGTATCAATACGAGATATTTGAGGCCGCTGCTTCGAAGGAAGGACACATCAGCAAGGCGACGGAGTGGATCATCGTCGCGCCTGTTCAGTTCTGGCGGCGCTGAGGGGATTCGAGCTACCAAGAGAGGCTCATCTGGGTATTTTCACCTTTGAAGGTGGTTGACAGGTGTCTCGTTGCAAACGCAGTTCGGCACAGTCAATAAGCGACACTCAAAATCATGTCCGGACGCAACGATGCTAGCCCCGACAGCACGGGCGGGGATGAACAGCTTGCAGCGGTCGCCGCTGCCCGGGTAGCCATGTCGGACACGCTACCAGGCTTGGGCACGACGGATGAAACGGTGCCCCTGGGGAGTCTGGCTGGCTCAGCACCGGCACCGCAACGTGACAGCCGACCAAAGACTTACCGTTCGCGGCTACGTCCTGACGGAACGAAGATGAGCTTGGCTGAAATCAGAGCACAAGAAGAGGCTGAAGAAGAGGTCGAAGCAGAGGAAAAGGCTGAGGAGGAAGCAGAACGAGCACGGCAAGAGGAGCGAAATAAGGAGAGACTTCGTATTTTTAGAACGACTGAAGAATATCAGTAATTCTTTTCCTTCCTTCTGAAAACTTACTTTGTATAAATGCCCAAGATCATTTCTTGTCTGAACAAAGACTTTGTTCATAAGATGATTCTCTTGCTGGTCTCTGTGGCTTTGCGAATCGCAGTGATTTTTGCTCAGGTAAAGCAGAAGAGGCAAAGGCAAAAGCAGCAAGTGGTAAAAAATTGAATCGTGCACCTACACTACGCGCTGCGGCCACTGCCAAAATCCTGTCTCGACCTAAGAAACTAGCAGAACGGGGGATGACGATGGATCCTGCGCAAATTGCACGCTTGGTGCGCAGCGAGGTTACCTCGCCCGACTCGACGCAGGAGGTCGCACCACAGCGTCCGCAATTGCGTCGCTCCGACAGCATGTCATCAGAGAAAAGTGGTGGAGACGAGAGCTCGGACAGGCGACCACGACTGATGCGAAGTCAGAGTGGGCTGTCCGCGAGCAGTCGTCGTAGTGCAAGCAGTTACGATGACAGTGGTTCAGACGATTCAGGCGACGATAAAACGAGTGCGGTAAAGCGAATCACTTTTTCCGCAGTTTACTTACCTTTCGTATGGCCTTGATCCTTTTGATGATACACGTTATTATATAGATACTATATTTTGATAGTCGGGAGGCTCCATGTTGCAATTACCTGCTTGATCAAATCTTCCTCGCTGGAAAAATACCACGCTCATGAATCATTTACAACAGACATCTGGTGATATGGACGACGAGGTGTTACCGCTTCACTTGCGAAAGATGCCGGCGGTGAATACAGGCCCAATGGAGAGCGCAGAAGAGTTTCGCGCTCGAACCTTGGCAGGGCTTGGCGACAAGAAAAGCGAGAGTTCTGAAGACGACGATGACAGTGGGTCGGAGGAAAGCTCAGAGGAGACGACCAGCAGTGATGATGCGCGTCAGATGAGTCGTCGGGGACCAGACGTCTTAGACTGGCCAGCGCCGGGATTTCAGATGATTCGAATGGAAGTAGTCAAAAAGCTGCTCCGTGGTTTTGCAGGTGGAATGGCGGTTTTTTACGGCATTGTCATTGCCTCCGTTGTGCACTCCATCATGCTACAGGAAACCAACTTCGCACTCATCAAACGGCAAATCGCCGCACGATTCGAGGGAGAAATCTACGAGAAGATACCCGTGGTAATCGAGAGCGCGCGCCATCAGTTGCGGCAAGCTCGTGGCTACATAGATTTCACGAAAGATCTTGACGTCGTAGAATTCACAAACCTCTTTCAATCCAAAGACACACTAGTCTCCCTAGTGTGGATCGACGGTGGAAACGGCAGAGTCAGGACAGTGAACGGTATGTCAAATTTTTAGTGCAACTTCTATGTATAGTTTAGTAGTGACCACTATGTTAAAAAGGCTATGCTAGAGTGTCGCAGCAGGAATTCAAATCGTATAGATACCTTTTCTGCTCTTGTGCTTAAAGAGCGAACTACTAGTATTTATATTCTAGCAAACACAGTTGTTTGGTCCAAAGTCACTGAACCGAGAAAAATTTTAGAATGATTTACAGAAATAAGATGATGAGCATTCATAATTCAGGTGCGGATCGTTTGCGACGGGTTCGCATAGACTGGGTAGCAGAAGGCGGGACACCACAGGGCATTTTCTCGAATTATGTTTCGGGCTGGCAGTGGGGTCAAGAATGGAAATGGTGGAGCAATGTCGACGGGTAATGATGGCCTTTTAGAATTTAGAAGTACTCCTGTTGAATATACTCTTCTCTGTGAGATTATGAAGCTATCTCAAAATCAGACCTTCATTGATTCATTGTAGTTTGAAAGCTCCATAAGTACAATATCAGCCACTAATTGTAAGAGAAGAAGATTCATGTCGTTGAAAACTCATTCCAACATCTGTTCCAGATTTCGGGGTCCGACTCCAGTGTACACATTTTACGAGAATACGCAACTTTTTGGGCCTGTTCAGGTCTCCATTGAATTTGACGTTACCAGCATCCAAAAAGAGCTCTTTGAGGTGCTGGATCAGTTCGATATGAACGTATTGAACTACAACTTGTTGCTCGGCTGCTATTGTCACCCTGAGAGATTCGCTATGGAAGTGTATTCAGCAGCACTATAATTGATATTCAAGGTAGTTTATACATGACTACCGAGTTTTTGTTTCCTATTACAACAAGCTAAGTTTTTGTGTCTTCCTCTGCGAAAAACGACAAAAAATAGACCAGGTTGAGGACTTCCCGATCAGCGTCCATATCTATACGGCGAATTACGTAGTCGCATCAGCGGGTGCGGCGCCACTCGCTCTCGGCAGCACGACCATTCCTTCCGAATGCACCTGGAACGAGGACCAAGAGTACGTTCGGGTTTGCGTGGAATCTGCTGGGCATTGGTTCGGCACGACGTTTCTGTTCGTAATGCAGGTTCTCATGTGCGTGCTCTTGTTGGTGCCGCTTGTGTTGATCTTCTACTTGTGGCGCACACGGGAAAGGTGGATTTCCTACGCGCGAAACCTGCCTATGCGTTCGGAGGAAGAGCGACAGCAGGCGCTAGACAAACTAACTCAGTTGAAGAAACTGAAACAACGATTAGGCCGTACAGCGGAAGACGGCGCGGCGGCCATGGGAGCCAGCACTACCAGGTGCCATTTTACTATGTTGTAACTGATGTTGGAGGTAATATCTTCGAGTGGTAAAAAGTTACATCTTCAAGCCTAGACTAACAAGCGGAACCAACGTTTTCTCTGGAAGAGTACACTGTTGCCTTTGAATGCTCACTTTCTACTAGGACGATTTGCTGTCTGTTATTCTACTATCTTTGCGAAAATGATTTACCAGTTTTGCGAGCCGTGTGTCGGATGACATGGATGCGGAGGTCGATGAAAACCGGTTGGACCTGTCGCGGTCGTTCAAGATGATGCTGCAGAGCAATTGTATTTTTCTTATAGTAGTTGAAGGTGTTACTAGCGAATATGTAACTAGTACTTGCGGTAGGACAGTAATTAACGACTCAAGCGACTCAGCTCGTCTGGTCACTGCTGAGGCGACTCGGCGCGTCACCAGTTAAGCGACTCGGCCTGTCACTACTTGGGCGACGCGGCCTGTCACTACTTGAGCGGCTCGGCCTGTCACTACTTAAGCGGCCCGGCCTGTCACTACTTAAGCGAGTCCGCCTGCCACCATTTAAGCGACTCGCCCTGTCACCACTTAAGCGGCTTGGCCTGTCACTACTTAAGCGGCTCGGCCTGTCACTGCTTAAGCGGCTCGGCCTGTCACTACTTAAGCGGCCCGGCCTGTCACTACTTGAGCGCCCAGGCCGTTCATGTCGATCTTTCGAGGACATCTTGATAGGCTTAAAAGAATCCACTTCTGGGAGACTCCCAAGAGAGTTGTTGCATTTTTCCATTACTCATCCAAACCACTCCTCCCTCTTCCTCACAGCAACAATGGCCGCGACTGGTGGACGACGGAGCAGTTTGGAAGCTACTTCAAGCGGACTCTCTGACCGTCTGCGGCAGCTGACAATCACATCGGTGAGCGAAGCGTTTGTCTTTGCCGTCGTCCTCGTGACGTTCCAGGGCCGCGTGCAGGCTTCGGAATACATCAACATGCCACAAACGTCTGGGCCAGCCGATGAGGGTCCAGTGCGACAGCGCTTGAATTCGGTTTTTGGCAAAGTGAAGACTGCGCTATTCGGCGAAGCTATAGATGCAAACGTGAGCGCCGAGTTTGAGGCGGAAGAACAAGCCAGGCAGCAAGCCCAAAGACTGCAGCAGGAGAGCCAATTTGGCGCCTTTGGTGGGCCAAAAGAGTTCAAACGCACGGGGACGATGCTTGGGACGGCGATGAGCAGTAGCCGGGGATCTAACACCATGTCCACTTCGAGGAGCAGTGGCAAATGATCATGGTGCGGGCTTTATTCCTCGCGTTTCATTATTTCTCATCTGCGAAGATCGTGATGATTTTCGCCAAAATCATTTTCACATGATTTTCCAGACCCACCAATCCGCGTTGTCCGCTTCCCATGACCCGAACCCGTCATTCCCAGTGATTTTTCTCTTCTACAGTAATAAATCCTGTCAATTATACAAAGTCTTCGTGACGATTTGAATACGGCCGTGGCAGAAAAGCCTCAGCTATTACTTGTGTTTTGATTGTAGTGTTTCTGAGATCCAATCTTGATCAGCGGATGATCTTTGTGGATTTTAGGTCTAATGTGGGTCGGCTCGAAGTAGACCAGGCTCTCCTCGAAATGAAGACGAAGAAAGATCTCGCATTATCCTGGAATATTTCTGATCAGCGCAGCAGAACGTCAGAAAACATCGAGATCCTGATTCGTTAGGCACTTGCCGAAGAGGGATCAAGTGTGTAAGACAAAGATCCGTGCAAAGATGTGTCAGACGAGATCGCAGGCCAGATCTGGAAGAGCACCCCAGTTCTACATATTTGATTTTGATGCGTCCGTGCCCTTCTCTAACTTAGTAGTCCGTGATGATGTGATCAATGACCACGCATGTATCTTTCGTTTTTCGCAGGTGCAACTACAAAAGCACTGGGTAGTGTACTCGGGGGAGTTTTCTATCAATGTGGTCTGCTTGAAACTAGACCAACGACGAACCTCACAAAGGGAATCTTATGACCACAGATGATATGAAGTTGAAAACCTAGTTGTAATATTCCCCTAAAATAAAAACGATGATAGAAGAAAGCACCCCGTTTGACGCTGCGACTTTCGAGAGCGTCTCCTTCTCGGTAGACGTGCAGCCGTGCGCTAAAATCCTGACTAAAATTACGACGGCTCCAAGTAGCGCACGCGTTGTTGCTGAAGAAGAACCTCCATCACCAAGGAAAAGAAGTAACGAGGATGGAGAGGCAGTATTTGCTTTTGCCGGAGGACGGCATCCTGCACTTCTAGAAGGGAATACCAGAGCAGGTGAGGTTCCATTGTTGGGTTTCGCTGGTTCAACATCAAGCAATAGCAATAGAACTACAAGAAAAGATCCAAGCGCATCCTCCCATGAAGATGCCAGCCCAGCAAAGGTGAAGCAGCCGATGGATGATAGTGAGAAGTACCCGTGGCTCCATCGCTTGCAGATAGTAAAAGACGGTCTCTTAAGCACGCGAAGTCGACAGGAGCGCTATTTTGCTCGCGCTTGTCCAGAACTGGGAAGGCCTTGCTTCATCTGCAACCAAGTGGGTCATACCAAAAAGGACTGTCCACAGCGAGTGTGCTACCGCTGCAACAAGAGAGGCCATCTCGCTAGCGAGTGCCCCACGAAAAATGGAGCATTAAAAATATCGGGAGACGAGTCGCGAGACGAAAGTGTCGTTGAAGCGTCCTGGACTACGAAACCGGATGAAGCTATAGAAAAAGACCAGGTCGTGACATCTGAAGCTAAGGCCACAAACTCAGAAAAGAAGAAAAAGAAAAAAGCGAAAAAGCGAAGTTCAAAGCCAGACGAACACGAGCTAGGAGGACAGCCCGGGGCCTCGGGACCGATCAGCTTGCTGCGGTCTTTGAAAAAGCAGAAGATGCAGGATTCGACAATGATAACGTTGAACCAGGAGTTTGTAGCTGCTTCAAGTGTATCTCAACACACTTCGCTTACCGAGGACCATCTGTATGATTGTGTTGTCCGTGAGGAGAGTCTAGCAATCCAAACGGCTCCATTCGTGGGGACGTCGAGCGGCGACGCAAGTTGCAGCACAAGTTTCACCTCATCAACGACGGCATTTACCTCAACAAAAGAAGTCTGTAAAACTATTGTTCCGGAGCAGGACAAAGCGAATGAAGATGACCTCTTCCTCTTGCAGAGGAGTGCGCAACCCACAGAAGCACCGCGCTGCTTAATATGTTTCGAGCTGGGGCATGGGCTCGGTTTAGACAAATGTCCCAAGGTAATAGCTGATCGGCGACGAAAATATGAGGAGAGGCAAGCGCATTTTCGTCAACAGAGGGTGGCGCAAGAGGAGGAGGCAGCCGTAGAGTGGAATTCTTCCTCTAAGAAAAATGCCGACGACTGGTGGTCAACAAGTAGGAGCAATAGTGATTACAATGACTACCAGAATTCGTCGTGGGCAACAACAACAGCCACACAGCGGAGAGGTGCATTTGAGTGGTCGAAGAAGAGCAAGAGTGAAGGAAAGTGGCCAGCCTCTTCTCATTCAACTGAATCGTGGAACAATGATGACAAGACATGGCGAGGCAGGGCCAACTCATACCATAACGGAACTTCTTGGGGGAAGAACCAAACGTCGAGTGCCTCAAGCACGCATCGCGAAGAGCGCTCGTCTTCTTCATGGGCTCGCTTCGGATCTGCATCAAGTTCTTCTAAGAAGGACAAACCATCAACCAATCATCATTCCGCGAATAGCTGGCAGTCTTCATGTTGGTGGGATCAGTCGAGCAAAGATATGTGGGAGGGAGATGATTCTACTTGGTGGCAAGAAGATAATGTTGCGAAGATCGAGCAGTCCGTTAAGACAAAAAAGAGAAAGTCATCTTCTTCCGCCTCCGGTGGTAAAAAAGAAGATAATAGCGAGACTCCTACGAAAGTGAGTAGAAAAGCGAAGCCTCCATCAAAATTATCGGGTGTTGTAAGCTCCACCATAAAGGAAAAGATGGTGGAACAAATTAGCGTAAAACAGAAGAAAAAGAAATCGTCTTCTATCAAAAAGATAGAAGATGTACGGGAAGCGCCAAGCAAAACTAGAGATGTCTCACTTTGTGTAGGCTCAACCCCATCAAAAAAGGCCCGCATGAATGAAACGGAAGGTAGTGGAGAACATTCGACAGCATTCCCTGCGAAACTTTCAGTACCAAAGAAGACAGTGAAAATCTCTTCGAAAAAAAAGAGCAAATCAGCCTCGTCAGACAAAGAATGAGATGCAATCCCAATCCCACAACATCAAGCAGGTGACTGAGCTGCTCGGTCTCTGACGAAATCGAATCAATTAGGTATCCCCTGCAGGGAATTCCAACAATTATAATTCAGTATCCGTTCTAGCTTCCAACTTCCTTTCTCAAAAGAGTTGAACGTTCTAGCTTCTCAAAAGAGAAGCTCCAGGCTGTGGATGCGCGCACCAGCGTCGTTTTGATTTTTCAATTATTTTTGTGTTCATTCTCTTTGATACCACTTGGCAATGCGTTTTGCACTCAGCATCAGCGCCAGCAAACTTCTGTCTGTGGGATCGATTTAGAAGCGTCAGTCTTGTAGATTGGGTAGAACTTTTTTTGAGAACAACGAACCAAGAGTGCGAGCAAACAAAGAAATGCGTTGCTAGTCAGCACTTTTGCACTTTTTTGACCTGTCTCAAAGATGAACTACTGCAGGACGGAGAGTTAGTAATACCGAGTAGTTGTTGTGTTGAACCGAGGGGCAGATTTCTGTTGTTTCATCATGGAAAAAAAGCTGATCTCTCTTGTCTGAGAATCAAAGCGTTTTGCTCTAGTATCGCTCCAAACATTGTCGTCGGTTTTCCGCTAATGTTGAGGAAGTGTCGCCGGTTTTCGTATCGAGGAAACAACAAAGTGGCAAAAGCAATTTTGTGAAACATACTTATTCGGATTTACCCTAGGTTGATTGTGTTAGAGTCGTACTTGCTCGATTTGAGTACTGATTCGTCTCCCGCATTTGGTCTCGTTTGTGTCTGATTTCACTTTCGAGCGCCCTGTTGTTGTTGGCATCTTGTACTAGCTACATACAATTAGTACACAAGAGTCGTCCTCGTTTTGTTTTCGAGTTGTTCTCGCGTCTTTTTCGTTTCTGTTTTCGTTTTGATATGAATTTTTTTCAAATAATGCCAACCACAAATATTATAAATCGGCGTCTCTTCAAACAATCACTCTCGCTCACTGTAAGGAAATTCAATCATGATCTTATGAACTGCATTTTCATCTGAAAATAGGGAAGGACGCAAGGGCTTGAAGGAAAGGATGAGAGTTGATCACATGTCGTCATTGGTTCTCAGTTGGGATTTGACGGCTCGATGATCCAAGCCCTATTGTCCGAGAGCCTGCCTGGGCCCATTACGCTGGTACTCATTTTTTCCAATAACGTAAATGCCTTGTTTTTGTTTTTCCGTTATCCCTATAAGCTTTAACAAGAAACATTTACATACTATTTTATATTGATTGCTGCCTTATGCTCATCCTTGTCGCACCTTGTTAAAAATCTAGTTTGATACCAGAGGTTCGCCTTGAATGCTTATGGCGAGTCAATGGTCACATTTACAGGCGGCTGCTCAGCAGGAGGATGCATGGTGCCTGGCGCGAGACCATGGAGTGGTCTAGTTTCCTGGTTTCGGGCACAGATGATGGTTTGCTCAGCTTTGTGCTGCGACAATCGGGAGCTTCCTACAACGAGGGAGGACCGTATGAGCATCTGAGGCATAACGGTAGAAATCATCATGGTGGAAAGATCTTGTCTAATTATATCCACCACCTTCCACATGTGTTTTTCGATTTTTACCTTCAGATCGATTTTTAGTCTACAAGATAGTACGGGGAAATAATAGAAGTTGTACAGGAGCATTGACAAACTACCGCATGCGTTTCTACTTACGTATCGTAAGTATAACTGGAACAATCGCTACATGAATTAATTGACAACAACTACAGACGGTCAAGTCGCATGCTTCGGATGCTCTGATTGTCTGGGGGACGTGCTGGATGTGGTTGCGGATCACTGTCGAAGTCGCATTTTTTTCTCAAGGGATCCTGTTGAGGTTGCACTTTTTTCTGAGACTGGTGAGTTTGTTAAGGCTGGTCGATCACTCTGTCTAGTGTAGTGGCTTAGTAAGTACTATCCGGCGTACCTCTAGAGGTTATTTCTCTTTGAAAAAAAGTCAAGCGACTTTGAACAAAAGAAAAGCACTCAACGAAATAGATATATTTGTAGTTGACTGGCCTTAAGCTTGCACATGGGACTCCGTTGGACGGCGGTGTAGAGGTATTTCGACGTGCGACATTCCTTCGAGTCGAAGCACCAACACGCCAGCTCAACATGGCAGTGCACGTTGTCCCAGAACCACCACCACCCAGTACTACAAAAAGTTCGACTCGGGAATTTATTGTTCTTCCCAAGTTGTAGACTTTATGTTGTAATCCTGAACCAACAGCAAGAAGTTCCAGTGCCCCTAACAGCTTTTCGAGAAAATGATGATCATGATAAGCACCGAACTGTTTATTTTTGTGGCGCTGTCCTTCGTGGAGAACATCATTGAAGATATGTTGAACACACGCTAATTAGGTCAATTTGTCGATGGGTATCCAGCGGAGGAGTCGGATGGAGCGGTGGAATTCGGAGGACCGAAGATTGGAGCTTATCAGCAAGTGGCTGTTGCCCAGGAACAAAAACCTTATCACCATCAGTTTGGTGGACCTTTACTAGACTCGGCACGAGGTAGGGTTCCTCCATTAAGGCTTATTCCCCTGTACTAAGTAGTCTTCCGTTTTGATTGGAAAGCATCTTCAAGTTTTCTCAAAGAAGGAAAGCAGGATAGTCAAAGTGTTCCCGTCAAAACGGGAGATGATGTTGGTGAACGCTAATTCCAGGTATGAACGGAGGAGTTCCGCAAAGGTACGAGCAGTATAACTTCGAAGCTACGCCGGACACCGGAGTGCCTATAGAAACACCACCGGGAGGGAAGGGGCAGCAACAGCACATTATGGATCAGGGCGGCAGCAGTAGTTCTTCTTCTTATGTGCACCATCCGACACCGCAGGAGTACGGCATGTCGGGAGGAGCGGGAGGTGGTTTTAGTCAACACCTACCGCCTCTACCAGCGGGTCCTCACGTTTCTGCGATGTCCATGATGTCGGGAATGCAAACCGTAGTCTTCTATTTTACCATTCTTTAGGTTTGGTGAAACTGCTATATTTGCATTTGCAAAGTGTCGATAACTATGCTTTTCATTACAGTCTTTTGGCTTAAAGAAATAGTCACTCATGTAGCTATCCATACTTGTCGTACTAGGTAGTGCTGATTGCTGATGAGAAGTTTTCATAAAATTTTTTTCCTTTAGCCGCCGCCGCCCCCGCCACCAGACGAAGATCCAGAAGATGTCACACCACCGCCACCGCCTTTATGGGAAGACTACACACCAGAGAGCGGTGTCGACGAGCCTGGTTTTTCCGTTCCGGCTGCAATCGGTGGCACTGCGACAGGGCTGACGGGGACGGCTTCGTCCGTTCCTGCGGCTATCGGTGGAACGGCCACAGGACTGACATCACGGAGTATGCATCACTTGGGTGCTCCGCCTAGTAGCAGTGGTCTGCCCAGCGGTGGCGCTGGGCAGTTGCAGTCTGGAGGTGCCACATCAAGTAGTGTTGTGGGATCTCGAGGAAGAGCAGGTGTTCACGGCGTACCTGCTGTGCCGCCTCCTCAGTTTGGAGGGCAAAGTGGAGGTGCAGCTTCATCTGGTCATTTTCACGCACCGGGAACGCAGATGGTGCATCAGGTACCGGTTGGGGCAGCCAGCAGCAGCACAGGTGGTATGTTAAACGGAGCGTCTGTCGGCGGATCGCACGGGAAAGGAGGATCCATGGTACATCAGAATGCGGGCCCGAGCGGGCCGAGCTACGGTGGGAAGCTAGGCTTGGCGCCCGTCAGCAAGACAGTGTCGTCGTCGGTTTATGGTGCGTTCAATGGGAATTCTAGCAGCACTGGCGCAATGGGGGGCAGCGTGAACGGCTTTGCGGGCACAGGCACTGGTGGTGGGGTTAACACCGGTAGAGGAGGTGGAATGATGGGCGCAATGCCACAAGAACAAGGTGCCATGTCTCAACATATGCCGCCAAACACGAATGCAGGAAGCCAACAGCCGCCGTCGACGATCAACTATAGTGCGATGAACGCTGGCGGTGCATTGTCCAGCAATGGGGCTGGAGGCAATCCTTCCATGGCGCCATATGCACAACAACAGCACATGATGAACAACAGGGGAGCGGGACCAACATCACAGTTTGCGATGGATCAGTATCGGAGTGGCGGGAGTGCAAGTTCCACGATGCAGCATCAACAGCCGCAGCAGATGGGTGGCAGTGCAGGCAGTGTTCCCACAGTAGCTAACGGCAGCATGAACGGTGCTTCGATGTCAAAGGGCAGCGGCAAGTCTTTCGGGGGGAACGGGAAGGGAAGTGTTGGCATGGGCGGCGACATGTACCCTGGTAGTTTTGGTAATACTGCAGGAGGTCCTGCTCAGCACAATACGACTGGTAGTGGCGCTCCGGGGGGACCAGCGGGAAGAGGCAGTGGTGGTGGATACGCGCCCTATGTCCCACCTGGTAATGTCCCTGGAGTTGTGTCACACTCACAGCAACCCTCACCACCGGCGCCGCCCTTCACTACAATGGGGGCTCCGAGTCGAAGCGTAGGACCCACGCGAAGCGGAAGTCCAATGTCCCAATCACCACGTGCGGGTGACGGTCGCAGCATTAAGGGTAGCGGATTCGGTCGTGAGCGTGGCCATGCGAACCCAGGAGGCGGTATATCGCATGTGTATAGCAGTTTCGGAGGGGCAACGCCAGCACTACAACAAGCCCCGCATCATGATCATGTTCCGGCGGAAGCGCCAAGCGCGGCTGCAACGGGAGCAACTGCGTCTTCTGCACAGGCTGTTTCTGGTATGAATATGTATATGGACCGGCCTCAACATGCGTTGGTTGGGGGACAGCCGCTAGTGGATCAGCAACAGCAGCCGCACTACTACGCCCAGCAAAGTGTGCCACCTGGGACACATGGGGCTGGGTTGCCGGGTAGCGTGACGGAGAGACAGGACTTGAGCATTGATCAGCAACACGGAAGCGCCGCGCTCTATCATCCCAGCAACATGGTACCACAGCACGATGGGACGACGATGCTGTACACGGGTGGAAATGTATCCGAACACGAACATCAGACAGCTCCGTGGCCAAGTGGGCCGAGCGCGCCAGCCATGGGGATCCAGACAGGGGACGCGGACGGTGTGTGGGGACGTATACCGCCACCCACTCAGCCGCCTGGCATCTACGGCGTGAGCGGGACGCCACCTAGTGCTTCGGTGGGAATGCTACACCAGCCGGGTAGCGCGCAGTTGATGAGCCACTCCTTTGTTCCTCAGGGAGGGGCGGCAGGCGAGCCACCCTTCGGGGCCGTCGTCTCCTCAGGAGTAGCAAGCAGAGCGCAAAGTTCGCAGGGCGGAGGAGGCAGTAACGTCGCGGGTGCAGCCCCAGTTGTAGAGTGGCCAGCAATCGATGGAAATGGAAGCACAGGGATATATGCGAATCCTTTGACCAAACCGACGAATACGGGGGTAGCAGGAAGTAGCACAATGCCAGTTGCTGGAGCACGTCCAGCAAACCGACCAGCACCACCTCTGGCGCCACCTCCGGAGGCGCCCGCTTCCTACTACCAGAAGTTGCAGGCGGGCGGGGCAAACGGAATGCAAAGTGTGCAATACAAAGGCAGCGTCGTAGCTATGAACTCAGCGCGGGGCATGAGAAAAGAGTCCGATTTTCAAAATCGGAGAGGCGCGGCAGATTTTTCTGCCGATATATCGGAGAAGAATTTGCTTGAAATTTCCGATGACGGTATTTAATGATACTGAAGTAACAAAGCAATTCTAACTTTTAGTTTTGTTTTATCAAAATCAATCTGATCTTCATCAATCGGAGGCCTGTAAGTGAAAGTGAACTCATATTATCATGAATGAAAATCAACAAGGTCATCTGGGCGAGCGCGTAATTTTCCATCCGATGCCGTTGATGGACGTGACAAATGTGACGACGTCATATCCTTCATCCGGCACGCATCCAGAGGACGACAGCACTCGCCGCGACACGGGATCGCCGTATAGTAGGGAAACTCCCTTCCGAGGAGCCACTCCGGAGCTGTTCGTTGGTGGGCAGCATCACCATAACCCAGGAGCTGCTGCAATTATGACCTCATCTTCGGGAGAGCCGCATCACCAGAGAGCCGCATCACAGCGCAGAGACAGGTTTGCGATTCGTGATCCGAGCACCGGCAAACCGATTTCGATTCAGAGGCCGCTCTCGACGGACACTAGTGCAGAACGCGTGACCACTGCCACCGTGAACATGAATCGCGCAGCGAAGGAGTTTACGCCAGGGTCCGCGTACTCAAACAGTGCAGGCAATCTGTTCTCCTCGTGGGAGAGTGACGGCACGAGGCACACAACGGATCAGTCGAACGCACACGATCGAGACGGGGAAGATCGATCAAGAGCGGGGCGGAGTTCGAGTCTTGACAACGGTCGGAGAATTCGAGAATTCACTCCGGGTGCTTTGTATCACGGTCGGCCACCACATGCTGCAGGCGAACTCAGTGCCGGCGGTGCAATGAGCTACCCTCCAGCAAGAAGTACCAAACAAATTCCTTTTAGTTCTTTTGAGATTTTCTTACTCTTGTAGTTCGACCTATTCCTCTTCTAGCATGATCAAGGAGAGCGAGAGACTACGTACAAAGATATTTTCTGCAAACACAAACTGACAGTGGAAGATTTTCCATACGATAGTCTCATGTGTGGATTTGCCCAAGCAGTGGAGGTTCGTGAAGATTTATACAAGTTCTGGAATGGGCTAGCAGTGCAGAGCTCGGTGAAAAATTCGAAATCGCACTACGAACTACGTTATGACAAAGGAAAGTGAAGTGTACAACTTATACTCATACACAATAAATGTCTGTGAAGCTGGATTTCTTGGGTTACCTCTGCTAGCTGGGTAGAACTCTATAAATAAAGTGTACTCATACTCATTATGCCCGTATTAAAATGACCCAAAGCGGCCACTTGATGCTCTTGCTCCCACGCGCGGCAAGCCTGTGGGGGCGTCTCGATTCATTGAGAGGCAGTCTCTTACTCACAGAAAATAATGCCTACTTTTTAGAGGATGAGCACACTTTTTCCTTTCATATACTTCTGCGAATCGATGGCTTTCTTGATGTACATCGGCTTTTGCACCCAGACGGGCAGGAAGTCTCCTTGCTTCACGCAAATCCAGTTGCGCAGGCACTGCGGGAAATCAAGAGTGTTTGCGAAAAACAGTGGCAAGTTGAGGGAGTGCAAGTGTCTCTGCTGTCACAGGCTGACCAGGCGGAGGAGCAGTCGGAGATATCAAGCAACGTGCCGGGATCAGCCGCGTTTCGTCTAGCGAAGCATTTGCGAATAGTAGAGCCCAACTCCGGAATCGATCTCTTTGTCCCGACATCGGTATTTTCTGTTCGCAAAAAATCATACTATGGTCTTGAGATTCTAGTACTTTCTCTGTTGTCACTTGAGAGTCTAGAACTGCCTTCAGTTCGTGACATCAAAATGCAACAAAAAGGTTAATGTCCCGGAAATTAGCGCATTCGCACTTGCACCGTGTCGCGTTTTTGTGGGTCGGCCTGTTGTGTGTCGGTTCGCTGTTGGAGGACTACAGGGTGCGACAACACCATTGAACAAAGGGCGACTAAAGTTTGCTTGCAAATTTGCACTAGTATGGGAGCGTCGACTAGCAGATCCAGATACTTGGATCCCTATGGACTTCCAAGAACTAAATGTGTGTATCCCAAGCCCTCATGAGGTTGGCTCTCAGCTGAGATGTAGCGTCTACTTCGAAGATCTGCCTGACCCTCTGGCGGTCTGCACACTAGGTACTACCCTTGATATGAAGTTCTCCTACGTGATGAACTCCGCGTGCCGTCGCAACTCCTCCTTTCATTTTCATCTGGTTGAAGTTTATAATAAATCTATGATGCTCATGCTTCATCTGCATTTGCAAAATACCAAAATATAATTTCTCAGACGCGATCATAGAAGAGGCGCCGTGTGCGTTCTGGAATCGCGGTTGGAGAGAGACAGTGGCCATTACCGACGAGAAGGGGCCACGAAGCACAGATAGTACCGCGACAACCGCGGCGGCAACATCCTCGTCAGTCTCGTCATCCGGGGCCTCACAGAAAGAGCCTGCAGAATTTGACCAAGACCAGTCCATTGGAGCATATCCGACAACTAGTTTAGCGGGCGAGTCACAGGCAGATAGTCGGGAATACGCAAACAGTGCTGGGTCATCGGACACTATGCTGTCTGTAGAGAAGGGAACTTCTAGCGGCGTTGTAAATGACGACGCTCTTAGGCAGGATGTGAAACTGTCGGGCGATTTCGGAGAAGCGCAGAGCGGCACGCGGTCTACGCGGGCTAGTACAGCTGCAGACGATGGAGGTGGTTCGTCTAAATCGAGCACGGTAGCGGAAGTGCCACCCGCGAGTCGGAAGACCGCGGATGCGGCCGCGGCAGTCCTTTCGAGCAGTGTCGTGGGAAAGACGTCAGCCCCCGCGCGAAAAGGAGGGAAAGGCGAGGGTCTCTCGATCAGGATCGACCCGTTGTATGCCTCGTTTGATCCAACACAGCTCGAGCGACGTGCGAACGAAGTGATCACCCCGGAGACGCTATTCGACTTGTCCGCTGTGAAAAGCGACTCAGACAATTCTGAAAAGTATTTTTCTGACTCATCTCTCCTATTTGCATTGTGGGTCTAGTACGATCGAATAGATGACGTTGGGGTGCTGGATAAACATGATACCAAAGTATAGGTCAATTTCTATCATAATAACTTTGTCACTTGCTGATTCAACAGGGCTCTGCCGCTTCACGAGGACAAGCGCGACGTTGCTGAAGCCGCAGACTTCGTGAATTACGAGGAACAAGAACCGCAAATGCTTAGTCAAGTACAACTGCTTCACTATGAGTCAGAGCGATGTGTTTATTGCCGACCTATCCATTTCTGGACTTTCTAGCTATGAACTCATGATCGATGAAAAAGAATGCAAATGCAAATGGTTATGACTTCTCTTTTTTTCAGAATCGCGTGTACCCGACGGTGAGTAGCGATAATCCGCTATTTCTGCGGAGCGCCCATCACGGTTTAGAAAAGCCTCAAGACCCCAGTCAAATCCGAGTAATGTCGTTTAACGTGCTTTGCCCGGAGTATGCGATGAGCAACCTTGCGCGAGAAAGATTGTACCACTACTTATTTCTACTAATTCGGGCTAGCGGCTCCATTTTGTATTCTTCGACCTGAATGTTTTTTCTCATGTTTCTGCAACGCTTTGTCGATTGAACACGACATTTCATGAAGAACTACTATTTCCTTAAAACGAATCTCCCGTAATTGTTCTAGTTTTTACACATACCTCAAGGAAGTAAGATCAAGAAATACGGGTAGTTCATTAAAGAAGATGGAGCCAAAATTAGGCTTTTTGATTTAGATAGTTACTTAATTAACATAATGCTATCCTTTCGTCAGTCGCAGTTCTCTCGTACTCGTCGGCTTGCTTTCGTTTCAATACTTTCGTATTAATCTAGTCGTCTTACTGAGTACTCTGATGCTACCATCGTAATTTCTCACACCTAACCCACATCTACACACACTAAACGAAGAAGGTGCAAGCGCCTGAAACGTGCTGCAGATGCTACGGAGACTTGATGGCAGTCCATCTTACAAATTTACTCCATAGAAGTACTGACTTTGAAACGTCCTAGGTAAATCCCATTAGTTTGGTATGATCCTTTTCGCATTTATTTGAGGTATGCTTCGTGTCCTGAGGAATACTTGAAGACGCGATACCGTTTGCCACACTGTTTGCTTGAGTTGTACCGGGAAGATGCCGATTGCATTTGTCTGCAGGAGGTTTCCGAGGAGTGGTACGAAAGCGGCATAAAGCCCTTGCTTGAGGGGAAGTACATTTGCTTCCACAAAGCGAAGGCTGCAGTAGAAAACAGAGCGTTCTCGGTCACAGAAGGGTGTGCGGTGTTTCTGCGGCGGTCGCGGTTTCGCGTATTGCAAGCGACGCAAATAAGCCTTTCGCAGCGCCTGTGGAAAGACCCTGAGCTGACGGCGAAAGTCGCGGAGCTGGACAGGTTAGCGGGGAACTTGCCTGGAATCAAAAAGGTATCGGATGTGTTGAAACGGGTGAACAGTGTTGCGCAAGTGATTTTGCTCGAGGACTTCGTGGCGAAAGAGCGAGTAATCGTAGCAAACACGCATCTTTTTTCTCCGCCAGCCATGAAGAACGTGCGCATGCTACAAATGCTCACTCTACTAAGGGAAGTAGAGGCACTGGTACGGAAAAGCACGATAGCGGGATCAGCGCAGGTACCATTAGCATGTGGTAGTCGCTCTGTATCAGGGACCCTAGTAGAGCAAACGAAGGGGGTCCTTGTAGGCTGTCGCGGTGGGGGCCTCTCAGCACCCGCGGCGCTCGGGTCGTCAGGTGTTCTAGACGAGAGCGCGATGAGCAGGATCAATGGAGCAGGAGTGGCGACATCCGGAAGTACGAAGGGACAATTGCCAGATTCAGTTGCACACGACGAAAGTGTTATGCGGACCAGTTCTTCCGGTATGCTGCATCACGTCGGGCTGGTCGCGCAGTCAGCAGACGGCACTCAGCAGGCCGAAGAGATTCATGGCGTTGCACCAGCACCAGGGGAGGGGCACCACGACGAGCAGGTGGAAGAAGCAGCAGCAATATCGCAGTTTGCGCACGAGCAATTGCTCCCACCGGGAGTGAAGGATCATCAGATGCTCGGAACTTGGGTTCCGCCGTCGCCGCACAGCACCAGCGCAACCACGCCAGCGAATCTCCAAGGAGCGGATATGGAGCAGCATTACCATTTTGGTGGCCCTTCAACACATGAGGTCGTGAACGTGACCACAAAGCTAGCTCCTGCGCTAGTGGCAACTTCCAACGCTGGAGGAGCGGCTGGAGGAGCTTCGGGGTCTTCGGGTGCCCTCACGCACTTGCCAGCACTGCCACAGCACACTGGTGCGTGCGGTGCCGCGAGTCTGACAACGCCTACGGGGTCCAGCGCGATGCTATTGAGCAGTCACGGCTGCTCAGCATCGCCGCCGATGCTCGGTAGTCCGCCGAGTCTTGCTGCACCTCCGCCACTGAGCCGTACCTCGAGCACACAAACGAGTCCGGCGCCAGCAATTCAGCCGAATAGCAAGCCTCCACGGTTAGTTCTGTGCGGTGATCTCAATGCCGATCCCTGGAGTGGCGTTTGGGAGCTTCTATTGAAAGGCGCGATCCCCGCAAATCACGCCGATTGGTGGCCTTTTGATCCGCCGAAGACGGAAGCTGGGTACTGATGTTTTTCTTTTCTTTTTCTAGACAGGGAGCGACAATGTCGATGTCGATTTAGCAGTAGCATTGATGAACTTCGTCCGTATGTTTTTCTGTAGAAGCTTCGATGAACGTCTAAAAAAATTCAAATCGCAGGTCCGCAGCTACTACTGCGCCGAGTCGTGGCGTCTTGTTGGAGCATGGTTTGGAGTTCCAAGATCCATACGGGGGGTGCTACACAGGGTCTGGGGCTGAAGGAGCTGCCACGTTCGGATGCAATGATCCGGGGAGCGCACGAATTATAGACTACGTTCTTTGCTCGCGAGACTTTAAGACGCAGCGCATTCGAGAGACGGCTCTCAAGATTAAGGCTACATCAAGATATCCATCTTCCCGAGCATCTTGCTCCCGTTTGTAATAAGGGAAAACGGGGACCAAAATGAGCCCGAAGCTGGATATCTCTTAGTTCTAAAAAGAGTGAGCTATGCGGCCCAACTGGAAGCTACCCTTCAGACCACATCTCGATCGCCGTGGAGCTCGGATACAATAACGAAGGCGAAAAGTAGTAAAGGCTGTTGGAGTTGTATTGCAAAACTACTTCGAGAGCAGTAGCAACTGCGGGACCGTTCTTGTCTACAATTTATATTGCTCTTGTTCGCAACTACACAGTGCCCGAGCATTGGAAAATGTGAATGATTCAAACAATTTAATCTAGTTAATTTTTTCAGGTTCGCCGTCGTGGACCATGTTGACCACAGTGAGTCAGGACCAACAATTCAACCTTGAAATGATAATTTTGCGATATTTTGACATCGACACTGCTACCTCGTCCAAGAAAAGATAAGTGATTCCATCGATTTATAGTTTTGTTGCGGCCATTCAATCCACGTTTTCATTAGTTTAAAAGCATCTTCAACAACTGGTGTGGGATCAATCTTTGTTCCTTCTTCCTTGTGTTAGTTTTCTATTGGTCTCTCTTCAGTTACGTTTTTGACAACCAGTCTAGTAGAGAAGCACTAGACTGAAATTACAAAAAGAGGATGTAGAAGAAGTACCATGATCATAACTTCTACAACTACGTCTTCCAAAATATAGATATTCAAGTGATTTACGATTACAGCGGTTCCAGAACATCTTCATCTTCAACAAGGCAATGTATTCTGACAGGGTTCAGCGGTTATTTCAAACAGTACAACAAACCAAGTACAAAGCATACTTACAACATAATTAATCACTCACTTCTTACGTCTTGACGATTCTGACTTGCATGTTTCTCGAATGGAATTATTTCAACAAACAAGTACAACAATCAAAAACAAATTCGGCAAGTACATCAAGACATCAATACAGAGTTGGTCGAGGTAGGTTCTCAGCATCGTTCTTCTTAGAGTTTTTGTTCACCTTTCGTTAATCTTTTTTGGTGAGGCGGCAACCAGCGGCTCCCGTCGAGCTGCGCAGGCCTGTACTAGTACTACAATTACATACACGATATCACATACGTCTTACAACGTTTTTCGAGGTGGAGGTAGCTTCGCAGTTTAAGCAAATAGATGGATTTCTTCATCAACAAGTATTAGGATGTTTTCTTTGGTTCCACATAATAGCATCTGATAACAGAGCACCATGAGCAACATTTTTAAGTAGATCTTTGATGCGGTGAAGCAGCTCCAGCGACATGCGAACGGGTCGTGCGGTTTCGTGTAAGTCTACGTAATTCGTGTCACGGAGGTGGAAGTGGTACGACAAAGACACATGGTGGCCTCGAAAGCGACGAGAAACAATCACCTAAGGACTTACTACAGCATCAGCAACAAGCAGATGAACAAGTCTAAACACCTTCCTTCAGAGGGGTCGTCTTCAGCCGCGCTCCGCTGCAGACTAGGTTGTCGAGTAGCTCTGTACTTACCTTTCGTGAGGATGTCGCACATAGCATTTTAGAATCGGCAGGTTCGTAGGCAATTAGTGCACAGTATTATAAGGAGGTAACCGGACTCCACCTGCCGCCGGTTTGCGAACCGGATAAAGCTGAGGCCGCTCCTTCAGTAGCCCCGGGATACAAAAAAAAAAGCAGCCCAAAAAGCGAGGCTCCCTGAAGTCTAAAATCTAAAAAATCATAGCAGGGCAGCTGCTCCTCAGCGCAAAACTGTTCGCGCCCTCTCTCTTCTTTCGCGCAGCACTTCTTGTAAGGATCATCCCCGACAAAATAAATTGGCACAGCAGATTTTTACTAGATAATTAATCACTTCTCTGACTGAAGCACGACGAGGGCTCTTTCTGGTAAAGAGAGTGGGTGGCCCACCGGAAGGCTAAACGGACGCCCCAGAGCTCCGAGCCTACAAGATGCCAGCGCCCCCCTTTACTTAGTGGCGCTCTCCTCTTGTGGAACTCATCTTGTGCCACGCACTCTGTCACGCTCCAACCCCGAGCATACGCTCCGAAGCAGAACAATACCGGGAAACATGGCCAGGCTATGCGTGACGCGCGTCACGCTCTGGCAGAACAATACCGGAAAACACTGCCCGGCCAGGCGTGACGCGCGTCACTCTCCAAAGCAGGACAATGCCGGGAAACATGACTTGGCTACGCGTGACGCGCGTCACAATTCCAAGCAGAACAAGACGGCGAGACGTGGCCCACCTGTGCGCCCGCCAAGCCATCCGCCTGGCCCTTACTTGGATGATTTTGCCTTGATATGGATGTTCTTGTCTGGGTGTTCTTGCCTGGGTGTTCTTGTCTGGGCGTTCTTGTTGCGGTGTCCTTGTCTGGGTGTTCTTGTCTGTATGTTCTTGCCTCGATGCTCTTGCCTGGATATTCTTGCCTGGGTGTTCTTGGCTGGATGTTCTTGCCCCGATGTTCTTGTCTGGATGTTCTTGCCTGCGTCGCTGCCGTCTCTCTAGCACTGGGAGGCGCCCGCTCTTTCTGCGTCGTTCTTGTGTGTGTCTCTCTCTCTTGGTCTTTCCTTTGTGTCGCTACTGAGTCCGCGCAAGACAAGTTTGAGCGCAGAATTATGAGGCTGCGGTGCTCTCGTAGTCATCAGCTTCCAGCCTCACTACCCTAGCCAAGACCCTCAGAAGCTTCTCGCTCCACATAGAGGGACACCGCTGGAGGCCATTGGCTCACAAGTCACCCGAGGCTCTTGCTGCGTCAGTCTCACGCGCACACAGACCGCCCTAATGCTCTCGCTGCGTCACGCTCCTCCAGACGTAGATCCCCGCGCAAAGTTCTAGTCGCGTCATGCTCTTCCGCGCGCTTCTGTTGACCCTTCGCGCACCGAGGTTCTGATCATCACTTGAGGCGTCACGCGTCGCGCGGGGGCCCTGGGGCGTTCGTTTTGTCTTACGGTGGCCCACCTCTAAGATGCGGGTCCTGTTAATAGATTTAATGTGTTTTGTTTATAGATGATGGGTTGCAATGATAGATTTTGTAATGCTTCTATTTGTGTAATCGAGGGGGATCGTAGTAAAGATGGAAAATAATCTCCATCGTCCCTGGAAGAAGAGGCATGATGATGGATTTGATATGCTAAAAGTCGGCCCGAAAGCACTGGGCAGGTAGACACGCAGTATCTCTTCTGAAGGTTGATCACCACCAGAACACCACTAGTAGCTAAATCAAGTCGCACATATTCAATTGTATCAAGCCGAATTTTTTTCCTAGTTCGTTAGCGATATGAGAAACTAACAGGTGATCCACAAAAAAGAAGAAGATTTGAAAAACAAATTTGAACCAGGAGATGAAGAGAGGTGTTGAACGAGTTCTGCCTCAGATTTCGAATTTAATGTATCCACCAAGACGACGACCTGAAGCTGTTGTAAATGACAATGGTAGAGCCAACTTTTCACCGACATGATGACGATATCCGGAAGAAAGCATTCCCATGATGAATGAGAAATTTCAACATGACGATGATGACGACTTGCTCGGCACATTCATTTCTTTCTCTCGATATTCTTTTATGAGTGACATCGACCGTGGAGGAAACGATGTCCGCAGAGCATCTTGGCGAAATCTTTTTTTCGTCTGTTTCTGCAGGCACGACGGGCAATGTGCTTGTCCGTTTTCAAAGGATCTCATGTGTTGGTGAAATCTTTTGAGCGTAAAAAGATCCCATCTCGGAGAAAATCTGTGTGTTAACGGATAAGCCAGCTCGAAGTAAGAAGTGAAAAGTGAGTAGAGGTGACGATGAATCTGTGCTTTTCTTGGGCATGCAAAAACTGTCATCTGCACCACTTACGGGCAACTCCACTGAGAGCAAGACCAAGAAAAACATTTTTGAATATCTATACTCAGCATCTGTTCCAACGAGTATGAAGATTCTGTCACAGGAAGAGCGATCGTCAGCAAGAAAGCATCTGTTGCAAAGGAACCGAACCGTCTCATCGGGGAGAAGCGAGTTTGAGTACGATAGATCAATTGATCATTGGAGACGATGAGCAGGAGATGCGAGTACAAGTACTCGCGGATGGGTATTACCCTTCTTGGATGTTCTTGCAGTAGGTATTGGATGAGAGTATCAGAACTCCTCAAGTGACCGGCGGAGATGAAAAAGGTGATATGCATTTGAACTCGTTGAGGCCACGCTATAGTAGCCTTGATAGACTTGACATCGTGAGTGTGAGTGTGAGTTTCGTGTGTGTTATTATTTGAACAACACGTACAGGATTCATCTGATTCTGTGTGTGAGACCGAATTTGTCTGGCTATGATATGAGCGGAGTGGCAGATATATCTATGACCGAAGAACAGAGCTTCGATGACGTCGTTGTTCATATATCAATGAAGATGTTCGTGATTGCGAATTCGATGTTGTAACTCATTTCCACAATTCCAATATCGCAGTCGCACACGAGATATCCATTTTGAAAATCCCATCCGCTCAATTTCGTAATTTTTGCGATATTATCCTTCATCTTCCTTCAACATTGATTTTCCTATATTACTTCTGCCGGAGTTTTGTTAACCAGGTTGTTCTCATTTTTATCGCGTATTAACCAGGTTGTTCTCATTTTTATCGCGTATAAATTTGAGAATCGAGTAGTAGTATAGATATCCTCACGATTCGAATCTATTTATATCCAAAAATCACCGTAATTATAATTTGACGCCCACGCGCGAATTACACCATTTTTAAGAGACGTATCTAAATTCTAAGAGTCATACACTGAGAAGATTAAACCGATCCATTCCCGCACTCTTTGGCAAGGACTCCCCGTTCGAATCGCTTGTTCGTGTAGATAAAATTCGAAAAAATTCTTTTAAGTAGTCGTAACAAGTGAAATATATTGAACGCTCGTAAAATACATCATTGTTCTATCCCCCCTGCCTTAGTTGTCTGTTGTTGACTATGTCTATCGTATGCGCAAGTAGGAATGATATGATCCAAGAATTATAATGTCGAAAATTTTGCGCTTGAAGAACCAAGCGAAGCCGTGAGTACATAACGAATCGCAGGTCTGTAGAGCGGCGCTCCTTTCTCTTACCTTCAAGCACCTGCTGGTGTGGTGCGCTACCCCTGGTTACAAGATTGTTCGCAAGCACGCCGTGCTTGTCGTGACTAAAGAAGTACAACTTGCTACCTCGTCCCCTACACGACCGAACATCTTCAACGTTTTCGATCAAATCATAAAAAACAAGAAGCAACATCAACATCTTCAACAAGGAGAAAATAGAAACGAAGGAGCAGAACCTCTTCCAACGCCAAAATGACGGCCTTCGACTTCGCAGCTTACGTCGCTTCGGCGGTGACCGTGACCGTGACAAAGCCACCGAGGATATGCAAGGCTGGTGGTTCCGGTATCGTTTTGCCCTTCTCCGACACGGAGCATGAGGACATCAGCCACGGCGTGCGAGCCGTGATCTATCTCTTTGTGCTGGGCTGGCTCTTCATGGGAGTTGCCATCTCCTCCGACGTCTTCATGAGCGGCATTTTAAGGCTTGTTCCAAAAAGTAAATCCATCTTTTCGAAATCGCATCCTGGGATCTCTTACTTTGATAAATTCATGGGGAAAACTATGTCTTATAACAAGATCTTATTGATTCTAGGATACTTACTACATCAGGTCAAGATGTGATTTGCTTTCTTGAGTCTAGCGGGGGAAACACAAGATGGTTTAGTAAAGGAAAGACTTTTTTAGGGAACAACAACAACTCCGTCTAGAGACTAATGATACCACACTTCTAATCTTTGAGAAGATCACCTCGCAGAAAAAACGCGTGAAGCATCCGACAGATTCCAACCGCATGGTCACAGTCCTTATCTGGAATGACACTGTTGCCAACCTCACCCTCATGGCTTTCGGATCTTCGACCCCGGAAATCCTGCTCTCCATCATCGAGCTCGTCAGTAATGATTAACACAAACTACATTGTTTTTTTACTACAATATTTTTTTTTGATGCTGTTTTATTCCGGTGTTACTCCTCTTTCCTCAATTCGGTATTTTCACTACTCCATCAACTTCTTATTCTTAAGTCACATCGTTTATTTTCGTTCTCATAGCTAGGTCCAAGGGTACTCTTTAATGACAGAGCTACTATCATATCATCGGTTGATTATCCCTCGTCTTATTTCTTTGAACGTTTTAATAGTAGAGCTATTCATTGCTCATACTAAATGATCCCTGATATTGACATAGATATTGATGTGCTTTTCGCAGGACGGAGAAGGCTTGTTCTACGATTACATTTTGTACGATTGCATATGTAGTCATACTCACCAAAACAAGGCTAATGAGTCCATCTTGTCTGCAAGGAAAAAGTAGGATAGAAACCAGTTTTCGCCATCACTTTCAAGAATATCTTGTCGTTTATTCGTCCTTCTGTTTTTTCCCTTAGTTTTTAGATTCCACACTCGACAATGACATTAATTCTATAAAGGTGCTGTTGCATTGTGTAAGTGATGAATATTTATTTATTCGATGCTCCTTCTTTACATTCTTACTCCTTCGAAATACTGATCTTAGAAAGTCCTAGGTCCATCTTATTATTTATTCGATGCTTTGATCCTCTGGAACTCTACAACTTGGTCGTAAGTGAGCTCACTACTATCCTACCCTACCCTACCCTACCCTACCCTACCCTATCCTATCCTATCCTATCCTATCCTATCCTATCCTATCCTACATTCACCTCCACCAGGTAAGGACTTTTACACGGGTGAACTCGGTGCGAACACCATTGTCGGCAGTGCGTCGTTCAACTTGCTCCTAATTATCGGGTTGTGCATTTCCGTCATCGGAAGCCACGAGGTCCGGTACTTCTTTTCGTCCTCGCGTAGCATATCAGACTTTGTTAAAAGTTTGAAGAAGACAGCCAAGAAGTGCATCAGTTTTCAGACATCATCAAACAAAAATTTTCTGTTGCACATACTTTCTTATATTAAGCCCACCACGACATTAGATTTCTACACGACATGATAGATTGGAGATTGCATTTGAAGTTGATGTCACCTCAAAAAACTAAAATGCAACACTCTCTCAACTACAGAATGATCAAGGATATGACGGTGTATGGAATCACGGCGTTTTTCGCGATCTTTTCGTACCTGTGGTTGTACTTCGTCCTGCAAATCGTTACCCCGAACCGAGTCGACATTTGGGAAGGTGATTTTTTCTTACATTCATTTATTGAAAATGTATTCCTCTCCGGTTATTCTTGGGGGGGGTTGGTTAGACTAGATTGGTGGCTGTCTTGCCTGTGTCATTGGTTTTGGAGTTGTGACCCTTCACCTTTTGAGTTGATGACTATAATCCTGCTACGCCCACCATAATGTTTTGTCGACCAAAAAAGAGTGATTCTGAAAATATAACTTTAACTTTTTAGGTATTGTTACGTTCTTCATGTTCCCGGGACTGGTGTGGGTTTGCTACCTGGCCGACAAGGGCTATTTCTCCAAGGACCGGGATGAGGTCGTCACCGAACGCGTTACCTATACCGGTATCAGCGAGGAGGAAATCGGAGAGTACGCTGATCGCATCCGCAAGAAATTTGGCAAGGATATGCCGGACGAGACCGTGTTGAAACTCCTCGAGACCGAACTCAAACCCAAAAAGACCCGCGCTACTTACAGGTACTCTATATGGAGGTTCTTCCAGCAAGACCTCGGCAAGTCACTGCATCATAGTTCTTCATATCTATGATGTCTCTAGTGCGCTTCTACTAGCAATTTGAAGTTCATCTGTACGAACTAGTTCTTCATCTAATTCGTGGATGTTGATCACTCAAGCAACATCACAAAAAGAATTCATGAAAAGAAAAGCAATTGATGTTAAAAAGAACACCAAGACTTCTCTTTCACCTTCTCTTGATCATACAGAGGCGAAGAATGAAAAAAATCGTTGAGAATCAAATATGCGAATCTTATCGAGAGAACGCTAAGAATCAATCACCTTGTTTTGATCCACACAGTCGCTCTTCCCATTTCTCCAGGTCCGAAGCAATCAAGGGCATGACGTCAAGGCACAAAAGCAAGGAAGGTGAGGTTGATTCCAATAGCAAGGCCAACGAGATGCCTCATGTGTATTGGGACGTCCCGGACAACGAGTTCGTCTGCCTTGAGTGCGCAGGCACGATAGAGATCCCTGTGCGTTGCGTCAGCAGCACCAAGAAGGTACCAGCGTTGTTTTACAGCGTCTTTGTTTTATTTTCTCAATCAGAAGTATCATAGGAGAACGGGTAGTTCAATGGGAAGTCAACTACAACCTTTTGAGGAGTGCTGATCAGGGAGCATCACCATCACCACATGTCCGGTTTCCGTTTATACAGAATAGGAAAAGAACAAAATTCATTCCGCTCCTTCGTTGCTGATTTTTTTTTGGGACGTTTAGTGCTCTGAAATTCTCAAAAATGTTCCATGAAATTTACCACCCAGGCCGCTTTGTACTACGAGACTCGTGATGGCACAGGCAAGCACCAGACGGAATACATCGCTACGAAAGGAAAGCTCGAGTTTGAACCTGGTGTCGGCGAAGTTACCCACATGGTGAAAGTCGATATCGTCGATGACGAGATCGTCGAAGACGACATGGACTTCTACATTGATTTGTTCCCGGTTGACAAGAGCTGCGAGATCTTGTATCTATGAATACAACTCTTGATCTTTGATAGAGAAACTAGTTGTTCTTGTACTAGCTTAGATTGTAGATGACAGTCAACTGATGTTACTCACGCTTGCCCGAGGATCTACTCCTGTGTCTTACCACTTCCAAAACAGCGGCCCAACGCTCCACGTGACGATTCTGGACGATGACTTCCCAGGCTTTCTGCAATTTGAGCACGAGGAGGTGCATATCGGACATGACGCCAGCGAGGTTGAGGTCCGTATCCAACGAAGACGTGGTGGTTCAGGCGAACTCACTTGCAAGATTCACTCCGAGGAAGGAAAGGCAAAGGACCTTGTCGACTTCGAACCTCTCGAGGAAGAAGAACTTACCTTCGCTGATGGGGTACAACTTCTTCTGCAAGAAGAAGAATTTTTAATTTTTTCTAGCTTCCTAGAATCAGTATTTACAATTCTACCTGTTGATCTTCACACCAAAGGTTGTCACATAAAGAAAACTACATTCAACGTCGTCTTTTTACCTTGTATGTTGGTTTGTATTGATGCGCTCCGGGCAACGCGTACGATCTCGCTGGCTTTCTTTGTGCTTTGTGTGTTTTGTGCTATGGTCGCCGGTGCGACTATGGGGCGTTTAGCTTTGCTTGTCGCGCGATGATTTTTTTACTTCTTTCATACTCTTTTTACTTCTTTATCCAAAATAACAGTACAAGTACTTGAAGACCACCCAGACTGACGCACTACAGGCGGACTCGAGTGATATTTTTAAGGAATATCCGTAAAATAACAGGAAATCGAAAAGACGGTGACCGTATCCCTTCGTCCATCGGCAGCACGCGCCCGCGCAGGCTTTGAGTTTCGTTTGCTCCTCACAGACGGATCGTTCAACCCTGACACAGATGGAGGCGAGGATACTTGTAAGGATTTCTAGCATGTTGATTTTTGAGCATGGCCTCTTTCTTCTAATTCACTATTTCTTGAACCTCTACCACTTCTCTTAGCACTTATAATGAATCTACTTTGAAAAAGTCATTATGTCAGGTATTTGCACCCTGACCTTCAAGGCTGCAGGAGAGGGTGAGACAGATATGTTGAAAAAGGCCCGTACGCGCCTCATATCGAACTGGGACCGTGCAGTTATTGGAAGCAGCAGCTACACTTCGCAATTCGTTTCAGCAATCTACTGTACTATGTATGATTTAGAAATGTAGTCATTTGTAAAACGCAATTTCTTGATCAGAGTAAAACACGACTGAAAGATGTTTCATACTACTAAGAGGTAGTAAACAAGCAACTTTTAGAATTTACTGTAAGTGGATTTTCTAAACTTCTTGGTCCTCATGATTCTTGATTTATTTATGTAGCACAGGAAAGTAAAGGGGAACAAAAAGATGCATTGCAAGAACTGTCGTCTTTCGCAAAAATCAAAATCTTCTCCATCTTCTCCACCTTGAGTTTCTCCACTTTTACCCACCAGGGACATTTACCTGTACAACCTTCTTACGTTTTCCTCCTACTCTTACACCTTCTTACCTATGCACCTTCACGACCTCCTTGTTCTTACAATACTTACACCCTTCGCGGTCGGTCAATTTTCCCTCGTATTTTTCCCTTTCTGATACACATAGGCGGCGGCTCTCCGGAAGAGCAGGCAGAGGCATCGGCACTAGACATGGTTTTTCATGTCCTGTCAGTTCCATGGAATTTGATGTGCGCATGTGCGCCACCACCTACCTATGGTAATGGTTGGGCCACTTTTTATGGTGCGTTGCTCATCATTTGCATTCAGACCGCTATTGTCGCTGACGTGGCGGAAATGGTCGGTTGCAATCTGGATATCCCGGACATGGTCACGGCGATCACTTTGGGTATATATTTTATCACTTTTACTCTCATATTGATCACTCTGATAGTGAAGAAAAACTAAAACCCTCCAGTTGTTATTGAGTAGGATATTACGTAGGATGAGGAATGAAGTGAAATTATGAAAAAAGAGAGTGTAGTGATGGTTGCAAGAGTTGTGATGTTGAGTACTTATGCAGATTTCTTAACGTTGCTTCTCGTATCTTCTTTTTTGAGGACACAGGAATGCATCGCATAGTCTCGGCGCTGGTATGCTAGCCAGTGTTAGACTCCATGGAATGGAATTTGTCTCGATTGGCATTACACGTAGAGCATGTTCTTGTTACGCATGAAGATCATGAGTGATCCCACGATGTCTCGCGTTTTACGCGAGGATTGATCTTCATGCGCAACACTATAGAAACAGTAGATTTTTACTGCCACAGATTTTTGTTTTCTGCTTTGTAGTGCTAAGCAAGGTGTTATCGCTTGCCATTTCGCGCATTTTCACCTCCACTCAGTTGCGTTGGGAACCTCGCTTCCGGATACATTCGCAAGCCGAACGGCTGCGTTGCAGGACGAGTATGCGGATTCGTCGGTGACAAACGTCACGGGATCTAACTCCGTCAACGTTTTCGTCGGTTTGGGAGTTCCATGGACGATGGGTGCTATCTACTGGGCCGTAGAAGGTATTTCCATTTTTTTCATAAGCAATTGCAATCGAGCTTAACACTAATAAGCAGATAGATGTCAGCTTCGCTTTCTCCTACATCTTTGAGTTTCTCGTTTTCTATAGTACTGATAAAATTTGAACTGCTCCTGCCGAAAGCGGAGCTGGCTAGCACAAGGAGTAAGGAGTAGTTGGCAATGAATTTCGATGAAAGTAGGAAGAGTTTCTCTACTTGGAAGATTCAGTCATCTGCAAGTGCTCGTTGGTATCAACATTATTACAACGAACTACAGGTAAGACGTGCGAGTACATGCAGAAAATCGCTGTCGTGAAGGGTGGTTTGGATATCTTGAAGAATGATGCTCCGGACGGCGGTCTAATTCATTACGGTGAGGATTTGGGCTCCTCCGTGGTCGTGTACTCATGCTGTGCCATCGTTGCGATTGGTACCTATTGATTCGTCGAATTTTTTGCATTGACTCATCATTGATTCACCTAATTCGACTCAGAAGTGGCATTTCAGCACGAAATAAATAGGATCGCATCTTGCAATAACTACTGCGAGATCCTCTAGCCTACAACTAGTACCACTAGAGACGCGATGAGGATGATGAGGAACAACGAACATGCTTGAAATTACCTTTGAATCCAGGTGTCCTGTACTACCGGCGGGTCAAGGTCGGAGGTGAGTTTGGTGGACCCGCTAGCCTTAAGTGGGGAGCGTCCTTGCTCTTCGTCGCACTCTGGGCAACCTACATAGTGATTTCATCCATAATATCTATCCAGAGTGAGAATGACAGACCCGCGATCAAAATTCCTGGTGGCCTTGCTGCTCTGTGCAGCTCGAACAGCCAGGTCGCGGCCCACGCGCTCACGCGCTAATGACTAGGCGCAACTTTATCGAAAAGGAAGACTTATTTGTTATAGTTAGGTACTTAGAGGAGGTTGATATTCTACTTCTAGTGGAATTCTACGTTCTATTTAATATTATATATAGTAGAGCATTTTTGAGAGGTGATTTCTGTTAATCTGTCTAAACTTGCAACGACCAATTAGGAAAGGAATCGTACGATCTACAACGAACTATGTGCTTATTTATTGAAACCTTGAAACATTAGCATGAATGTGTGAAGGTATGCAAGTCTGAAGGTATGCAACTACAAGAACTGCAACACCGCGGCGCTCGTTGCCGTGCCCTTGATGTCATGATTCAGCCATGTACTAAGATAAAGCTGTTGGATGAATGACAATTCAAAACCCTCATAGAAGCTGAGCATGTTGTACACGAGTGCCGAACTGCGCGAGTTGGGATGTCGTACTGTTTAGTGAATTACGTGGGCTAATGATATTACATACTATTATGCAATTTATTAAGAGTTATATGTTGGTAGTACTACTCACAAATCAATGATGAAACGCATTGAAAAAATGAATGATGAAATAATATAATTTTGTCGTGTGGTTGATCCTCATTGGGTGGCCCACGACTGTTTACTTTGAGATACTTACACGGATCGTAGAACTTCAAATCATTACTAAAGCTCGATACGACTATTGTTCTTCACAGAAATTTCAAGAATGAATGTAGGGTTCATATTATTCGTCTAAAACAAGAAGCAGCATCGCAATGCGGCTTCGATTGTCATTAATCTTCCCATATTAGGTATCACCAACAAACAAGTAATTCTACGCTGAGGTTATTTATACATACTCGTGCTTAATTTGACATCTTTTATGTCACTTTTCTGAAACTCCCGCGTTAGATAATTTCCCATGCATTGCATAGATTGTAGAGAAATCTGACGAGACCATTGATACCATATTATAATAATATTAATTATAATGTCATACATGTCGTGTTGATGATTCCTGCCCTGAAAAAAGGCAAGAAAAGGGTGTCTTGAAAATTATTGATGAAGGACCCACAGAATGTGGAGAAAAAGAGTGTTGATGTCGGTGAAGATTTATCCGGGTGGAGCATGGTAGTTTATGGGCTGATTGGAAGTAGATATGATTGCTGTAGAAGAAATGCGATGTCTTTTCTTCTCCGTGCGCCTCGTCGCGGGAGAGCGGGGCAGCTCAAAACACATCAAGAGGGTAAGCTTTATCTACAGGCTTTGCTTTTGAATGGAAGCTAGATTTTGCTTGATGTGTAGTTTGTAGAATCGTTCGGGGGAGTGTTTTACGGGCGAAATTCTTCTATGTAGCTTTTTCAAAACTCAAAGAATACCCTGAGTCCAGGTGATTTTCATGAAAATGAATAAGAAACTAACGTGCATCTTCATCTAGCTGTGAATGAGTGTTAGTTGTAGGCAGATTAATACTGACATTTTATTAAGCGTAAGACTTGGCGCGGCCGCCTTCGTCGTGGGGCTCGACAGGTGGTGTGACGCTGTCATACGAAAGCTGCGGCTCATCCGTGCCTCTTTCCCTCGGACCAGAGACGACCGTTCCCAACTAAGTATCTGCGGGCCCACATTCGTCTGAATAGGAGTATTCTGTAGCGATTCGCTAACTATTAGTGAATGTCAGATAACAACATTTTCTCTAAACAGAAACTCTTGCAGATACGACTGATTGAAGGTAGCGGGAGAAGCAACAAGGACGGTTTGTGTTGTCTAGTGAAGAGTAGAATATGATCGTGTTTGAGGAGGCTTGCCCAGCCACTCAGATGATAACTAGAAGAAATGAAGCAGTCTACAGCTTCTCCTGTGAGGTTACGTACCTGGCACCAATTTTTTACTGACAATCAAGAAAAGGCCATTTGCTCGCGGCAGCTGTGGGTTTATGCATTTCTGAGCTTAATCAATCGAGATTGATTATTTTTATAGAAACAGGACGCCCATGCGGACTCTGTATTTTCATCGAAAAGTCGTCGGTCAGATTGCCAGAGATCTACTTCGTCCTCAACTTACTACACATAAAGAAGTGGGAGCCGATGCCAATAGATATCATTTGGTTCTCTTAATTATCCAGAGGTCAAATCATCCGTAGAAAATCAAGTGAGAAATTCATCAAACAAATTAATGAGTATGATGTTCAGAAACCCCCAAAATTGTTTTCGTTTGTGTTAATAGAATACTTCTGAACTACTGAAAGAAGTAAACAGTTTTGGCACTAGCAAATGCCTTCTTCGAGTTGAAGTTCGTCCGGCGGATTTTTTTCTGTCATATTCGTAACTTGTTAGATGGATTATATTTTCTAGAAACTGGCGAGTCACGCATCCCATTGACGGAAAATCGGTTGCCTGACCCAGGTAACAAAAAAAAACTGAGAGCAGGGTAATTAGATGTTCGTATCGCGAGAAATATCGACCCAGGTCCCAAAAAAAAAAGAGAGCAGGGCGGTAGCGTGACTGAATGAAATAGTGATTGGTGTAAATGTACTTCCGGGAGATCATGAGGGCGGAAGCAAGTAGAAAGTCGTATCAAAAGCCAGTCACCAGTGAAGGCTGCAGCGCAACGGTGTCAGATTTTTGACATCAAAGATCATTCTGCTTTACCACGAGATGAGTCCGTGCTGTGGACTCTGGGTCGTTGGCCATCTATTCAGGATGATCTGAAACACGCAGCGCACTTCTCCCGCTACAGAAGGGGGCAAGAGGACTTGGCTCCTAGCGATTGCTGATACTTCCGTTATTACTCTCTGAAACAAGCGCGCTCGAGCACTAGACGCGACCAGAAACAGTGATATTGAGAAGCGTTACGAGGCAAGCTCCGTTCGTGATACAAACTCCAGGGTCAGCATCAGAGAAGTCTGTCTCTTTCGCGTGGAAGCTCGCCTCAACTGTGAAGGTAGTGACCCACACGAACGAGGTAGCTATGATAAAGAATAGAACGCTTTGGTCACTCTGACGAAGTCCTGAACTTTGCTGTTACAACTAAGTGTGGCTGCTTTATTCAACATGTGACAAATAGAAGGGTGGTTTAATTTTGAAAATGGAAGAAGCAGGAAGATGAACACGCTCGGAAAAAATGTACTGGAAACGAAATAGAATGATCATTGGTAGTCGCATAGTGCTGAAGCCGCATTCGTAAAGTTTGAGTTTGCTTTTGCATAACCAGCATGATTGTCTCTGAGCAGACGCGATAGTGCACACTTTGATTGTTAAAAACGCAGCATGATTTTGTTTCCTCTCTTCATGAACATTTATTGTACATTGTTGTTTTGCGGAGCTAAAAATTGATAGGTAGTACAGCTATTTTTATGTTGATGACACAACCACCACCACGACAACGAACTTACGCATGTTGATAGCTTCTGGACTGATGTCGCACCCGTTTGCGAATGTGTGGCCGTCACACATCAAAGGTCTTGCCAGAAAAAGACGCTATCATGTGCATTTGTCGCAAATTGGAGACATGTAATTGAATAAGGTGATGCGTGTTCCTCCGGCTTGCATCATTATCACACAAACATCAATGAATAGCCGCCTCTGTTTATTTGTCATAATTGTGCTACTCTAGGGCGCCGCAGGCCGCGTTCCTTTGCTATGTCATGGGGTGTCTGCCGTGCCTTGCTTTCATACAAGGAACTACGATTGGGATTGCGTCGGATGTGAAGAGCTGCGTAACCAATGAAAAAACACAGAACGAACGCTGGACAAATACGGCTGGATTCGTGGAATGGCATGCTTTTTTTATGTTTTACCAACACCTCCTATAATGTAAAAAGTGGATTTTCGTCAACACCATCTTCAGGGCACCGGATGATGCAGGTTGACCCTGTGGAAGGCGAGTCAAATCCTATCCTATGCTACTTACAATTTGAAGTAGAGTCTAATGCAACTAATAATGCACCACGACGGCGTCGAAGGATTAGGGTTAATACATAAGTGAAAAACTACAAGGCTGCTGAAAGAACAAAATTCAGAAACGCGCGAAATTACCCGAAAGCGAAACTGTATTGATTAGCATGCGAAGAGAAATGGAAGGATGATTAAATAGATATGGATATGATTGCGAAAAAAAAACAAGGTGGTTTATAGGTATCGAATGAATTGAATGAAAGAGAAGAATTCACCATAGTTGATTCGGGAAATATACAAGGAAATAGAAAGACTTAAGGAAAAGATGACGATGAACTACTAAGTGATTAGTCTCGGCGTCGATTTGCGAAGACATTTCTCAGCGTCCTTCCGAACTACAGGACGAAAAGCACACGCAAAACGCAACAATTTAGAGATAAAGAATGTAGTAAATTGATCCGGGCTTTTCCTTGTTGGGAATAAAAAACGAGCTAGCACACGATGTGCGGTCTAAGTTCTAACTTCTCGGATGTGGTATCTACTGCCTTTAGGATGCACGCAGTGTTCAGTGTACGAGTGTGAATTTTTGTACCCCGTGGTAAGGTCTAAAGACGGAGCATTCACACTCTAAGGAAGGATCTCTATTTTTCTAGGTGATTCACCGAAGCCTGAGGATGAGGAAGAGGAGAGATGAAACTGAATGAGGCAACATTTTTTACCTCATGAACGAGAATGGAGTGATTTAGTGATCTTAGCCCTGCACGATCCGGTGTTGGGAAATGTGCTCACCATCGATAAGGATCAGGATGTACTCCAAACGAGTTAGCGACTAATGACGTGAAGACGGAAGGCATGTTGTTCACTTACACGCTTCTGATCTTCGCGGTAACTGCTGCTACTTATGAAGTTATTAAAAACATTCGGTTGAGGGTATAATAAGTTGTCGGTTGAAGTTGCAGAAGGTGTGCCGCCGGATAGAGAGAAAAAACGAGCAAACCGTAGAGTTGAGCCTAGAATGAATCCATAACAAACAGTCAGTGAGTCAGTGTCTTCAGGGATGACGAGAACGAGTCAAGAAGTCTCTTCCGATTTGCTCTCTCGCTTGTATTTCATATTCGCAATGATTGAAGGTCCTCCGTCGTTCGCGTGTTCGTATCATTTTCAAGGTGTGCTGTGAGGACTGTGCCAAGATCTTTGCTGGGCATGCAAATGGTGTAGAATCGGACGAACTCTGTTGGATGCAAAACAATCTGACAGTCACACTTACTTCTATGATATTGTTCCTCTGTGAACTAATAACCATTATAAACCCGCGAATTTTTTATAGTAGAGAAATGCGTTTTTCCCCCAGTTTTGTGAGTATCTCTCATCTTGTTTCTTATGAATTTGTTATTTAGTTTGTGATTTTTCTCTGTTGCAAGTAGCCTTCTCACGGACATGCGAAATTAAAAGCCTTTGGTATCATAATGACGACGTCAGTGACCAGTACGGCAGCGATTTGCCTTAGTAGAGCTGTAGTTCTGTTTTCTATAATCACAAAAAACTTTCATGGTTTTTGTAGGAGGAGGGACGGGTAAAAGAGAGTGGTAACGCGTGTTCTCCGCGCTGCGGTCATGAAAAGATAGCTGGCTCCGGCGTGGTACTTCGAATATACATGCCACGTTGTAGGCGGATCTGGTTCGGTCGTGTGTAGTCTATTTCATTTCTATCCTGCGCTAGTAGCTTCTGTGTCCGATAAGGAAAATGTCTATTTTCCTAGTAATTAAGTTATAAAGTTGAGTGATTTTTGTTTTTCTATTCATGAGGACCATGTGTGCAGTGTATGATTATCTAATCCCCACCAAAATATGATCTTCTTCCTTTTTCTTTCGGCCGCGTCTTCATCTGCATCGTCTACTCCCAATAGGCACCAATAACTACCACTAGAGTTAAATCTTAATTTCGAGCACACGTTCTCTCTATGCGTTTGTCGTCACCCGGTTATTATTTTCTTATTTCTTGCCTTGATCCATCCTGGCATGGCATGATATGTAATTTTAGAGGAGCGATTGAGATTAGTTAAAGTTCTACTATTCAAGTAATAGGTAGATGAAGTAATATTAGATGGTGAATGGTTGTCGAAGCAGTATAGCAGTTAGTTTCGAAAGTGGTTTGTGAGATTTTCGGTGCATTGTTACATAAGGCAGGCATTGTCGGCGCACAGTATCCGCAAGCCTCGTTCGTTACTCATATCTTTGTGGAAGAGGGGATTAGTTGCAGTAAGTTCTCCATAGTAATCTAGATTAGTGTTGTGGTGGGTATTGCTTTGGTTAGGTTTAGATTCGTCCGACCTCTTTTCGTACATCCCTCGCTCTGACGCGAGGAATACGCTATTGTAATGCTGAGTTGCGTGGCAAACTCATGTATCGAAATAGCTATTCTTATGTAGTTTTCGAATAAATGTTACCCGTAACAAGTTTTGCTTGAAATAAGTTTATTTACCGATGATGGGTAGGATCCTAATTAGCATGACCATTAAATTAATCTAAACGCTGTTTTATATGTAAGTACATGCTTTCCTCTTTTTGCTTTTTCTAGTTAGGTTGGCTCCACCACTTTCATTTGCCGATGATAATGTTGGGGGGAGTGCACCACGACAGTTTCAAAAAGAGCAATTGTCCTTTCCAGAGCGAATTCTACTTTTGTGAGTGCAATTTTATCGAAGCTGGTGCTACTCGTGATTGTTTTTGGGGTTGCCATCGACGAAAGCCGCGGCTCGCGTTCGTGTGGATGCTAACAGAAGGGGACGTCCAATCGTACCGCAAGCAGTGTGATGGTCTGTTCTCCGCCTGTTAAGGAGGACACCCCGAAGTTACGCAAGATATTTGATCTCAACGAGAAGTAGAAATGGTGGACTTGTTTGCCCCCCGAAAGGGGGTGACGGCGCCGCCGCGATGGAAGGACCGATTGGGGCGGTATTTGTCGAAGCACCAGCGTGCAGCAGCGATTTTTTTGTTCCTGCTGTGCATTTTTCTGGTGATGATCTCCGGTTTTTTCCGGGCTTTGGCCGCGTTTGTGGTGCTTATGCTGTTCATCTTGTTGGTGGACACCCGCTGCAACAAGGGACGCGCCACGGCCAGAATGCGGGAACACATGAGCGGCATGCTGCCGGAGCTGGACGTGACCTACTACGACGAGGACGGGAACGCCTACCACGAGCCCTACGTTCCACCTGATGAGCCAATCGTACCCAAGGTGCCCGCGCTTCCTGGGAAGTTCCCAGACGAGCGGTGGCGCTTCGAGACGTCGCGGGCGAGACTGGGATTTTACGAGCCTTTCGACGAAAAGATCCAGCGAACAGACATCGAATTCTACAAGCCGCACTGGCTGGTGCGGATCTTGGATTTGAATGCGAGGCGCATGGACAAAGCCGGAGACACGGAAGCCACGGACCTCCCGGCCACCTGGTGCGGCAGCTGCTGCACCATGCTGTTAGGAATCTTCGTGCTCTTCTTCGCCTACACCTCATTGGGCAACCTTTCGTCGGAGAGCACGCTGCTCACGCCCCAGGGCGACGTGCTTCTCAACATTGACCACATCTGCTCGGGCCTCAGCAGCTACAGCGGAACACAAATTTCACTGGACGAGAGGAACGCAAGGACAAATTTCTCTGGCTTTCTCGCTGCCGATCCAGATCACGACACGCCGTTACCCAGTTGTCACTACAGCGGATTTTACTTCAGTGACATACCATCGCGGTACTGATTTTTTACTTGCCTGGTAGTTCTCGTAATTACGAATTTTCTATGGTCATTTTGTAGCACGCATGCAAAGACTCGCCTTTGATCGGAAATTATTCGATGGCGCTAATGCGTTCGGTTGAGTAAGCATCCGTACTTATTCTCTTTGAAAGATTTTAATGTCTCGCTATAATCAAGCTGATTAGGAATTAGACTTTCGCGAGGGAACAAGACTTATAATCAAAATTTTATAAATCCTCGTATTGCATCAACATCAGCATCTTCCCGATTCCCCCTTTTATGGATCTCCCGGTGATGCATTTTGATTGGACCCAGCGCATAGAGTTTTATGAGGCCGATGATCGATCAAGTTTGGCCAAGGTGTATTGGACGGACAAGACCGGTTTGCATTACGGTGGAACGTCCTACACTCAGCCTGTTCCCATCGCATTTGGCGCCACAGATAAGACCTCTGTCAGCTTCAACTCCTATGTGTACGGCGGGTCCGACATGGAGTCGCCTTTCCCCAACATGACCCGATATTTGCGCGACATGGCCGTCGCGTCCGTGACGCACAACTTCGACGAGTCAGTGCGTTACGCGCACTCCCAGATGGGCGTCTTTTCAGAATACAAGTATTTTTTTGATCACGACGTGCAGGCTTTCGTGCGGTTCGACCGCAAGCAGCTCGCCAACATCAAAAACTGCCAGTTGCAGGTTGGTTTAGTCTCGCGGTACCAGTACGAAGCTCTGCGTCCGTTTCTCTTGAAGTTCAACCGCGAGTATCAAAAGAAGACCATGCTCTCAACGTTGGTAACCTCTAACTGGACGTGGTCTCCGGACATGTACACGAATACCGAGACGGGCACGTACAAGCGGAGAAGCAGTTACGACAACATGCTTATTCTCAACTCCGGTTGGGGCACTGCAGGTGCCAAAGAGTTCATGCAGAGTGTCGCGTACGGAAAGTACAAGGTAAACGTAGAGCGCAAGCTGCGGATGGACTTCGGCGTCGACACGGGGTTTAACCTGTCGGCAAGCGTCAAAGACAACATCGTGCAGATGTACCTTGCGCGAGTACCTGTCGTGCTCACGGACTGGATGCTCTTCGCGCAGTACGTGAATAATTTTCAGTACAGTGCAGCCAGTATCATCTGTGACGGCAAGACCGACGCGTTCAATCCCGCCTACATCACTGCAGACCTGCCGACGAAAACAGATAAAACTCTGAAGCTGCGCCGGCCTGTGACATTGTGGACAGCGCCGTTTCCGTTTTTCGTGACGGTCACTGGCGACATGGGTGTAGAGCGGATGCTGGTGACGCAAAAGATTGACTCAACCACCATCAAGGTGACGCGCGGCACGAGTATCGGGTCCACACGACTGGACTTCACGGTGGCGCGTCCGAATTCCATCTTTCCGCCCGTGAGCAGCCCCGCACTGTGGGTTTGCCCGCCAAACAGCTACATGGACGGCTCGTTCTGCGATTGCAACTGCGGTATGACAGATCCCGACTGCCTCACCGGTTTACTAAAGGTTCGCTTTTGCGCGTCGCACGAGATCTGTTCGCCGCTGGGGCGTTGCACCGCACCGATCTACGATCCAAGTAAGTCAGAAGTAGCCGTAAGTGAGCCCTGCTACTCTATGGTTTTGCCTGGTGAGACGCTGCTGTACGGTTACTTCGGGCACCAGGAAGAGTTCGCGACTCAGGGCGGAGATAAATGTAAGGCCTGCCCGTACGATGACTTGTACAACGGGAAGACCAACAAAAACGAGTTCAACGAGTACGTTTGCCAGTACAGGCCAGAGGCAGATGTACCAGGAAAGTCCGCGCTGTCATTGGACGAGCGGACTATGAAGGAATACGGCCCCTACGTTGCCTTGGAACAAGCACAACAGGCCGCGCTGGCTGCTGGCACGGATTTGGCGACGCTTGGCGTCACGCTGGACACGTTTCGCAATGACACGTTCGGAGCCGACGTGCTAGAATGGTATAGGATTGTGCAAGTCGCGCTTGGCCCCAAGGCGGGATTTCCCGAGACCACGCTTGAAGGCACGAATTACACGGTAGAGATTGATGTGGGTACCGGAATTCACGAGCTTCTGACCCTGATTCGAGCTGAAAAGCCCAACGCAGCGGACAAAACGCAAATCCTTCACTTGAAAAGTAGTGGCAGTAAATTTCGCTACTCACACTTCAGCGCAGGGACGCTTGTGAGCTCGATGTCCGGCGCCTACGGGGACTTCGTCCTCCAGCTGGACAAGCAGGAGGCTCCGTTCTCCATGATGGGGCCTTACCGAATCCAGGTAGACGCGTCGGAGATGGTCATGCGGGCAGGGAGCGAGGTGAAGCAAACAGCCTTTTCGGGCCTCGCGACCCTCGTCGGCGCGGCCATGAGCGGCAGCAGTGGTAGCTCCTCGCCGCGACGAGGGTTGATGCCTCTTGCGAGCCGAAAGGATGCGAGAAACTTGCAAGGAACGAGCACCAGTGCTACTTGCGGCATAGCTACGCCACACCGGCAGCGACTGGATATCTCAGTCTTCGCACAGTCCATGGACTTTTCGGGTGTACGTTCGATCACAACGCGAGCGTACGTCGCGAATCTGCATCCATCGTCGAGTATATACGATTACTACCTTCCCGATACGGAAAAGCAACAGCAGCAGGGCGTCTTATTTGAGCGTGCGCGAAATCTTCACTTTGTAGATTCCGGTGACGTTGTGCTCGTTTCTGGTGGTCAGAAGTGCTTTCGTGCGCTGTACGAAGAACCCTACAAGACGCCGTGCTACGTGCGGGAGCGAACATATTCGATGCTACTGGTGATGCAAACACCACCAGTCGCAAACGTACCACTGAAACTCGATGCCCCCTGGACGATAAGCACGGGAGGAAAAACGGCAGCGGGCGCAGATATCGGTTGGGGCGGCGTCGCTGGACTGCCCGCGAGCATGCGCCGTGGCGTTGCTGAAGCGTTCGGCCTTGTTCTCGACGGCGTTACCGTGCCAGACATCAGAGCAGACAACTTTAAGGTACAGGCTCCCAGTTTCGCGCCTGACGTTTTCTGGACTGGCCAGACCAATGACCTGGCGCGCATCATTCTGGTGGAGGTCCAGTTCACGACTCGTCGTTGGTATGCGGTGAATCAAAAGCTTGACGCCCTGGTCTCAGGAAGGACGACCTTCCCAGCTGTGGAGCTGCAAGCCGCATTGACAAAACACATGGCGCCGTCTTACACAGACGCTGCAACGGGCAATGTCGTTACTAACGCGGAGCTGACAGATCTCTACTCGAATGCAAACTACGACTCCCTCTACAATGTGGGTCCGCCTCTCGTGACCTCACAACAGAGCCCTCTCTATGACGCTTCCTTCGGTTTTAACGCACGCTCAGTGGGAAACCTGCAGGACATCACACCGAGCCTTCGCCGACTGGAGGAAGTCGACGACCCGCAGCCAGCTGAGGTAGCGAGCGCAGCGGCTGCTGCTTCTACAGTGCCAGAGCAAGCTGCGGTTCCTCGGGAGTTGCAGGACGCGGGGACCGAGGAGTACGACATGGAGAGTATTCTGAATGTGGTCATGCGACCGCGGGAAACGAATGCGACGGCTCAAGAAGTGTCGCTCGGCCCGTATTTCGGACCAGCCATGAAACGGGCGTTCCTGCATGCCTGTACCGAAAAAGGCCAGAGTCCCACGGCGGTCAAGGTGACGGTGCGGCATTTCGTCGACGACAGCGTGCGAGCAAACTACTCAGCCACGACCAATATTGAGGAGTTGTGGAAGAACACGTCCAAAATCGTGGCGATCACGCCGAATGGGACAATGCCAGGTCAGATCGCGGGTTTTCAAGTGCTACTTGACATAACCCGCGACACAGCAGGAAAGGCTGTGGCTGACATGATCACGAAAGAAGGCGCCGACTTCTTCACTCCTTTTAAGGACTCTCTGATGACCAACGGCGAGAATGGAAGGCTGTTTTATGACATCCTCCGGATTAGCTGGCGGAGCCTGGTTATTGGTGAGACAACCGATCAAACACCGTCAAAAGACGACTTCTCTCCTGACACCGCCAACTGGGAAACCTCGCACTTTGACCAGCCGTGGTGCGATTTCTCTGTAGAGACTGGCACACCTGGCGTGGATAGCGACGGCCGCGAATACACTGGCCGCGCGTCGATCTTCTGCGACGCTCTGCACGACGGGGCGCTCGTCGTGAATGCGGCGGGCTTTTCCGATAAGAATAAGGTGCCCAAGAACGTGGGCATGAAGGTGCTTGTGCGTGGGTCCAAGCTGGACCGCAGCAACACCGCGCCCATGGAGGTGCGCACAATTGTGCGGGCCTACCAGTGGCTCTTCCCCACAGTAGACCCACTAACGGGCCAGATGGGGGAGGACACGGTGAAGCGCTGGATCTGCCCCGCGGAGCAATGGACGGACGGGGTGTGCGACTGTGGTTGCGGCAGGCCCGATTGGGATTGCATGGGCGAGCGTGGCATTCCCGAGCTTTTCGTCCGCGATTATTTGGACGACCCCCTGTCCACAGTGACCGTGAATATCAACTGTCCGAAGGGCGCCAACGCGCTTTCTTTCGTTCCGGAGATTGTCGCGACTGGGTTTCTACCGCCGACCTGCGGGGAGGTGCAGCAAAAGCCGGAAGTATACGCTTATTGCGACTTCGAGACCGGCGAACCGACTAGCGTCCGCGCAAAGATGTTCACGGGTCCGAATTTCAACGGCACTACACTGGCGGCACCCGACCACTTTAAATACCTGTGGGAGGTGATCGAGTTGGACTGTCCGCTCGCTAACGACCGCGTGGCGGGCACGCTTGTCGAAACGATTGGGGTGTCGAACAAGACCTCCGAAAGTTTCCAGGCTGCGTCACTTGCAATTGCGGAGACCTACGTTGACACGAAGTTGATGGCGCAGTCGTTCGATGCCGCTGTCGAAGCCAAAGCGTCATCCGAGGAAACGGCGGTGGACCCCGCGTGTCTGAGTGAGGACCCGCCGCTTTTCTGCACGGGTGGTTTAGTGCAGATCGGAGACAAGATGGTGCAGACGCTGCCGGTTGTGAAAAGTAAGATGATGCTCAACTTGAACCTGCCCCCGGCGACGACGGCAGAAGATCTCTGGGCTGACGAGGAGTTCACCTATGGAATGCAGGCTGGCTTGGCACAGTCTTTCAAGGTGACTACAGTGGACGTTGTCATGAAGGGTTTCAAAATCGCGCGACGTCGTCAGCTGTCGGAAGAAGAAGCTTCCACGACTGCAGCACCGACGCAGGAAGAGGACTCTGAACAAGACGTAGAAACAAGGAAACTGCTGTCCGATGCGCGTGATGAGGACCTGAATGTCTTGGAACGCGATTTTCGTCGTCGAGTGTCATCTGCGGTTGACGGAAAAGTCGATCGAGAGGTGTGGGCAATTACTGAGGCCGGGTCCTTCGCTATGCGAACTGCGAAGCTGCGCCAGAACAAGTCACAGAGTAGCACGCCTCGCAGATCGCTTTTGCGTCGGTCTCTGCGCCATCGTTTTCGGCGCTTCCTGCGCAGTAAGGTGCGCGAACGGCAAACCGGACCCTACTTGGGTGACGACATGGCTAACGTGGCAGACACTGAGCAAACTCCGGAGGAAGTGGCGAAATTGATGAAAGAGAAAGAGGAAAAACTGCAGCGCGCCGTGAGGGCGCTGAAGCAAGTGTACGGGAATTTCGTGAAGCGTGGGGTATCTCATCGAAAGAAGGCGCGTGTTTTGGTGAAGCAGACCGCTGGTTCATGGCGAAACGCTCCAACATGGACACCTTCGCAGAGACGCCTCCGGACGGGTCGCGCGCTCAGTCAAAGGAGCACGGTGCTGACCGAGTTCGAGATCGCGCAGCAGAGTTCAGAGCTTGCAGCGGAAGTGAACGCACGCATGAAAAGCACGGCTGCCGATGACATTCTCGGCGTTGTGAGAGCACAGATGGACGAAGTATCGACCATGGTTGTATCCGCGAATTCCGTAGCGGGTGTGTCCGCATCCGTGGTGGAAGTGAACAAGTTGGCCATCGCCCAGGCTATCACGGAGGCTGGTGAGGCAGGGACGCTGAACCTGAATACTATCAGTGATCTCGGACTAACTGCTGAGTCTGCTGCAGCGCTCGTCGGTGCTGGGGACGAGCTGGCGGCGGCTGATGCCGCAACCGAGCCCGACCTCGAAGGAGATGCTGCAGAAGAGGTTGAGGAGGAGGATTTAGGCCTTGGTGGAGGACTGGATCTGAACGCGCTCCTCGCTGAAGTCGATGAAGAAGAAGCAGAAGAGGTATTTGTGATTTTGATTCTACCAGAAATAATTAACGACCCCTGCTTATTGTATTCATGCTATAAATGTGTGTGTTTCTAGCAGTCGAAGATAAAATAGCGAAAGCATTCGACAACTTTAAAGTGAGGGTTAGTTATTTTGCGTTTCGATTGGGATCTTTGCCTAAGCCTAAGGGGATGTGTAATAACAGGACCATGATTCGACGCATAGCTCGTGAGTATTTCATCACCTTGGCGTTTTCTTAGCATAATAGTCTTATGCACAGCCACAGACACTCACGCAAGAATCTTCTCAGGTTGACCTGGATCTGTGTTATGACGAGTGTTGTTTCTTGGACAGCGAGGATGACATGAACCTCTGCGCGGCGAATAATTACCGACTAGACGTGATGGATGTGATTCAATGTTGCCCGAGTGGTTGGGAAGGGAGCTTTGACGCGGACGAGGAAGCGGACGACGGGCTTGAGGCTCTTTTGGCGTCATTGTTTTCTGAGGCAGCAACGTCGACGACTACAACAACCACTACCACCACGACAGTCACGACGACCACCACAACCACCACCACATCAACGATTACCACCACCACGACCACTACGACCACAGCGCAGAGCTGCTTCGCTAACCCAGCTCTCGAAGCGGAGTGCGCTGCCAATCCAGACGTGTACTATTTTGACAGTGGTGCCACGTGCTCTACGGGTGAGTGCACATTCGCAGAGTGTTGTAAGAAGCGACCGCTCTGCAACGCGGTGGAATACACCCCGAACTGGGAGTGGATGCAGTGGAAGTGTGGCATGCGAGAGGTGCCCCATTTCTACGACGGGGCTCAGTTGTGCTCTCTGGTGCCGTGCAGCATGGAGGAGTGTTGTAAAGAACGGGACACCTGTCGGGGGCGCGCAGATCTGAGCGGTGTCGAGTTTGCGCTTCCTGGCAGGGGGCAATGCCAGCTAGACCGTGCCGATGCCGCGGCGCCGGTTCTTCTTTCGAATAGTGCTGACGTACTACAGCTTCGCGGCGTGGCGGCAAAGCTGTCACAAAGCCCCACAATAAATCCGTCCGCGGCCGATAGTATCGTCGTAAACGCGGTGCGGCCCGCGGGTCTCGGCTGCCCTGAGCGGTTCCTTCTCGGGGTCGAGGACTGCCGGAGATTCGCAGCGCTGCACGATTACACTTGGAGTGGGGAGCTTACGGGGAGCGATTACGCCAAGACGTATCCGAGCGGGTGCTCTCTCCGCTCGACGGATGGCCACGTCTTTTATTTTGGTGGGCGTGACGGCGAGACGGACACTCTGACAGGAAACGTCCAGCAGCTTTGTTGGATCGATCCCTTCGCCGGTGGCGAGGTAGAGCCACAAGCCGTGGGCGATACGTGGTGCCCGCTTGAGTGGCGTTTGACGCAGGCCGAATGTCGTCGTGCAGCGACGAGGATGTCGAAGAACTTCGTTCACATGGAGTCGACGAACGCGGCTGAAGCACAAGCCAAAGCGGCAGATAGTATGGGCGGCAGTCGGAACATGGAGTCGTCTCCGCGGGGATGCTTTCTTGACGATCGGGGTGACGGAGCAACACCTTTTCTGGTTTACAATTCCGGACTCGAGGGCGCCGTGTTTGAAACGGTAGAAAATGCTGAGCAGCGGCCTCTGTGCTGGATAAGTACGAGTGTCCTTGAGACACAAGCTTACCTCGCGCGGCGCTTTGGCCGGCCAGTGCCTGATCTGCCAGAAGCAATCGCCATTGTCGGTAGCAACGCGACGCAACCTCGGATTGACTGGACCCCTCTGCCGAACGGAAGCGGCCGGTTGCAAAACACATACGATTCTGACTTAGGCGCTGGCCACTTTCTTGTGAGCAGTTCGCCGTCTCTGGAAGCGCTGCTCTACGAAGACGAACACAGAGTGAGCACGATGTTGATGGAGGACGAGGTCCCAAGCCTTCTCTTGGACAACGGAAATTACACGCACTCCTTGTTGCAGGTTTCCGTTGCGCTCGAAACCGGAAAGGGTCCGGCGCTACCCAGTGGGTATCACCTACGAGTCGCACCTGGGCGTACATACTCCGACAGGCCCGTGCGTCCTCTGGACCGACAGCCAAACGAGTTTATCGTCGATGGGGACGAGAGCACCCGACTGCGGGTGGTTCTCTCGACGCAGCGGCAGATTACCGCACATGATTACGGCCGCCGCGATGCTGCGCGCTTCTGCCACCATGCGCACCATGGGCGACTGCCGTACCTGGAAGAAATCTGTCCGTTGCTGGAAGACGGTGACCGTGAAACGTCGGATCAGGGCAACAAGCGTGTGCTGGCGCGCGAAGTTCGGGATTACGCTGACAGCCTGGAGGGTTCAGAAGTACCGTACGACGGCCTTGTTTTTCTGCCGGTCCGCACAGGACACCCGTGCGAGTTGAACCCTCGGCTCTACTACGAGTCGTGGTGCGAGAAGCTGGCCACCGGGTGGGTACAGATTCGCACTCACACCTTTACGACATCGGATGGCAAGACTGCGGAGGCTCGCTGTCTTACCTACGAGCAGCTGATCGAGTCCGGTTTGGTTGACAGTTACACGAGCACAACCACTACCACAACAACCACGAGAAGTTATTACTACATTGCTATAAACGCATCCGTCATTTTACTTGATACACATTGGGCAGTTGTGCGCGACTCGAGGAAGGCAGATAGAGTGTGGTGCGTTGTGCACGACGAGTCGTATGCTGCCTCTCAGCAATTGCACCGACCTGTGGTGAATAAGACGCATCCGGAAGGTGCAGGAGCTGCACCTGTTTCGACGCTCTTGCCTTCCAGAGATAGTCTAGGAGTAAAGCCGCATCGTTGGGGGTATGATCTTTCGGGAAGCGGCGAGTTTTTTCCGGTCATGGAAAAATACTTTGTCGAGATTCCGCGTATTATCCCTCCTCCGCGGGAGGTCTGCGAGGATCGATTTCTGGACCGTAACGAAACTAGAAACGTTACCAGAAATGTCACACGAACAAATACCAGCAATGTTACAACACCAGGAACGAATGCCACCAATTGGTCGAGTGTTACTGTCGAGGTGGAAACGACTTGGGTCGACACTGTGGTTGAGACTGTAGTGGTCACTGTGGTAGACACTGAAAGGTATTGCTGGATGCAAGAGCCTCCGCCAATGTCTCCCACGGTGATGGACCCGCGTTGGTTTGTGGTTGGCCGCCGCTACCGACACGGAAAGGAAAGTTATCGCACTGGGAATCTACAGATAGGACACTTTGTGACGGAGTACCAAGTACTCGGGAGTGCGATGGTCGATTCCAACTGCACTGGCGCCATCGGGGAGCTGCCGCAGGAGGAAGTGGACCAGCTTCATAACCTGTTTGATCTTGGACTCATCACACAGGAAGAGCTCGAAGCCGCAACAGCATGGCATCCAATTGAAGAGCCTGCGGGCTGCGGGGCAGCCGCGTCCACCCTGCACCTCCCAAGTGAGGAGTGCGAGCGCGGCTACTGCCCGGCCATGGAGGAGCAGGAGGGAATGGCCATGAAGCTTCCAATCGGTTGTTACTGCCGCGAAGCAGACGTCACCATCAAGATAGCAGCTGATGGTGGCCGCGCTTCTATGAATATCTCTGCGGACGACGGTGAGCCAGAATATGAAACGGTCCGAAGAAGGTCCTGTCGATTTTCCCACCGCGACTATCGCTACTGGACCTCTACGACCACTACCACGACTACCACTGTAACGACGACAATCACCAGCACGACCACAATTCTGGGATGGCAACACGCCGGGCCCGAGGTAGTGACTGTAACAACTCTTGAGCCAGCCACTGTGGAAGCAAAAGCTCGGTGCCCCGCGGAGGCGCCCTATATCGTTGGTGGTGGTTGCATCATGTCGGGAAAAAGTGTGGACCCCACGACTACTGAGGAGGGAAATTACAAAACGATTGCCTCGAGCTTTCCTTGGGTCGGAGATGCAGGTCGCGGGGCGTGGATTTGTGCTGGTGGAGACATCAAGTTTGACGCTGACAACTCTGAAACTTGGTCCTTTGTGGCACCAGAGCCGCCAAGTGATAAAGACGGCGTTGCTGCTGGGGACTTTAACGGCAGCAACGTCAGCAACGTCACGGTGACTACGACGACGACGGAGGCTCCGATTCCGATAGATGAGGGCACCGAGCACACAGTGATGGCAATCGCGATGTGCTCGCCAAATATTGTCACGACTGTGGAGATAGCTACTGCGGCATCGCCAGCGCAATGTGCAGCCGACGGCGACTTTCCTTACATGATTGGGGGTGGTTGCAAGGTCACTGACAATTCGAACCTCAAGAAAAATGATGGCGCTCTGTGCGGTGGCATCGGTGGCGGTGTCGCCCAACCCTGCAACGACTTCAATGCGACAGCATTCAAAATCGAGGCGCGAGACGTGAATCCACCGCCTTCGCCACTGCGAAGTTGGCAGTGTGAGGGTATGGGTGCAGCCATCGCGAGAGGCCGCGCGATCTGTACTCATCATCAGCTCGCGCCACAATTCCTGCGCGCGAATGCACACGGTGCGGGAGCTGCGGTTGCGGAGTGCCCTTCGGGATACGAGGCTCTGGGTGGGAGTTGCGCTTACAGCGACTCCTCAGTGAGCGACCCGCACTTGTTCAATGTTGCAGGCCCTAGCATCAAAGACTCCACGTCTGAAGCGGAATGGGGCTACACTGCGGCGCTCGCTCTGTCGGATGATGCACCTAGCGCGTACGCGTGCCGCGGCCTTGCCGCAGGCGACGGGACTGTGGAGTTGAGTGCCACTGCGTTCTGTATGGCGCACAACTTTTTACTCGGAGAAGAAGACGTGTCTTCCGCGTACTTGGCGCTGTTGCAGAAAGGAGTGGGCGGTGGCGGTGTTGCTCGTCGTGCAAGCGTCGGGGACAAAGACAGAGACCAGTCTTTCGCGCTGGACGAAGGTTGGAGCAAAGTCTGCTACCGGACCTACCCGGATGTGGGCTCGGTGCACCTCCCGAGTTTCTACGCGCAGCGCGCAGCGTTGCAAAGGATGAAGTGGAATGCATATGACAGCGTTTTTGTGAAACGCGAGGTCACTTGCCGCACGCACATCTGCAATCTGGGTGAGTGCTGCAGTGCGCGGGAGCGATGCAGTCAGCTCCCAGGTAACCACACTATCCGTCGTGCCTGCCGTGCGGATGACGCGTACCAGATTTTCGACGAGTCTCAGCTCTGTGCGGGCGAGAAGTGCGAATTCTCCGAGTGCTGTCTTGCACGACCAATGTGCGGCAGCATGCTCGCGAAGCAGGTAAATAGTACGCTCTATGATTCGACGGAGGTGCACGGTGGTGAAGTCGAAAGCGCGCTCGCACGACTGGAGATGCCGCGGACGATCGTCCGGCCTGCCGCGGAGGCCGAATTCCCATGGCCAAATCGTGAGGGAGGTCCGAACTCGACGATGTGCCATAACTACCTTTTCGACCGTGACTACTTTTTCTTTGACGCTGATATCGTTTGTCGGGGGCCCCATTGCAGTGTGGAGGAGTGCTGCAAACCGAGGCAAAAGTGCACAGATAGTATCTGGGAAGCAAACTGCCCCGCAGGCAGCCTCTCGCATCATTTCTTGCCTGACGTATTCTGCGAGGGCGAGGACTGTCGGGAGGAGGAGTGCTGCGCGGTGGGTCAGCGCTGCTCATTGATACAAGACTCGGTGAAGTGCGAACCTGCGACCCACTGGTTCGATGCGAAAAAAATTTGCGTCGGGAAGGAGTGTGCGGATGCTGGCGAGGAGTGCTGCACCCCTAGGGAGATGTGCGAGGCGCCGGGGAATTTTCTCATGCGCGATTTGTTTTGTTCCACCACTGACACGCACTACTTTGATTTCAAGCACCTCTGTGAATTTTCGCTTTGTCGCCTGGACGAATGCTGCAGGCCTCGGCGCCAGTGCTTCGATCCAGAGCATACGCCGGAGGTTGACCTCCTCCGCTGGCAATGCGAGAATCAGGCTGCAGCACCTTCAGTCTACATAGACACAAATGTGTGTCTGTCGAGGCCATGCACACAAGAGGACTGCTGCGTGGCCCGCGACACGTGCGGGGCTCGGACCGACCTCATCGGAGTGGAAGGTGAGGTTCCCGGTACTGGGGTCTGCCAACAGAACCGCACTGACGCTGCGGATGCGCAAATGCTTAGCTTCACAATCAGCGCACACGTGGGATGCCCAGAAAACTTTCTTCTCGAGCCCTCCGACTGCACGAAGTATCAAGAGGTGCACGGTTTAAGCTATGGTTACAAGCTCCAGGCCGACGAGGGGACCTTGCCAAACGGATGTGCGCGGTACACGGGTTCGATACCCGATACCTTATACTACCATGGAAGTCGCACGAGTAGATCGGTTGACGCCACCGTTCAGCAGATTTGCTGGGTCAAGCTGCAAACCGGATATCCGATTCAGCTTACCGTTGGGGATCCTTGGTGTCCCTTTGAGTGGCGGCTCACGCAGAACGATTGCCAGCGCGTCGCAACGTATTGGGGTTTGACTCTGTACTACATGCCAACTACTTGGAGCTGGGATGCCAACGCGCCGAGTGGCTGCTACAGTGACGCCAGGTATACCAGAGCTTTGATCTACAACTCGGATCCCAGGGCTTTGGTCACTGTGAACGTGACCGATCAACTTTTGGGCAGGCGTCCACTTTGTTGGGTAAATAGTGCAGAGGTGCGACCCTTCGCGAGGCCGCGCCTGCCTTATGGTCGCGTTCCCGACGAGCTTCCAGATGGGGTTTCAGATCCGGAAGAGGGATCAGCCACAACTGCTTACGAGCCGCTTCCGGTGGACAGCGGCCGCCTCTTGTCAACCTATTACACCCGAGCAACCTACGCGGAGCGCTATCTCATCGCGAGTCCAGTACGCCCGCTGCCGGAAAACGAACGGTATCTGGCAAACGAATCTTTTTTACCGGTGGGAAACGAAACGGACCCTGGACCCGCTTTCCGGCGCACTGTGCACTTGAGCAACCGAGTCCAGAGCCACGCTTACACCCGCCGCGACGCAGCCTCTTTTTGCCACTGGGCACATCAGGGTCGGCTCCCCTACCTCGAGGAGATCTGTCCACTGAAGGAAGATGGGGATGGAATCAGCGGTACAGAGGGTAACGTGCGCTGGCTCGTTGCCACAGTCAGGGAATTTAGCGAAAGTATTCCGGGCACAGACGTTCCTGCATCGGGGCACGTCTTTATTCCTGTTCGTACAGGACACCCTTGCGAGCTGCATCCCAAAGAGTACAGCTTATAACTATTTGTTGTATAATCTGTATGTATGCATCCACATGGTTGCTCCGTCAGCTCTGGGAGGAGCCTGATGTTGAAACGGAATTTTTTGTTTTTTAGTGCAACTAATGTGTATGTTACTCAGCGAACTGCTCCTTTCTGTTGAAAGTTGTAGGTTTGTTCTGATAGGTTTTGATTGTGAGGGTGGATTGGGCCACATCATATCCCCGAATGTTTCGTGAAGTGCTTGAAACATATCCAGGTTGACCTCCAGTATTTCATTTGATAGGTACTACGAGGCCTGGTGTGAGAAGTTGGCCACGGGCTGGTTACAGATTCGCGACGTACAGGTGTATGATGCGAACTCAAATCTTGTGCAGACCCGCTGCCTCACCTATAAGGAGATTATGGAGCTGGAGAGTAGTGGAGGGCTTGTTTACTTCACCTCGACGACAACCACGACTACCACAACGCGCACGTTTGTTTTCCAAAACGTGACCGTGGAGCCGCCTCCTCTCGATGAGCATTGGGCCATGGTGGATAGCGTGATGAAAGCCGATCGCGTCTTCTGCATTGTGCGGGACGAAGCATACGTGGATAGACAAAGGCTCTACGACCACAACCAGCCAGTGGCGGTGCCGGAGGCGACGCCGCTGCTACGGTGGCACGGTATTCCGTCAGCGGTCGCACGTCCACGGGCGGCAACCTTTGTCCTGTCGGCGGCCCCACCTTTACGAGCGGGTATGATGCAGTTGGGCGTTAATGGCAGTGCCATCGGAGATGCGCTGGACGACGCTGCCACAAAGCGCGTCAGTGCGATTTCGCGTATTCTGACCAATGTTGATCCCGTAGATGTTGTTGTGGATAGTGTATTCGGTTCCAACGAAACAATCGGTCTGAATCTGTCAGCAAATGTGTCCTTGCTATCGAATCTGTCTTCGGTAAACACAACAAACATCACACTAGTGCCATCGGATGCACAAAGTCGTCCCCGTGTTCCACCGCAGCCCGTGAATGTCGAGCACCGTGTCCGTGGTGCAAATGTGGAAATTGGCTTTTTTCATTCCGAGTTTCGGGAGCTAGACGCAAACTCTGCTGATGTGAGTTGCGCGGACGCATTCGGAACTCCTGACTTTGAGGACATGACTGAACTGCACCAGTTGCACGAGCAGGGGCTGCTCAGCACTGACGAGCTCGAAGCAGCATTGTACGGGCGTGACGTGGAAGCAGCGGAAATTTGCGGAGTCGCGGTAGCTAGGTTGCATCGAAATGCACAACCACAGCGACACGAGGTGAGAGAGAAGGACGTCGAAAAGAAGATTGAAGATGACAAAGGCTACAACAGTGATGCGCCTGCACATGCAACGAAAATGACCAACGCAACGAAAATGGCCAACGAATCTAATTCGGGTGACGGTGATGCTAATGTCACTGCGAAAGAAGGCGAACCCGGCGAGCCCGGGGATGATAAAAGGCGGATGCTGCGAGAGCATGACTCCAGCAATGACCCCTGCTCATATGGGGACTGTAGGAGTACAAGTGATGCGCTTGGCCTTGAGTTGAAGCTTCCGCGCGGTTGTTCTTGTCGACTCGTCGGGGAGATGGCTGAGGATGGGTCTGTACATTCGAGGCCGGAGTGCCGGTTCAGCAAGCGTGACTACCGCGTGTGGACGTCGACCACGACGACGACAACCACGACTACGCTCTACAGCTGGACGTATTCTGATCCCGTGACAGTGGAGGTTGAGCACTGGAGTTTTCATGGTGGAGCCCATACCGCGACAGCAGCCTGCCCAGAGACGGCACCCTACGTGCTGGGAGGTGGCTGCTTGGTGTCAGGCGGCAGCAGTCCACTCAGCGACCGCTACTTGTCCACGAGTGCCCCGACGATGCTAGAGGCTCAGAAGAACACAACCGTTGGCGGGTGGACTTGCAGCGGTGGCTCCACAGAATATCTCGAGGAAGATTCCCGCAGACTTTCACGCGGTTCTAGGGCGTCACGCAGAAAGTTGTCGTCCTGGTGGGATCACTTTTGGGAGAGGGCACACGATGCCGAAGCTTCTGCCAACAGCAGTTATTCTCTTTCTTCCGGGAAGATCGTCATTAGTGCCGTTGCAGTGTGCTCCGCGGACATCGAGTCGCGACTTTCAGAAGCGTCGTCGTCGACCGGGGAGGATTCAGTTGTTGCGACATGCCACAAGAATGAAGAATTTTCCATTGTTATCGGAGGTGGATGCGCCATGGAAGCCTATGCTCCAAAGATGCGCGATGCTGCGGTCTGCGGTCCCGAGCCATGGATGCGATCGTGCACGCAGGACGGGGAATTCCAGGGAACCGAAATCACGGGGTGGCGGTGCGGTAGTGAGTCCACTGATCTGGCCTCACATCGCCGTTCACCGAGAAAAACCGTACGTGCTATTTGCACACGGCCAAAGTTCGGGCAGATGTTCACCTACAGGCACAGCTTTGTATATGGTACCGATGATACTAGGACGCCTACCGTTCCGTTGCAGAGCTGCCCCGACGGCTACGGGGTGATCGGTGGAGGTTGCCAAATCATAGAAGACTCTGGCACTGGTGGCCCACAGCCGCTGCTGATGAGCTATGCAACGGTCCTGACACTCGATCCAGAAAATGGCACCGCGAATGGAATTCTGCTCCCGAGTGCAGCCCAAGACGTGGCAAAGGCTAGCGTGTCCGCTTTCAGCGGGGCCTACGCCTGCGGAGGCCACGACGACAACGGGTCACGCGCGAAACACCTCACGGCTCACTGTTTTGCGCAGAGCTTTAGCATGGCTCTGCGCAAGCGCGCCCTGGTGGGCGGGAATGAGACCAAGCAGCCGCCGGAGTGGAACGAGTGGCGCAAAATTTGTTACCGAACCGTTCCGGATACGAGCTCGTTGTATTATCCGACCCTCTACCAGTCACGAGCGGTGCAGCAGCGCTTAAAGTGGCGAGTGTGGGACAGCTACGTTTTCAACCGCGACCGCGTTTGCCGATCACAAGAGTGCATCCTGGGTGAATGCTGTTCGCAGCGCGAAGCCTGCGGTGCCTTGCCGGCTTCACACGTAATGCGTCGCAGCTGCCGCGCGGACGCTCTGCGCTTTTTTGATGATACTCGGCTCTGCGAAGGTACTGAATGCACCTTCGAGGAGTGCTGTTTTCCGCGCAGCACTTGCGGCTTTATTTTCCGGAACCAATCTGCGGCTCTTGAGGAGCACTCTCTAGAGCTGCGGGAAATTCCACGACTCCAGCTTGCACCACCGCACGCAACTGCTGAAGTCTCTTCCGTGACCAACCGAAGCCTTTTATGCGATAACTATCTTTTCGACAAGCCGTACTTTTACCTGGACGCCGCACAGCTATGCGTCACAGACCAATGTCGACAAGAGGAATGCTGCAAACCGCGGCAGAAATGTGCGGAATCGGCTTGGGAAGAAGAGTGCGGCGCAACGGACCTCCATCGCTTCTTTATGCCAGAGGTTTTGTGTGAAGACGACACCTGCCGAGAGGAAGAGTGCTGCGCGGTAGGGCAGCGCTGCCACCTGCTCGCTCCTACGTTTAGCTGCGATGCGGCTACGCACTTTTTCGAGCCAACCCTTGTGTGCCCGGACGGCGAGTGCGAACCTGGCGAGTGCTGTATTGCGAGAGAGATGTGTAGCAGCGGGGAAAACGCGCTCATTGAGGCACTCTACTGCCCGGGAGACCGCTATGACACTTATTTTGGCCGTGAGGTTCTCTGCTCGAAGCAACACTGCACCGCAGAAGAATGTTGCCGTAAGAAACAGTACTGCGATGCGGTCGAGGAGGAGACGTTATTGGGATGGAATTGCGACACCCACTTTACTGAAACGCTAGAAATTCTCGTTTACGATGCACTTGTGATGGCAGATCATCAGGACAGTTTAGCGAATGTGACCTGGTCTCTTCCTGGAACAAACACGTCTGCCAATGTTGTCGTGGCGCACCTAATCGCCAAGGGCGCGCTCGACGCACAGGAGGATCTGTTGGTTGTGCAGCAACTCGATGCTGGAGGTGTTATCACGCTGCCAAAACACGTCCGAGAGGCTATCGACCGCGGAGTAAAAAACGCGAGTTCCTTTCCGGAAGGCGCGCCGCCGGAGGTTTTCCTGCATGACTACTTGTGCGACCGGGAGCACTGTCAGCGCAACGAGTGCTGTAGGGCGCGCCAACGCTGTAGGGACTCTCCCTTTGCCGATGAGGCAAGAGAGCTGTGTTTGACCTCAGACCCAGTGCAGTTGTCCCAGTACCCAAGCAACAAGTCTGCGTTTACCGCGAGTCTTTCGGAAGAGTGGCTGGAGAATAACTACCAATGTTTTCCGGAAGGGACTGATCATGCAGAAAAAGAGCTGCTGCGGCAAAATTGTTTGTTGGATGGCTACTGCCAGGGTGTGCACGTGAACTCGCCGCTGCAGCAGGCTGACCACCGCGGAGCGTGCCCCGAGGTAGCTCCAGAGGGCCATTCGGTCATCTGGCGCAACCCGTCCGGCGAGGAGCTCGTGTATCATAATTGCAGTGTGGGCGTCCAACAAGCAGGTACGGAGTACGACCCCGACAGCACGGGCGTAAACGACGGGTGCATGCGCGAGAAGGAAATACAGCGTGGCTACCCGCTTCGGTGTCCACAGGTGGAAGAAGATTACGAACATCCCGGCGGCAACCTCGACCTTGGGGGTCCCTTCGGAGAGTACCCAGAGCACGTGGGGAACTTCGAGACGTGCGTGACCATGTGCGCGATGAGGAGCGACTGCGTTGGGGTATCCTTTCTGACTGATCCCTTGGCTGCGAACTTGACGCGTTTGGTGAATTTCGATCAAAACGGCTTAGGGCTAGACTGCTATATGAAAGCAGAGTGGACGGCGGCTGTTTGGCGCGGGTCTTGGGTCGTAAGCCGTGGGTCTCCGCGGACCGTAGACACCACAGTCGCATCGTTTCCTCCGGAATTGATTGGCTATAAAGGCGTCCCAATCAGCAGCACCGCACGCAGCGAGGATGCTGGCTGTTTCGTGCAGCTGGATCCCGAATCGGAGGGGCTGGCGGCCACCCACTGGCCCGAGATGTACCCTGGCGATGTGGTGCAGGATGATGCGCTGGCGGCCCGTCCGCTCTTCCGGACGCAGTGGGAGGAAGACCAGCCGCTTGACGAAACGAATGAGGGCTCCTGGTACAAGTACAACGCCGCAACCACGTGCTCGCATTCGGGCTATCACGCCACGGCCTGGGTCTGGTGGAGTCTCATTTTGCCAGAGGACACCTTCGTACGGATGATCAAAATCTTCAACCGCGTGGACTGCTGCCAGGAACGGCTCGACTATAATATCTACATGTACCGGCAGAGGACCCGTTTCGAAGTGGGGGATGTATTAGATTTCGAATATCTCGGCTATTGGGGGATACCCATCTCAATGCATGGCACCGATATCATGATTAACAAATGGGTGCGGGGCGGCATATTTGCCCATGACAGGCGAGGCGGTCTCTTGATCTACGGCGCAGATTCGCAGTATATGCACGTGTGCGGACTACTCGTTTTTGCAGAGAGGGAACCTTCCGAGCCCCACGCCAGTGGAGTGCCCGTGTGGACACCGCCGCTGGTGCCGCGGTATGTTCCGCCAATTGAGCCGACGCGAGGCCGCTGGTGGGGATATGAGGTACCTACTGCGAAAATTCTAGACAGAACTTTCTTTATTTTCTCAACGTCGGCAATGCCTTGGAACCTTTGCTCAACGTCAACTGTTGAGAGGTATTGCTCAGCGCTGAACCTTGCTTTCTTTTCTCAACGTCAACCAGCAGAAGTGAGGGCAAGTGAAACAGGAGTAGGCTTAGCGCAGCTTCGCCTACGCCCTAACAGTATGTGGGTTTTATCCACGTCTTTCTTGCACGGAGCGCCGCGTATATGTCATTTATTCTCCCCTCGTGAGGTGGTGACCCATCAGGCGGCTGTGTCTGAGGCCTTGGTGTTGTTGGGTGCTCAGTCTATTCCAAATGAATTTCGTATGTACCTAATTGCACTTTCGTTTTTCTTTTTCCGTATTCCCAGTAATAGTCTTACGGCGCAAAGGTACTGAGATGTTGCTCAGACTCGTCAGCGTGGGACATTTTGATCTCGAGATGGGGGGGGACAGGTGTAGATATCATGATAAATATCGAGAAAAGTTGTTAGAAAAGATCGTCATCTTCAATCTTGTTTCAGGTTTACGGTTCGAATACCGTCTGCATGGATGGAGGAAAGATTAGGGAGTCCGGGGCCTCGGATCCGACGGAATGGGAAGAGACGAAGTCACGGCAGCACTGCGAGAATCTGTGTGACGAGTACGAAGACTGCCAGTTTTACCTCTACCGCCACGACCCTGAGTACACGCCCGTGGAGGGATCCAATGTGCGGGAGTACATGTGCATCTTGTACAGCAAATGCCCGTGGTTCGACGCTTGGGAACTAGATAGGTCCGGCGATACCAGCAATTGGGGACACATTTTTAGGAAGACGCAACAGGTGGACTATTTTCGGGCGGACAGGCCGAAAGAGCACGCCTCGGGTAGTCGTACCTCGAGGAACCTGCGGGAGCTGCTGCGGAGCGTCGACGAAAAATTGCTCGCACCTTCCGAGCGGTACACGAACTTGAACGTGAATTTCTTGTTTCCCGAGAGCGAGCTGAATCCGAACAACGACTATAACTTTGACTTCCAGGGTCTCGGTGGCATCAACGCCTCTCTAGGCCATGCTCCTCTTGTTGAGTCGTTCCCGCATGACCGGCCTCCGAACTATCGGAAGACGAGTAATTTCACATATGCGAAGGACACGTTCAAAATTCGCGGTGTTGGCTCCAACTTCACAGAACGGGCCTATTGGGAATACTACACGGAATTTTCGCAAGGGTGGAACGTCGGGGATCCTGTAGATGAGCACGGAATGATCACGCGGCCGAACGAGGGAGACCTGGGGATCGGCAATAATGCCAGGTACCAGATAAGTTAAGGCTATACATAGTTTTGAGTCATTATCTCGTGTGTGTTATGCTGGACGGGTTCCCCTGAAGAATCAAGACCGAAAATTCTCAGGGACTCACCCGACCACAATGAACTAATCGAATACTCAATAACCGAGTATCTGAGAGAACTCCCGATGATCTACCAGAAGTACCTCTAACGAAAGTACCGCATGAAGTTCCTCGGCATGAGCTACTGCCTTTCACTCGACGGCGCGCGGCCTGGGTTGTCGGGTCTGTACTACAGTGGGATGTACGACCGCGAGAAGTGTCTGGACGACTGCGTGAACGACCCAGACTGCGTTGCGCTGGAAACCTGGCGCAGTTACTGTTACAAAATCCACTACAACGACAGTCTGCGTCTCGGCCGCGACTGGCACAACTTGTGGCAAGAGATGGAGGCGGCCGAAACCATCTATGAAGACTATGAGTGTCACCAAAAAGAGGAATATCGCGTGGAGATGGTGGATCTCGGGACTCCCGGGGATCAAAACCATTGCCACAACTTGGTGGGGGAGAATATGGTGGAGGAGCCGCAGAGCGAGAACACCTTGCATGAGTGCCTGAACAACTGCCTCGGCTGGGATAGCTGCCAGGGCGTCGAGTACTTCAAGGACGACGGGTACTCGGCGGTGACTGGCGAAAATGCTAAGCTTTGCTACTTCATCTTGGATTATAAAAGCGAGCACTACAACCGTGGTCGTGAGCCTGCAGTGAGTTACCGCCAAACGCAGCCGAACCCGCAGTGGACGCGTGACAGCACCTGCTACGCGAAGCGCGAGACACTTCTAGACTACCTTTCGGGAGGTATTGCGTCCACCTCCAGCGTCTACCTTGATATGTTCACAACTTATGGCGCACATACTGTTCGCGACCAGTACATGGGAAAGAGCAGACTCGGGGACGGTTCGAGGAATACGCGACTTCACACCGGGTTAGGCCCGGGGGTAGTTGTTAATGCAGACAATAGCGTCGTTGTCAACGGTGCCGCGGGCACCACTGATCCGTGGATGCAGGTCTCCTTTTTGGAGGACGGCACCTATTTTTCCATCGACCACGTGATCCTCCACTCAGGTGTGACGAGCCCTATGGATAGTTTCAATTTTTTTATGAGCTTTCCCTACGACGGATATCCAGAGGGAGTGCAAGGCCGGAATTTCGACTGCAGCGCCTCGTTGCAAAATATGCTCGCGTGCAACATGACAGTGCAAGTAGGCGTTTCCGAGAACGAGGGGTGCGAGAGCTCTGCTGCGGACGGGCAGGGCGGCGGACCTTGTCCGGGCTACATTTGCGGGGAGTTGCGCTACATTACGGAAGTGAACAGCACCACTATGCACAGAATTCGCGTTAACTGCAACGGCGTGGTGGGGCGCGTCGTCTGGGTCCGACTTCCTGGGACGCATCGCATCTTGATTTTGGACGAGGTGGAAATAATTCGGCGCCGCGTGCAGGTGCGTCGTCTTCCAGGGCAATATTTACGCGCACAACAGGGCCCCACCTGGCCGAGTGAAGACGAGAGCAGTAACACCACCGGGGCTTCGTTGAGCGGCGGAGGCGAGCATTATCTGTTGCCGCTCTTCCACGGACTAGGCAGGTCGACGCAGTGGGCGGATGGGACGTGTTCGCACTCCCGGTCGTTTGACCCCGAGGACCCGGCTTACTTCGACATTGCTTTTCGGGAGGGCGTTTCGGTGGCGACCAACACGGAGGAGGAGACTGGTGCGGATGGAACCACCTCAAGCCGGTACTACATTCATTCGGTGACTCTGTTCAACCGGGATGACGACCCTTTATTCGCGGAGAGACTGAATCACGCAGAAGTGTGGGTCGATCATCACCTATTCATTCGAGATCTTGGAGAGGTGTCGCCCAGTGGCAAGTCAATTTATCTCGGCCGCTACGTGCGGGAACAAATCCGTGTGGTACAGCGGCGGAACCTTCTATTTTTGGCGCCGTACGTAACAGAGGCGGCCGCCGAGGTAGAAAAAGCTCAGATGTTCGGGTTGCGCTACTTTTCTGAGTTGACGATTTGTGGCGTGTACGTTTACTACCAGCTACCGAATCTTGCCAACGAGTATTTTTCCGACTACAATCATCCGACTTCGTGTCGCCATATCCTCGAGCAGAAGAGCGACGGCACTGTTTACATGGACTCTGGTTGGCAATTTACGGGAAGAATATTTGGAAAGGACATAGATTGGTGTGAGGCTATGTGCACACAGGACCCAGATGACATCGGTTGCGTGGGCTACGAGTTTCAACCTGCGCGAGATGGCAGTCAAAGCGCATGCACACTGCACCCGAACCGACTCGCGGAGGGGGATTCGTGGCGCCAGCGCAACCCACGGCAGCACATGGTTGGAGAGATGGTCACCAATACGAAGCGGCAGCGCTGCTTTTTGCAAGTTGCTTCGAAAGGGGCAAGCTGGAATGGTCACAAAGACTTCAAGCACCTTTTTCCCCACAGCGATGAGTATATCGGTTTGAGAGTTACGAACTCGGGAGACTCTTCTTTGGACGGAAGGTTCTTGCGCTGCACAACCATGAACATCAACGAGGGCACTCACTGCTACGTTAACAGTGACAGTCTTCCCCTTGGCTACGAAGGAGAGTTTATGTTTCGGACTGGGTACGATCGGATTGGTGTTTATCATTCTTCTTACGTTTATCAAGGCGCGGGGCTTTTTCAGAGAGCCTTGCGAAACGGTGACGCTGGTGTGCTCCGCGCGGGCCATGCGCCCAATCCGTATAGACACGTCTGGTACTACGCGATGGATTGTACCCCGTTTGCTGGGAGCGGAACACAGTGTGCATACCGGAACTACCGCGGGCAGAATCGAGCCCAGTATCTTCCCTTCAAGATGTGGGAGATGAGCACGCACGGCGGCTCCTCGCAGGAATATTTGTCAGGGACATTTTTGCGGCGTGGCCAGGTGGTGAAGTTCGTGAATATGGCAACAAACAGCTGGAATAATTTTGACAATAAAGACGTTGGTATGCGATGTTTTGCAAGCTCGTGCAGGCACGACCCGAGCTATCCTACGCAGTTCCACATTTGCGACAGGTACGGACGTTGTGACCCCGACGCTGTCGTTTATCATACCATTCGAGTGCCGGAGGCTGATCTCCTTCCCCAAGATGTTCTGAACCAGTTGGCGCGTCGAAGCGAACCGTCTCGAAGAGGCCTTGCAGCTGCAGACGTAGACATTATCGGCGCGACAGCGAGAGACAGTTTTAAGCAGCGAAATTTAAACAGCATGGCACTAAAAAAAGCAGTCGCTGTCGACGGAGCTCGCGTGTCCGAATGGCCACCACCAAATTACAGTGCACGGTGGAGACGAAAGGACCGGGGGAGCATTGTTCAACGCCGGGCTGCACGTCGGAAGTTGCGTGCAACTGTTGCGATCACTCCGCACATAATTTCAATGGGAGCGCTGCAAGTAGACAACAGCACAATTGACCACGCGGCATTGACGATGGCCAACGGCGCGCATCGCAGACTCTCCACAGATGTCTACGCCAGCAATGAGACACTGAATGCAAGCAAATTGACGGGTTCACATGATTATTCGGAGACAGACTCTGCAGAGGCTACGCCTTATCCTAACACTGATCACCTGCCACAACTTCACCTGTTCCGCGACGATGCGTTTTGTGGTGGCGCGTCGTGTCGCGCCGAAGAGGCTGCGTGCTGCGGCACGAGAGCTCAATGTGGGAGCGTTTCTTACATGCGCTTGTTGCACGAGTGGAAATGCTTTGAACCGGGTACCATATTTCGGCACGACTATACCTGTGAAGGATTTGAATGCACCCGAAATGAGTGCTGCGCCCCACAGCAACGCTGTGGAGATGCGCGTGAATCGGTGAAAGCAAAGCTTGAAGAGCGCTGCGGTGCACGTAATGACAAAGCCATCTATGGGCCACCCGGCCTGCGAAATGGTACATCCGGGAACTCCGAGACATCGGTCCAGGCCACGTTTGTGAGCAGCCTCGACGGGCGAAAGTACTTCTTCAATGACGAGTTGCTCTGCGAGGGAGAGCGCTGCACTGCACTTGGGTCCAGAGATGAGCGTCGCTGTTGCGCACCGAGGCATTACATATGTGGAGACTCGGATCGGGTTCGGGGGGAGTGCGAAGCGCTGCAGGACTCGTCGCGAATCTTCCAGCCTTCGACTTTATGTAAAGACTGGTCCGAAGATTCCTGTGCTGCGCGGGAGTGCTGTCCTAAGATTTTTGCGTGTGCGGGCGTCGAACTCGTTTCACCCTCGATCACACCGATGCCAGCGGCGAACTCATCCGCTATTGAAACCACACCGCCGCCGCCAGATGCGTCGGGAATGCAGACAGTAAGCGACAGCAACGCCTCTATGCGCGCTCCATATTTACGCCTGGAAGTAGACGTCTGCATGTAATTTCATATATCTTGGCTTCGAATGATTAGATATTTTTGTTTGACGCACCTCTGTGTAAGTTTTGCTTCCAAAACGGCCATCCAGGGTCGGACCTGAAGTACATGACCATGACCATGACGCACCAGTTGTGAGGTGGAGGGAACAAGTGTGCAGGTTCATGAAAGTCAGTCGTTGCAGGTTCAGCTCGTTAATTAAAGAGGCGTCGAGTAAATTTCATCTTTTAAGAATCATGTGGTCTTTTAAGGCAAAGCTCTTCTAATACACAATACCTCTGGAGTTGTGTTAAGAGATGAAAATATCAGCGACGGCTCCTCAGCTGGTCCTCCTGGAAATGAAAGTGTTTGGCCGCCATGGCGCGCGAAACGATTCGCGTTTGAATTTCAGGGAACTGGCGAGAATTTGTCGCTTACTTTGCCGGGATTCAAGATGCAGGTAAATCAGATTCGACTGCGGGACTACTGCAGGTTCGAGGTTGACCGGTTTTACGATGTAGAGGCCCTCTGCGCGGACGCTGGAATGTCCTCATGCACCGTGGACACTTGCTGCGTGCGACCGCTGCATCCCTGCACGGACCAAGCACCTTCAACGGTGCAATGTGATCCAAAAACCGAGTTTTTGGATACCTCGCAGTTCTGTGGTCACTGGAATGCCAGCTACTGCACGAATGCGCAGTGCTGTCGGCCGCGGAGAGTCTGCCACGCGGATGCTGTGGCGTACAGGCTTGGTGATGTGGTAAACGTAACATCGGTATCGGCACTGGGATACACGCCGCGTGCATCAGCTGATGGCTCGCCTGGAGTGAACGAGACGACGCACCATCAGTTCGTTGTGGACAGCATTAACGGAATGACGTTGGGCGATGCCTGCGCACGGGTCCACCATTCCACAGAGCAGTTCGGTGTTGCGCTTTGCGAGAGTGGCGATGAAGCATCATGCACCGTTCAGACCTGCTGTCCGGAGCCCCGAGCTCCTTGCGATGCGGCCCACAGCTGGCTCTCGTGCGACGATGTTCCATCGCTGACAAATGTCTTCTTCGACAGGAGTGGCAGGCTGTGCAACAGCGCCCATCCTTCGTCTGAGGTACCCGAGAGCTGTACTGCAGAACAGTGTTGCGCTAAAACTCGGATTTGCGGCTCACATACCAAAGAAAACGCGGATGGTACGAAGACGCGCGTGCTGGAGAACTCGGAGATGCGCATATGGTGTTCGGCGAATAAACACTACTATCGACCGAATAACAGGTGCGAGGGAGGCAGCCTAGAGAGTTGCACTCCAGAAGCTTGCTGTCCTAATCCAATACACATCTGCCCGGCTACCTCAGGAGCAGAAAGGTGCCACGAGGGAAATCATTTTTATTCACCGATGAAGCGCATCTGCAACATCGACAGGAACACAACCACTAACGATAAGCGCTTCAACGGACGGTGGCGTCGGGTGTACGACGTCGCGCACCCCCATAATAGGTGGGATAATTCACAAATGCGGCCGCGCTTCGCCGAGGGCGTGGGGCAAGCTAGCGGGGACTCGCTTGCACACGCACTGAATTTCACTCGTTGTTGGATCGAGCACATCGGCTCGGAAAGTGCCGCTGTCCACGGGACACTCTCATCCTTCACTCCAGCAGGGGGTGTGCGTGCGCGCCGTGCAACAGTGGAAGGCGCGCCAACAATGGTCTGCCACAGCGAAGATCCTCCGGACATGAACCCCATTTTTGATGCGTTCGACTACGCATTAGAATACCCCCTCCCAAGGGCTTACGTGCGCTACGAAATACGAGCGGTGACGGCTGACTATTTAGTACTCGAGAAGACCGACGACCCAGTTTCTCTGGGCCTTGTCGCAGCTGGAGACTCAACACCAAGCTACGAGCCCCTTCTCTATGGCGCCTTCGCATGCGGCGCGGGTTACGGCCGCGCGGAGCTGCGCTTTTCAGACGGCTCTGTGTTCTGGAAGGAGGCCACTTCGAATACCACGGATGACGGAACAGGGAGCGCGTCAAGTACAACATGGGAGGAAGCCAAGTGTTGCGAGGAATGCCATATTGAGGTACCCTCCGGTCCGGGTTCCTATTCCGGCGTGTGGGAAGACGTGCGTCTTGGGGCGGCCAGTTTTTTGAAGCTATCTCCAGTTGGGGCGGACACGGTTCCGCATGCAACGACCACGGCGCAGAACGGAATCTACACGGATCCCATGGGAACTTCTGGTGACAGTGTCGTAGCCGCAACCATGCTCCCTTTGTCGGGCGACCGGACTACCCGAGCGCTTTTGGAGATGACCGATCCGGCCGTGTATGGGCTGCAATTCCGCACTTTGCAAAGCGGCGTAGCCGTCCCTCCTACTGCTCTGCAGAATCTAATGCCGGCCTATTCGGTACCCCGCTTCGGAGCAGATCTGCAGGAGCCAAGTGCCGCGGACGCTTTGGATATAGGGGGACGCCCGTCCCACTATGGTTTTGGGAGCGAAGGGGAACACTCTAATTCCACGGGAGAACCTCTTGTGTCTTCTGCTCTAGTTCTCACGCGGGCGAACACGCTGCTCACGCGCTTTCATGTGCAAACCGAATTGGAGTACATTTGTTCTCACGCCTTGAGCAATTCCTATCCTTTCGCGCGGTTTGGTTCCAACGGGGAGAAAGCAAATGATCCTCCGGTTTGGAGTTGCTTTTCGGCACTGAAAGTATATTTTTACTCTGAGCTGTAGCTGCTGTAAGTTTTTACCTCTGCCACCCAAACTGTACCTTTGCTATTGTTAATACCTAGCTACGCTATCGCATCATAGTCCGTTACACCTTTACAATATATAATGGCATTGTTGGCACCTGTACCACGTTTAGATTTGCAATAGTGTTTGTCGGTACCTACTCGTACTTACTTCCTTGCAATTGACTAGTTCCTGCTAATTTGAGTTTGTTCCTCCGAGCTTTGTTGGGCTTAGGTCCACCGGTGTAGAGGGAAAACTATTCAAGTCATTCATTGCAATTTCGATTAGGTATTCCATCATTTTCGTTAGTTTTTCGACTGTATAGACTTTTCCATTTCAATTTGGCGTGGCTGGTTCCAGTGCCGTAGAAGAGGCAACTATTTGTAAGTTTGCTTCATGGATCAATTACCCGCTCGATCAAAGGAAAGCGGACGAAGTGTGGTCATTTACTCTAAGACAGGCACGACATCATGTGTCACGGGCTTGTGAGTTGAGTAATTTTGTGGTTCTCTTTGGGAATTAAGAAATGAGTCCAGAAAGAAGATGCATCCTTGTTCCATTGAAAACAACTACTCAGGACGGTTGGGACTCGAGCTCGTGGGGCCACGCTTGTGTGTCGGCAGATGGCAAGCGACCTGTGCCGTGTCTCTTGCCTCATTACTCGAATACACACGGGCAGTTCGGCAAAATGAAGCCGTACAACCTCGGATACTTTTCTGTATACAAGTTATGGCCAGCCTTCCTGTATGACGCCCGAATCGTCTTTCCCGAGAGCGGAATGCAGCGCGAGGGATCGGGCTACTGGAAGGCAAGTGGTGTATGCCTTGGCGACCTGCACAGCAATGCGAATAAGCAGGGGAAAACGGGAAACTATCCGAGCTCGTTTGCTGATAACTTTTATGATACCTACACCGATATTGGCGTACTTTGTCGCGATCCGAGTGTTGTGGGTAACAATCCGGTGCTACCGTCTATCTGTCACCGGTTCCAGATCGTCGATAGCTCAGGAGATGGGACGGATTTCTGCGTTGGTGCAAATCAATATTTTGATCGCGCTCCTAGCAGACAGCAGGAAGTTGAAGCTGCAATTTTATGGCTTTTTTTGTATCTATGTATATAAAGCACTTCGTTTCAGGTTCCCTACTTTTTTTCCAGGCTTGTATTTTATACAAATACAAGGTAAGCCTAAACAAAGATAGTCTTACCCTACGATTCAAGGAGGGAATAACCTCTAGGTATGACGTGCAAACTCCCACCGAAGAAACGAGAAGATCCTTCTTTTCACACTTAAAGGATACTCCTACACAGTTCGTTAACACACCTACAATCTAACCACTTCCTTCTTTCTCCTTACAGAGAACTCATTGAGACTCTGAGGGATTCAATTTCAATTAAATGCACACTCTAACAATTCTGCTTTGCAACCAGCTCACCGAGTGCGCGGGCTTTACGTTCTGGAGGCTTAACGACGGCCCATGTAGTCTAAAGTATCGTCTCATGCGCCGCATTGTGGGGGCTGACTTGGGAAGTGTCATTAAGGCCTCAGTTTCTAATCCATCTTTTCCGTCATCCGTCTTTTAGTCTTTTCGAGTAGAAAAGAGGATGCAGATGAGGCAAGGGATGGATCGGAGAGAGTTCTAACCCCACATCGTACGCGAGATCGGCAAGCTGCTACTCGAAGCGCTCTTTTTATTTATGTCGCAGTTGACACTTGTATCTTGTGGTCTCATTATTTTATGTAGTCACAGCCCATGAAGCCTGCATATCTCTATTTGACTACCGTAGCGGCCACGGTGTGAAGTCACTACTTCAGAGATATCTTACATTCATACGCGCCCTAAGAGCTGGGCTCAAAACTAGAACTGCACTAGGGGCAAGGAAATGACATCCATCGGTCTCGCGACATGATGAGGATACACTAAAGAGGAATTTCTTTCAATATATTGACTACGAGAGAATTAGAGTATTCGAATGTAAACAACAGAAAAACTGCGTAGCGTAAGCACGCAGCTTGTTAGTAAGCAACGCGTTCAGTCGCAGCCGCGATGTGCGGCTAGCGATGGCATTCCAGCCTATAGGTACTCACAGAAGTTACACCTGCAGGCAAACAATCTCCATGCTGGCTTCGAAGCGTTTCGTTTAGATGTTCTAACTTTCTACGATGTCGATCCTGTGCCGACACCAAGACATTACCTGGACTACGGGGCGGATGCTAATTGTGCAACAACTTACGGCTTCCGCCACGCGAGCGAGCAGTCCCCCGCGTCTCTACCAGAAGGCTGCATTAACAGTATGTATGACAAGGAGGACGACTATGCGGCACTATTTCGGCTCCCGGCGCAGCTTGCAGAGCAAGACATCGAGTGGGAGTTTTTTGAGGGGCGCGGGTGTGAGAGCAACATGTACGCAACTGCACAAGAGAACGCGCTTACTCTGGAGGGGCATGCGACCTTCGTGGACTGGAAGGCTCTGGAGTCCAACGGCGAATGGACTGTCGGCTACGAGATGGTACCCCATTGCCAACGGCTTTGCGAGCAGAGTGCGTTCTGCGGTGGGGTGACCGTGGACCGACGAGACGACGAAGCGAAATGCTTTTTTTGGAAGAGCGTCACGCATGTGGATTCAGACGCAAACTGGAGCGCGAACCTCGCCTGCATGCGGGTGCGCAGCGCACCCTATTTCTCGGTGGACGATTCGAGTGCCGATCAGGCTGTGCTGGCCCGGGATGGCGGAGATGGTGGCGCCGCTCCCTCGCGGTCACGAAAAGTCGCCTCGGTCGGGACTACAGCAGTTGCACCGACCGGGTACATACATCTGGGAAATGGCTTCTGCAGAAACGCCAAGTACAAGCGCATTACTAGTACTTGGACCTGGAGCAACATGTTCTATACGGATTGCGCGCGGCAGTGCGACGATGATTATCACTGCTACGGGTTTATCACGGAGACGGACACTCCAGCTGATCCTTGGCATGGGGATGTCCTTGGGATACACAAGTGTACGATTTTCTACTTCCCGAGCGACGGAGTGCCGATTGTAGGCGTGGACACGGAGACCCGCAATCACTGTTTTCTGAAATTTTCCGGAGCGTCGAGCGTGCTCCCAGCTGGCGCTTTCCAAACAGCCGCACCGGCGACGGCATCCGCTGAGCTTCCTGATTCCGCGGAAAATCCGGCGCTGTCACGGGGGGAGTCACTACTGTACGATCGTGTCGAGTTGCGTGAAGATAGACAAATGACGAGTGGGGCGATGAGCTGGACGTGGCGAACTGCGCGTACGCCGCTTAGCACTCTGCGGATCTACAACTTCAACAGTGCATGGGAAACGGCTTGGAAGAATATACATTTTGATGGCAACCCTATCGCTGGCAGTATTGATTGTATGAGCGCAGGATTTCCCTACGTCCATCCTAAGGGGACGCATACGCAGGAGGAATATCCCGGATGCCCCTCTGGTGCCTGGTGCTGCAGCATAAACCACAGCAACTACGAGTTAGATAGTGATCACAAGTTGCTGCCATTCGCCCGGGCTGCAAACTACTACGAGACGTCCTCAGCGGGTGTGTTTCGCTATGAGGGCAGCGGTATGTCGAAGCTGGTGCCGGGAATTATGGGCAGCTATCGCCATGTACATGACACGTTGACTATTCAAAACTTGGCCACCCAGGATCCCGCGGCGGATAGCTATGTCCCTGAAGCTGAGCACGCGGCATTGTTCGCCGGTGTAGCATCTGATCACACGGCGACACAAAGAAAGAGACGCAGGACGCAAGCGGCGCCGTGGCGGTACCCCGTTCCACCGGGTCAACTGCGGCGGGCGATGACCCATCGAGGACGTATTTTTGTGCCCATCATTCAGCCCGCAGAGGGATTCGTTTGGCGGCACATCCATCGGAAGCACTTGGGACATGAGGGCTTCATTTCCATGTATGCGGACAATCCGCGTTACCGTATCCCGATGAAGCCGTTGCTCGAGGAGATCGCGGACAGTTTGGGCATCGGACTGAATGAGTTGCACCTGTATCAGCTATTCACAGGCGAAAATCGAGCTGGTACAAAGGTGATGCTTAAATCTGCGGTGCCCTGCGTGGTCTACGCTTTGATGCGCTGTGATGTAAACTGTACCGCAGTGACACCGTTTGCCAGTCACAGTGAGCCAGCGACCCGATTCACCATGCGCAGCACAATCACGGCGCAGAGTCATCGTGTGTCCTCGACTAGATCCACCAGGCAGAATACGTTTGACAGATACGATTATCAGCTGTGGGCGAAGCGCTTTGACTCTGGCAACGTGGCGCTGGCGCATCTTCCGCAACGCAGTGAGGGTCAGACGCATAATAATATCAGAGGATCCTACTTCGTGCGCTTTCTTGACGCGCCGGCAGACGTGAGCAGTTTGAGAAACCACTTTTTGGACTGGCAGTTTGACGGAATTTCTTTGCGCGCAGACCAGATGGCAGCTCCAGGCTGCGCGAATTCGATTGCTAGCCCGGACAAGCCTCGGGAGGCGCTCCTGGACGGCTACTTTTGGGAGTGTGCTTCCTCGCGAACCACGTATGCCGTATTGAAATTTAGCAACGCGGATCAGGCTGCGGCAGCTGGGGAAGCGCCGCCAGTCCGCTCGTTCGTACGTTCGGCGGTGCTGCGCTTTGGTTTCGAGGATGGCTTTCAGTTTGCAATCAATGACATGGCAGGCACTTGGCACATGTTCACGGCAGAGGCTGCACCTGCGTCGGACACGGACGAAGAAGGGATCCATTACTTCCACTACAAGTTCGGCACTCCACGCAGTGAGTGGATGGATTTTGGACCAGCGGAGCATCGGCCGGATAGTCACCCTATCTATGACAGTACTGTGAACGTCCCGACGTCGTTGCGCACTTCATCGGGCTCGATGCTGCCGGTGCACACGTTGGAGATCAAGGTCCTGGAGTACTCCTTAGACCAGTACCGCGTTCACGGCTATGGAACGAAACTGGAGTTTCGCCTTCTTTTAGACGGCGTGGAGAGGTGGTGGAACCCTCACACGGAACGCGGGACCTGGCTTTTGAGCAGCGGCATAAATCAGCTGGGCTTTTATATGACTGACCGCGGCAGCGGGAGGGGCGCTTATCCCCTTCGCATTCCGCTTCTGCCGCAACCCTCGGAGACGGATATTTGCGGCGACTTCCGATACGAACTAGTCCGAACTCAGACGCATTGTGCCGGGGAGCATGATGGCGAGACCAACATCGGCGGACCCAACTGGCCTGGAGGAGAAGACGATCACATGAGCCGCCGCGCTTGCGCCGAAGCTTGCGAGGCGGATGGGAACTGCAATTATTTCGCTTGGTTCGCAGACCACGGCTGTCGCACTTATAGCGGGTGCCGCAACCCAGAGTTTACGAAAACAGCGCCACTGCGCGACAGCTTTCTCTGCCGAAACCGTCAGCGCATGATGGAGCACTTTATTTGGAAAGAGCGCAAGACACCACAAGAAGCGCGCCAGCAGAGCTCAGCTCGTCGGTCCCTGCGGCAGACACGGTCAGAGAGCAAGCGACCCGCGAGGGAAAAGTCTGAGCCGACGCGAGTGCAGGCTTCCCCGGAGAGACCTACTATGGCAAAGCGAGCAGAGAGACGGCGCAAGCTGAAGCACCAAACGCTTGCAGGAGTGTCGCCAACGGAAATGCGCGCATCTATTTTGTTTCCGAGTCCCCTTGCAGTCGCTCAAAAGGGCTACGGGTTTTTATTTCCTTCGAGTGGAATGCCGGGTGATGCAGAGCAGACCTTCGGCCGACAGATGTGCGCTTCCACTATTGGTTCTGCGGCGCGCCAACAATTTGCATGCGCTGTTAATCCTTTGTGTACGATGCTGCAGGGTGCGGGGGATGAGGTGCGCACCTGTGTCGGCGCGTTCGATGCGGCAAATGTTGGCGACGGCAGCGGCTGGGTTTACCAGAAGGTTCCTACTGTAAATATGCAGGACTACCTCCTTGACGCTCTCACAGACGGCCGCTTCAGCAGCAGCGCGGCACAGGAACTATCCGACGCTGAAGAACAACACGAGGATGACGAGACCGACCAAAGGGATGACATGTACTTTCACGGAAGCGTGGAAGCTCTGCCAAAGCATGTTGAGCGGATGCAAATCTTCGCTGAAATGCTGATGGCTTCAACCACAGCTGCCGCGGAAAAGACACAGCATGAGCTTCCTCCGCAGGAGCACTTTCTTGAGAGTCTGCACGGACTAGCCTTCCTCGGTCCCCTGGCGTCCGCTAGCTCAGAGATCACGGCGACCTCAACGCTCGGAGTAGCCTATGAGAGCGCGCTGCGAGCAGCACTTCTGGGCGACGAGGATGAGACCGCGGAGCACACGGCGCAACATCCTGGGACAGTTGCAACGGTGCGCCCGCTTCTTTATGGCTGCATATATTGAGCCCTTCGCTTTCAGAAATCAAACTGCTGTTGTTGTCCATGTGATAAAAGAACTCAGTGCATATTTATATATATTTGGATGATGTCTAAGGACGAGGCGTAATCTACACGACAGAAAATGTCATCATTTTTTTACTGATGAGCAGCAGCTTCTAGTAACTCGGCACTTCCTTTACAACTAGGGCGCCGTCAGATGCATTTATTTTACTCTAATGCTTGCTCCAGTACCGCTGCCGTGCACATGCTTCGCCAGAGCTCGTGGACATTGTGACGGGTGAGACCGCATTCATCAAACTCGGCGCGACCTGCTGTTCAGGTTAAGGCTTGAGGAAATCCATCTTCCCCCTCAGGAACATCTTGAGTAACTCCCTCGTTCTGAAGGGAAACCGATCATCAAGATGCCCACCAAGACGGAGCATCCTCAGTATCATCCTTGGTCCCTTTTTCGAGGGAAAAATGGGGCCAGGGATGGCCTTCGGGATGCGACGCGACAGCTCTAATCAGGGCTCGACTCCGCTTTTGGATGTGACGAAAGTTTGTTCAACTCCCGCAATCACAACGCTTACCGAGGCTGTCGCGACAGGACGCACTCGGGTCGCAAGTGCATGGACTGTTAAGGAAATATATGTAGTCACATATCCGTTCACTATCATAGCTTATCTCTGCGGGCACTAGGGATGGCGCTATCAGGGATACACGCGACATGACCACTATAGAGGCCATTTGTTATAATGACGCTTTGCAGGAGGAGGAGTATTTCATATCTATATGTACCAGGAAGGGAGGCCCCCCTTGTGGATGGAGTGGGGGCTGCGTCCGCGCGCCCTTTTTTCCGCTGTAGTGACATGTGAGGACTTTCGGGGGTGAAGGCCTCAAAAGGCGGAGCCGGAGTCCCCTGGCGGCTCTCCGCGTGTACCCCACAGGCGTCCTGACTCTTGGACCTTATCAGGGGGACGGCCTCGGGGGGAAGAAGGCCGCCGAAGGCGGCCACGGTTGCGAGGCCTGGCCCCTTTGGCGCTCATCCCGCCAATTGGTGCCAAACGCCCTGGACGATGAGGACCAGAGGCGAGTAGGAGGGGGGGCAAGGCGTGCCAGCCTGGTTTCTGTCGGTTACATGCAACACGGCAAAAGGGGTCAAGCTTTGCCCACGGCGGCCCTCGGAGGCCGTCCAACTCCCAAGAAGCTCCCCCAGTGAGGAGCCCGCACGCGGGAGGCCTGTAGGATACATACAGCACGGCCTGGGATGTCTGTAGGGTACATGCAACACGGCAAGGAGGTCCGGCGCTACCACCTTTGCCACTTTCGGAAGCCTTCCACCCCCGGCCTTCGGTGCTTGCTTCAAGGGCCTCAGGGATGGAGGCGCGCCTCCCTAAAAAAGTTAAGATCGGGGGGGGCCTTCAGCCCTGACCCCTGGAGCATATGCTTACTCACAGGAGTTTTTTTCTTCACCAAAGAATCTGGCGTAGGAATAGATGCATCCCCAACACCATGGCCGCTGGCTTGCTTCTATTTTCCGCCCACAGGAAACAAAAGAACAAGGCCACGGGCCATGATGATGATGGTCTCTAGAATGCGAGTGCGCGTGCGGTACCTCTAAGACAGGGAAACTGCGCTGCGTGGGGAGGAGGGGTCTCTGACGCCACTGGAACGGAGACAACCTGGCTATGGGGAAGTGACATGGGACGCGTACAGGCTGTCGGAGGTCTACCAATGGAATAGCGACAATGCACGCTCAAAGCTTCGCGATTATGACATCAGAACTTCGGAATATGCTCTGGACGGGCCCGGTGGCTCTGAAAATCACTGTCGGCAGTTTCGCAACTGGGACGGCCGTGACTGGAGTCCGAACGACCTGCGAGACGGCGGACTCATGTGGTGCTTCACAAAGGAGCAAGGCGCCGATTTGTGGGCGTCAGCAAAGAATGGACTGACGGACGGTGAGCGCAATCCGTACTGGGAACAGTGCATCGATTATCCGACCCTGACCACAGAACGTTAAGACGGATAGCATTTGATTTATTTTTCTACCCTATAATGTTATGTATTCTCTCGAGATAATCTAGTCCCCTTAGAACAAGTCAAAGGGGAAAACACACTCACGGACGAATCATTCAGCCATGGATGCTTCTAGAAAAACACCAGCGCTAAGAACGGGCCGCCGCACAAAGTACGCTACGAACCCGCTGCCACGAAATTCCGGACATCGCAGAGAGCTTTTGTGGCTGGCCAAGGGAGAAGTGGCTTCCGCGCAATAAGTTGCAGAACAGGATGTGCAGTTCCAAGTTGGCCCAGGAACACGGACAATGCGATCCGCGTTGGCACAAGACATCTGAAGATGGCTCTGGTGATCTGGAAAATTGCTGTGCAACGACCAGCGAGTGGATTCAGCACACGAATCTTGCTGATGGTGCTGCGACTCGTCTTCCGGGGGACGCGGGCTACATGAAAGAATACAGTGGGAAACAAGAATACACTATTTTTATGCTCAGTCTTTATTCATCTCTCAGGGCGTCTCTCAGGTATCCCCTTTTCATGTTCCCACGTTGGCTATTTAGTCACAGGGAGGCAAGGCTCCTGCTAAAATGAAGGAAACAGAAAGATGAATCAAAGCACTTGCTAACATGTATGGAAACAAGTGTGAGAACTGGGATAAGTGGAATACTATCAAAGACGATTTCGACGGCCGTTACTATCCGGAGTACGAACAGCGCTGGACTAGCTATCGCCACAAATACTGTAGAAATCCTTCGCGGTGGGGCGGCGGGCTATGGTGCGTCGTAGCCGAGAAGGTCGCCGCATCCGAGGCTGGTCCTGAATACGCGCTTACCTCAGGTGAAACGACACGAGGCACTTGGTGGGAACCTTGCAACCAAATGTGTGACGAAACCGTTTCGTTTGGTAACTTTAGCGATTACCGTGGTTGCCAGCACTGGTCGCGAGGCGGCCACCTCTGCACAAAGTGGACGAATCCTGAAATTCTTGACCGGGGTGCTAATTCCGGCCGCATCGATTACTCTTACGTGGGTGACCACAACTATTGTCGCGATGGTGGCTCGTTCGGCGTATTATGGTGCTGGCTGGTCGATTCTACGGCTGGGTATGGGAACAACGGATGGGACCACTGCGATCCTAGCCCAGAGGGTTGGACAGCGACCGATTCGGAATGGCACTTCCGAGAATCTACATTACGCCGCCAGCTTCAATACCCAGGTGAAGAAGCGGAAGGGCCAAGTACTAATTCGAGCAAAGACGAGTTGTTCACGGGGCTGCGAAGATTACCTCCAGCCAAGAACTCCTTGGGGTCCTTGATGAGAGGGACAGTTTCAGCACCGTCAAGCCGTACCCCAGCAGCGACTGCGCTCATGGCTCAGCAAATGAGGCGCGACGAAAGTAGTGCGCAGCGCGTCACGGGTTCGGGGGGTAATAGCATTTCGAAGCGGAACGACGTAGACGAAGATGAGGCGTGGTACGAAGACGACGCTTTCCTCGACGATGAAGGCGAGGACTCCGCTTCTGGTGGAGAAGAAGACTCAGAGGCGCGGCGATTGTCTGCAGACTACCCTGACAGCATTGAATGCTCGGCGTTAATCGTCAACAAGGACGACGCGCGCAATGCACAGGCAGCCTGCCGTGTGAAGCAAGACCAGGCGTCAGCCTGGCGCACCGTCAACAAGTGCAAGTATCATCGGCAAGAGACCCTTGAGAGAACACTGGACCCCTCGGAACTTCCCATTGGATTTCGTCCGCGCGATGGCGTGGTCTCTGATAAGCGAAAAATAATAGAAGAGTGCGCACGTGAATCCAATGGGTGCTGCACTCAAGGTGCGCAATACCCGGACAAAGCTGATTACATAGCGTACTGCGGTGCGGATCAGCTGTCGGACTGCCATTTTAGTGATTGCTGCGCCCCAACGCTGCAGTGTGGGCAAGCGGCTTACCAGTTGCTCGAACAATGCGAGGCGTTGGGCCGAATCTTCGATCCTTTGAGTCGATGTTTTTCGTCGAATCTCGCCTCTTGCTCGGTGCAATCGTGCTGCGCGGAGCGAAAGCAAATGACCTGCGGCGATGCCAAAGCGATACTAACGACACGTTTGCCTGGACGCAAGCATCATTATGAGAGAGCCGCGGGAGTGATACAGGACGCCGAGGCCCTGGATGCTACCTCGGTGCACCACCAACAGTATTCGCAATTCTGGGAGGCGCTCAGCCCACTTTCAGCAGATTTTCTGAGTTTACGAGAAGTGAGCTTTCCTGTGGCAACATGGTGTGAAGGGAAGGTCATCGAAACGGAGACCTTGTGCGGAGGGAACTTTCTTGGAAGCTGCTCCGAAGACATTTGCTGCACCGCGTCATTGCCCACGTGTCAGGAGCAGCGTGCAGAACTCGCAGAGCTCACGGGCGACAGCGAAGTTTGCAGTAGCTCTGGTTTCGACCCGAGTACGCAGGAAGAGGCTGTTCGATCGCGGTTCGATGGAGGGCACGTGTGCGCAACTTTCACTTGCACGATTGGAGAGTGCTGCGTTGCAGAGCCAGCTGAGTGCTCCCTTTGTCGATCGCGCGAGGGCGCAGAAACGTGCCTTGCCGTAAACACAACGAACCTTTTTTTGCCACTTCAGGTGTCCGCTATAATCGAAGAGGAGCGACACGAATGCGCCTGCGCGGAGGGATCGCGAGCTATGGGGAACGACTTCTTTGCGCCTGCTAGTGTGGGCCTCTCCTCTTTTGTGCCTTACGACGAAGCGGTATTCAACGAGGTGTCGGCTGTTGAAGCTGCGCCGCTTGTGCCTCCTGTACTTCGCAAGGACACGCAGTTGCGCCTTGGTCGCGAGTATCGCATGCGTATTTTGGACCAGGGGTTGCTTGCAAACCCTTCCTTCGAGGCAGAGCCTGTGTGGCCGGGTGCGGTTGATAACAGAATGGTGAAGAGCTTCGGCGTGCTGGGCGCATACTTGACTCCCAGTCTCTCGGTGACTTTGAACAACAACACGCTTCCCAAAGGAGCACTTGATGGTCTGACTTTTCTCCACTTCGACGAAGGCGAGGCTCTTCATGCGGATATTGTTCTTCCGCGATCGTGGCAACAGCACTCCGAGAGCCTTATCGGAGACATTACATCTCCGCAACTCTTGGAGATTAGCTTCGCAGCGGCTCCGCGGGGCTCGGCTGATGATCAGCCTGATAAGATATTGAAGGTGTCGGCGATTTTGTTGGACGTTTTTGGGGATGAGCCTGGCACAACGCTCGGCGAGTACTTTGTGCGCGGTACTGAATACGTTGAGAACGTGTTTTGGTACAAATTCGTTTTCGCTCTTCGGGTGCCGCCGCCTCCTACCATACGTGGAAACGAGCAAGCATTCGCGGAGTCACAGCGGGTGCGGCTCCGCATTCTGCCGGAAGCAAAGTATTTTTCTCTCGACCACCTTCACGTTCGCGGCGTTGACCAGCACTACGGCTTCCCCGTCATGTTTGCAGGTGAACATGGCGTTGGTAGGAATTTTAATAGCACAGGAGCGGCAACAAAGCAAAGTAGGAAACTGACTGTGGCCCAAGGGGGAGCTGTGGGGAATAAAAGGCAGCATCGTTCCTCAAGACTGCTGGACGGAGCAGGCCGAAACACTGAGCTGCGCTCACGCCCACACGCACACACATGCGTGCCTGCCGCGACCGGGAACTACTCGCGCACTGTGGTTTCCGGTCTTACCCGTGTTGCTGCTCTCGCGGTTACAGATGCGTCCCTAGCTATTGGAACCAGTGCTGGCGCTGTTGGTGTCTACTATCGACATAGCGGTCTCTCGTGGTGCAGTCTTCACCGAGGATCGTACACCTCGCTCGCAGGTTCAGCGGGAGGTGCAGACGACCATGCGAGCGAAAGTAGCTATCATGATGCTGGAGGAACGCGCCACCGGAGATCACTGGCAGAGGGTCACGGTGCGCAAATGGCGTCACGCTCGTTAGAGACAACAGTTCACACGGACCTTGGGCATGCGAGTATTGTGACGCTGCTAGCTGTCCCTGCCTCCCTCGGGAACGAGTTGAGCTTTGACATCGCCTGGTATTTGGCACTCACGAGCGACTCTCGAATCTTTTCGCTTCCGTACTACCACGGCAACCAACATCTTCATGCTGGGTATGGCCAGGACGATCCTGCAGGCTCGAGTCGCAGAAGTGAGTCCATTCCGCTAACGGCAATCTCACCGCCGCGCTTGGTGGCCGTGGGCGCGGGTGATCTCGTCCGCGTGCCAGGAACGTGGGATCGATTTCTGGTGGCAGAGACGAAGCAGAATCGTATCGTCGAGGTGGGGCTTCGATCACTCTCGCGGCGTGTGCTGGCGGGAAATGACCAGGTTGTTTCGCCGGAAGATCTGAACACGCTCTGCCAACGCGCGGGGGTCGAGATAGAACGGTCTGATGCCGGTGCAGCACCTCCTGTGATTGCGGCATCGAGACATGCGGTTCGCGTCCACGTGCGCACGAGCATGGTCTTCAGAAACGGCAAGATATATCCTGAGTGTTCGAGTTCGCTTTTCAATGACAATGCGTTGACGAGTTGGCTTGCGCCAACGAGCGAAGTATATCATGGGTCAAACCACGCCAGAGCCGGTGGTGCGCGCTGCTTTTTCCGACCCTCCAACACGACACGCGATATTTTAAACTACGAGGATGCGCACGCCGCGAGCAGCGATTCCGGCGGATACGAAGTGCTACCTCTGCAAGAGGACGGGTTGGTTCACACGATCGTGCTCGAGAGTGACGAGAGCGGTTTCTTAAAACCTTGGGCGCATTCCAATGACTCCCCTCATGCGGTTTACCTAGTAGATGATCCAGTGTGTGGCGGGGCAACAGCAGCTGAAGACGAAAAATGTACAAGCATGAGCGGTCGCTACACGCCGTTCTCGATGGCGTCGGGTAGCAGCGACGGGAAAAAAGCGATATTGAACTGCCTCTCCCCAGAATTGTGTGAGGATTATCTACGAATGGTTGGCTTCGGGGCGAGCTTGCGAGCGGACGCCGCTTCGGTATTCAGCGGGAACTTCGACGACTTGCGCGACACTCTGCCGACAAGGGAGACTTACTTAGCTTTGGCGGCAGATCGCTCGTACGTCTACGAAACGCCGACGCAAGAGGCGAAGCTGGTGCGCTGCGAAACGAAGCACTTTGCATGGCCCAATCAGGTGGTGAATGACCATTCCGAGTCGACTCCGAGCATTATTGTCGCGCCAAGCCAGCCCCGCGGCCTGGCGGTGCTAGGGTCTTACGTGTACGCGGCTGAACATGCAGCGCACCGCGTGTCGCGTTGGTGCCTCGACGGCTCGAAGCCGACGGAAGGGATTGTCATCTTCGGGAATTCTTTCCAGAATAAACTTATCGATGCGCAGACCGGCAGTGTGGACTTCCTTGGTGAGTACCAGTTGATCCGAGAGGCGTACTACGATGATGCGACGGGCGTGGACGTGCCTGCACAATACAATTACAAGAAGACCCGCTACCTGTTTTATCCGACCGGGATCACCGTTCACAACGGGCTTTTGTGGGTTAGCGACGCCGGCAACAGCCGCATTCTGCGGCTGGCGGTTCCGGGCGAAAACTGGGCTGATGTGCGTATGGATGGCGTGGCGCAAGGTGGTGAGGCAGCTATCAACTTTGCAGTCACAGTTTTCGGTGGGGACGGCTTCAAGGGTGAGGGGCTAAGACTTCTCAACTATCCTATCGCGCTTCAGTTTCAGCCGGGCAAAGCTGACACTCTGTATGTAGCGGACAGTGGTTACGACCGCATCCTACAAGTCGCGCTCAAGGTGTGCGCTAGTGGCGTTTGTGGCGAGTACGACTCTCGCACAGGTTCGCGCGTTTTTGCCAATGAATGCGTCGAGTTGTCTGGTGAGCTTTCCGCCGGCGCAAGTGCGCGCCACACTCGCGGCACCCTCCAGTACGATTGCCACTGTGGCGATGAGGATTACGAGTACGGATATTACGACCATCCGGGCATTGTTGGAAGCAAGAACGTGTCCGAATTCGCGTCGAAGCTTTTTGGCCGAGATGCACTTACTTACGAGGAGGGAACATTTTTACAAACCGTCCGGTATCCGACATGTCGACGAAAAAGCATCTGTGCACTGCATCCCCCAGTTTGCGGTGGTGATATTGCCAACCATGCGGAGGTCTGTGAGGTCACGCAGTTCGAGACCGACGCCTACGTTTGCCACTGTGATCGTGCACTAGCGGTCGGTGATATTGGGGGGTCAGGTAGCAGCAGCGTGATGTTCCGGCGCTTGGGAGACAGCATGGGAACTGACGAGACATGTGTGCCAGTACTAGGGAGCGCACAGGCCTTCGACGCTGCGACTGAGAGTAGTGCTGACAGAAACCACTATCGCAAGTTAGACTCAGCGTCAGCCTCCTGGGCAGTGCAAGCCAAGGCACGCATCAAGCAGACGAGTGGGAAGGCTGTGATGCAGCAGGTCGTCGACATGGAGAGCGCGAAGTTGAGAACGGTGCTGAAGAGCGTCTTGGCTGCACGTCCTCAGAGTGAAGATGGAACGCCGCCACCACTAAACGGAGACGTTACTTTTTTGCAGAGTGTCTTTATCGACCAGCGCACGCAGTCACTGTACGCTATTGACGGCGGGCTCTGGCACGAAAAAACCCCTGGTTTCATGTCCGGAATTGTCTTGAACGCTGCTCGGCTGGTCAGACAGCCGCTGAGCCTCAGTGGGCTGCTTTCGCGGAACGCAGACGACCCGCCACTGGAGATTGAGGCCGCAGGCCGAGAGGTGGAACACCCTTACTCCGGTGTAGACGGCTACGCAGCTACTCTCTACTACGACGAAAAGGCTGACAGGGAGTGGGCTTATTTCGTCGACGCCCCGTTTGCCACCGGTGGGGACTTTTCCTCTTGGTCGATCAAGGTTCGTAGAGTCGACAAACCGAGAAAGAATCTAAGGCGTCGAGGACGTTCGAGTGAAGCGCCGGCAACGCATGAGCCGGCGCTGCCGATTACTCTGGACGTTTCCGCTGCGGACGCCGCGGAGCCTTTCACCTGCTCGCTTCCGCCACGGAGGCTCGAAGTGGACCCGCGCGGCAAGTATTTGTACTTTCACTGCCCCGCAGAAGGACGGATGGGTCGCATTGCCCTACCCTCCGGTGGGAATGTGCAGTGGTTGGAGCCAGTAGCAGTGTTGCGAGAAGAGATGACACATGATTCAATGCCGGGTATGTGGAACACGACGGGAGACGCAGGAGGTTGGATGGACGAGAGTCATGAGATGGGACAAGCTCCGGCTGACCTTCGTCACACGAGCGTTGCGAAAAAGCTGCTACCGCATTTCTGTGTAACTGAAATGGGCATTGTTATTACAGAGGGCGAAAGTGAGGCGGACCTCCTTGCAGCCGAGAACGCTTCGAATAACCATGGAGGAGAGAAAGCAAAGTTGCCGTGGTTCTCTATTGGTTTCTCCCTCCACGGGACTGAGCAAGGTGCAACAGTGAGTCCGGACTTTCTAAAAGAGGACTGGGAGCTGAGTTCCCGAGAGGAGCAGACCCTGCGCATTCCCCTACGCCGGTTTTCGTTGAATGGCGGGAACCGCACGGGCTACGCTCTCGCTGACGGCGCAGCAGCGACAGACTACAGCTACAACACTGGTTCTCACAGCAAAAGCCTGGAGAATTTGCTAGGAGATCACCGTGTCGAAGGACGGGAGCTAGTTGGAATGACGTGCCACAATGGCGCCTTTTTTACTGTGGAGCGCATTTTTGCGTGCGACGAAAATGACGGAGGCGTGCGCGTTTTGCTTGACACAGTGGCTGTGCGTCGTTCGTCCGATGGTGCAGCCAAGGTCATTTACTACGAGTCGGACTTTCCAGAGAGTGCAAAAGTGCAGCACTCGCGCAAGCTGCTTGTGGATCGGCGTGGTGGTTTTTACGCCGTCACGCAACGGCGTACGCCAAGCTTAACCGAGCCGATGGCTTCGGTGAAGTCGTTTTTCGCAGCTGATCCGTGTTTAGATCTTCCGTGCGGGGAGTTTGATCACATCACAACTGCAGGAAGGAGAACCAACCGCTGCGCGCGCCTTCGTCGTGGACGGCATCAGGCTCAATATTCTGCTGCTGGAGAAAACTTTACGGATCGCGGATTTGAAGGGGAAGGCATGCCAGTACCCATGGACGCGCGCGACCTCATTCACGCTGTCAACGAGAGCCGTGATGGACGTCCACCAGGAGTGCTTCCGGCAGAGGTGGAGGCTTGGGAGTCAGCTAGTTTGGCGGAAGCGCGCTGGGGTTACACGTGCCTCTGCGACGAATCGCGAGGCTTTTATCGGGCGGTTGTGAACCACCGGGTAACATGCGTTTTCAGACCGTGCGCAAAGAATCCCTGCGGCGCAGGTGGTGCGTGCGTGCCAACAGCGCCAGCTGCATGGATGCACAAAAGCGAGGACGCAGATGAGGTGCCACCGGTCGATGATGGGTACATCAACGTGGATGCCCGGCGTCCTCTAGGAGAAGTTTTCGCAATTGAAGGAAGCGAGGACAAATGGCCACTGGCTGCTTTGTACAACTGCATTTGCGATGCAAACCAAGGCTACGTCCAATATCAAGTCGGTGACGCCATTAGTGGACGCGCACCTCGTCAAGCCAGTCCTGGTTTTCGTGCCGGGCCAGCTCCCTTTCCTAGTCCGGCGCTGGGCGTGGCGGTAGGTTATACAAATTACGCGCCTTCCCCCGTACCTGCTCCTGCTGAGCAAGGGTATGGTGCGTACCGCTCTCGCCGGAGTCTCGCCCATCACGATGTCGCGCACCACAGTGAGCACGGCGTTGCCGATGATGGCGACGTCAACGACACTGAGGCAAGCACACGACGGAGAGAGACAAGGCGACGCTTTGACTCGCAGCGGATTCAAAAGTTTTGCCAGAGAGTGCTTTCGCCAATGTCCGTCGCTTCATGGCACCTGGATGAGACAGGTATGGGTTTGGCTCTCGAGAACTCGTGGACGAGTGCAGGCAACGCCACGACCACGTTTGCTCCGGAGGTTTGGGCTCTGCGCATGAGCAAGAACTGGGCGTCGGATTCGGCGGGCGCAGTTGAAGACTTGGCGCAGCTGACGCGCTATCGCTGGTCCGGTGCCGACGACAAGGCGCTGTGGGGTTCCACAGTATGGGACGGAGCGCGAGGTGGGTACACACAGATGCCGCCCTTGCTCGAAAAACAAAAGCTGCTTGCGGAGCCAGGTACACAGTTCGCCGCGTACAACCAATCCAGGCGAGTCGTGTTAATTGACGGGCTGGATTTCGTGGGGCAGGCCAAATCGGGCGATGATCTGGTTCGGCAATTCGCCAGCCGTCCCGCGGCAATGACGGCAGCGGACATCCCGGATCGCCTGCGTTTGTCCATTCTTTTCCACGTGGCAGAGGACCTGCGAAGAAATTTCAAAGACTGGAGTGTGGGTCTCCACGCTGATCTCGCCGATGGAAATGCGAGAGACTTTTCTGGAAGCGTGCTCAGTACTGCTAAGGAGGTGGACATACACTCTTCTGCAGCTTTGGGCTTAGTGGACATGGTCTTGGGAGAACTAGAGAGAACGTTTCCGAGGAAGGTACTACTGGTCGCGGATCACCAGACGGTGAAAGTGGTTTTAAGGGAAGACTACAGCGCGGTGGATGTGCCAGGCTTCGACGCCGAAGAAACGGAAAACGAGGGGAAGTCTCTACAATTTGTGATGGAATTGGTGCCGCCTCCGGAATACGCGGTGGACGTGACTACAGGGAACGGCTTCTCGTCAGAAATTGACCATTGGGATGCCTCTCTGAAAGAAAGCTACTGGGGTATTACAAGCGCAAACATTATATCGCAGTTGCGCCTCTCGTCTCCCGGCGCTTGTCGTGATGAGGAGTTCAGCATGTTGCAACAGCGTGCCCACGACCACGGGTTTGTCGGCAGCAACGTGTCAACATCGGGAAGTGATCCATCAGTCATAGAGCTGCGGGGAGATCTCTCAAAGCAGCAGAGCTTGGGAGCTCTCTACGCACTTTACACTTCAGGTCGTATGCGTCGTTGGGACCTGGAAAAGCTCTGGTCAACGATGGCCACCAAAATGCTCCACGGCATCGTGTTTCGTGTGGTGACTAACGACTATGGCGGTATAGCGTATGCGCCTGGTTTTTTTGCTGCCTACGTGAGCAGCAGCTCCACGGCCAGCTTCTTCATAAGAGAGAGTAGCGGCAGCAGCAACTCGACGTATTACGACGGGCCCCACACTGCTTCTTCTGTCTTTTTCGAAGACCAGTACGCTGGGACAGAGCGCGACGTTCCAGTAGACTTCGTATTGCTCGATGAAGGGCGCCGCATTTTGGCACTATTTGCGAATACACAAGAGGTGCGCGAGTACGAAACATCTCGGGTCTTCAAGGAAGAGCACAAGGCGGCGGCTCGTCCGGCAGCAGGGGGGTACTACGCATTGAGAAAATTGCGAAAGATCGGCGCGCCTCAGTCTCAGTGCGACGTCGACGCAGCTGCCTGTGGCGCTCAGTTGGAAAGGCACGCACGCACATTAGCAGCAGGCGGGGGAACCGATTTACCGCCTAAGCCCGTAGTTGTCTGGAAGCCACCATCTTGGGACACTGGTCGGAGGATGCGACTCGAGGTTCACAACGGGTGGCTCTATATTTTGGCGCCCCTCGAAAGTGGCGACGGGTCCATCGAGCGCGTGCCTCTGCTCTCCCTGGGGTCCTATGGTATGGACGCACGTGAGAATCTCCTCGATCGGGTGCGAATGTATGGCAACCAGGTGTCCTGGAACCGGACGCTAAGGGCACGACGTCAATCTCTCAATACTACGGAGGACTCTGGTTTCCTGGAACCGCAAGAAAATTCGGAGAACACGATTTGGGGTAAAGGGCTTGCACTTGCGAAGTTACCGGTTGTGGGCGCAGGATCTGGTAGCGCCTTCGATGTGTCGAGCCTTCAGACCCGCGTAGAGCAGATGCCACAGGTTACTGCAACCGATGCGTACAGGGGAGAAACTTATGTCCCTTTCCCGGAATCCAATGGACGCGCCACGGACCCGGGTAGCGTTTTCATGCAGTACGTCGGCGCGGGCATGTGCAAGGATGTGAGCAGTGGAGTGGCTGTGATGCCACACGATTACTTGCACGGCCTCGTCGCATGGACAGAGGAGCAGCATCTTGCGTTCGCGGAGAGAACCGAAGCAGCTACACGACTGTGTTTGGGAGAGGCTGACTGCAGTGGTCTCATGACATCCGAGAAGAAAAAAATCTTTTTCCTGTACGAAGGAAGGACTATGATATTTTCTCCGCTCTCTGAGGCGCGCCCAGCGAATATGCAGTACCTTGGTTTCGGCAGGGCTTACCTGGAGGGCATAGCGGATGATGTGTGGCATCACGACGGTACGACAAGCCCAGGAAAATTGAGGGTGTTCAAGAGACTCGCGGAGAGCGACGTCCCGACCAATGTAGGAGGAAATCCTCCGAGTACCTGGGAGCGGGGCGAGGTCGGCCTTCACTTCGCGTACCTAGGAGTCGGCGAATCCGAGATTGTGGCGCCCGACGGCGTTGAGAAAAACTCCTTTGGGAGAACTAGAAGCCGGAAATGCACGATCACATCTGCAGTGCATTTCGCAGCGGATGGCTGTTTGGAGGCGGAGCGACTCTGCGTTGCGCGCCCGGACTGTTTTGGGTTTCTATTACGTCACGGGGCGACTGGCACATACGAGCTTTATCTCAGTGACCAAGGCCATTCGCTAGAGAGTGCAGGTGGGCACTCGCTCAAGACGAGGGATCAATATCAGTGCTTCCGAAAGCAAACGCAGGCGCGTCAATGCGCTTTCAAGGTCGGCGACGACTGCTCGATCTCTAATTGCTGCAGCGGGCTCGGGACTGCGTGCGTGCTCAATTCAGGGAACAACAAAAAAATCTGTTTGCGCCTTACGCCGTCGTATCTGGCAGGGCCGCCGGGCAAAGCCCGCCGTACAGAGTCATTCGTCCTTGCAGTGTTGAACCGTCCTGATCTGACTTCATCTCCATACTATAACAGTGATCGACACGAAGGGAGAGGAGAGCGGCACTCGTCTGGGCTGAGAAGCCGCACGGTTGCAGTTCGCGAGTATTTGGGCGTTGGGCTTGCGGCGGCTTCAATACTTGGGACTCCGGAAACGCTTCGATCAGTCGCTCCGCGATATCTGTATGCAATGTCTGGGTGTCTCAGAGTCTACAACGGCTGTGCAAATGGAGCTACATCGTGTTGGGCCCACTTAGCTGGCACAAGGACGCAAGCGCAGTGCGAGCAGGAGTGCAGCCAGCGGCCCTCGTGTTTTGCCATAACCACTCGGTGGGAAAGCAGTGACACGGATGGAGACAGTCTTGCTACGCTTTGCACGCATTACACAACGTCTCGCGTTGGCGATTCGCAAATAAGGGGCTCCGCGGTAAATGGGTGCCCTCAATCTGATGAAGAAAACTTGCGAGTCATGTTCAAGCCCTCGAAGGTGGGTGCGAGAAATTGTGGCGAAATTTGGCAGGAGCAAGCGCGCGGGGCGCACATGACATTTGAAGGTAATTCACTCAGCTCTGCTGACTCCAGTTCGCTTTTCAAACAAAGGAAGGATAGCGGCAGCCCGCTAGATGCACTCCGTTCGGTGCAGGACCTGTGCGGGCGCTATGCGCCGCCGCATTGGAATAACTTGGATTCCGACTCAGGTGCCCAAAAGCCTTTGCCGTCAACTGAGGACTCTGAGGGTGATGCACTTTTTGGTCTTCGCGGACGTATCAACGGGGGAGTTCCGGCGGAGCGCGAGGCGGGGAGGCCTTTTTATGTGTGGAAGCATGATGCGTTTTGCTCTCTCGGAAGGCATACCCTGCAAGATTGTGCGGCGGTGGTGGGCTACGACTGGAACGATTCAGGTGGCTGCTGTGCGCTCGCGGGAACGCAAAACAACTCGTGGATGTCTCGTGAAAGTTCAGGCGCTCTCGTGCAGGATTGTGCGGCAGCGATTGGGGACGACTGCACTGTATCACAGTGTTGCGCCCACCCGGGGAGCGTGTGCCAGCGGGGTGTTTCGGGGAGGTTTTCCAAATGCGTTTCGCTGGACGTCGAGTACGGCCTTGCGGCTGATGCGTCGTCTGTACAGGTCTCGCCTGTTCACGACGAGTACCACGGACTCTTGGAGCAAGTGCAAGATGCGTCAGCGAGCACGGAATCAGAGTCGAGTGATCTTGCTTATGCCTCAGTGAGAAACGTAAACCACTTAGTGGTGAAGGTGGAGCCTCTTTCTTTCGACCTGCCGCCGCGAGGAGCGGCGCTCGATTTCGTGTATGCCTTTTTTGGCTGTCCAAGGTCTCAATTCTCAAACAGCCCCCCGGGCTGGCGGGAAAAGGCTGCGCACACCTTGGCCACTGCATTGTCACCGACCGAATGCGAAGAGCTGTGCGCAGAAACGCCAGACTGCTATATGTACCACGCACAAGGGCATGCCGGAGACGGTCCTGACGCGGCCAGTTGGCGCGGAGCTTGCTACAACTACTTGCTGGATGATCTGGGTGACAGCCCTGGTGATTCTATCAAAATACAAAATGCGGAGCAGCCAGAGCTCGACATTTTAGAAACTCTACGGCAAAGCCCTGTAGGTGGCTGCGGCGAAGAGGATGGGCGGAATTACATAAAGGCGAAGTTTCTGGCTCCGCATAAGCTGCAAGAAATGGTCGAGGTACAGAGACAATCGCGGTACTTGCATCTATTTGATGGGTGCCCGAGTCTTGCGGATACGCAGCTACTATTTCGTGAGGGCTCGATCGCACACGGCGACGAGGGTAGCGCGGAGCTTCTCTTGTATGGGGAGTATGTGCTGTTACCGGAATGCGAAGCCGCCTGTGATGCACGCAATAACTGCTACGGCATTTTTGTAGAGGGCCTTCACGCAGTGCCATGGTCGATTCGCAGAAACTTTGTACCCGCGCCTTGCAAATTGTTGATGCAGACTCCTGAGCTGGGTACCATAAAAGACTTCTCGGAAGTGCTTGCTAATGTGGGCGACTGCAAAATGGTGAATAGCAACGCGCGCACATTGTTGAGGCCATCGGTAGCGGGTCGCAGGAAGTGTGGTGATATTGATCCGCTGGAAGCCTATGCCCTGAACAGCACGTCAGGTGAAAGTTCTGATGGCACGGAAGACGGATTGTGGGGTGGCATAGCTCAGCTGCGTGGCGACACGCCGGCGCTTTACGCTTCGCTCCCGAAGAACGAGAGTGCCAAGCTCGCGCAGGCAGCAGGCCTGATCATGTACGATGGACATGCTCCACATGTCAAGGTGGTTAATGTGGACCGGAACTCTCTTGTTGACAACCTTTGTGCCAATGCGCACTCTGCGCGCGGCGCTGGCGGCAAAGATCGGGCTCATCGAGACAGGCTTTACGTGTGGGACCCTGACGCGTTCTGCGGGTTTGCACCATTTGATGCGATGAGCTGCGCACGGCCCTCTTGGACACAGCCGTGGGGCCGCGGGGATATCGCTGGGCGGCCTAATGGGGAGGGTGGGGGCTGCTGCGCGCTCATCGGCACGCGGCCGCTTCCGTGTGCGTCCTTTCGGCGGGACCACAGCGAAGCACGCCTCGACGCGGCCTGCGCCGACGTTGGCTTCGGAAGTACTGCGAAGTGGGCAGACACGTCTCTGGGGTCCACTCCGGGTGTTGAATCGAAGAGCAAACCACAAGTGTCGCTCATGTGTTCACTGAATTTTGGGACACTGCGCGACTGTGCTGTCTCGGAGACTGTGGGTGGTTGCTGCCGTGCGGAGCTGCTCTCCGAAGTTGTAATGGGCTCCACAGTTCGCGGTGCGCACGGAGAAGGGCTCGCTGTGACGCGTCCTGCCAATCTCGTGTTCGCGCCTGATGCGGCTCTCTGGATCATGATGGGCCGGAGAACCTACCTGGCAGTGCGTGCGGCGGCCTCCGCTGGTCAGTCGGCGGAGCGCCACGAGCACCTAAGCAAAATGTACCTATTCCCTTGCGCTGATTTCCCATGCGGGGAATTCGACTCCGAAACTGGTGTGCGCTACCATGGGAACCGTTGTCGCGTGCGAGACGATGCAGACGCGCTGGACTCCATTTTCGGAAAAATGAGCAAGAGCCCAGGTCCACGACGACAGCTTGTTGGTGTGACGCCTCATATGCAGGGCAGCGACAACTACACGACCAGGCAACGAACAAGCTCTGACATGTTATCCGAAATCAGTGTGCATTCCTCGTACAATTGTGCCTGCGAAGAGCCTGGCTTCGTGCTTGGATTTAGGCGAGGATCTCGCAGTCTGCCGACGTGCCTCTCGCCGTGCGAAGCAACGGACGCTCCAGACTGTGCGAGGACTGGGCGCGTTTGCCGCGTGCGACGCGGTTTTAGAACTATAGGCGGGGCACGCAGGCGTGGCCTTCTCGCTGCCGCTTATGCCGAGTGTGTTTGTCCGGACCGTCAACCTCTGGGTGGGCAGCCCGGCGCGGAGTGGATTTTCAGCGAATCGGCGCAGACATGCGTCCCCCTCACATGTGGTCAAGCAGACACAGTGGCCGACTTTCTAAGCGGAAAGTTGCAATACTCCCCGCATGCCGGACTAGCGCAATTTAGCAAAGACGGTGACCTCGAGTCTGCTGGACCTATGCAACGGGAATGCGAGGAGCGTTGGGAGGGGGTCTTTCATCCAGGGAAGACGCTCGTCCTCACTCAGAGCAGCGGACTTTCTCCGAGTGAGTCATTTCTCGGAGGAAAGCGGGTCGCGGTGCATAATTGCTGCACGGCGAGGCGCAAGTGTGCACACGCAGACTCGGGACTGCGGAACTTTTGCATACGTGAAAAGCGTCGAGAATTCGTTCCTGGCTGGCTTTGTAACGGCGCGTCGCAAGAATCCTGCACACTGGAAACATGTTGTCGGGAGTCTCCACGGACATGTGGACGCGGTTCGTGGGCAGAGAAAATTCGGGAGCAGTGTGCAGAAGAGAGCGTGCATGGCGGTCCTAACTCGGCTCTCTCGAACTCTTCGCGAGCTCTGGTGCGCCTGCCATTTGACGAGAATGCCCTTTGTTCCCACAATCACTATTGCTCGATGGACGCTTGCTGTCCGTTAAACGCGACGGAAGTAGTAGAGCCGCCTATCATGACATGTGGCGAAGCGCACGATCGACGGGGACTAACGTGTCCGCAGGAGGGCTTTGATTTTCTGCCTTCGCAGGGACCAGATGCGGACGGCCATTTCAGCGTCAGGTGGTGCTGCGCAGAGCGGGAGCGCTGCGTTACTGGGATGGATTATTACTTCATGTGCCCCGCGGGAAAGCGACGCACCGAGAATCCGGATCAATATTGTGGGGACAGCCAAGATTCCAAGTTTCCCTGCGACGTGCAGCATTGCTGTGTCGAAGATACATCCTGTGGAACCGCGTTCATGAACGAGACCGCAGCTGCGGAGATAAGTCTGCAGTGCGAACTTTTTGGTGGTTTCTTCAACCCAAGCGCTCCGTGCCACAGCGTGCAGAGTGAAAGTTTTTCACTTCTGCCTTCGCATGGCCGAGAATGCGATGTGCTCAATTGTTGCGGGCTCAACGCTCGAAGCGAAGCCTTAGGGCACCACGAGAAGAGTGTGTTGTCAATGGCAGGCGTCTTTCAGGGTGTCGCTCCAACGGCTTACGAGTCTGTTTCTTCAGACAGTGGAGCGGTGTCGCTGATTGGGCGACTTACTGCAGAGGTGACGGCTGACGGCGACTCCTTTGTATGCACGCATGCGGGACTCGGGAAGCAGCGTGGAATAAGCGACCACACTGGCGTTGCAGTGGCCTCCCAGCAGTGGGCGGTTGACCGAGATGTGGTCTGGCAGTGGGTACCCGAGGCTGAAAGCTATGCATTTGAAGCGCCTGCTGCATTCTTCGAGGAGCAACTGTGTCTTCGCGCCTGCCTCGTCATGGCCGATAACCACTTCTGCGAGGAGGTCTTGTTCATTCGAAACGTGACTTTGAGCGGTATGCATGTATCCTTTTGCGTTCCCTTCGTTGGTGTCTGCACTGAAGCAGACGTCACGCTCACTGCAAACAGCGGCGCAACAAGTGTGGCGCTTACTTTCGAACCAGCGTCGCTACTGGGATCAGCGGGAGGAGGGTATCGCCGTTGGCGGTTGAATGTTCCAGAGTATTTGAGAAAAACCACCTTCAGGAGAGATACTGGCAGCATCGAGCGGATGTTTCCTCGCTCATACGCAGACGAGGGCTTCAGGCACCTGAAGTGTAAAACTATAGACGTGAACCTCAACGACAACGGTGGCTATAGGGACCTGGGGAGTGTTAGATCCATCACGACCCTTGGCTACTCGTTTTGGAAAGCCCTCCGGAGGAATGAAACCACAGGTATTCGGATGTACTTAGACAACAACCTGGTACTGAATCAACTATGCGAAGGGGCCGGAGTGCTGGCTGGTGGAGCCCCGGCCAATTTTTATCACGCTGGGGGGCATACTGCCGGCAGCCTCGTCACAGAGGGGATATGGCCAGCATTGGAGCAATGGCTCGACCTCGAGTTGCCTCTCACGGACCCAGGAACAGCGAGACAATTGCACACGGAAAGAGGGCTCACTTCGGGAGGCACAGGAGGATCAGCTACAGTTACAGGTGAGGTGAGGGCGGACAGCTTCAGCGCTTTCTACGAACGGCGTCTGGGTGTTCCATGTGAAGCAATCGACGGAACTGTAATGACGACACAGCTTAGCGATGCCGTCGACAGTGAGAGAGGCTGTGCAGAGTTGTGCACGACGTATGTCTTGCGTAGTTACGAGACTCAGCCAGCACTCTGCTTCGGCTACGAGTACCGCTTCTCATCGCATAAGTGTGTATTGCACCACGACATCCTGGTAAGCAGCAGCAGCAAAGCAGCACATGAGCGTAGATACCACCATGAAATGTCCGGTCCGCCGGCGACGGTGGGCAAGGCTCCAGCCAACTCACCAGGTGCTTACGTTCCGCCCCCAGGGAGCGACGATGATTACGGTTTACTTCTCCTATTGATTCATCTTGAGAGGTGGCATCTTTGCCGTGTTTTCAAGCGGAAAAGAGTGCGCAAAGATGTAATTCAAGAAGGTGAATATCCGTTGTAGGGTCTAAAAAGGTGTCGTTTGCGGAGCGGTCCCAGAGCTTCATTGGAATGATGCACACAGACACTTCTATGAAGCAGCGCGGCTCATCCACGCAGACGCTCATTTGGGATTGCGACTCGCGCGTGACGCGGCCGTTCCTGGCCACGCTGGCGACAACGGAATCTGGCGCAAGTCCTCGTCGGAAGTCGGAGACTTTTACATTGCTGGGGGTTCGGAGTGTGATCGCGGTGGCGTTCCCATAGAGAGCTTTGATTTGTGCAAGCAGATTGTAGAGGAGAGCCTTGGCTTATCCCGAGTTGGCAATGCTTTTGAACTCGGAAACTCGCCATATTGCGGGAAGGGAAAGAAAGCGAATACGTGGGGCCGGTATATGGAGGTGCCCTTCGGATGCTCAGTGCGCTTCCAGCCTGATGCTCAGGGGAGGGACACGTACAAGGTGTCCGCAATGCATTTCCGCAAAGGAGGGATGCCGGCGAACGGCATGGATGAGAATGGACGTGACTTTAAGGCTGCCTGTACAATAAATTCACTTTGGAGTCGTTCGTAAGAAGCATCCGTGAGCATTCCTTGGTCTATTCTAGAGAGAGGTAGAAATAACTTGCGAAGGATGCTGACTTTAATCAAGAAGATGAATTGGGACTTACAGTATTAATTAGGTCTTCTAATGAGCGCACTCGTCTCGCGAAAATGGTCACATCCATGGTCGTTTCTGGCGAAGTGACCTCCATGGTCGATGACGATGGAGTAGTCGTCGAAACGCTGGACCCAACGTCCTACAGCTACCCGCACCGCGCCGTCTGCAGCTTCGTCACATCGAGCCCGGTGACCAAAGCCTGCGCGGTGCCGGAGTTTCCCCGTGTGATTATTGGCGCCAGTGGAGCGCCTACGAGTAGAACGCTGCGCCGCATCCGCGACGTTTCTTCCGCGAGTCATTGCGCAGCACTCTGCGGCTTCACGGGCGGGTGTCAAAGTTACGTCTACGCGTTTGAAGAACCAGGGAATTATCTGGAGCAGGATTTCCTTGAGCCAGAGATGGATCTCCTCCCACCGGCAGACCAAGGAGCGGGCGGGGCGAGTGTACACGGTGAAGGGGCGCTCTGGTGCCAAGATGGTGATGCGTGTCCTCTCGCAGTTCACGACTGCCTCTTGAAGGAGTTTCTCCCGGGCGTGCGATTTGATGTCACGAACAGCGTCGGTCACGCTGGGATTGTGAGCGGATTGCCGTGTCTTTTGCCGGTCTCTCGTTGGCAAGCGCGGCCGCCGCGTCCTGTCTACGAGCACTACCTTCAGCGGCTGTTAGCCAACGCGCCTTCGGCGACCAACGGAGGTGGACAGGAACCGTATCTCGATGGGCTAGCGAGTCAAGTCGAGGGAAAGTTGCATCGGCTCCAATATGATCAGCGTTGGCCAGAGTACGAGTACATGGGGTGCTGGGGGTGGCAACAGAACGACCCGTTCATGGACGATCCACCAAATCCGGAGTTCGGTGTGGTGCCCTACGCGTACACCTTGTCCTCGGCAGCGCAGGACTCATTTCGTTCGTGCTCCCTGCGCTGTTTTGAGGGCAACTATGCTTTCTTCGCCTTCAGGCAAGGCTCGATTTGCTTGTGTGGGCACGCCGGCACGGGGGATGACGGGTCAGACACGTATCAAAAGTTTGGTGTGTACTATGACGACTGCGAGACTGCGTGTACGATTACGTCACTCGAGCATCTTTCGTACAAGTGTGGGGGCATGGACAGAATGAGCGTGTACCGAGTTCCTCCCTACATTCTTCCGACCACGACATCAACAACTCCTGCTCCGACAACAACAACTCCTGCTCCGACCACGACCACTGACGGTCCACCCGCGAGCGCGACTACACCCACACCCACAACGACAATTATGACTTCCCCTAATCCATCTCTATAAGGATCCCTCAAGCATATACCTCCCAATACCAGGGAGATGCTGACACGTATGCTTAAGGGATTTCCACAGGGATGAATTGGGGAGAGGTCTAAGACACTGTTCCCATTTCACGCGGAGCTTACGGAGGTCGTTCTCTGCGCAAGGGGGCGCATTATGTTGAGCGAGAAGTGTGGTTACGCGATCGAAACTCTTGCCCCATTTTATACGACAAGTGGGGGCAACACAATTCACGGCATCAGGAGAAACGACGCTGGAACATTGTACCTCCAGAATGAGTACGTTCCGTTTTCGGACGTGGAAAACACGATGACCTGTACGCGGAACGTTTGGGACGGCCTTCCGAACGGCTGTGCTGCGAGAGAGTGGTGGTATGATGGTGATTGGTACTGGGAACACAAGTACCGGACCGGCAGCCAAGATTACTTTTGGAAGATTCCCAATCCAAGCGGGGGATCGACGCTGAAGGGCCTACCGGAGACGCGCGCCGAGTACGACAGCGGTATCATGGGAACCAGTTTGGATCCCAGAGTAGCCCGTGAAAGCTGCATTTCAAGCAAAAATTGGAAAATTTGTTCCAACAAAGATCCTTTGCAGTTTGTGCGGCGCGCCCGAGGCGGCGCTGTGCTCTGCCCGCCGGGATTCGCTAGCGACGAGGTGTCCCCGGAAGATGGGACCACGTATCTGGGTGTGACGGAAGCCGAGTGCATCGACTTGGGGAAACACTTTGCGAATCTTCTCGGAACTGCCTTGAGGCCCAATAGCGCTGGTCTCTTTATGCATGTCCTGCACTTGGAACCTGATGCAACGGCCGATCAAACTTGCCTGGAAGGCTGGGGACGCATTCCAAATGGTTGCTCCCTATATAACTTTCCGCAAAGTAGTAGCAGGCAATACGAAACGAGGGCCTGTTTTCGCAGTGGTCCAAGACCCCATCAATTAAGACGTCGAGCCACAGTCAGGAACACTACCTAGTGTTTTGAGGTGTGATTTGAGGTATCCCGAGTGCTGACGTCCTTCCCAGCATTGTGATTTAAAAGAGGGGAACCCTACAACTCAGGGGGGAGAAGGCTCAAGGAATGACAACTCCATCACGGATAGTGATTAACTAAAGACCTCTAACTCAGATCAAGAACGTACTGGGCGATCCTCGCGAAGACGGAACCTGCGTGTCCAGTGAAATGTTAAGGCTTGATGTTTCCTTAATACTTAAGTTGATTCGACCGGTTTTGCCGTCTTCACCGAACCATCAAAGACTGTAAGTTGCAGTCAAGTTCTCTAATATTTAGATGCTAACGCCTATAAGCTCTGGCACTTTTCTCAAGCTTATCCAGTCCTTAGCTTCGCAAAGCTTAGCCAGTCCTTATTTCCGCAATTCAAGAACGTTCTCAGAAGAAGCATCTTATTGATCTTGCATGAAAAATTTTCTTTGATTCGTTTAGTGTCCGCAGTAGTAGTACATGTAAGGCCACCCGAGACCTGTTCGATGGCAAAAGTGATGCTCTTTTTCTCCTTGATCTCACTAACGGTTAAGTATTCGAAAACTGAAAATAACCGAGTTAGTGACTGAAATAAGGGAGGTAGCTTTGACAGGGCTACTCTTCCTTGTTCAGTATCTCGCTTTTTTTCAGTAGTTACTCGCTTATTTTAGTTTTTCGAATAGAAGAAATTGATTAATTTTCTGAAGCAAGGTTTTAAGTATAATTTATATAAATATGTTCCAGGGCGCGGGGCGACGGTACCCCCCCGAGCGGGGGGGGTACCGTACGCCCTGGACCCCTTTTTAAGGCGTCTGTTGGGGGTGGAAGGCCTCAAAAGGGGGCCAAGTGACCTCCCTCCTTCGCTCTCTTCCAGCTGCCTGGCTGTTGCCTACAGGCCTCAAGAGGGGCCCAAGGGACCGCCTCCGCCTCTTTCCAGGTGCTTGGCCGTCCCCTAGAGGCCTCCGACGCAGGTGGAAGGCCTCAAGAGGGGCCCAAGGGGCCGCCTTCGCTTCTTTCCAGGTGCTTGGCTGTCCCCAAGGCGGCAAAAGGCGAGGGGCTGGACCCTCGGAGCCGTGCAGCCTGTACCCTCCGGGCCCTTGGTCATCGGCTTGCCTGCTCTTGCGACCGAGGGGAGGCCCGCGCCAATTTTTGACGCCTTCCACCACTAGAATCCGCGAAAAATCAGCGCCGCCACAGACCAGACCACAGGGGGGGGCGTCGTCCGGCCCCGAGCCATATATATTTAGGTAAAGAGTTCCAGTCGTGACTGGTTTCTGTTTCATCTCGCTAGGCTGTGCACTTTCTCGGCAAGTGTTTGACCGTCGTAGGAGTTTTCTCGTCTTGACGGTGATTAAGTACATTATGTGCGACAACTTGAGACTTCGCATTGACGATGATGAGCTCTAACCTTCGCGCCCGTATGTCGGAAGCTTCCGTACACTGCGCGACTGCTTATAGAGACGTGCGACGAGAACCTCGTAAAGCAGGGAAGTTGGAGCAACAGTATTGTGAATGTTAAGACTTCGACCGTAAATCTTAGATCTACTACTAGCACCCCTACTAGTACTTGTTCAGGAGCATTGTGGCAATGATGTTTATGGGACTAACTAGAAGGTAGAGCTTCTTCTATGTAAAAATGTAGGTTCGTAGGCAGTCGAGTAAGGACCGCCACGCGAAGCCTTCTGGCGTTTTATGGGAGAGGAGAGATGCTCATTTTTTGTTTTCGACTTGAGCAGAATGAATGAACAATCAGACCACATCAAAGGGAGAAACAAATCATGCAAATATAAATTGAACCTCCTCTTCTAAGAAATATGGCATCAAGGGCAGTGGGAATCTGCATATTCGGGACGCAGCGACGCGGCAGCGGGAGCATAAGCACTTTTGGGGGTACGGGGCAGAGGAAGATTACGGCCACAGCGTGTATCCATCTGTCTCTCTCAGCATCTCTTGTGTATCCTCTTGTTCCCGTAGATGAATACAAGGGAAACGAGGCCACGGGGATGAAGAGAAGACCGGGATGGATTCGCGCACACTCTAAAAAGACGGAGAATTCTTTGCACATGAATTTCCGACTGACGCCAGGAGTTAAGACTGGGCTACTTCTATTTTTAGTTACTATCGTTGCAATTATCCTTTCAACAGAGAACGGATGTTGGGTGAAGATAGTTTATCCTTACAAAAGAGGAGTGATGCGTAAAGATACTCATCCTCATATAGAAAAGAGAAAGTGATGTCGCTGTTGCTCAATGCAAATTATGTCCTCAAAAGAAAAAGGATTCGTGATAGTTGCTCAGAAAGGCATTCTTTGTCTTCTCGTAGGGGAAGACACGTATGAATAAGGAGGATCAAGATTATTCTATTGTATATAGCTTCACTTCAAGGACAATGGGCTTTGTAGTTTATCTAACTTGTACTTCTAAATATAATTAAAGAATATATGTATGTATTATAAGATGCGACTTTACTTGTTCTAGGAAAGATCTAAAGAAAGCATCCAGAGGGCTACTTGCTACGCGCACACGAACGGCTGGAACTCTACGTGAAAGATCCGGACGTGATTTGTGTGGCGAGAGTGACATTTGGCACCCGCGTTCTGAGCGGTATTCCTTTCTGGCTAACCAAGGATTGCGCGTCTGGCGCACCGGCCGAAAGTAACTTCCCTTGCTTAAGGCTTCCCGTAATCCAGTTCCATCTTGCGTAGCATCTTGGTAGCAAAAAAAAAGAGGCACATTGATTCTCCTACCAGTAACATCTACTCGGTAGCAAGTAATAGATGCTGACCCTCATCTCGTACCAACACCAACAGGGATAGTAATATTAATACTGTATAGATATCCTGGCTATAGAAAACACTTTGGTTGCTTGTTCTCTTTTCATGGTGATTCGTTAGTAGCCGATGTTATAACACTGGCGTGAAGGTGCTACGATATTGACTGTCCTCATTCTATTTGGGTATTCGAATACGTACCATGACAGGAGACGAGATGCCATGACATTATAGATAACATGACAGCGAACGTAGAGATGCCATTACTACGTGATATTATAGATACTTACTTTCTCTAAGCTCTATGGGCGCTTCTCGCAAATTTTCAAGGATCGCTGAAGAGGCGAGAGGGGTTACGCTCTCTTTGAAACACTGCAATAAGGGAGAACCACACTACGTGAACGCTGTACCACTTGAGGTTACCGCGGAATTCGAGGAGCCGGGCAAGGGTCGCTTCACCGAAGTTGTCGAGGTTTCTCCGTTTAACAGAACGATGATGACATGGACGTATACGTTTACTCGACGTCCCAAGGGCTTATCGATACATGCTCATGGCCCCATCTCTCGCTGCCTCACAAGAGTGGAACTGGATGAGGACCTGGGCAGTTACGACTACACCACGTGGAACGGGACTTCTGCTGCTGCTGTGACTGGAGGAGGGACCTTTGAGGACGCCGCCCATGTGCCAAGAAGAGCAACGAAACTGTACGGACAGGATTACACTCTTGATGCCGGGGGTCCGGTGCTTGCTGGCCTACTGTATAGATCGGAGATGTGGCTGCATACCAACTGTTGGGGAAGCGGTGACTTTTCTACGAGACCGTGTGTGCAGGACCTTCATTATCCCGGTCGGGTGGGTGTATTCGCCCTCCGACTGTGTGACAACATCAAAGCTACCACCCCTGGATACGTGGACTTCGAGCTCACGTTCAAACATGGAGACAGTAAGCATGTGGAAACGAAGAGGCTCTTTGCAGCTGGTGAGAGCCAGGAAGAGAGGAAAAAATTCTTTCATTACCAGATTCAGTTTCCCGAGTCCGTTCCGCTCCGGGTGCTGCAGGAGCTCGTTTCTGTAAAGATGGAGTTGGAAGCTGGAGAAGCGCCCGTTTGCTTTGACAAGATGCAGCACGATGGTCGACGCTTCAACAATGTGCCATTTTTCCTCTCCGATGATGTCGGGACGGATTGTGGTTCGGACCTAACTCTCCTTAAGGGTAGGTTTCTAGTACGTAGAGGTGTTCCTGTTACAACCGTTTGTTTTGCCTCTCGTCTGCTCTCCTAAGGGACGCGAAAAGCATAAGAACAAACGGGAAACAGAAACTAACACTTGCTGCATTTGCATTGCTAAGCAAGTGCATCTGTTGCAATGCAACAGGATCCCCATACCTCTAATTCCAAGAACAGCCGCTGTTACGACAGAGCCCGAACGATTTCGGTGCGCACGGCGAGCGTGAAGTTAAGTCTTACATACAAGATATAATGAGGAGACGATGTTGACGATCCTCACACCGAAGAATCCTTGATACAGCTCCACTCTATCTAGAAATTGAGACTTCGAAGCGTTCTACGCCTACCTCGCCATCACTTAGGAAACGGCGCTCCATGTGCTGGAGGTGTAGTTACCATGAGTCCGATAATCTTTCTCAAGCACTGTAATTGGATAGAAGTAGATATCACGAGTGATATTCTCTAATAAAGGTGGTCCTGTGCGCGGAGTTTGCTGTTGCGGGTTTCCTCACTAACGGCGACCAGAATACTTTGCGGGTAACGGGAAAGTACTACGATCCGACGAAAGAGGAGGAGTTTCTGAAGATGGAACTGAACAAGGTGAATGCCGTAGGGATTATCGCTTTCAGCAATGGATTTCCTGATGAAATTGAGCTCTCCTTGGATGATAACTATCAAGAGCTGTGCGTCTCCGAGGTTGCGTTCGTGAATTATCATGCCCGTGGAACCGATTCGGAACTTTCGTACGGGGATCGGGAATCTGCTTTTGTTCTCAATATTAAGGCTCTCGATAATTCATCTTTCGTGTCTCCTTTGTTTTTTCGCTGAATCTGAAAAGTATTTCAGTGACCAGGGAGTGGTTTTATAAAACAGAGAGGGCCTGCTCACCCAGCCTCGAAAACTAGAAGTGACCGAGGTAGTGACTGAAACAAGAGAGGAGATAGCTTAAGGCTATCCTTCCTTCAGTATTTCTTTTACTCTCGTGACTTACTTGTTTATTTCCCCTTATCGAAGGTAGACGATGTAGGAGCAGCAAAGACAAAGTTTAAATGTAAACCCTTTGTTCTAGAGAACTAAGCTTCTCTAAGAAGTGTCACCCTTTTTGGATCGAAACGAAATATAATTGCGAACGTCGTGCGTTGCCTTTTGTTCCCTGTTACGGAGATCGCATTACGCTTTCTCCGCATGCGATCCACAGCGAGATCCCTCCGCCGCTTGTGCCGCCACCCAGCACTCATTAAGGCTGGTCTTAATTGATTTTGAGAGGCATCTCTGGGCCCCTTCCCAGGGGGAAAAAATACGCCACAGATAAGTCTCAAGATGAATTTGGGCAAGCTCTAAAACCAAAGCGAATTCGCGGAGCCGCGTCGGGCGCAGTTCGAGTATGTTGGCTGCTGGAAGGACGAGGCAGACCCCCGTGCCATGGTCGAGGTCGGATGGTTAAGCATCCTGGGCTGCGCAGTCAAGTGTGCGTCCACATTGCCGAGCCAGGACAGCGGGAAGCTCCGGTATGACTTTTTCGGAATTCAGTGGGGGGGTCAGTGCTTTTGCGGTCACGACGGCACTGAGCCAGGAGGTGGGTACAAGACTTATGGAGAAGGCACGGCCAATAGTTGCTATAAAGAGTGCCCTGTCGATCCGCAAGACGTCGCGGAAGGTTATAAGTGTGGTGGAGGGTATCATAATTCCGTGTACCGGCTCCCGGAGCATCTCTACTTAGGCTGCTTCGCCGATGTCAGTCGAGCTCCGCACGTCATGGACTTTGGAAAGAGCCTAGGCATGAGCTTGCAAACGTGCGCATGGACATGTTTGAATACCTACGGGTCAACGTACTACGCCATGCAGCGGGGGCAGCGTTGCATGTGCGGGAACAACTTTCGCCTAGAGGGCAAAAGCACGGGGGTTCCGGACAGCTTTTGTGGTTTGGCGAAATGTCACGTCTCGGAGCGAGAGCGAACGGCTGGCGAGCTGTGTGGTAGTGGAACGCTGGGAGATGACGAAGAGTTCGCGGCGGGAAGGCAGATTTTTAACGCCGTGTATAAAACGCCTGCATCTGTTGCGGGGAGGGATCTCGTCGGCATTGTGAAAAACCAGGACCCGCAAATGGCCTCGGACCCAAAAGAGGTCATCGACGTGGTCCAGATGTTATCCTCGCCTGTTGGTGGCGAGCTTCTGAGTAAGCAGCAGAAGGTTCAGGAGGGCGCGCTTGCTGTTACTTTCGCGGCTGAATTTCGCGACGGTCTCACGGTGTCGCCTGCGTTACCAGGACTACTATACTTAAGAAAAAGCGTAGCTACTAAAATAACATATTGATACTTAATATTGAGTAAAATATGCAACATCTTAATCTTTTTTAAAGGAGATGACTGAGCACATCAACTTATTCATTTTAGATGAATTTCATCTCGCTCGCCAGCGGAATAGAATATTCGAAAACTAGAAACAAATACCCAACTTAGGGACTAAATAAGCAGAGGCAGCTTACGGATATTCCTCCTTCAGTATCTTCGCGGTTATTCCAAGTAGTTACTTGCTTATTTCAGTTTAAATCGAGTAAAAAATATCTAAGTCATTTATTGATGTTTCATCAAGTCAAAAGATTAAGATCATTTGTCACTAGAGAAGCCATATTTATCGATGTTTCAACTTCAAATTGAATTTCAGCGAGTTCTAATATCGCCAGACGGCGAGTGGACGTTGGAGGCTTGGATCTACATTCCAGAGCACGTCGCAGCTGGTGAGTCGCATAATAAACTCGCGATCTTCGGTTAAGGCTCATCATGATAATCCATCCTTCCTTGCATATTATTAATTTGAAAAGTTAGTATGCTAGGGTACTATTGTCTATCTGATGCTTTTCAACATGGATGCTTGCAGCTGAAGGGTGTTGAAATACGGAGAGGTCCTCTAATCCGGGGACGACATTACTGGAGTGTACCTGCGGAAAGCCGGCTCTTGTCCCGCCACTGCGTACAGAGAAACTCGCGGCGCAGGGTTTGCCGGCAGAAAAACGCTGCTTCAAGTTCATGTTGGCGAAGATGATATCAATTCCAACCCGGTGATCAATCAGGAGTGCCTGATCGCCGACACGTGGTATCACGTTGCTGTAGTGAACTCGGGTGGATCGCTAACAGTGCGTTTGAATTTCGAAGCCGCGGTACGTGATAGTTGGACCAAACAGGTTTCTCTCGGTGTCTCTAGGCTAGGCGAGGGCTTTGCTGCAGTATCAAAAGGAGGAGCGAAACTTTTTAACATGCGGTACTGGACCCGAGAACGGTCTAAAGGCGAACTGCGAAAAGCTGCAATGATATTCGACCTAACGTCTTACGGCTCACGATCATCTTCTCTCGCCGTCGCCACGACTTTCTTTGATTTTTTTGATTCTCAGTTTCTAATCAACTACAATGAAAATTATGTGTATTACAATTTTGGAGAAAGACGAGTTGTCCTCGTGTACATTTCTCAGCTCTAACCACCGTTGGAAGCAGTCACTGGCGACCCTCAGATGGAGCTAATGGACTTGCAACTCTGGCTGCCGCTCCAAGGTGATGCGCTCGACAAAACCTGTATGCACGTGGTAGGTGCCGGTACAGAACAGATGCCAGCCTATCATGTCTTTCCAGAAGTCACGGTGAAGCACAATTCAGGTGTTTATACTTGCAATAATGTATTGAGTTGTATTGCATTAGGAGCTAGCTCGCTAGAAGTTCTATGTGATATTGCTCCTTGGATAGTTCAGCTTCAACTGTAACACGGAGCGACCACATGACATGCATGTTACTGCTTCAGTGGCACAGGTAGACAATAATAGCTACTACATAAGAGGTGCCATTACATGCATGTTACTGCTTCAATTCTTGCCTTCTGGTCTTGAATATGGATTACAATTTATGTGACCCATAAACGAAATTACATTTAGTCATGTCATGAAGTCCTCATGGATCTACGTGATATCGCAATGATCTTGTACTTGTGTGTCGTAGCTACACAATTTTGGTTTTTTGCTTTTCGTTGCTTCAACTCAGCATGCTCATCTTCTATCACTCATTTCGTCTCATTCTCTTTCCAAATCCATTCTTGTACTGCTTGATTCGATTCTTTTTTATGGCTTCAATTCGCTTGTAATCTGGTATGAATCTTCTTGTTAACTTATTAGTTTTCAGTACAGTTATTTTCTGTCGCTTCAACTCCCTGTTCTTTTTTATAATACGTAGAGTGGTAGTACTCAAAGACAACATGATGTCCTGTGGGTCTCACATTTATTATGAAAAGGAACTCCTGAAACACTTTCGCCACGTACAACAGGTGCGGAGGACGTCATGTCGTTTGCGGAGCTACGAGAGAAGCTCTGGGTATCCAGCATGTTCCAGGAGGATATTTTCACCGTTGAAGCCTGGGTACGTCACACGCAACCGTGTGACGAATGCACCTTATGGCTACCGCTGAAGCCTCCCCCTACGTCATGCTCCTTGGCCTTCTTTTCAAGGGAAATAAAGAAGGCCCATCCTCCAAGGATACAATTATGTACTCTCAAAAAAGCAACCTGATTTAGTACCAATAATTAACATTATAATTCTAGACAGATTTATTGTGAATTGTTTCGTCTTGCCAATGGTCTTGTGCGATCATTTGAGATGCAATCAATGATGATGAAGCTCCTTGGTAGCTCTAAGTACCGACGTGAAAGGGGTTGTTGGGTATCACGTGGACGTGAACAACGCACAAAAAGGTCTCTATTTGGTCGGGAATCGACGGTCGCTCACGGAGTGCTTTGACAGCTACGCAGGATCTTTAAGGCTCGATACTATCCTTTGCGCTCGGTCGGTCAGTACTACTAATAGAGAGGAGACCTTGATGGGATCAACCTTCAAAATACTCGAGGAAACCAAGGGTCATTTTCTTCGGTTTTCTTCATCTTAGGATTTTTCTGAGGAAATGTCGAAGGCAAGAAAGGAATTTTTTTGAGCTCTAAGATCTGGTGGACCGGTGTCCGCTCGCAAAGAGCTCACCACGTTCGCCGTCGCAATTGGTTCGGCCACTGGGGCCAGCAGGCACTGTCTGCGGACGAACACGTGGTATCATATTGCTGTCACTGTGGGCGCGGCGGGCGTAGTGAAGTACTACGTGAATGGTGAGCCTAGCGGAGTCGGAAGCTGGGATAATCACAAAGACGCCAATATTAAGGCCCTCATTCCTAATTCATCTGTGACTACATTCATCCTTTAACGTGACTATTGCAATCTTGGCTCTACGTACAGAGAAGAACGATCCTTTTGCGAGGATCATGAATCCTTCGCCTCCACCACGAAGTCGGCATACATCCTTTGACGTGATTCGTCATTTGTGACTTTGCTTGCATTGGTATCCCGCCTGTATAATTGAAGTATTCTTTTGAATTTTTGCATTTGAATGATTCATGCTAGTACAAGAATGCAGTACAGTAAGAAAGATGAATATTTGCCAGCGCTAACAACTGAAACCAATTTATACCGGAGCTTGGCACCGGCTTCCTTGCTGAGGGAGAGGGCATCGCGAATGTTAGACTTTGGTCCAAGGTGATTGCTTTAAGGATAGAAGTAGTAAGTAAATTTTATTCCCTTATTAAAGACGCACAAGGTGTGGCGAGGTATCCTGACTGGATATCTCCCCTTGATTACTTAAAGTGTTAAAGCATACTGTGAGGGGAAACACAAAGCAAGATACTCACCGACACAGCAGGACTCTTGCTTCATCGGCTTCTTTTTCTTCTTCTTTCAATAAGTAAAAAACTGCTGCTAATGAGTGCCCTTACAATGGTTACCAGATGGGCACTCATTAGCGATTGATTGAGAAAGACGGTCCTTCTAATGAATGTACACACGCTCCTCGCGAACGCTTTTAACTTTGGCGACGCGTCGAAAATTGGAAGTGAGTTGAATCACTTGAAGGCTTGGTGGCCCTTACAAAAAGATATCACTTCGCTTGCTCCCGGCACAGCATACACGTTGATTAAGGAACAGAGGGTTACTTATCAAAAATCTATAATGATAATCCGTGCTCGCTCGTTTCGATACAGAAAAGATAGTACACTAGCGCGATAAATCCGATATTGAATTTGTCGCTTCAACATCAAGACCAAGGGAATTCTGGAGACCCGTTTTTCAGGGGAAAACGGAGACCAGGGAAAGGCCCCACGACAAGACGGAGCTTTTCTGCTTCTAATTTGAGCGTGAACAATACGCTTCCGACGTTCTACACGATTGACCCTGTGTTGCTGAGCGCAGACGCAGCGAGACTGCGTACAACTGTCGATCTAGGTACCAACAACATACTTGTTCTAGTAGCAGTAGTTGTACTAGAAATGTTCTGTTTCTTATCATGTACCATTACTATGTAATTGTGTCTACCGCACGCGCATGCTTGAGTCCCTAACTTTGGCGCAAGCTCGCAGGACTATCAGCAAACGCGACAGCCAAGAGACAGCCAGTCGCACCGTACGTATTTGAATCAGACAGGTCTCTGAGATACAATTTTTATGTAATGCGCTGGTGGAGGTGCTCGAAAGTCGCAATTGACTCCAACGCTAGTCTGAGGCCCTAACCAATCCCAAACCACTCCGTCCAGGTGAGCGCGTGGCCGTTTTTCAAGCTGTGAAGTTTGCGGGGGGCGGAGTCTCCCTCAGCACGGGCTTCTCGAGATCCCATCTAAAAGACGGTTTTACCTACGAGGTGTGGGTGTATCACCCTTTTGATGACGCGTCAAATCCGATTAAGGCAACCAATATTGCATCAGCGACTGCATCCTTGGCTGTTGTATTTTCCCAAGAAGGTGGGGAAAAGAAGACGCGAAGGATGGATGTTGGTACTAGCTATCGGGGTGAAACAAGTGACGATGTATTTCTATCTATCAGATGAAGACGCAAACCCCAAAGCTAGGGAAGATGCGAGATGTTTACTAGGTAAAAATAGCTCTAATCCGAGGCTTGAAATCATCGGCGGGATTGTCCATGGCTTCTACTTGATAAACAATTACCTCAGCTGCTCCGACGAGGCACCCGGTCCGGTGGATACTTAAGAGTACCTCTAATCCATCCCTATATAGATCCCCCAACCTCCGGGGAAACTCTGGAGGGATCTCACCTCGACGGATGAATTATTAGGAATAGTTCCAACATGAGTTAACGTCGCGAGACATGACCCTTTACACGGCGCACGTTGGTTACACAGGCTTGCAGAGCAATGTCTGCATGCGCAAAAATATTAAGACTGGTGTTTGGAGCATCTAGCGCCCTCTAGTTAGTACTTATAAATATGTATTTAGAATAAGGCAACGAGGATCCACTTGAGACAAGGCATGTTCGTCGTCATTTCATATACATCATCACTCATCACCGTTTGGGTTTGGAGGATTATCCTGAAGGGGTACACTACTACTACCACTGCTACTGCTACTGAGTTTATATTAAAAGTATCGCTTTGTCGTGCTTGTTAGCATTTGAATACGGAGCCCCTTCCACCAAGGGGAATTGAAGCTTCTTAAACCACTGACTGAAGAAATCCTCAATGGTGAAGTCTACGAAAATCTCCCGCAAACACTTCTTGCTTTGTTTGTTTCTTCTCCCTGCTACCGTTCTGTTGATGAGCATGACAAACTGTAACACACTGTAGGAACTGTTTTTATCCGACTACACTACCACTAGGCACGTAGAAGAAGTAGATGGGGCAACATTCATGTTTTTGCTCTTCTAATCTTACTTGGTATCACTTGGCTGTGACCATGGATAGCGGTGGGCTCATGCGCTTCTACGTGAACGGAGTACAGCGGCGACGTGCGGTGGTAGCAACCTTCCCCAATGTTAAGGCTCACAGTAATTCATCTTAGGAGGCATCTTGGACGCCTTCTCTAAGGGGAAAGCGCGCCAAAGTGGCCTTTGAAGATGAATATAAGTAAGGTCTAACAATAATGGCAATAACAAACTGGACCCACACGTTGGAGGTGGCTTCGCAGGCATGGACAGAAAAATGATGAACCTCCGCGTATGGCGGACGCCGCGCACGAGAGAGCAGATTGTGGCCCACGCCTACACCGTGACGTTACGGGCTTCCACATTGCATCCCGCGACAGCATTCTTGGCCTATTAGTTTCCCAATACATAGGAAACAACAAGTCAAGGGTCAACATGTTGTGCTGAAGTGGCATGCAATATTAGCGCTAGAGCCACCACCGCTAATCACGGCGGAGAAAATGGACACGACCGAAATGTTGAACCTGTGGCTTACCTTCCAAGATACAACGGAAAATTACGGCTTCCCCTAATCCATCTACCGAAGCATTTGCGAGACGTTTTCAAGGGGAGAACAGTCTCAGGATGTACTTGGAGATGGACTAGGGTGAGCTCCAAGAAAATTTGATTGCAGGCGGTAGAACCGTGTCGGGTGCTGAGGCGAATTATGACCGCGTGCATCTCGTCGATATGGAAATAGATTCAGGTCTGGCTGCCACGACCACGAGCACTACTTCGGTCGCACCTTATCATTAAGGCTTTCCGTAATTCATCTCTTAGTTAAAAGGTGAAGAATCAATCTATGACCTACTGTTTTGAGGGGAAAAAAACGTCAAAGATGTTGACCCTTGAGATGAATTTGTGCAAACTCGAAGTTGAAGATCACTCAATGGCTTTGACGAGCGACGGGCGGCTACCACCTGTTTACATGAGAGGCGTCCGCTTCGGGCAGCAGATGAGGTTCTCTCTCGCATCGGGAAGCACGGAAACATTAAGGCAACTTTTGATAAGCATCTTTTTATTTATTAATATGATCTTTGACATTAATTTTTCAAGAAAAGAAAAGGCGCCTTCCTCCCCCCGGGAGAAATCAATGCTCTCAGCACCAGGAAAAAAAAGGGGACCTCCCACAACAATCGCTAGCCATCAAGTCGTCTTTTCGAATATCTATAATATAGATATATTATTATACATACCTCCTTGATGTTTTTTGATGTTTTTCTAGTTAGGTCTGCTCCACCAACATTATACATAGTTTGGGCTGCGTCTTTTTTTTCGTCACTAGCTGCTCTAAAAAGAAATTTTCGAGAGACGGGTCTGACATGGGAAGCATGGATTCGTCACAACTATGCATGTAGCAGATGCGAATTAGCGAAGGAAATATTCGGACATCCTACTGCTGACATTGGTCTGTACCTAGTCTTAAGGGTTCCCACATTACATCCTTCACTACCCGAAACTCACTGACTCTTTCTCCAGTAAGTTTGAAAGAAGTCAAGTATGTTCTGAAGAATGGAATGTCGGAACCTCTAATATACGGCAGCGTCGGAAGTGCCTGTGGGGAACAAGCGACCTACGGATACTCTTACGGCTACTTTTTCATTACAATATTTAGATATCATAAAAACTCCGTGCAACGGGGATGGACTGCTAGCTTCTATTTTTGCAACATCTCATAGATATATTTATCATCGTGAAGTGCGCGGGTACAACTACTAAATTAAGGGGGTGAAGAGTGAGAATGCACCGCCTCACTCATTTGTATTTCTGAGTATCTATGTAGAACTAGAAGGAGGTAGAAGGGGGATCAGCCAAGACGAACCCACCGAAGATCAGATAGAAACGACAAGTAATCAACAGCGTTCCTGTTTTGCCTTCCGTTATACCCTATTTGGTAAACTTGCTGAACCCGCCTTAGATTTGGGGTATACTAGAGTGCCAAAAAAAAAGACTACGTCCGCGTCTAATTTTGGGGCCCCGCTGATGGGACTCGACGCATGAGCACGTTTCGGCTCCGGATGGGCGGCGCAGGCCTTCTCGGGAAGACCTGCTTTCGGACCAATGTGTGGTATCACGTTGCGGTCGTAGTTGACAAGGATGACGACTACAGTTAAGGCTCATCGACATGGAAATGCCAAGACATGGCTGTAACAAGTAGTAGTGTCCCCCATGATTGGGTACACTACTACTACTTTTCGGGTGCATAATTGAGAAGATTGACTGTTAAAAGATTGAGAAGAGTGACTTGCACTCTTCTCAATTTATTTTTATTTAAGGTTTTTAAGATCATCCTGAGAAAGTGAACGCCAGATCATCTTTCTTTTAGTACCATAGGTGTTTCCTTCTTAACATTCTGAGAAGATATACTTGGGAAATGAGAAATTACCGTATCTATGCTCTGTGATAAGAATGAGAAAGGTGAGTCTCACAGATCTCTTTCCTCTAAAAAACAGTTACATATTTTGTTAACGGCAAGGAGGAGAACAAGCGGAGCTTTGTCAATGCAAATAGAAACACCCACCTGAAACTTGGCACGACTTTGGGGGGTGGCTTCACGGGGCCGGGCGAAGCCATTAGGATCGCACGGATTTGGTCAACTCCCCGAACCGAGACTCAAATATTTATGAACAAACAAGCCCATTGTAATTTAGAGACAGACTTCATTGACTTTTTTTTAAGGCTACCACGATAGTATCTATCTCATTCATTTCTGTACGTAGGGACGATCGTTATATATAACAGTGGGAAACTAGAAGCATACTCCACTAGTTTTCGTAGAAGCTCCATAGCAGGAAAGCAGACAGTACAACTCCAGATGAGGGTCCATCTTGTGGGCTACCTGCAAGTGGAAGAATCTTCACACCAAAATTATTTTGAGTAGAGTAGACGAAGGTTCGTCAGCACAATTATTGATTATAATATATGTTCCTTCCCCCGTGAGGAGCCCGCACATTGGGGGGAGGTCTGTCGGGGACATGCAACACGGCAAGGGGGCGAGTGTGCGGGCTCCTCACTGGGGGAGACTCGCGGGGGTTGGGAGGCCTCCGAGGGCAGCAGGTGGCAAGGCTTGACCCTCTTCGCCGTGCTGCATGTGTCCTACAGCAGGGTAGTCTGTAGCACGCATGGAGTAGCATGGAGTGCATGGAGCAGACGCAGCATCGCCACGCATGGAGTGCATGGGGCACGAACAAGCCCCCGGCCCACCCGGGGGTGGGTGGGTCGGCGGCTGTAGAAGTCGGGGTCGGTTGATCGGCGAGACTGACGCCGCGGGATCGCTGCCTTGTGCGTAATGCGGAGGCGTGACGTCGCTGGCGGCGCTGCAACAAGCTGATTTGTTGCGCGCCCCAAGGCCCCGGCCCGCGTGTGAGTGGGCTCGGAGATGTAGCAGTTGGCTCGGGGGCTGGCGGTCTGGATGCTTGAAGGCCCCGCTCAGGGTGCCGGGCTGGAGGCGTGTGGGCTCTGACGAAGGGGCGCCCGAAGGGCGCACCGCAAAAATTTTCACGCATGGAACGCATGGAGCACCTGCTCCATGCGATCCGTGCACTCCATGCCATGCGAGCTGCCAAACCTTATAAATTTTTCTGCTACAGAACCCAGGCGGGCACGCAGGCACTGCCCCCACTCCTCCTCGCCTTTGGTCCTCAACCCCCCCGGGCGTTTGGTGGCCGCTGACGCTGCCACCGACTGGGGGGAAGGGGATGAGGGCAACCCAGCAAAAGGGGCCAGGCCTCGCGACCTTCGGCGACCTTCTACCCCCGGAGGCTGTCCCCGTGATAGTGTCCAAAAGTCGGAACGCCTGTGAGGTACACGCGGAGAGCCGCAAGGGGGCTCCCGCTCCGGCTCCGCTTTTTGAGGCCTTCGCCCCCACCACTGCGGAAAAAAGGGCGCGCCGACGCCCCCAAAGTAGCTCCATCCACAGGGGGGAGCCTCCCTCCCGGGTGCATATGTTTCGAAGTTTTTACCTTATATATAAACAGGTTTTCACAGCGAGCTTCATTATAAACAAAATCAAATTTCTTTGAGTTGTTCTAGGTACAAACTTTATTAGTTTAGCGGACAGGAGCTGAAGCTCTAAAATAAGGTGGAAATCGGCATTGCTTTGAGTTGTTCTACTAGAGAGAAACTGTTTTTTGGCTGAGAGGTAAAGTAAGTATGGCCTGGGGCATAAATCCGGGCAACATATCTTTCGGGGTATTTAAGTCTGACTTGCGAGTCGGACTACAGAGCGGAGTTTCTCATGGAGGTGGGCTCTGGGTGGTGTTTTTTATCGATGTTAAACCTGAAAGTAGCCACTCATCCCGTTCTTGCTTGAGGATCTTCGTTCCTTGATTCTAGTGCTTGAATTGAATGCTAGGACTTCATAGAATAATTTATGGATCTAGATCTTGTTAACTGAAAGGCGAAGTGGAGATAGAGTGTGGAACTTATAACTTAATTTGATCTAGGGTTGCAGATCAACTAAGAGGTGATCCTCGAGGGATCTCCAGACATTGAGATAGCACAAGGTTGACTGCAGGATGAATTTCGACGCATACCTATGTATTGACTCACAGGGATGCAATTCGGCCGCATATCGATAGGTCTGCACTTGTGTGCCGGTTTAGGCTAGCGCTCAAGGCCCATAGAATTTCGACGTTCGTGCGTATATTTTTTGAGCTTAGTGCCCCTCTTACAGCATGAGTTGAAGGCATTCATCTGCAGGCCTCGTTATCAGTAATAATGATAAATGTAAAAAACTAGTAATAGAACAGTTTATAGCACGAATGGCGCAGGGGACGAATGACATGAATGGCACACCCCAACAAAGCCCAAATGTGTCACGAATGGCACGAATGGCACAGGTTGGCAGGGTTCCGCCAGCTGGCGCCCCTGGTCTCCTTTACTTATCGAGTATTTAATTCGTCTGTAAGTGATTCTGCCCATGAGAGAAGCCACATCGGTCGACAGCCGGCGGCGAGCGAGGAGAGGGAGGCGCGGGTCCCCGTCACCGTTTTGAAAATGGTAAGGGAGCGGGCTAGGGAAACAGCGGAAGCCGCGTCTGAGGAGTGCAGAACTTCACGCAAGGCGTCGCATGGGCCTCGTTTTTTCCCGGAGTTCCGTGAGGGCCATACAAATTCGGACGAATTTGCGTAACCCTCACGGAATTCCGGGAAAAAAATGCTACGAGACCACCGGAGCGGCATCGGGGTCCAGCTTGAAAACAGGCGTAGCCGCGTGCCTTGCGGTAGCCGTGACGACGAAGGGAAGAGGTCGCGCCGAAGCATGGCGCCTTGCCCGTAGCGGGGCGGCGGCCTTGGTATCTAGTGGAACTGTGTGAGGGATGTGCGTTTGGCTGAGTGCAGGGCTTGGCGCCTGAAGGGTGCCCCGCGCCCGCGGGGTTCTTGGCGGTCGGCGTAGAGCATCGAGCAGGAAGCGGCAACCTAGTGGGGGGCGCAACGCATCGGAACGCAGGGCGCCCGAAGGGCGCCCCGCTCTCGGAGGTCTATATATTTGGTCCACGAGTGGGACGAATGGCGAGGTCGATCGCGGACCCGGATTGTGCCCCCCCCATCCGTTCCATTCGTGCCATTCGATCCATGCCGTCCCAGATCTGGAACCCTTATAAACTCCTCTACGATAATAGATCTTAACTAATTGAGTTTATGCCCGTAGCCATTTTGGCTCACGGCAAGAGGATGAAGACACTGAATAAACGAATTAAATAACTGGCCAAAAGAATTGAATATGACGCCGCGAGATCCCTACCCCGTATGATGAGCACGGCCAACTACGTAATGTAAGTAAGAGGAGCGCAGCCAGTCATCCGGGCAGCTGGTTAGTGACTCCATACGTACCTACTTGGTCTTCGCGGTGGTTCCCTAAATGTTTCAGTGAGTGAAATAAAACCGAAAGGAAATGACAAGCCAAAATGAAGGTGGGGATCGATCCGCTGATCGCAGCCAGCGACGCGACCACCGAGGAAAGATAGACCGGAGTGCATGATCGCCGCGCGTGGGCCCGACTCAATCAATGCGAATCTTGCGGACAGGCTCCGATGAGTGGAACCACAACCCACCGAGGAGACCGGGGCGCCGCTGGTGTTCAAGTTAAGGCCTCAGCTGCGACAAGAAGAGGAAGGGAAAAGGGCAGGGCCAGTTGCGCAGGGTTATACTTATATATATTATATTATAACAGGGGGCTTCTTGTGCGCAACTGGTTGGCCAGAAGGAGAAGCACACGGTAAGGCTAGGAGATATACCCTTGCGCGTTGCGGCTAGAGTTGTTCAGTGGAGCCGACGGCGGCGCGTACTCAGGATTGTGGAGCTGAGCAAGCAACGCCAGCGGTCGCTTGCGAGCCGCATGCTGGACACCAAGGAAGTAAAGAAGGTCAGTGTGCACTCGGTTCTTCGGAGGAGCGGAAAGACCCTCTGGGACATCGGTCATGTTTAACGGCGCCGACTTTACTCAGGTCACCCGCCTCGGTGCTCGATGTTGACTTTATTCAGGTCACCCAATCATCCTCGGAGGTGAGCCAGGTGCCGGGGGGCTCGATGTACAGGATTCACAACCTAAACTTAACCAGTAAAGTGTAGTAATGATATGTAAGCGCGTGCACTCCTTGGGGCGCTCCGCCTGCGCTTCTGTTGGCAACTCGTGTGCGGACGTAGCAAAGGCAGCCTATTCTATCCTATCCTATCCTATCCTATGTATAGTCCTAGTTTATGTAAATTAAATAATATTTAAACTACTAATTAGTTTTATGATACTACATGCACTTACTAATAAAATGCCGACTATCTCACTTTAGATATTTTATTTAAGTAGGGCTCAAGCTCTAAACTAAGGAAATCGGCGCTCGTGCTGAAAGCTTCAGACCTGGATACGACGGAAGGGCTACTGGCCTTTTGGCCTTTTCTGGAGAATATGGGTTCGGCTATTCCAGCGGCCATGACTCCACATTATGACCGGATTTTTGAAAAATAAGATTCCCACCCTCAAGTGGAAAGAACATATAAATAACATCAAAGACATCTCAGGGTGAACTACAGACAGGTACGAAAATGCTCCTGAACCTGTTGTACGATATTTCCTTCACGAAAAGAGGGCTAGTAGTTTCCTCGCTATGTATTCTAACTAGAAGTAGCTTTTGTTTCATAATGGTTGGCTTGTCTTCCTCTCTCGTAGCAGCTGTTTTTCGGTAGCTTTTTTGCCGTTGATGTCCCTCAGCATCATCTCTTTGGTATAGTGTCCTTTTGTTGATCGCATAGATCAGAAGAATACAAGCAGGGATGAAACAAGGCTACTATCGAAATAGCAGGGAAGAACAACCAGATGAGTTATTGGCCCTATAATTCATCTGCATGTCGTTCTGCTTGTTCCCTTCATTGATTTCTAACGACATCATAACTTCTTTCAAATCAAAGCGTTGTTCCCTTTCCGCACATTTTTTCTGTAAAAAATAAGGGCACACGTTTGGCTCTAACAACAGTTTTACTTCACCGAGGGGCAGGCGAGCCCAGAAGACGGACCACCAGTATTCTGGGAGGACTACAGTTATACTGAAGCCGCGGCTTTGCGGGATAGTAACAACTTGCTCAGGCCGTTATCGCGCAAGCCATTTTTAAGGTTCCAGGAAGGAATATTACTCACATGAAAGAATATTCTGAACTATAAATATTGCGTAGCCATGGCACAACAGTTGTATGCTCATGATAGGGCGATAGGGTCCCAATTTCCAAAGCTTCTTCCGGAAGACATGCACTTGGGACTCTCATGGTATCTATAGTATACATAGTTAGAAGGTCACCTCGCTCAGTTTCGCTTCTTCCTAGTTATAGCTGAGTAGATTCTCCTCAGAATTTGCAAAAAGGGCTGTTAGCATTTATAGCGATTTTCCATGATTTCTGAGCGTATTTCACCTTCGAAGCCAAAGGAAAATTTGGAAGGGAAAGGAATGCACGCACTTTATTTGACGACGCCGAGGGATAATTTAGTAATTAGAGATGCTACAGCCCAAGAGTGGGCACATTAGTCACTCAGTCAGTCAATCAATCAATCAATCAATTATGATCGACTACGACTACCTCTAAAATTTGTTCGGGCTGCCGTGGATCGTGTCGAGTATAAGGGGTGTTTCCTTGACGACAACGTGAACTCTCCGATGGAGCACGTGGGCTCCGCAGTTAAGGCTCAATGAGATAATTCATTCCGATGACTTCGTGTTTTTTGTAACTCTATCCAGTCGACAGCCACTATCAATTCTATTTTTGTTGTCATCTGATACTGATTTTATCATTATCCAAGTTGTACCACTTGGCAATCCATCCTTCATAATTGATCTTCCGTCTCCTCGAGACGGATGCTGAATGATGATAGCAGTCATTTTTTTCTATCCGCTTTCAGCTTCAACATTCTTGCTCTTTTGTTAGGGATGAAGATCTTGATGTGAAGATCTTTGTCAATGTCTAGGTGCTGGCATGCTAACACTGGTTAGGCTCCATGGAATGGAAAATCATCTTGGTACTCAGATCCCTCCCTGCTTATCCCGAGAGAGTAAGAGCGGCCATTTTTCTCTATCCCTTAATAGGACTTGTGACGATGATGATGTTCTTAGGAGTAGTGCCCGTCCTGCTGCAGCTTCGTTAGCAGGCATTTTTGTTTTTCTACTTAAGATTCTCTGAGAAAAGAAGACTTGGGTTTTTCTGGAATATCTAAGATAGATGAAAGCGGCAGTCCGCACAAATACTCGGTGGCTGAGTGCGCGGCGCTTTGTGGTGCCAAAGGGCGCCCTTATTTCGGCCTGCAGTACGGAGGTAGCTGCTCCTGCAGCAAAGATTAAGGCCACTACTGCTCCTGGCACAAACTTTCATAGTCGTGATCGTGAACGCTCACTCTCCGAGGCGAGCCAATTCCTATCCTATCCTAAAATGCACATCCTCGATCTCGAAGATATTGTAAGCATATTTTTCCAGTGACCTTCGTCCACACTGTAATTAGTTGTAGTTGTTAGGGATCGATGGATCGACCTCTCACCTCTGTGTTTCAAGGAAGAAACAAAACAACGACGAAAAAGGGACTCTGGTTTGTAAAGAGAGATGTGTGTTTTTTCTGGTTGGACCTTCGTAGGTCTAATAAGAGTCTGATCCTGAAAGTTACGACGACCAAGGAACTGCGGACGACTGCAACGTTGCGTGTGCGGGGCCCAATGCTGAGTTGGATAGGTGGCACAAAGTGTGGGGTCCTAATGCCTGCGGTGGTGCCTACGCGAATTCAGTGTTCAAATTGCCCGAGCTGCACACTTATGTGGGATGCTTTCCAGATGAGGAGGATGATCCCGCGATGACGGAGGTCTTTCTCCACATGGAGTGCGGTAATTTTGGATATATATTTTTATCAATCATAATTCTTGACACAATCAATGTCGGGGACGCTAGTACTCTTTATAATAGACACGACATAGACATATGAAATTATTTAGCGACAACGAACATAGCAACCATGAAATTTTACGAGTAAATTATGCGCCTTGAACAACAAGTTGTAGTGATAATTGTTCTTCAAACCTTGCACAAGATGTCGTTCTCGAGTTCTTAGCGAGATACTTTAGCATTGAACCGCATATGCTGGGTTTCTCTGGGATTTCACCGTCTTGGGTCATGCTCATCTGATTTCCTTGGATAGCGCGAACAAGAGAACCAGTTATTTTCATGTAGTCCGCCAAGAGGACCAGCCCCATTATCAAGTTTACTACTTAGGACAACTCCTCATCGTGATGTCTGTTCTCTTGAATTTGAACTGCCAAATAACAAGGTTACTTCGAAAGCGCCCTGGAGCACTGTGAGAGCGCCTGTCGCGCGCAGTACGCTACTTTCTTCGCTGTGAAGAACGGTGGACAGCGCTGCTTTTGCGGCGGTGCCGGCAACGGCGAACTCGCAACGTGGCAAGTTGACACTACAAGCATAGCGGAAAAACCGGGCTATCGGAAGCATACGTCAGAGCATGAAACTTCTTCTTGGCTGACTGACGGCCAGTATTCGGACTATTTTTGTAACGTGGCCTGCGTGAGTCGAATGGACCAGCTTGGTGGCTACCGCTGCGGTGGAGAGAAAACCAACAGTGTCTACGTCGTGCGGTCTGGTACAACTACTGCTACTGGTAGTACCACTGACTACTATGATCCCAACTACGACCCCTATGCTTCTACCGCGACTAGTAGTACCACTGACTACTACGATCCCAACTACGACAACTACGACCCCTATGCTTCTACCGCGACTAGTAGTACCATTGACTACTACGATCCCAACTACGACGACTACGACCCCGATGCTTCTACCGCGACTAGAAGTACCACTGACTACTACAATCCCAACTACGACAACTACGACCCCTATGCTTCTACCGGGACTAGTAGTGCCACTGACTACTACAATCCCTACTACCGACGTAAGCTGGACGGTAGCGACTTTATACGCGATGCCAGAGAGAAGGCATCGCTTCGTCAGCGGAGGACCAAAGGACATCGGTTAGGCCAGACGTCCTCTTTGAAGTCGGAATTGGACACGGGGACGAGCACACAGAACAAGGATCAGGGAAGAGTAACGCGTCGGCTTCTCTCTGCAGCTAGCGTGGCATCAACACGTCTGTTGCCGCCGCATGTGAGTATCCCACAGAAGCAATCGGATCCACAAAAAGTTGACCAGCGAATGAAAGATGCCGCAGACGAAGCCTCCGCAGTGTCTGCGACGCAGTACGACGGCCTCGTCGAGAAGTATCCTTGGCTGGGCAGCCACATCGGGGAACACTACGCGACACAAGGAAGAGCCGCACTGCCTGATGCGATGACCCTAGCGGAGACTTTGCGCGAGGAGGTGTACCAATCAAAGGAATGGCGACGTATCTTACGCCTAGCTGCATTGGCAAATGCTGACGCGACGTCCTGGCACGATAGGGGGAACGGTCGAAACTGGGCCGCGTTTGCGGCTGAGATTCCAGACTACAATCGTCCGCTGTCGGCCCAGGATATGCACCGCCGCAAGCTGCACGCTGACATTGGCAATGAACTACGCCGAATGCTGAAACGGTTGGCTGCGAAGTGGATGAAACGCATCCATGTGGATGTGGAGCTGCGCTCTTCCTCGACAGAAGACGCAACAGAGGCACCAGAAGATGGTGCGAGTCCGCGTGGAACCTTTTTGAGCGCTACGCAGGATGCCACTGGTGATCTCAGGAAGCGCCACGAGGGCCGTCAAGAGACGGCGGCGACGTCCACTGCATCAGGAGAGACGCCGCAGCATGAACTTCGTCGCGGACCTCGGCGCAAACTGCAATTGATGGTGACGCAGCGGCAGTACCCTGACGCAACGCCGGAGGAGGATCACGAGTACGTGCCACGGGACGAACAGGACGATGAAGAAGATCTGGCCGACCTCATTCTCTGGGAGACAGAGGCGGGCCGCGATCTGTTGGAGACTCTTGAGGCAGCCTTCAGACGGCACCGGGAGCACCTTCGCTTGCAGCAGCTTGGAGGATCTGGTGACGTTGATGTTAGCGATCCGCGGCTTCTATCGTCACCTGTGTCCTCGAGCGTGCCGAGCGGAAATCCGTTTGATAATGAAGCGTTCACATCAGAGGCGAGCCTGGGCGCAAGCGCAGTGCATCCCAGCGATATTCACGACGGCCCGCTAGGCTTCGAAGATGTGGTGCGGCGGCTCCTCGAGTCAAAAGGCATCGAGACCGAGACTCCTATGGAGGTGGAGCAGAGAGCTGCGCGACGCGGTCTCCGCGTGCGCAACTCGACCAGCGACCCAACCTCGGCGCCAACGAGATTCCTTGGTGAAACGGAGTTGCTGCAGGTCTTTGCGGGCGATCCTGCCGCGGAATTGTTTCACAGCGGCTTTGATGACCCCGAGGAACAAGCGATGCAAGGTGCTTTCGACGGCTCTCCGCGCTTGGAAGTGAATGCTACCAGTAGTCCGACAACTCTGCGGGAGTTGCAGCAAGTTCCTTCACCTGGTCTGTCGAGGGCAAAGAGCAACGCTGTATCCGCACTCTTGGCGGAAGATGTGGACGTGGAAGCGCAGCAGCGGCGGGAGCTGCGCGCCGAAGCGGCACGGCTGTTATCCGGGGAGAACATAACAACTGTGTGTCCTCCGGGCACTCTAGACTGGACTCAAGACTCGCTGTGGCCACCTAACAGCAAAATCACGGATGTTCCCCAGTGCGCGTGGCAGTTGCTGAAGCAGAAGCAGCTAGAGCAGTTAGGCTTCTTCGATATGAAGCACGATACGAGCAGCACGGTCGACGCAACGGCTGCAGCCAATGCGATTGCCGATTTCGCCCGGTCCGTTGCAGCCTTGATTCCAACTAAGAGAGTGGTTTCCTTCAACGTCCAGACCGTTTCCCTCATCAACCTGTTCCGCGACAAGAGCAGCGTCTACTTACCGCGAAGCCGGTACTTGCCAACGCCGCGTGAGAAGTACACTTCACCGGAGAATCTGAGCGTAGACCTGGCCATATTCGTGATGCCCAGACGAGTGAAACTGAAATTCCTCTGTCCCTCGAAGTATATTCCTGGCGAGCGCATCACAAACATCTACGGCGTCATGGGCGACTTGTACTCGAACTACCACTCGAAGTGGGCCTACCACATGCGGGACCGGTTTCAAGTGAAAGAGTGCACAGTAACCCCATTCTTCGACGCGGAGGGACGCACTCTGCGGCCCTGCATTGATCGGAGGCAGATGAAGATTCACAGCCCGGGAAAATTTCGCCTCTTTTGTCTAGCTGAGTTTCCACCCAAGAATGTGATGGACTTCAGCATCCAGGGACCGCTCACAGGCCACTGGCTCGTTCCTGAGGAACGACCTGACGTGAATGACAAGGCGCTTATGCCGGAGTACCAGGTTGATCTTGAAACGACCTATCAGCTCACGTTCGACAAGAAATTCCTGGAAGTCGAAAGACATTTCATGACCCAGTCGGCAGAAACAGACTTCGTCGACGGGCAGCCTCGACTTTGGGCCGCAGAGGTACCTATGTATAAATATAGAGTACTCCTTTTTTGGTTCTTACAGTTACAACTTTGTTCGCATCGAGGAGATGAAACACTTATACATAGTCACATTCATAATCATAATTCTAGTCCTTTCAGTTGGTTTAGTTTTCGTTTGGGTAGGGCTTCCGCGTTACAGCACACTCGTAGGAGATACTCACCGATGACTGTAGATACGACCTCATGTAATTGTACCATGCGATCGCAAAATACTACTTGACTGAATTGGTGTAAAAAAAGCAGAAAAAAACAAAAAGCAGACTGACGACTAAAAAAAGGCGTTCTTCCATATCCATAAAAATGAAGACCATCATTCTCCCACAATGCTCACTACACAACAATACTACCACACAAAACAGACGTATGCTCGCGGGATGGGTTTGTGTGATTTGAGTGTTCGCGGATGCGCTCAGGGCATACCCGCCAATCCGCCGATGATGTTCCCGGGAATTCTATTGCGCGTGAACAAGGTCCGCACACAGAAGCTGGTCGAAGCGGTATCCCCCAAGTACTGGCCCAAAGACCCCATTGCCCTGGCGACGCTGATGGAGGGCATCGATAATACAGAGCTCGACTTGTCGGACGGCTTGCGGCAGTTGTCCAGCGCAGAGGATGGCTACATCGGCATCAAGCCGATGACCAACGTGATGATCCGGGTCACTTGGCAAATAAACCCGATCTACGTCGTGAACAAGTGGTCCGGTGCCATCCAGCTCGACCGGTGGACGCATAGCATCAAGTCTCTTGACGTTGGCTTTCGCTCAGCGCCTGAAACTATGGCGTCCACGGCGGCGGTGCGCATGATCTTCCTCATCGACTCGGCCAGTCAACGCTTCCAGGAGGAGCCGTTGCTATCTTTCGCGGACTTCATGGCGCTGATTGGTATTTCGGGCTCATCATGATACTACCTTTTCGGAGAAAGATTTTACCATGTAAATAAATTCATGGCGCTGATTGGTATTTCGGGCTCATCATGATACTACCTTTTCGGAGAAAGATTTTACCATGTAAATAAAAGCGAGTCGCACAACAACTGCGTTTTTCTAGAGAAAGAAATATAGCTTTTGTTGGGAGGGGTGTCGATTGTGGTGAGGGTGACCACCAGCTTGTTAACATCTTGAAAACCTATTAAATTTCAACAGGTGCCTACGCGGGTTACGGAGGCATTCTTGTGATGATCCTTACGGCGTGGCAACGTGTTTTCCGACCGTTCGGCGTAGTTGATTTTTACTATGTTGACGAAGAGTACGCGAATGTCGTTGACCGTTGGTATCAATCGCAGATGCGGCGGTGCGGCTACCTGCCTCCGGGAGAGGAACCGCCAGAAGAAAAAGTGGCAATTGAAATGGAGGAGGAAGAGCTAGGGTCTGATGTCACTCCAGAGTCGACGACATCCCGAGAGTCGGAGATGCGTCGAGAAGAACTACGTGCCCGCAAGAAGAAAGCTGCCGCTGAAAGAAGAAGGTAATATGCACCTGATAGATAATGATCCAATTTCAATCGTTGGTTTCGCAAGGAAGCATAGGACCTCAGATAACAAATTTTCAACCTTGTGATTGATGATTTATTGTGATCTTTCTTCGTTTGGCATTATGATCGTCTTTTTGTTTCTCACTGTAGGAAGCGTGAGGGCGATGCCGTCGTGATCGAGAACGAAGAGACGTCGGATGCATCGTCGGAGCGTGAGAACGTAGTTTTTTGGGTGCCCGGCGTGCACCATAAGGATACACCGAAGGTTCCAACCGGTGCACCGGCTTCTGCCACCGTAAATGACAATACTGGGCGTTTGGATTCTGCGAAGCTGAGGAAACGTTACCAAGGAGCAGGCATCGAAGGATTCCTGCGCAAGCCGCAGTACCTCCTGGGCGGTGATGCGACACCCGCAGGAACTGCAAGGCGGCCTCCGAGTGGGAAGAAGAGCGACAGTCCAGTGCGTGGCTTCCGCGTCGAGGGCGTTGCGCCGCAGCCGCCCCCCTCGAGTATGGTTCCACTCGTTCCAACGGTAGCTGCAGAGCGAGTGGCTCCGCGTTTGCTGCAGACAGAACAAGAAACCAATGCTTCCGCAGAAACCACTGCTGCTTCACATGCGGTGCCTGACCCACAGGAAGGTGAGATTGTGCCTTACGAGCCGGAGGCGGAGGACCGCTTCGCGCTCTGAAATTTTTGAAATGTAGTACAGACAAGGCATGAACACGTCGAGAATAGAAGCAAGTACCACGAAAAATGCTGTAATACTAACTTACAATCTTCAACTTTTGGCAATCCTTGGATTTCCTTTTATCCATCGGATGTGTGGACGAGCTATATCTCTCAAGTCAGAGAATTCTGCGATTCGTGGAAATTAACGATCTAGCTAAGCTAGAGATTAAATGGAAGTATTTGGCACATGCTGTAGCTTCGGTAGTCGTACTACTCGAGATTATTACGGTTACACTTATTCTTTCTGAAGCAGATACAATCCCAATAGGACTGAAAGAGATGTGCATTTCTTGTGGGGATCAGACATGACCTCGGAATCCCATGCTATTGCGCAGGCAAGGAGTGTTAGATCATACACTTTTACAGAACCAAACTAAGTACTCTCATTGCAATCGATGATTTTCGACAAGATGAAAAGTTGCGATGATTCTTAATATAATAACAAGAAGTGCGAAATTAAGGCGGATGCTGACAGTAGTTCAATGTCAGAGTTGTAGAATGCACAATGAAATGATAATGCTTTTTTCATCTATTACTCAACTACAACAACGCCCCCCCCCTCTCTTTCCCTTTCCAATCTCTCGATCGACCCTCCCACCCTGCAGTGAAGACGCAGCGACCCACCACTCCCTCCCTATGTTAAATTCCCTATGTCAAGACTATTCACCCTACCAGAAATTTCGTGTTTGGAATTTTCTCATCTTATCTTCGCATAATGAGTTCTCTCATTCCAAGAAATGTGCAGATGGTATACCTTCAGTTTGAACAAATTGGTCAATTAGCATGCATCAAATGCTACAAGAATTTGTCAATTGTTGAACTATTCTTCTAAAAAAAGCAATTGGCCGGTAGGTCTTTCCACGTTGGTCAGTGAAAAGTAAAAGTGATAATTAAGCACCAGGAACGTTGAAATTAGTGCCCAGAACCTGGATATATCGAAATTAGAAGCCTCCTTGAAAAAGCATCAGTTTGAGAATGGATGGATTTCTGTCACTCTTGAGGCCCCCGATTTCTCAAATAGGTACAAACAGTGTCACGCTTTTTTCTCGAACGCATTCGCGTTCTCGAATAATTAGCATTCTAGACCAGGTCACAGTCTGTCTGGTCGTCATTGAATTGAATAAAATGTTGCTACATAATGTCATGCTCATGTATTTACTTAAGGTAATTGGATGCAAGGCTATACAAGATTTTGGTGATGCAATTGCAAAAAAGACGATGCAACAGAATTGTGTAATAGTTAGTAACTTCGAAATGAAGAAAGTAGTTAAAAAGATAATGTATCCTATGTATCCAAAAAGTTCGAACTACGATAAGCAGCGGGACCCCCTGTAATCCAAGATAAATCTGAAGGACGAGGACATAATGAACTTGAAAGAAATCACCACCTAGTCCTAGAAAATCGAAAAGGGACAATTTTTCTACCTCCGCGCGGGCTCGTGTCGTGTGTTCGCGCGCGCATCTGTGTGATGCGCAAAACTTTCGAAACTGACCACCTCAACTCCGTGTCTGTCAGCATGGTTAGAGGATGCCATGAAAATACACCTATCGGTTCGCTCATTTCAGCTGTTTGACAAGCTAGTGCTATATCTCTATAAAAAGATGGAGAACAATTGGATTCTTCATATAGAGCACTTGCAGAATATGAATGAAATGAATTTGAATTGATCGGTTGAATCCGAAGCTCGACGCGAGGATTTGTGCCCTTAGGAGCTACTCGGAATCACGTGAGTTATGTTATCAGCTCGATGTTGATGTTGTTCGCTCGGTGATGAGGTAGAGATCGAAAATGCAGTTTCGGTTTCGAAAGTCAAGAGAGTTGTAACTCACGCTTAATTCTCCGCCATGCCAGCCAGCCCGCCCCCTAATCATACCCATATTGGATTCATGCAATTCTACCTTGTGCGATTTGGTCCCTGAAGCAGGTTTTGTCCGTAGATCTTGATCTTCGCGAGACGTACACAGGCATTATCTGTAGCACGAATAGAGTCCGGACTAAGTTGATTGTTCACATGAAGCCACATATTTGCTAGCACGCGGCGGTGATCACAATTCTATAATTCCCCGGATAACATCATGAATCGAGCTGACATACGTCCTGCTGGCTGGGTGCCGGCCGGGTCTCGGTTACGAAAATACAAGAACGTGGACAAAGAGGGAAACTCCACGCGCGAGAGAGTTTTTGCTGGCGCAGATCGACTACTATCGAACAGCGAGTACTACGGTCGCGACGAAGAACAATGTACGAGCATCAACGAATTCGGCTCCATGCTAAACACTGCAGCGGTTGCAGACAGGACGGCAGAATCGGAAGTGAATGATGAGACACCTGCTGCATCGCGGAATGGACCAGATCGCATAAAAGCCAATACGAGTAGCATTATGGAAGTGATGAGCAATAAACGGACATAAATAATTTCTTGTATCGTTTGCCATTTACAAATTACACGCTGTCACTGGAAGACCAGTATTATTTAAGTTAGTTATCACCGTAGGTACTAGGAGTAGCACTACCTAGCAACACTCACTTGGTCGCTACCGATTACAAGTAGCCGTTTGCCCTTGTTATTTAGCATTTTTTGGTTTACTCTTCATGATCAGAAGTCCCGAGCGCCCCGCTGCGAGGTTCGAGTTTGAAACAGAGGGCAGTTCTCGTGCCAAGACTAGACATTGTGGTGGAAGCCCGCTGCAACTGCGTGGAGGTCGCATGGTGCCGCGGGGCGTGGTTGATCTGCCATCGACGGCGGAAACGGGGTCTCCTGTTGTCTGCTCTGGCCCGGCGCCACCAGATTCGGGTATGGCGTCGATGATTACGGCAGGAAACCATCCACGGTTTGCTCGGAACTGGGATAGAACCCCAGCTTCCGAGAAGTGCCGCCGCCTAGCGCACAAACGCTACGACAAAAGGGCAATGACACACTGGTAATCTTCACTCATAACGTCACTTGTCAATCGTAGCTCAGAACGTCACCGGTAACCTTTACCGAGATGGCACAAAACGTCAGAAGATGTCAAAATTTGTCAGATATGCTCTGATAGAAGTGGGCCTCCTTTGTCATGCATGGTTGTAAAAAGTAACATGATGGTACACGTAAATCTATGGTAATGGGGGCATCTTACAGTCACTACCGTGAGGAGTTCCGTGATAAGGAGTCCTAATCAATGAAGACCCGACTGGTCTACTACTTGTTCATGAACGCAATGTAAATCGAGTCAATGGTCTACCCTAAAAAGTCCGGTGTTCCCAACTCACTAAAACACGCGATGTTCGAAGTAGATGACATCAACATTACGACCCCGAATCGAAAATGTTCATGGGACTGACTCCTAGTTTCAAAATATTGATGGACAGCCCGAAGTGAATCAGAAATATTCTTTCCTTCAGAATGTAGAAATGCGTGTCTGTTTGTGAATAGCGAAGGAACAAGTAGTGCCGAGTCCAGTCAACGAAATCGGGCAGCCGCATTCCGATAGAAGGTCTTTGTTGGTTCAGTTTGGGGTAAGGTGCATCATCAATGTAAATCAAAGCAATTATTATGAATGATCCCAAGTACTGTTACTGATACATGGATCGCGCTTGGCTCTTCGCTCAGGTAGATCTGGTGGTGAGTACTATCTTCCACGGCATTTCAACGATCTGGGAAGAATTTTTATGGTGACAGAGGCGAATGTGACTCCTTACAGTCATCTTTCTCACTTGTACGGATGTGGATCTTTTCTCGTCAGTTGAACGTAGCACGTTGAAAAAGTATTGTCAACGCCCTGCGACATGCAATCATGTTCATCTTGCTGCCACTCATGGTGATTTATAACTGACAGTCAAAATCTGTAGCTAGCTGCGCAGTAGTTTCTTCGTCTGTCACTGTCTCATGCGTACCCCTAACAGTGCATAGGTATATTGCGGAACTGTGTTGATTTAAACTTTAACCATCTATTTCTTTTCTCAGCGACGCTTCGCATTGGTTGGTTGAAGGTTTCTTCTGCGTGTTTTTATCTGCTTTGTCTACTTGTTCTCAATCTTGACGGACTTGACTGCTTGATTGGATTTGATAAAAAGGGTTTTGTTGGTTCTCTATCGTCTGTTCACTGTAATTATAATACATATTCCTCAGCGTTGATGATCATATAAGTTTAGGCTTCACAATGTACAACGGTGAGGTAAACCTTGGCTCTGCCTTCGGGCCAGGGCCTGTAGAGGAGGAGAATCCAGAACTTGAGGCTGTTCAGGCAGCTTGCGATGCGCTTCCGCCAGAAACGGGTGGAAGAATTAAGGTTCTTTTTTCAAAGATTTCGAATGTTCTTGTTGGTTCTCTTTTCTGCTGTCCTCGACCACATAAGTTTAACTCATCTCTCTAGCTGCTAGGTCGCTAGTCGATTAATCTAGTGTCAGTATCAAATAATTCAAGTCCTTCTCAAACTTCATCCAATTTCAACACAGGAAATGTTTACCTCAAACGGTCTGACCATGGCGGATCTGGACGTAAAGTCCGTAATGGATCTTGCCAGGCTACACCCGACGCTCCAGCAGAAGGTTTTGCAGCACCTCGAGTCAGAAAGGGTAATAGCTACTTCATTCTTGTTGAGGTGCGAAATATATTGGCAGGGTGTAGCTTAAGAGAATGATGATTATGACAACGCACATTTTTGCGTTAAAAAATGCTTGCTTCATCCATTAACACTGTCTCCAACATGGCATCGACGACCTTTTTATTTCACAGGTCTTCCTTTGCAACTCGCGGTCAAAGTCCCGTTTTCTGATTTCAACGTGTGAGCGTGCGAAGCAGGGCGCATTGGATGTCAGAGGCTTTGGTGCCATCGATCCATGGAAGAGCCACCTTAGTGCAATCGCGGTCGAAAGACCAAAGACCATCGAGTTGATGAAAGAGTGGGAGTACATGGAAAGGGTCGGACATAGCGCAGTTGTCACCTTCTCGATCGATTGCTCATGCTGCGAAAGTCTCAGGGAAATGGGTACATACTTATAAATATGTAAGTTTCGTTCTGGAGTGCTATTTTAGTGGAAGTAGATTTCTCTTTCCTCGTGACGAGATGTTGTTTCGTTTTCCAGAATGGAAATAATTTCTCTTCATTTCATCTTGTCCGAAGGTGAAAATGTCGAGATGAGTTTTCCTATGGAGAATAGCGTGTGGGATATCAAGAGCAAGCTCGTCGATCTCGGCTGCACTCTCTCTTTGGGGAAGATCAAGCTGAAGCTGGATTCGAAGAAGAACTTGCCATGGCAGGGCATGCCAGAAAATTGGCAGCACATCGGCTTTCTGAAGGAAAAGTATAGCTTTGGGCATTACAATATGCCGCCAGGCCCTACTATAAAACTGACGCTAGTCTCGAAGGTGCGCGGGGGACGCAACAGAAGAAAGGACCTGTCACAATGCACTGCGCTACCAACAACACGAGCACCATTGCTCGCACAGCAGAAGGCAATAACAATAAATCCGATGATGGCGCAAATGATAGCAAACATGACAAAGGTGATGCAAGCCAAAGCTGCTGGCGCCCTCCCGCCGCAACCTGGAACAGCGCCTTCAGCATAATCCTACCGCAATTAAAATTAGCCTCGTTGAGCTACTCATACAGGTCTCTTTGCGAAACGAACGCAATGACTGTGAACTCATGATGCCCTGCCTACGCGAAGGATTTCGACATGGAGCCCATGGTTGATCCCACATAAAGATAAGGTTGTCATACCAGTACAACAACACTCGAGCCATCAGCTGAGTAGCGTACTTGCTTCGAAGCTGGTACACGGCGAAACACATTTAATGAGGTTTCGATGTTCATGCCACATCACACTAGGAGTGGAGTTCATCGCGTTTATCTTTATGCTAATCTTGAACGAATATTTGCAAGAGACGTGGAATTGATAGATACGTCCGTCTGTTGCATTCGGTGCTCTCTCTCGTTGTGTCCTCTTCCTTTTCGAAACCTTCCTCATTCAGTCATTGGACAAACAAAAATCATTGTTCACATTGGTAATCAGTATCGGTGAGCAGGGTTTTCTGCCGACGTGAAAAAATTATTCAAAAATTCGGTAGATGCATTCGGTGATGGTGAAGTTTCGGTTTCTATTGAGCGACAGAAGAGCTTGAAGCAAACACAATAAGTGGAAAAACCAACGATGTCTACAATTATGTTTACACCTCCCTATCGCTACCTTCATCCCCGCCGAAACTCCTAAATCCAAGACTAAGTTCCGCTTCCATCACGTGTAGTATTGTTCTAAGCATCCCTCGAATCCGTACAAAAATAAAGAATAAATTAAATCCACCATAATATGAAGATTTTGCATTCATGTGCGAGACCAGGCTTACTTACACGTACTTAATTGCTGATATTATTAGTACTATCCATCGATTACAAGTATAAGTAACTATAATGATATTGATAGCTGTGCTTAGGGTGGGAGAAGTGCTATATTGTCATCTTAGGTTGGTACATATTTAGACTACCATCAGTCATTAATCAGAGCGACGTTGTTCTGTGTCTGAAGAAGGAGAAGCTTCGACCTATTCCTTTCATACCCCTTTTGTATATTGCGTTGTCCCTCCTTGTTTCTATTTTGGACACCAAGGATTTGTCGAGAAAAACAATCATTCAAACTTCTTGGAGATGGCAAACAACCTTATTCCAAGCGTTCTGTGCCTTGAAGCTTAATGTTTGCAAGCACTTTTGGTTGCCGGCGCTGTCCGTCTTCCGTCTAGCAGACCACGATTGCTGTGTTGATTCTTTAGGCTACCCTAACCCTAAGCCACCTAACCCGGGACGAACAATGTCGTGGCATCTTCGACAAGACGACCAGAAATACCCGAAAGGGTTTAAGTTAAGGCTCAATATATTTTATTTCTACAAGAAGTCATTTCTCCCTGTTTCCATCTTATGACTGAGAGAAATGCAGGCAAGAGATGAATAAGTTCTAATTAAGGAAATCATCGAGCGCGATGGCGGCTTGTACAACGCGTGGTGGCAACGAGGAGGGAACAAACTCAATGAATTCGTACCTATTTCTTGTGTTAGATAAAAGGCCAAACTTCTATGTTATCGTAGGATGTACATCCGAGTTTGGTTATCTTATGACGTACGATAGCAGATATTGTTACCTCTGGGACTACCTAGAATTGTTTCAGTTTTGATGTGCTTAATATTCGCACGTCGTTGATTTCCACCTGCTTCTGGAAAAGTTTATTCCAGCAGGTTTCGTTGCCTATGTAACAAGAACAGAGTCTTGCTTCTACACCTTTGCTCAGATTGAGAAAGACCACATGTACCGAGCCAAGTGGTGCCGGCCGCCAGAGTGGATGGAGCAAACCGAGTTTAAGGACGTTGACAAGAAGTTTGCGAAGCTTCAGCAGTTGAAGAACACGGACTTTCGAAAGAAGGTGAAGAGGAGGGCGATGCTCAGCACATCAAAGGAGAAGAAAGCAGGAAACTGCAGCGTCCTATCCGACGACGAGGTCGACTCACCATCGCATTTGCGCGCCTCGGAGATACGCCAAGTAGTACCGTCAGCGCTTCTCGGCAGCGGTAGCAACGTGACACATCTAGTCGAGGATGCGTCGAGTGGTGTGGAGGCTGGCAACGGGCCAGCTACCTCGTCGTCGAAAGAGCCAATGCTCGAAATAAGCGAGGAAGAAAAGGCACGTAGGCAAAGCACGGCAGATGCAGCTGAAAAGCGGGCGCAGTTTAAGGCAAGGGGGCACAAGGGTACTTCTACTTCCGAAGAGATCTCTGGACGTACGCGTACTTAGCTCTCATTCCTATGTATGTATGACCTCAATCAAATAGTTGGTCTGTTTAAAGGCACTTTCTGGACGAGATTGCGTCGGGTCGTTATTTATTCACTCTTGGGCTTCACCTTTTTGAACAACACAGGTACTTACAAGTTCGGTCAAGACGCAACAGCAGAAGACCTCAAGTACCTAAACAAGACGCTAGACCCACGAGCGTTAGCCGGAAAGGCGGGGACTTACAAGTATTTTCATTCTGTCGACCGTTGACGTGATCAGTCTCTTACTTGTATCTAGCAGACGATATGTCAGCAATGATCGCCATCTTCGTTACTCAGTTATCCTCGCCTGAACCCTTCTTGTTCCAAATAAAACCAGGTTTGACAGCCATTGCGAAGAGGACTACTCGCAAAAATGGCCCGAGAAGCAAGCGAACGCGCAAAAGGATCGATTACCGCCTGACAGCGGGGAGAAGGTACGACACCGAAATTTGAACGACCCGAAACTAATCAATGACGAGCGCAAAACTCTCGGGAAAAAGGCGGAGAAGCGGGAGGAGCTCGAGAAGCAAAATAATCAGACGTCGTCTAGTAATGCATCACGGGTGGGAGGTCGGAAGGGACCGAGTACCAAGGGCGTCAAAGTCGACGTAGCACAAGAGCTTTGGTTTATAGACCCTATGCCCACCGCTTGCAGCGCGAGCTCAGGTGGCAAGCCGAAAAAGAAGAAAGCCAAGGATGACACCCAGCTTCTTCCGGGTGCGCTCACAGCTGAGGCTTGGGTCAAGGGTGACGCTGCGACATCAGCAGACCAGCCCAAAAGAAGTGCGGCCTCAGCGGGATCCAGTATTTTTTTAACATTCATCTACCTAGAAGCTGATACAGACGTGTTGATAGAAACAGGTGTGATTGTTCGTAATCTTCATTCATTTAACATGTCGAAGTGACGAATTCCGTGCTCATCTTCGTTTCTGACTCAAATCGATTTACGACAGCTCTCCGAGGGTCAGCGAAGTACACGCAGCATATAAACGTCCCGAAGCACTTGAGGAGGGAGATGCTTGGAATGCCAAAAGGTGGGCCTTTACTTCCGTATAAAGCATTGCAGAGGCTAACCACCTACAGCGATTTGGACTACTCACTGCTGAGAACGGTACTACTTTTACCGATGTATGACTTCCTGAAAAAGCTAATCGAAACTTGTAGGAGGCATGCAAATGGGATTTGAAAACTCGCTGAAGGGAAAATGTTTTTCATCGGACGAAAGGAGAATCGTCTTGAGGTTGTTGTTAACAAATAGAAATTTAGTGGAGCGAGGTTTTCTACTTTTCTATTTCAACCCCTAAACCAGGATATCCAAGAGGAAGTGAAGAAAACAGGGGAGATAAAGCAGTTCTACGACAGGCATCCGTACTTCAGAAAAGGTCAGCGAAGCCGTTTTTACAATAACTCGAGCCAAGCTGCGGAGCTGATTCACGCAGGTTCTTACCTATTAAGACTGCAAGAACAGTGCAAATTGTTGAATTGTGTGACCAGTTTTTATGAGGCCCTACCCTCTGGAACTGGATGAGCAAATCATGTTACTACCAAAATATTCTGGTAGTTTCACTTCCTTGAGACGAAGAATAACGATTTTCTCGATCTTCTTGAACGCTGGACTTTTTACGGCTACTGGTCAATATTCAGGTGCGTCAGAGAACTTTCCGGGCTGGGATAGTGACCCGAAGCAGTATCCAGGCTACCCCTTCAACAATGATTATGATCGACGGGAACGAGGAGAGTTGAGGCAGCACGTCGGCGAAGAGACCTTCGCGGCATGGGATAAGCCACTAGTTTCGGAGCCGCGAGAGCGCAAGCACATGAAGCCACGTCCGGAAATGAAGCGTCTGGAAGCGCAGCTCTCATACTTCACGCAGCCTCAGCGCAGCACGTGTTTCGCGCCTGACCACGACTCGGACGCGGAGAACGAGCAAAATGCCTGAGAGATTTTGGCTGCGGGGCAAACGGCGCTGAGCGGCTAGTGATATTTTTCATGCTCCTTTTGCCCGGACTAAATGAGTAGACTCTCCGTCTTCCCCTCATTCTGCTCTCTCAGTTACTAGAAATTTATCGTAAACGTTGTTTCAACACAAGAACCCACTAGAGCACCTTGCCACATTTGAATCGCCACAATGGATTAGCAGGGCATTTTTCTGACATCTACATCTATTTAAGCAAAAAACTCATTCTTGCAAAAAGAAGAAGTAGCAAAACTCGGATTTCCTATAAGCATATGAAATAACAGATAGTTTTTGTTCTTTATGATTTTCGGTTTTCGATTTTCACTATTGCGCCAACATCCAGCGCTGATGACGCAGAGATGGAAGAATCAAGTACGTGTTGTAGTCGTAGAATTTCATCGCCTTCGAAAATCTCGCTGTGAATTACTTATGCTCTGGTCACCTTTCGCTTGGTGTGCCCAGTCAGATGTTAGCTTAAGCAGAGTTCATCAGGCAAAAAAAAGGTCTGAAGGAACAGAATGGTTTTACTCCGAAACGAGAGAAGAGTGGCTTACAAGTATACAGCTTATTCTGTATACAGCGAGAGATGAGATTTATTACTTTACCCCGAGTTCTTAGAGACTGTTGGTATCGAACGGACATCACCCCCTGCCTCCTCCGAGCCTTATAAAATTTTATGTCTCGGTCGGTCATGAGCGACATTACATTTGATATGCCACCTCTGTGCTAAACATCGGCTAACGAGTTCTTTGGTGTGTTCTACCAGTACCTCGATGCCATGAAAGTATGATACTATTGTTGAAGGAAGATATTATCATGGAGGAGAAAATGGTTGTTAACATCCACGTGCCTGCGTTGGAGGTAGAACACTTGTGGTTAAATGTTCCACCCTCAGTCTCATGCAGTTGAACATGATATTCTGACCTGCTAAGCAGCTATGCGGCCGCAAAGGCTGCCTTGGAGCTTCCAATTTGTACGCCGTCCCAGGGCTAGTTCGTCATCGCTGCAGAACCGCGGGTTGAGACAAACCTACTTGTTTCGTGCTGCCGTGAAGCTTTCTTCTACGATGTGTCGTTGGGTAAATCAGAAAAGCAGCCCTAGTCTTCCGCTGAGTTTGCCGTGCAGATATTTTTCTTTCGGGTACGTTGGCCCACAAACTGAACATGACGAAAGGATCCACCGAAACCAGTCGCAGCAAAATGACCGCAAAAAACTAGGACGAAGAGACCCAAAGATGAGCAAACCGGTAGACGAGGGTCGCCACGAAGTCCGTGGGAGGAGTCAAAGTGTAATCCGCAAGCCAGAAGCTCTCTTCGATGTGGTGAGTGATAATGTACGAATAAAGCTCATTCGGCATCTCCTGCAGGAGGTCGCACAAGAAAAGTCCGACGCGGAGCTGGTCAAGGAGATTGACCTGAAGCAGCGCCTGATTATGGTAGTAGCAAGCAACTCAGTAGGTAAAGAGTTCATCTTTAAATCTTTGCTAATTTATGGAGCACGCTGCACGTCCGGGGCATGAGGCTCTCGGCCTCGGGAATCAGGTAGAAAAAGGTGGAATACTCACGTTCTCAGGTTGTGCACTTGGCCAATGAAATGGAGATCGGAGTTGTTTGACGATGAGCCAGGTCTTGATTCACAACTCGTTGATGATGATGAGATGTTCGTTCTGACGGTATCTAAAATTGTGTATGTTCTCGATCTCTAAAGTTTAGTGGTATGATGACGCTGGAATAGTTGAGCGTAGGTTGCTGACGGAGACTGACATTGCTGCGCTTCGGACTGTAGTTCGCCGCTATTGGGCACGGTTAAAAGGAGGCAAGAATACAGATGACAATGACCTATGCGAGGAGGATAGCCAGATCAAAGAACCGTTAACGAAGGACAAGCAGGATGAGTTACTTACTAGTGAGTCTTATCTTTCGACGACGACAGCAAGTGAAAAAGACAAGATGACCGTCCTCAAGGGGAAAGAAGAAGGCGGTTTCAAGCAGAAGGAGACTAGTCCTGTCGACTTCGTGCGTCAACTCCCAACACAGCTTAGCGATCAAGAGTCCTTAATCTATGTGCGAGAAACGTGGAGGCAGGAGCTTGATCGTCAGGGATTTGGGCTACTGGATTTGCAAATGTGTAGTACGACACAGCAACAGAGGGAGATGTGGCTCGATTGTGTTGCGAAATTCACGAGGCAGCTTATGCAATACAATGAGCAGATGGCTGCGAACAAAATAAACGAGCAGAAGCTGAGCAGCAGTGCTGACGGACGGAGAAAACGTTTACCCGCGAAAAATCAGGGACAACAATTAGCGGAGATCCGCGAAAAAGACGCTTTGGCTTTCTCTCACTACGTTACGAAACCAAGAAGCCAATGTCTGAGTCTGAATTAGAATCGGCTAAGTGCAAACAGAGCCTTCGCTGCTCGACAATGCTACCGTTTTTAGAAATTACCGATGATCAGTCGCATAATGGCAATGAAGAGATCTAGTTGACAAGCGTTGAAAATACGATCGATGTCTAAATATGGAAGAGACACCTTACAATGTACGAGAAAACTGCAAACAAACATCAACTTTGCTCTCTCATATTGACTCGCGGTAACGTGCAGGTGCAAGCCCACCCCGAGTGGCCTAGTACTTTGTTGCAACTTGTAACACAGGAAATAGAGCGGCGTTCTGAGAGACTGCAGGTCTTATGCGAGAAGGAGCTCCTTTTATTGCTGCTTTCGCGCGAAATTGGACGCAGCAGTAAAGGCGCAAACGTTGACAGCTCTCAAGTCGTCCGAGAACAGCTACAAGAGCAAGGGAGGTTGGAGACATGCGCGCTGGAAGCACGACTAGATCCTTGCTTCAGAGCCGAGTATTCCGAGGTTCTAAAACTGGCCGTATCTATTGAGAATGCAAGGGGCGGCGGTGAGTGTTCGCGGCGTCCTGGGTTGAGGAGCGCAAGAATTGGGAAACTCGCAAGTAGGCAATCGCACAACCTAGAGGACGAGTGGCACCAGTGGCTTATCGAGCGCGTGGAGGCTGCAGCAGGCGTAGAGCGGTTGGCGGCTTGCCAAGCACACCTCTACAGCATGTTCGACCAGACCGAGGAGATCGAAGCGCAGAGACAAGCAGTCAGAGACGTTTGTGAGGCTGCGCAGCGATTCTTCTTGGATAGGTTTGAGTTTGCCGTCGCACCGCATCAGCTGGTAGCGTTGTACAATACCGACGACGCACTAAAGATCCACACACGAGCTGCTGATCGCGCACGAAAAATTGGAGAAGTACAAAAAGTACAAAAAGATTAATTTCTTGTATAATTGGCTCTTGTGTTTACATCTGCTACTCCCTAGGCACTCTCAAATAGGTGCCACAATTTGGCCGGATAGTCATTATGATCTGACTTGAAGTCGACAGTAGAAGCCGTGCTTATCACTTTCACCACTCCTGTCCATAATTCGATCGCACCAGGAAATGGCTTCTCCGCTACGGGACAACGCATCATCACAGCCCAAAATACTTGCTGTTGTCTTGCGGAAAATCGTCACTGAGGAGCTGGAAAATTCGCCACGAGCTGACTCCTTAGTCCAGTGGTGGCTTTCAGAAGCGTCCGCTGAGGACAAACACAAGCACAAAGGTAGATTTGACAGGGGCAAGACCACACATTCATACAGCACGCACCAAAAGGGTTCTTCATTACCTAGAACAGTAACTGCCGCATCGAATAAGAGAAGCCTGAAAGCATAGGAGATTGTAATCAAGACGCGCCTTGTAAAACTCTAGTATGATCATCTTCTTCTTCACTGAGACCGCTGAATGACCTGCATTGGAACGTTTGCGGTCTAATCGCGCTGGGGATCAATCAGTGCCGCCGGAGGTGCTTCAAATCCATACAGCGCCCAAGAATCTTTCGAGTTCGACAACAGAGCACGAAGATCTACCTTGAGAAGCTGCGGAAATTTCTAGAGCGGATCTGCGAAAAACGGAAGATCTTGAGCCATGGAAAAGGTGTTGATTCCGAAGAGCCTTTTTGTTTGAGAAATATAAATATATCTTAGGAACAAGCTCTCCAAGTACTATGTGGAGCTTCTGAGATCGCGATGATGCATATTAGACCAAGAGGTTGGCTTTTCTGATTATTGGGCTATGATATTTTCTGAATAAATTCTGTCAGCAGGGGCGGATATATCTCTATCATTGCTTCATTGGTTTATGTTGTGCTGTTTTTTACGTTTCATGTAGTAGAAATAGAATAATGGTGGAGAGATGAACGATGACAATTACGTAGCCATCGAAGACAAGGTCGAGAGTGAAGGCATGGAGGGCGACGCTGCTCCCTTTTTATGGCGGAGCTTGGTGCCTCGCTTCATCCTCACGCTTATCGGTGCTTTTTGTGGTGGCTTGTGGTCTTATAGGACGAGTGACGGAAATTCAACGACGGACAGCGACTGTGATGGTCACGCTAGTTCAGGCAACGATGACAAAATACATCATGCATTTTCCGGCAAGGATGTGGCGGATCGACGGCCCGCAGAGGAGAGACGAGTGCCAATATCGGATATTCCATCTGCTAAAGACGTTATTGCAGAGTGTGAGCGGCATATTTTTGAGCTCGGAGTGTACCATAACAAGGGCGCTCTGATCCCTCCCGCGAGTGCAGCAACGAAAGAAGCCAAGGCTGCTTGGTGGAAACGTGTTCAAGAAGCGCGCACAGTTTGCCTCCAGGTGCTTGCAGTAGAGACTTCTCCTGGTGGTGAGAAGTCGCCCAGACGTGAAGCGTCTCAATCGGAAGCAAGGAATGGGTCCAAAACAGCATATGAGGAGCCCTCATTGAAGTGGACGCAACGAAATTTCGTGCACGCGCAGATGCACCCTTTCGATCGTTACTTCTTTGACTCTGAAGCTGGACGATACACGCCGAAGCGGTATGTAGAAGATCTGCGACGACGGTTCGGGGGCGTCGACTCCATTCTTTTTTACGGCTACTTTTTAGCCCAGTTCTTAATGGCAATGACTTGATTCGTGAAAAGGACTGCACCGCCTGTGTATACTAGTCAGCAGGGAACATAAGCTACCCTATCCCTTTCGGTGCGGATGATGCATCTTTGTTTCTGATAAACGTTAAACTCTCTTTGACTGTTTCTTCCGTCTACATATCATTTCTAATTCGCATGGCCTGTTTACCCGCAGCTTGGCGTCGACACTCGCGATTCTTTCGACCTTTTTGCAGCTCTGCCGGGTGGTCTACAAGCCCTCCGTGCAGTGATCACAGAGCTACGAGAGCAGCATGGTGTTCGCGTGTTGCTCCCATTTCTTCCGTGGGACACTTACACGCGGCAGAACATCAGCGATGCGGGCGAGATCGCAGTGCGTAAGTTAGGCGCGCTCGTCGCGCAGACAGGTGCGGATGGAATCAATGGTGACACCCTAGATTTCATTCCCAGGGAAATCTACGATCGCTTTCGAACTGCTGCAGGGGGACGTCTAGCGCTAGAGCCGGAAAATCTAGGAAACGTGAGGATGCAACCGTGGCACACAAACGGCTGGGCATACTGGAAACGAGATAGGGTGGAGCATGATGGGTAATATTCTCATATTTCATACAAGTCACTTAGTCGCAGTCTTCCTTTTATGCAAGTCACTCACTTGATGAAATTGTTGCCACGGGTGTATGTCGCAATCTTCGCTTGCAATCTATCCCCACATCAGAACCATGCGATTGCCCGCGACCTCCGGCGATTTTGTAGAGAAGTCGCCCGTGCTGATTGATGCGTGGAAGTATCTTTTCGATACTCGATGGATGAGCCACGCTTGTGAGCGGTTTGAACAACGGCATACCTTTTATCTCCTGAATTCTTACCTTAATGGCGTAGGCTCCGTTGCTTGGGAGAACATTTGGGGCGTTTGGTATGGCCTAGTCGAACGCGATGCAGAGCTTTTGCGCCGTATGTCAATGATTCTGCGCTTTTTCGGAACTCCCATTCCACCGGTTGAGGACGAAGTAGCGGCGTCCGAGGCTTCAGAATCGATATCGACCGTTGATCAACATCTTAGGGAAGCTACAACAACTTCTGGGTTTTCACATCTGACTAGTCCCGATTGGACACCGTTAGTTGAGGTCATTGCCGCAGCATCCTCTACTGATCGTCGTGCAGACAAGAAGGACGACGACAAGAAAGGTTCTGAAGTCTTCGCAAGTCGTTTTGATCTCGGCAGCGAGTCTTTGTTTTTGCTCATTCGCCCACCCAGAGAGGGGGATGAACCGTTTCCAAAAACGCAGCCGCCTCTTGCTCGTAAAAAGACTGAAGAATTACGAATCCCTTTCGATTTTTTGACAGCGGGGGATGTCCGCAATACGCAAGCTTTTGACTGTTATTACGGAGCGACAGTCGAAATTGTCGCTGGAAAGTCTGACACGAGGCCCGAAATTAAGCTCGATTCCGGCGTGGAGATTGGTGGGATAGGTTGTGTCCTTGTTTCGAAGGGTTCCAATGCCGCCGGAAGGAGTGCCGATGTACAAAAATTTTTGGATGAGATGCACAAGGAAACAGTGGGTCGGCCTTTGAGCTCCTTCGCTGTGAGCTGGAAACCATTGCAACAAACGGTGAGTGACGGTTCTCCTCAAGGACGGAAGAGGAACCAGAAAAAAAAAAAAGTACCTGTATTGAAGGATAGCGGAAACTTGATTCAGCAGAGAGCAGAGAGCACAGCAAGACTCGTGGAACTACAAGAGGAAGAGAACTCTCTACATCCGATGGTTTTCGTTGAAGGAACCCTCGGAAGTATAAGTGCAACTTCGAAAGAAGTAGAGAACAAAGAACCGTACACCTTCATAAGTATTGGAGCGGAGATAGAGCCTCCACTGCTACCAGGAACCTCGGCGAAGCAAGTGGGAGTGGATGTTCAATTTCCGTGGGAGCTTTTTCCGCGACGGCTGCACGCGCGGGATCTGCACCTACCTCCGTTTTACATGGACAAGCATTTGGTGACCAACGCTGATTACGCCAACTACCTCCGGGACTCAGGGTATTGGCCAAACGACGACACGAATTTCCTGACTGATTGGAACATCCCGACCGCGACGAGAAAGGCAACATCAGATTGTCGCGTTGTAGGTGAAAGTACGACAGCATCGACCACAGAGGGTTCAGGAGGACCTACTACTTCGGGGCCTCGAGCGTGTAATGTAGCATCTACCCAGCTATCCAATGCTACGCAACTTTCCACTGAACGCATTGACGTAGCGGCGGCGGGGTCGGCAAACGAAAGCGCCTCAAAAGGGGAGATTAAGATCGAGCCGGCCAATCGGAACCTATTGCCGTATCCAGTGACGCACGTCTCGTTCCGAGAGGCGCATGATTATTGCGCCTTTTACGGAAAGCGCCTTCCAGAGGCGTATGAATGGCAGTATGTGGCGCAAAATGGTTCTTGGAAAAATTTCTATCCCTGGGCTTCTGTGCACACCAAGCAATACGACGTTTCACAGGTGATGCCAGAGGAAGAGTTAAACGCAGAAGGACTGGTTCCGCAGCGTTGGTCGATCAATGACGTCGGTGTGCTCGACGCTGCTGACGCCGCGACGTTTTCGCCCCATGACGCCGCTGTGCCAGAGGACTCGTTATTCTTCAGGGAAGAAGAACTTCTTCTGCAGCTAGAGTCTACTAAAGAAAAAAATGAGAACGCTTTTGAGCGTGATGAAAGTAATAACATGAACCCAACAGAAGAGACCAAGCCGAGTACTACACTTGAAGTAAATTTGCTACAGCTAGCAGCAAAAGAACGGAAGCCAGAACAAGGGCCGCATGATCGTGCTGTGATTCCGATCGCACCCGCAGTAGAACAATCAGAACAGGGATTCACAGATTTGATTGGTAATGTTTGGCAGTGGACTGCGAGTGAGTTTTCCGATGAGCATACACGAGCTACGATTCTCGTTGGTTCTTCGCGGTATCAAGCGCATACTATGCGGCGTCTGGAAAAATTTGTAAGTGAGGATTCCAGCCCTTCAATTACATCATTTCCTAGTACAGAAACAGATTCTTCTGCTTCTAGAGCAAGCGGCGAAAAAATAGATAGCACCAGTAGTACTAAGAGGACTTCTTCACCAGCGCCCCCGTTAGCAGACAAGAACTTGATGAATATCGCGAGGGGCAACGTCGCTGAAGTACAGGATGAGACGCAGCCGGTGCAATTCGCTGATGGGCAGAGACAATTTGCGTATGATGTCGATGGAAAAGAGATCGTGGATACTATGGAAAGTCCGTCTGGCCGAATTTTTTTCGCGCGACTTGGGGATAAGAGTTTGCTGCGTGAGGCTGACGGAATCAACTGGTATTATCGCGGTTTTCGAGAAGCTATTGTGCATCAAAAGTACTTTTTGATGAGCGACAGCTTCGAGCGTGCGGGCAGCATAGGTTTTCGTTGTGTCCGCGACGCTCTTTCGGAATTAGAAAACGCGACGGCAGGAAGCTTTGTATCTCCCTCCCCTTCCTCCTCTCCTGTAGATAGAATTACCAGAAGACACGTAGACGTGTCCCCGAAAGAAACAACAGAGGAAGCAGCAGATACGGTAGGTATCTTAGACCCGTTGAACACCAAAGTGTATCCAGAAAAGTCTCCATTGGGAAAGGCTCAGCGGATGCTTGGGCCGCTTTTGCTAGGTGTGCAGCAAGAAATGCAAAATAACGCTGCTGCTAGTAGCGCCCCTACAGCTGCCAGAGGAGCAGGTGGACAAGCGAGGCAGCTCACAGGCAGTTCCGGTCTTGGAGCGCAGCATAGTATGGGGTATCACGAAAATAAAGCACCCGACAGGACCAGGAGTACGACGCAGAATACGAATCACGAGTTAGTTTTCTCTTAAAGAGTGATAGTGAAGACTTAATTGGTCTAGATGAGTTGTTCTGGATCTGGTGGTGGCAGTAACAGAAGTACTACAGCGCTTTGATGATTCCATGTTAGCTTTTGCGATTTTTTTTGAAGGCACTTATCGGAAATTTCTTGAATGTATGACGAAGAGCTCAAGAGCTTGCCGTAGCCAAAGGCAGCAGTCTATCGAAGAGCCCCCCTTTCAGTAATTGATTGTTTTCGTTTAGTTACTGAACTCTAGAAAGAGAAATCGAAGATCGATCCCAGGTTTCCATGTTACAGCTTCACGTTTGCCTCTCACCACTTACTAGAATTGCCAAAATATCTGAGGACATTATGGGGTATCACGAAATTTTGCTGCTCCGATACTCACTTGTCAAGCGGCGAGAGTTCACGACGTGGCGCATGGGTTAGGAACGCAGCATTGGTTTAACACTGATTCTAGTTCTTTCACAACACGTGAGAGAATCTTTTGCTTTTCATGATGAGGAGAATACGCGCCACGATCACGAAGAAGAAACGCGAAAGACATGATGTAACTGAGAAAGCATGAGCGAAGGAACTTTTTTCTGACAAGTGTAGTTGTGATAGCTCTTAACTCATTCGATGTGTTTGCAGTGCTCTGTTTGTTGTCCGTTCTTGCAAGAGCAGCATCATAAAAAATGTAATTTATGTCCTGTCGTGCCTTCTGACGCCTTTGCTGTTCAAACGCAGATGCGAGCGGGTTGGATTGAATCCGACATCGTACATAGTGTCTTCTCTGGATTTTGGTTCCTGCATTCCAATTTAAACATGTTGTAAAACTGTACTGTCGAGGTCGTCGTGGATGGTCTCACATTAGACAGGAAGCATCATCATCCTCAAAGACTGAAGACAGGAAGAACGCGAGATGAACCAATCCTAGATCACATCAGCACAAGACCATGTATCGTCCATCGCTTCGTCCAGGCGAGCTGATGCGAGGTCTACGGCTGGTACAACAGCAAACTACTTGTTTGAAATCTTTTTTTTCTTGCAGCATTTTCTGGGTTTTTCTATTGCTTCGCCATTGCAGTTGCGGTTCGGGCGGACAGGGCCGCGGACTCATTGCCGGGCTAGAGCTTTCAGCAGATGACACATGTTGGAGTGCGGGAACGACATGGACTCCGCTCTTCTGTTGCACGCCCCAGGAAACTGGGGGAAAGGCGGCCTGCTGGGACACGAAATACACGTTTAAGCGGTGTTGTGCTGCTCCTGTAGGAACGGAGACTGCAACTTCAAATAAAGATGTTCGGAAATCGCCACTTGCTGTACCAAGTGTAACGAACGCGGTCTCTGTGCCGAGCATTACGCATCAAGAAGTAATTACACCTAGTTCTGCTTTAGAGAGCAAAGCGAACGAGGAATGGCGCCGAGGCCGAGTCGCGTTCGCGAAAAGTGTTTGTTTCCCGAGTGAGGTCTTTGCACCTCGGAGGAGCTCTGCAGAGCGACTGAGTGCAGCTCTAAGCGATAGCAACCTCTTGCTACCTCGCGTACCGGGATCGTCTACTGCACAGCAAAGTGCAGGCCTCGGATACACCGTTCAGCGATGTTGCGATCCACTCGCGAGCGATGCCGGTAAACAGCTAGGCGATCGCGCTTGCTGGGACCCGTCGGGTGCGTTTCGATACGAGACGTGCTGTCAGCCTTTGCGGGAAGAACAGGAACCTACTAGTACGGCTTGCGATTTCGATCTAGAGTACTTTTTCGATGCCGAGCTCTACTACGAACTGGTATCTACCTCGGATGCTCTGAAGATAGACGCCGGTAGCAATCCGGTAAGGTCTGAAGGAAGTCCATCAGTCCATCATGTGCAAACCGGGGCGGCATCGGCTACATCATTTTTATTGAGTGGAGGAGTTACAAACGGATTTCGAGTGCAGAGGGCTGCCGGAGCAAGGAGGCGGCATCTCTGCACCAGCATTTTTCATGGTGCTGAAACCGTCGTTTACTTCGCAGATGGTAGCTACGCGATAGAGTGCTGGCCTTCGAGCTGTATCGGCCAAGACCGCAAATTTGTTGCCGGAGCGCAATCTTTGCGGCAAGAAATGTTTTCCCCGGATGCTGCCCTCACTGTTGTCAAAGCGGAGATCGTGGCGGCGGCTCCGTCACCACTTCTGAGTGTGAAGACCGCAGAAAAGAATGTTGAGGACGATGCTTTTAGTAAGGTCGCTTCCTTCGTTAGGAACGCTTACACGTGGCTGAGGCAGGGCCTCGAAGCGGAGGGAGACTGGATGTTTTCCCTCGCTGCAGGTAGCGGCTTTGTGATCGGAAGATCCTTCAAAGTCCAGTGCGTTATTTTCTTGGTTCTTGTCACACTTGTAACCATCGTGTCCGTTGTCCTTGTCGTTGTGGTTCATCTCTTTTCGAGGCAATCCACGTTGCCGCAGCTGCAGGGTGCGAAACAAGTTGTCGCACCCCTATTGCATGTTGCACCGAGAAGTCGATTCCAGTTGGCACCAATGGTAGTGAGGATTGCAGCAACGCTCTGGTTAGTGATCGGCCATGTTGTTCTGTGCGTCCGGTGGGACTTCTCGCACGGTGATTTGCTGCGGGCAGGCGTGTACCGAGACGGCATCGGAGGGTCGTGGAAGCGGGTAGGCAGCCGAGTACTTTGGTTTTTCCTGGTTAGCTCCGAAGAGGTGGACTGTTCCAATCTCATTTTTGCGTTGCTCGCAGGCTACGTTCACGCATCTACTAGCACTTGCAGGAGTTCATCGTTGAGAAGTAGCGGTAATGAGGAATGCGGGAATTGTTCTCGATCCGCGGTTCAGTCCTCGTTGTGCAGACAGATCTGCACAACTTTCATGCAGTGCACGGTGCGGCCAATTGTGAAGACATGGACAGTGCTGGCACTGTACCAGTTCCTCATCGCCTTCTTCATCTTTGCGCTTTTCGATCCGCACATTACAAGCGTTGGGTCACTTGAGACCGACAATAAAATACGAGCACGCAGTTTCTATAATACGAAAATATTCGGAGCAACACAGCGTGTCCGCGACGTGCCCTCTGACCGCATTGTGCCTCTTTCAAAACTCTCCGAAATCGATGTGCTGGTGGATACTTCTTCCCTCCTGTTACGACCATTCATTGATGGAGCAGGATCAATGCAGCAATCGCTTATCGAAAACGCTGAGTTCTTGTACCAATCCATAAGTGACAGACTGCCTGAAGGGTATGGCTCGTTGTTGGGCGACCAGTTTTTCTCTCTTTTGAACGGTTTCGTTGTGATCCTGTTCGACGCTGTGCTTTTGCGGAACTCGGAGTGGCTGAATATAACGCGAACGCTATTGGCCGTTGCCGCACTGTGCGCTTTGCACACTTTTGTCGAGGAGCTAATTGTGCAAACTGCAATGCATGTTGGTCCTCTCCCAGCTGCCTTTCCACCGTCGATTCCGTTGTTTGGGAACAAAAATGGTCTTGCAAAATCAGTGCCCCTTACTCTGCGTCGGTGTCTTAACGCCGTACTGCTTGCGGTCGTTCTCTCGGAGGACTTTCTAGGTGGCGGCGCGCGTTTGGCAATGGAGAATCAAGTTATCGATAAGTCCGTTCCTTTCCAGAGCTGCTACATCGCTATGTTGCCGGGTTACATTAAGGCTACCGCTGGAGCATTCTCAACGCCATCCTTGGGCTCTTTTTCAAGGGGAAAAAGGGCTCAGGGATGGGCTCAAGGATGCGACGTGGTAGCTCTAATTACATCGTTTTTGTGATGCGGCGTTGTGTGCTCGCGTGGTCGCAAGAACAAGTGCCGGGAAATGAACAGCCACAACGATCGTTGATGAAGAACGATCCTTCATCAACAAAGACGAGCAGCGCTCCTAATAGAGCATGCGTTACCGTACCGCCAACAAGCGCTGCCGCTGCATTCGCAAATCATATTACTTGTCAAATCCAATCTTCTCGCGATATTGCTGCAAAAAGGGCATCAGGTTCTTCAACTGCTGCTGCTGCTGCTCCTCCTCCTCCTTCTCCTCCTCCTCCTGTAGGTCGCCAGGCAGGACTCGCAGCATTTTTCACTGTGGCGCTGCTGACCGGTTGCGATTCTGTCCGCAAGTACTACACCATCCAAATGGCTGTCCTGTTTTCCGCGCTAATGATGCTGCTGGAAGCGTTCTTGTCGCTGCTTTTCTATTTCTTCTCTCGGCAAAATCACAACAACTCCTTGAGCTGCAATTTGCAGCAGGTCGCAAACAAGCTGGATCGGCTGAGCGCGGGTGTCAACTTCCTGCATCTAGATGTAGTGCTTGCGTTTGTACAGGTACATGTCATCCAGCACGTCCCGCTGCCGTTCGCATCGCCAATGCTCGCGGGGTATTCAGCGGTCCTATATTTTTTGTCGCTGACGCTCTCTGCCGCTGTCTCCCTCTATCTGCAGGAGCCAATGCTGGCGGTGGTGGAGCGTCATTGCCGAAGCGGATCTTCAACGAATTAAGAGATTTCCCAAGACTCTGAATCCTTGAAGATCTTCTTCTACCCTTGTCGTAGGTATAATTGAAATTCAACATTCGAGTCGCATCTTTGTACTAAGAAAGTAATTAAGCTATTCCCATACCGTTTCTACGCAACATTGATAGATAACTTGTTTCTTCTTTTTTCCATGATGTGTATGTAAACGCCTAAGCAATGAGCCAGTTTCGCATTTCAACCCTTATTGTTCTTTGTCGTGTTCTATGGTTAACATCAATGAACCCGTTCTTCTATTTTTTTGCTACTCGCTGTAGTGTTGTTTTGTCTTTACAGGAGGAAAAACACGTGTGACAAAACATGTCAGTGTAGATGTATAAGTTGAGAGTGCTTCTTGCGGCCACAAGTACCTGGTAGTCAATATCAGATAGATTCAAATCCGTGTGTTCGCAAAGCACAGTGCAGGCGTGAGCTTCTAACAAGAGAAGCGCGCTTATTCTATTAATTCCTGTTTGTTCGATGTTTCATTTGGCGTACGAATGTGAAGAGTTTTGGTGTTCAACTTCAAATTCAAACAGCATAGAAATGAATTCTTGCTGTACCATTATCTTAGTCAGATCATTTGGCTACACCTACATTGCTGTTGTGTTTTCGTGGGACGAAGTTCCTCAGTCATGACTCGCGGCTGAAGAGGCCGGGTGCTTACTCTCGTGGGACGATGGTGTGCGTGAATGTCGTGTATTTCCTTTTACCCGAATCAGAATGAAAAAAGAGTGGCGCACCCTCAGGTACAAGAAAAGGTACTATCTCTATGTTGAAGATCTTGTAGGCTTTATTATCCCATTTGGAGGACGGGCAGTCGCGCTCGGGACAAACAAACAGGTTAGAAATGATTGGATTGGATGTTGCCTGTTTTCGGGCCTCTAGAAGCCTCAACGGGGCCTATGGGTGATCTTGAGCCCGTCCGCATGACATTAGCGCGTTTTGATGAAATTCTATGTGATCAAGGGAAATTGCTGTCTAGAAAAGGGCGAGATTACGTGGGAAACGATATAAGGCCGTTCATTAGGAAGCAGTCTTCACCTTCACTAAATGGTGAGGTTATTGATTTTGACGAAGACAGCACAAGAAGTCAGATTAACTCCCTTAAAGGACGATTACAAAGAATAGCCCCGTCTTCGTCGTTCGAAAAATCACTTGCTGCTGTTGCGGCGGACCGTCATTTGGCTCAACCTTTTGTGAAGAGCAATAGTAAACCACTTCCGAAATTGAAAAAGCTCCGGCCACCACCATCAGCTCAGCCGGCTTTCGGTTCTAGCGAAGCCGCGAACAACCCCCAGGACGAAGCACACGGTTCGGCAGTGCAAGCAAGCACCAAAGTTGCCGTTGATTATTGTGCCTGCTTAAGTCCTGTTGTGGGCATGACAAGGGTGCGAAAAAAAGGTCCGTTGACAGGGGCGAGCACAGCAAAAAAGATGGCGCCATCAATGAGCCTGAGCGGTAGACCGCCTATACAACGTCTCCCAGCGGGGCAACGAGTTAATAATGCAGCCCTCTCGGGTGACCTTGCGTCCGTGGATGAGTTTGGACCGACAGATATTAGCACCAACCCTTTTCTAGCTGACGATAACTACGAAGTTCAAGACTCAGATTTGAGCCCAGAATTGCAGGATGACGAATTCGGCTTCGGCGGAGAAGGGCTGTCGTATGGTACCATTGACATCAAAGAATGTGTACTAACGGAATGATATGTAGGAACTGCTAGAGGACTGATTATCTCACGAGTTGACAATGACACGTTGTTATGATATAGAAAAGATAAAGTCTCGAACAATCAGGTGATCAATTCTCGGGATTTAAAGACAACCTAGCGGGTGGAGACGGTGCACCAATTATGTCAGGAAATTTTTTTAGCAATCCGAGCGATCATGTCTATGGGGGTGGCTAGTTGAAGGCCTTGGAACTGTAACACGTTGAAGATGATAATCAGACTTTCTAAAACGAAAGCAAGTACTAGCTCACGCGAGCCAGAAATACTAAAATGTTTGAAAGGGTGCTCAAGGAGAGAGAGGAGTAAAATATATTTAAATAGTTCGACCTACAATCTAATCCAATCATCATCGTATTTAGATAGTTAATCACCGACGAGCAGCCCCCCCATGTTGTTCTACTAAGTCGCGTGGTTTTATTCAGATTCATCTCACATTTGGTTCACGATGCGTATTGTCGTGTTAGCTTTCATTTTTTATACGGGCGCGGAATATTCTTCGTTTTCTGGTGGTGCAGATCACGGATACCCTGCGGGAATGGAGGAACCAGTAGCGAGCCCTGCGCCCGTGCTGAGTCAGCGGACAGGAGTCCCCGCAAAGCCCAGACCGATGCTGCCACCACCTCGCGCAAGGTCACGAGGACGAGCGCCCGGTGGCGGTCCCCGATTCGGGCATTGCAGTTTGCATAATAAGCAACGGCTAGCTTCGCACCTCCTGAAAACGACGGACGGGTTCTACGTGTGCCTCGCAGACTACCAATGCAAGGGCTCTGGCGGTATGAGCGCTTCGGATAACCTTCACGTGGAGCCAGAGTACCGATCCTCGAAAAGCAGGGCTAGACCAGACTATTGGGGTGACAACGATGAAAGGTCTTTGTCATCTTTTGCCATTCTGCTTACGTTGTTGAGTCGTGTCGTAGTACTAATTCCAGGACGCTTTTGTGGCGTAACTTTAAACTTCCAATTCAGTTTACATACGAGTCTTGTTTGCGGATGAACTACATGTGTTTAGTACTCGTTCAAAGCAAGAATTACATTTTGATTCCAACCTTGTTTCTTAGTGCGATTTGCGCGTTTCATGGAAAAAGAAGGATGCTGAATTACCTTGAAAGAGACCGCCAAGGGCAATATGTCTGCCGTGCAGGATACGAATGTAAAGGCGGCGCTTCTGGCGCGGGTCGAAGCGCAGCAGGACCACTCCTGGGAAACGACATTGGCGTGCGATCCGCAGCAGGTTCATCTGTGGGAGGAAATACAGCGAGCGATAGTAGGGGCTTGTTCTCAACATTTGTCAACCCGCCGCCAGACGAACAGCTAGGTCCGAATCAAATCGTGTGCAACCCTGCTGCTACGCCGATGATGCGCGACGAAGTTAATACTACTCGTGGTCAAAGCCGTGTGCGAGAACGGAGTCCGCGCCGAGAGGGCCTACTTTTTGGTTCCAATCTCAAATCCATGAGCAGAGGTAGAATTGTAACTAGTATACAGCCTGAACAGAGCGGAAATACCAGGGATCGAAAAGGCGCTGGTGCTAAAAAGGCTAAGATACCCTGTGGGGCGTCGGCGGTCTGTGCAATACACGGCAAAACACGAGGGGTCAAATTCCTGGAGCTAGCAGGGACCGACTACATTTGCAAGGAAGGATACATTTGCAAGATGTAATCAGGAGACATGCTGCTGCCGCAGGTGACAATCAGCATCCAGAGTTCACCTGCTGTTTGACAATGCAAGTTCATCTTTCAGAAGAATATTAGTTTTGTCATATGGCGCTGTGGCTGACGACAATAACAAATGATCCAGTAATATCTCAATAATTCAAGATGAAGGAGTAGTTACTGTCTACTCCAAGAGTTACAGCACAAATCTTTATGAGCCACCGCGCATGAAAACCATTCCACGAGCGTCCCTGTCTGTGAACTTTGCGTCCTCAAAAATTGTACCCAAAACATCACAAAACTGGACCCGCTCCCGTCCGAAAACTGTTTCATTCGCTGTTTGAGTTTTTGACGTTGACTTGGTGCCCTTGAGTCAGTGTCGTATCACGGCAAACATAATTGATCGTGTGTTGTCAGTAATGGTCCGTTGTGAAACGAGAAATCAGAGTACTTAGCTACCTTGCAGTCCATTCTGTGACGAATGCACGTCGTGTGCTTTGCCTATGTAAGTATGCAGAATTTCACTTGGAAATGTTCTTCCGATCTCATGAGTTGTATCAATTGTTTGTGGGCCGGCGTGTCGGAGAGAGCTTTGCTTACCTGATTTCCTGTATAACAAGTTAGGGTTGTGTGGATCGGCCTTTTCCTGCACGCTTTACGCAAGCCAAAAGATTTAAAACCTAAGATCATGTTGCTGCTACAAGGTCGTTCGAGGATAATCTGAGGACCACTAACTATACGCAGGTCTCTGGACCAGTCCAAAAAAACCCAGAAACTTGAGAACTTACTTTAGATGAGAATCAGTATCTTACACCTTTTACATAACGATGAATGATGGATATTTAGAATGACTATATTTTCGGTTTTTATCCTTCTTGTTTTGCTTATCAATAATAATTGGTTCCTTGCCAATGCCGCCAGATTATCTACAACATGATAGCTCGCAACGTGTAATATGCTTCGTCATCAAAATATTCAGAAATTTTCATCAGTGTGGTTCGTTTTTCTAAAGATTTTCAAATAGGTAGTGGTTCTACTTCTGATCTACAGAGAGAACGAAGTACTTCACTGAAAATGGAAAAAGTTCGTGGTCTCCGGTTGCTCGCGTGGTGCGGTGTGTTAGTCTCTGGCTTGGGGGTGCGAAAGGTATCAGTGATACCCGAAGGGCTGGGAAATCCACGCGACCCGGCGAAAAAAGTAGCGGTCCTCGAAGACAGCAGCAGCACTTCCCACATACAGAAATATGATCTGCCGTACTCGTCAAGCAAAGCCCCCGCGAAAGCCGGGTCCGTGGCATCAGCACAAAATGATTATGCTTATTCTGCTTGTAAATCTAGTTTTTAATTCTTTCCACCTCGTCTCTCACTCTCTCAAGTGGAGTAATATCCTGGAACTAGCAGGGAAAAATTTGTGGAAAAGATCAGACCTAAATACTCTAAGTTGAGAGGCTTCAACGGGGACCAGCAGGAAGAGGTAGAGGAGTACTGTTACCGAAATCAGTATCGTGGCCCGGAGGCGCGGAACTGCGTGTTGGTCGCTTTCGCATCAGGCCTTTGCTCTCAGATGATATGAACCCTTTTCTATCAGAAGAGGATGATACCGTCGATGCTTTTGTCGGTAGAAGAAGGGCACGCGCCTTCAGCAGCCCGGGTCCGCTAGTGGAGACTCCTACAGAGGAGGCCATGCCCGATCTTTTTGGAATGCCATTGCAACTGTCAGCGGCCTCTTGCTCGTCTGCTGCTGGAATCATTTGCGCCAGTGCTGTTGCGGAGAAAGCAGGAAATGATAGTAGCAGTGAGCGTGGACACTCTAGTGAACATAGTCGTGCTTTCCATACGGCCTCTGGGCTTTGTTCTCACCCAAGCTACGCCGGAAATGGAACTCCTCTAGGCAGTACACGAGGTCCTTCCTTCGCGAATAATGGTTCGAGTTCAGAGCATGCCAACTATACTGAAGCTGGTGATCGTCTATTGTCGCCAACGCCAGCTAGTAGCGCGGTGGCCTCTCCGTATCCTAGTGCCATTCTCCTTAAAGTCGCTGACACGCGAGATGGGCCACTGCAGTTCCGTGAGCCACAAGAAGCACAACCATTAAAGAGTAAAACTGCTGCGAGGACGAGTTGCGGGAAGCAAGACGTTTTCCTCTTGAGGGAAGCGAAGAGAACAATTTGGAATAAACAGGGCGGCAAAGGCTGCTCGAGATACGATAGCCCTGTGCCAGAAGGAACCAGGGAAGAAGAACACGACGAGTTCTTCGCGCGAGTCGAGCTGGCAGTCGAATTGACCAGTCGGTTACGATCTCTCCTGCAGAAGCAAGAGGGACTCTGTAATACTTTTTTGAATAGTACCTCCTGGTTGAGCTGCTACTGAATCGGATTCACTTTTTTGTGCGACTGCGAATATAGTAGCGCAAGGAAATAGGCATTGCTCCCAAGGGAAGCACGTAGATGTACGGATTCATTGTGCTGTATTTTGTTCTAGTAGTTGTACTTGTACGTTTGTTCCATCTTTCAGGTGCCATCGCAGGCGACGACTTCTGGTCTCTAGATTCGTGGAAGAGAGAAATACCAGCGCTGGGGAATTCGTGCACGCGCGTGTGGCTTCCACACAACGGCCATCTGAGTCTGCTGTTGCAGGACTACATTCGCGACGTCCGGCTTCGAGAAAACAAGATTAAATTACGGCCGGCATCATGCTATGACTATTTTTATGTATTCTCATACGATAGAGTGGATACGGAGATGATATTCTGACTCAAGAAGCAGGAAATGGACAAGTGAGAGATATGGAGGATTTTTTGGTGTAGGTACTGGAACTGGTTTCGCCATGTGGAATGTACATCGATCTGAAGTAAAACATTAGGTTGTACTTAAGTACGTCTAATACGTACGACGACAAATCGCAAAAAACCCTTTTTTAGCCATGCCGAGTCATTATGTGAAGACAGAGCGAGTGGCGCAGAAGATGGAGCTACAGACATCGCAAATCTCGATGCGAGGGATCTCGACGTGGCAATCAAAGTGGGAATAGATGGGTTGCGGGTCTACCTGCGGCATCGTGAGAAAGACACATGGCTCTCTGGCGCGATTTTGCACGTCAGCAGTCAGACCGGGCGCCTGGCGTGCTCTAGCAGTGAAGGCGGAGGGAGCTGTGAACCGTTTGCTTTCCAGTGATCGCATTGAATTTCGGGTCGGCTTCTACTCATCTTTTTCATTGCGTCGGTTCTCGGGAGGTTCTACAGTTTTTTGCTTCAAGGAGTATGCAGTTACGGTTACGTCGTGGCCCTGAATTCTACCTGCAACAGCGTACGTGGTGTGAGTGGTCAATACAGCACAGTAAGTGCTGTCTTGGTACATCATATTCCCGCATGGCACGACGAAGACAGGGGAAGGAGCCCGAGGAGCATGTTGTTCGAAATGTTGTTTGTATCGATCGAGCTGATTTGAATTTGAATCTTGATCCTAATTTTTTTTCGAGGATAATCATATCCTTTCCACATAGTGCCGTACATGTTGACCACATTCACACATGATCTTGGCCTCGAGTACTGACGTAAGGACTTGCGGCCATCCAACGTGAAAAGGCGCGATGCTCGTCGGTAGGGAGGGTGAGCTGAAGTCGTCCTTCTGATGGAAATGTATTGTTATTCAATTTTTTCTTCGGGGTTTTGTCTCCTAATGTAGTAAGTTGTTTCTAGTTTGCTCCGAGATTATGGTTTCTCTGATAGATTATAGATACTGTACTTGTTCTTGAGAACTAAAAAGTGTGTAGTCCTTCGTTTTTGACTTTTTCAACTTGTCTCGTTAACGTTGTTATTCTTATTCTCATGTATTGTTTCCTCACCGTGATCGTGAATGCTATTTGAGATGTACGCTGTCACTACTAGTAGTATAGTAATAATCTAGCAGATCTAGTAGTTTCTCGAAGATATCTGTTGCCTAGTACGGATTTTCGTCATTCGTTACATGACGTATTGTACACGATGGGGTAGGAGAACTACTAGGGACACGAGTATATGAATCGAACATCTTGCGTGCTGCTGCTCGCGCAAGGCTTTGCTTTCCTCTTATTTTCAATATGAATATTAAAATTTCTCGAACTAGTCTCGAGAAACAACTAACTACATCATACATTTCTCCATTTTTATCTTTTTCTGGTTTTTGTTAACAATGTCTGTGGGACGCATGAGGTTCCTTTCTTATTCTTCGAAGGTGAAAAATACCACGTGACCAAATGTAGCTACAGAAGCAAAGCGGATTGCGACACCTAATTTGAAGCTCTTCTTCACGATATAGGAACACGGTACTCGTGTTAGTTTCTTTTACTCACAAACCGAGTTTGCGATCCACTCACATTATGAAACTTGCTGATCGATTTCGAGTGCGATTTTTGCAATTATCTTAGAAACTGCTGACTCCAATGATCCTCGCTCTTGTTCTTGATGTGGTAGTGAAATGCTGAAAACCACGGACTCACCTGGCTCACATGTTCGAGCCGAAAAATAGTGGTAAGCTAGCGTTGATCGAGGGCCACGGTTTCGGCTGATTGAATCAGCAGTCGGCACTGGATTGTTCTTATGTGAAGAATCATTTTGATGTGGTACTTGGTAATCTTTCTTTCTCTGCGATGTTTCTCCAAAGAGTTCTGAATATCCTGGGGCTGTAAGTTTTGATTGCGATAATTTTTGATGTCGATATGGAGAATGTCGTTTTGCGGTCTGTGTAGACGTGCGTATGTGTGTGAGCGACTCACGAGGGTATCTCTATCTTCAAAGATATGTTGCTACTAGTGAAGCTGTTGTGCTTCATCGTCTAGTATTTTTAGCTGCCTGGCCGTCGTGCTTCAGGATTCCCGCAGGGTAATTAAATGTTCTTATTGCGTGGAATATAGACCCAGGTCCCAAAAAAAGTGAAGCGATAGCACTGTCGCTCGTTGAGTATCAATTTTGATAGTACAGACCACTTCGTTTCCGTGGCCTTCGAAAAGTGATCCAAAGTGATCCAATTAATGTTGCTTCTGGTGTGTGCAGATGGCCAACTTCTGTCGAGAGTCGAGTGAAACCGAAACGCATAAATGCCACCTACCTACCTGGGTGACTTTTATGCATTTGGGTGACCCGCCAGTAGCCTTTTGGAAACTGATTGGGGTCTAGAGTGTTTCCCACCTCTGTTATGAGTGAGTCGAGAGACGCGGACTTGTTTACGGACAAAAAGCAAGAGGATGGAAGACTAGAAAAACTTCAGATCTTACGCGCAGCTTAATTGAAAAGGGGGAGAGCGTCCCATCGCTCTCCCTCGCCGATCCTTTTATCTCCCGCCCGCTCTTAGCAGAGAAGTGGCTAGCAGGCATAAGGTAGCCCCTTTGGTAGGAGTAATCCCTCCGGTTTCAGTTTTTCTTTTTGGATATTTATTTCTTGGCGATGGTGTTTGCGGAACAAGGTGGTCGAGAAGCGATGGCGCGAAGCGTGAAGACCCTAGTATAGAGTAGCTCCACCAATGCGACGATGTATCTGAAGATATCTCAGTGATTATTCGCGGGCCGCCTCACTTTAAAAAAGTTCGATCTCAGTAGTGGCGCCGCCCTCTGTGCCGAGTGTCCACAGCTTGAAGCTTCAGATCCTAGCTAGCAAATGGCCACATCAAAGTTCTAGCTTTTTCCGTGTTCTTTTGTTGCAGGGTTTAGATCTTGGCTCGCGGGGTTCATCAGATATGCTCCATGATTGTTCTACTTATGAGCCGTTGATTAATTTGCCCGTGGGGTTTCGGCTCTAGCTTTTCTGCGGCGATGGCCGTTGCGCTTCATCGTCTAGTATTTTTAGGTGCCTGGCCGTTGTGCTTCAGGATTCTCGCAGGGTAATTAAATGTTCGTATGGCGAGGAATATAGACCCAGGCCCCAAAAAAAAGAAGCTGGTGGCAGCGTGAATGAATGAAAGATATGATCAAGGCCATTGCGCAAATGAAGGACGAGCCTGTCACAACGACAAGATGTGAGTACTTTTCTTAAAATTAATATATCGTCCGACGATTCTTATCTGCTGTCGCATCAGCCTACTGGTGCAGTATGTATATACATAGTTTGCTGGCAATGGTATCCGCATTTTCCGCAATTAATTGCAGTCATTCTTGATAGATAGAAGTTTATTGAAACTCGTAGTTTAGTCTCTACCACGGATTTCTTGTGTAAGCGGCGATCTTGAGCCTTTTTTTCTCTCTTCCGTGAAAAGACTATGAGCAATGTTTTACTGTAGAAATTATTGAGATGCTCATGTTTCTTGTGAATGACTTTAGGCGCAGTGTGCGATGACTAGACAGGAACGATTCTTGCGAGATTTCTCTCTTGATTTTGAAAATCAAGGGACCACTGTTAGGAAAAAATCTGTGTTGGCCAGACCGGCCTACGGCGCATGCAGAGGAAAAAGGAGTGGTCGCTGTATAAAGCAGGCGCGATGCGTGATTGAGCCTGCAATTTTGGAGGCTTCTTCTGAAAACTCTGAAGAAAGTCCGCGAATTCTTGCTGCCAACAAGCACTAAATGGATTATTTTAGCTGTGCTGAAGCGTTTCATGGTCTTTTCTCAAGGACACACGTGAATGACCTTAGTAATCGAATGCTTGTTCTTGCTGTTACTGTTTGAAAGTGGAATTGGTCCTCAAAGCTTCTTGACGTCTTGGAGCTACTAAAGTACACTGTAAATTACGAGCAACAAAAAAGAAGAAATACATGGAAGCCATTTTGCCGAAGCTAGACGATGGTGTGTGCAACGATCAGCACTCAGGTCAGGTGGAGCCCCCGGCTTCGAGCCTGTCGAGCACTGTAGCTCCGTCAGATGCTGTTGCGCCCGCCCTTCTGGCCTCATTAAATGCAGCATCGTCGAACTCGTTGCAGCACGGCGGAGCAGTTGCTTCCTCCGAAAGGCCGACTCGTATGAAGAGCCTCAGCCTTTTTGGCTTGTACACGGTGCAAATGCGAGAAGAAAGGGCATGGCGACTGCTCTACGGTGGCCTTGCAGGGGTCTGTGTACTGAACGCAATAAAAATTCCATTTTTGCTACCGAAAATACGGGCATTTCGAGGGGCGCCTTTCCTTCCAACGAAACGGAAGACCGTCGACGTACTTTTCGACGACGTTCTGCAGCACCGGAGCAGCAGCAGCAGCAGCAGCTCAATTTGTAGACGTGCAAGCGCCACTGGCACTGGCACCGTTAATGACCCGGCCCGTCAGTCCAGAAGGCTTTTGGATTTCGGTTCTGGTGATGGGCGCATCGTTTTCGCTGCAGCAAGGCGCGGCTACCACGCTGTTGGCTACGAAATCAACCCTTGGTTACATTTCACAGCCCTGGTGAGGCGAAAATTGTGCCTCACCGCCGAGGAACAGCGCCGCTGTCACCTGCGCTTCGGAAACGTGTGGAAGCTTGTGGAACGGCGTGATCCTTTCGACGTGATCACCGTGTACGGCAGACCGGGAGACAATGTAATGCAGCATTTTAGTGACTTTGTTTATGGCTTAGAACTTCTCCTGATAAATAAATTTATTGTTCATCTTGAGGCTGAGATGCATCTTTGTGTGTGTCTCCTTTTCCAAGGGAAAGAATACACTTCAAAGATGCATTATGACTTTCAAGAAGACGAATAAAGGGAAGGTCTAATTCGTGAGGAAAATGAAACCACAAGTTGTGGTATCCAATGAGTATGCAGTACCAGGACTTGAAAGAAATCTCGTTCGAGAAGTGCATGGGTTGAAGCTCTATCAATTGTGACGCAGATTTAGTACGTAGTACAGAGTTTGACTTTCTGACTATTCCTTTGTCTTGCCGGGAGACGCCATCCAAGATTCTTTCGCTTGAAAACATTTATTCTAAAAAAGGAGTATGGCGAACGCGCAACAATTCCAAAATCATCCAAATGTATGTCGTGTGGAGTAGTCCCTGAGATGTCTTTGATCCACCTACAGTACGCGACTGGCTGGAAGTTTCCTGGCATGATTTTTAGGTGCAATTGATGCTAAAATGTTCGCAGAGGCGATTGACATTCGCACAGCAGTCCTAAATTACAAATAGGTATCAACTCCTACTACAAACCGGAAATAAATGGCAAGATGCGTTTTTTTAACGACTGGCAGTACTAGAAAATACGACTGCCTGATATCATCATTGCTCGGCAGTATTTACTATGTAGGCACAAGGTAGTACATCCCCCATCTAGGCCCATGCAGGAAGGGGGTGTATTTCGTGCATAACAAGTCCTGGGTTGTTTTATGGAATCCGGTGCTCTTTCCTTCGAAATCACGTAGACGAAGATAGCCATGACTAGGGTTTATTGTAGAGTATGGCATCGCTCGACGATGTTCTCGTGTCAAGAAAGCCTTGGCGACAACGCAGCCCAAAGTTTCGTCGCGGCCTCCTCATCCACGCTGTCTACTACGTTTCGGCGTTAAGATGGGCGCTAGCGATCAACAAGAAAGACATTGCGGACCGAGCAACTGCACAGTCTTCGAGGTTGGTGAGGAGGGAGCAACTACCACCAGGAAAGACCGGCGCTTCACTGAATGATGATAAGCAACAACTACAAGGAGAACATGCCGCTGCAACACTGGAAGATACTAAGTTTACCTTTGCTGGTGCGCAGCATTCTCGATCTGAACTCGATGATGATGACGTGTCACCGAGACATAACTCTTGGACGCAAACTGACCATCGAAAGCGGAAGCGAAGACGGGCCACGTCTAAGCCGAATCATGAGCAGAACCTTGTTTCGATAGAGGATAATGCCGGAAATGAAACGAGAGAAGGTGGCGAGCTGCTTGAAGCGAACAACAGGCCCTCGAATGATACAGACGCAAACCGTATTAGCCTTAGCGCAAAGCTGGCTTCTGAAGACAGTGATACAGGTGAAGTTAGCGCACGGCTGGCTGCTGAGGACAGTAGGAATAGTACTTCGAATGATACAAATGCAAATGTATCGACAGCTGATGCTACTGCAACCAGTTCAGCAGGAACGGTCGAAGAGGAAGATGCGAGTGTCGTGGATGGCGCAAAAAATTTCATCAGCGATCCGAACAACAGGATGCACGTCGGTCTAATAGGTGGCAGCATCTTTATCATCGTATTTTTATGAGCATGGTTACAAGATGTTGATGTACTTCGATATCGATTACATTGTTCGATTTTAACGGTGTCCCAGTTACAGCTGCGAAGGACCAGCTGCGTAACTTAATCAATCAGGACTACTAATTGTTATCAGGGACTACGACGGACTACTACTTTAGTCACACTGTTCTTTCCCTCGTCTGAACTTGCAATAGGTATCCCGTTACCTGATGTTGTCTTCTTGTTCTATTATGAAGTTGTCCTTCTCATCCTGCTCCTCTCATCGTCAGTTTGCTGCTTTGCCCCCGCAATCGATATTCCGACACACGACGCTGATCTCAAAGAAGATGGAGACAATTTGCAAAGGGACATGATTAAGACTGCAATATATATCTCAGCTAGACTTTCAGGTCATCTTTCCTGAAGAGTTTGATTGAGTATCCCTCTGACATTCTTCAAGGATGCAGGTCAAAGATGAATCATGGGTACTACATGATCTAACATGAACACGCAAGATGTGAGGATGAAGCGGAAAGTTGCAAAGCAACGGCAAAAGCGCGAGAACGAGTTGCAGAAAGAAGCTATTTCAGCCGCACTTGAATAGTACGACAGAACTCGTGCAATGAGAAACGAGATACCCGACACTGTCTGACTGATAGAATCAATTTGGCACTCACCATGTGAGGATGAACCGGAAAGTCTTGAAGATGACCCTGGTGTACAGGAGCTCCGAACTTGATATTTACTGTATGTAAGTATCATGTCTGTATAGATTGATACATTGTGACAGATTATCATCGAACGAGGAAGTTCAACTTTTCCCTGTGGAGTATTTGAGTACTGAAGGGAGGCTGAGCTGCATCGATTCTGTGACACAGAAGGGTCTATGAGTTGCGCTGGTACTCTTACGGAAGCGAGAAAGCAGCAATGTCGCCAGGTAGATTGTAGCGGAGGTGCCTTTATGCGCTTCCCAATGCACCTTGTCAAAATGGCGTTAGATGACCGCAAATGCTAATGGTAAAAAGGCTCATCGAGGACGTAGAAGCCCGGAGCAAAGGGTAGCAAGCTTTAGAATTCCGTCAATTTTATCGAAAAGTAGTTTTTGGTTCGCCGCTTGCATGTCAATACTGAAGAGAGTTGAGTCTCGCTGAAAATATTTACATGGTGTAGCCGGTGTAAGTATAGCTATAGGCAAGAGCGGATACAATGCGTGGGCGTGGCCTTTCGCCGTGATATTGGTTCCTCAAGTAGTTACAAAAATGGCCGCGTACGCGTTGCAACGCAGACCGCTGCTAAGCTTGTTCTGCAGCGGCACGGTGCATGGCTTGAACCTAATTTCAAGCACGACAAGCTTTGGCGATGTTCCTGACGCAAATTACAGGCTTGGCGATGTTCTTGATACAAATTACGATACGGATATCCACATTACAGACCTATCGGAGGTATTGAAAGTTCATCTTGTGAGTTGACGGGCGCATATCCATAGTTTTTTTTCTTTGAAAGAAGTTGCTGTATTCATTTGATCGTGGTCGAAAGACTAATGCACGATATACTAGTGCGGAAGCAGAATCGTTATACTTCAGAATTATTGATCCTGGGTTAAAAGACTACGAACATGCATGCTTAGGTAAACACTATCCTGCTCCGTAGAAACGTGAAGGAAAAGGCGCGCTCTGGGGCTGCACGAGATCTCGAGAAGAAAGAAAAAAACCGTACTAGAGAAAGGTTTATTGCGGTTACACCTCCGAGGACTCCGTCTTTTGAAGAACAGAAGTTGTCGGTGGAGCAGACGGCTCCTCGACGGGCCAAAATCGCTGTCTTTTACTCCCACAGCTGCGCGGATTGTAGGTTTTTTCGCCAAACATGGAACAAGCTCCGACGCCATTTTCTACCAAGGTTGGAAAGCTCGTCGAAGCTGTTTTTTTATGGCTAGTCGATCAATAGATATCTCAGGAGTGGTGCATTCGTTCCTCCTTGCACTTGTCTGAAGCGGATAGATTTGTTTCAAGGGGGAGAAAGGGAACCCACTCAAGCAATAAACCAAGGGGATCAGCTAGGGGACCACTCAGCCAGAGATAATGACTTCTGACCTAGTCTACCTTTAATGCTTACAAAAATCACGGCGTAATCAATTACGCGTTTTGGAGGACCACGACGGATCATCCATCCGGATGTCAACGCGAGGAGAACAACTACTGTCAACGCGAGCAGGTGTCGACTTTGTTGCTGTGAAGGACGATGAGTATGCCGCTGCCGAGCCTTTTCAGCATTTTGAGATTCCAGCAATCTTTGCGGTTACTCCGTCAGGAAAAGTGCTGAAGTTTTCGAAAGACAAGCTAGGCGACTTTTTGGAGCATCGTGTGGGCCAGCATGAGATCCTCTTGGAGCTCGTTCAGTTTGTGGCTGAAATTCAACATGATCACAACGAAGTATCGGCAACCACAGATAGAGAATCGTCTTCATCATCCACAGGTATCAACACGAACGGCCTCAAGGCTTCCTCGTCTACCCAACGACTTGCGTGCGGCGAAACAGAAGAGGATAAAGCCGCTCAATCACGCTTATTGGCGGTTCTCGCCTCGCATCCAGGCCGCGAGATCGAGATTCTCAATTCGTCCGGCTACAAAGGTACCAAAGTGGTGGAGTTGCTGTTGGCCCACCTGCAGCAGTCAATCGAATCGGCGGATGCGTCGTCGATTCTGGAAAAGGCTGCAGAGGTCTTCGATCAGATTAAGGACGCGGCGCTGGGCTGCTAAATTTCTTGAAGCTCAAAGTAGATCCATTCTATCCGGTTTGTAACTTCACAGTCAACTACTGGGTCGAAACAGCTTCATCCTCGCGGTTTCTCGGATAAGTTGTGAAGTTTTGCAGATGTAGATCGATGTTGATTTTGTGGTAGTGTGATATTCGCTGAGGTATGTTTTTTTCAATGAAGGTAGGTGGTTCTCAGTTTTTCAAGAAATTATCAAAGATGAGACTGCTTATTTGCGATCAGAAAGTTCTTGCTCCAAGCGCTTCTTTAGATGTTGTATTCCTTGTTTCGCTTTTTTTTCGCTTCTAGTCTTTTCCAAACGAGTTTTCTTCGAGACGGCAGTGTATGCAAAATTATTGTCCATTTTTTTTCTCGTTCGGAAGATGTATTCCAACCAAGATTGATGAGATGAATTGGAATATGTCTTGTTACTACTCGCGATCGGAAGGAACTGAGCTAGAGAAATATCTTGTAACAATTTTCGAATAGCTGTCGGAATGCAAGACCAGCAACGGTGCGAATGTCCGTAGGTAAATATACCCAGGCGCGTGACGCGGAAGTAAGGATTAATTGAGAGAGATGAAATAATCCCGCAGGTTTCATCGCAACTATGAGGCTCATTATGCCATATCATCTGAAAGAGTTCGACTTAATACGGAAAATTTTTACGCAGTTGAAAAGCATCATTGAATGATACTTATCGTGGAGTCCTCGCCTGCTTCGATATCGGTAATGGTCACCTACACTCGATAATTCACTGGGTTCGATAGACCCATCATCTTGCTTACTAGTGCTGCGTGTGCACAAGGGATGTAGAGTCTTCGTTCTTCGATACTTTATCTGCAGCTGATCCCATTGTTGCCCTCTTATTTTCCGAAAATGAAACTCCAACTCGGCGTAAAACTAGTACACCTGCTGGGTGTAGTGTGTGACGGTAGAGGCCTCTGCTTGCGGTCGTGAAGGGATTCACCTTGCCAGAAATCTAATGAAGATTGATGAATGAAATATTGTCGTATTTTGTTTACGTACCGGCACGAGCTCCAAGATCAAAGTCAGATGTTCTTATCGGATCTGCGGGATGCGGGCCTTTCCCGCTCTGAGGGGGGCTGACGCGCGCTTCGCGGCTGCGTGTCAAGTGACGGCACTCTTTCCCTTGCGACCAGATTTTTCCGCAGCGAGGTTGATCAGTTTTTGAAGCGCGATTGCTCGGTTTAGAGGGTTATCGAGGCGTGGGCTCGTCGACACTCTCAGCTGAGGTTGCGAACCTTCCTGCCCCGAATCGAAGAGCAAAAGCCGACCGTACGAGGCTGATCGCGATAGACGATCAGTACGAGCACGACGATAGCGACTGTCCTTCCCGCGAAGCAGACATCAACGAGATTACTGCCGATGATGGACAGTGAGTGTTTGCAGCGCACGTAAAAGATACCTGGAAAGGAGGTAGTTGCAGTCGTTGGTCGGTCTCTATCGCGTCACCGAACCCGTCCGCGTGCTGACCTATTGATGCGCAATACGAGCGTCTGAATGAAGAACTACAAGGTCGGCGACACGCGAATGGTAAGTTGGAGCAATCAACAGGGCCGACAAAGCAAAGACTGTGTTCAATAAAAGAACATTTAGCAGTTGATACGTTCTTCAAATCTAGATTCGAATCAACAAGAACTTCGGATGCAACTTACAACGGCCTAGACCTCCTGCTTGAAGTCACCGAAGAGAGGCCGCGCAAAGATGCCGATGGCACGCAAAGAGAGAACGCACCAGACTGGTGCAAGCAATAGGGCGACGGGATGGAAGCCCATAAAAGGGGTGCCGACGGATTTCGACGGCACAATGAGGTCGACACTGCCCCGTGAATACAGCTATCACCTGTCAAGGAATGCGCCGTTAATGCAACAATCGCGAGAGGCGAACACGGTATCTATTTCTATTTTGTTTGAATGGAAGACGAAGATTCTAGATCGAGTTTCATTTTGCATTGTGGTGCTACTCTTTCGTCATCATGCTCTGGAAAGATTCATCGATTTTAAGAGCCGTATCGCTTTTGCACGCTCAGGTCATCTTCTGTCAGAAAATGTAGGTAGACCTACCTGCTACATTCTTAAGTTCTTGAGACAACCCTGCTTACTAGGATTTCGAGCAAACACTCGCGGGATGCGACTATAGGCGTGGAGAGACTCTGACGGATACGCAGATCGAAGTGCTCAACCAGACCCGCGACTTGAAGAAGACGATTGAGCAGGCAGAAGCTGATGCGAAAAAGCCACCAGAACCAGAGATAATTATGGCGCCACGCCTCGCATCAGTGAAAGCACAACCAGCGCGACTCCCGGGGGAGAAAGTTGACAAGTCACTGCCTTCATTACAGGTAGTTCTACTATCATGAACTAGATATGAATCTTTGTGTGTCTAGAATATTAATCCACTATGTATCTATCATTTCATCGTGAGTGAAATGATGCTAGTGGTGTATATCAAGATGTGGTGGGTTGATCTACTTTTCAGTCGTCGGGTTACGGTTATGATAGTTGTTCGACAAGGCTCTTCTTATCTATTTGCACACACAAACCTTTGCCAGGTCGGGCATCATGTTTTACCGGGTACAGTCCAGAGTTTGCCACGATGGAATGCGAGGTCATGGTGGGAGCCTTTGAAGATTGAGACTGTTTCAAATATCAAAGGCGAAGGAGAAATCACGTGGAACAGCATGGACTCACACTTCCTCAAGAGGAGGAAGGTACATTTTTATGTTCATGAGCCAGTGAAGACGGAACCCTTCATTTGTGTTTTTTCCTCGGTAGGTCGACCGCTATTATGAGAATGAAGATGTCGAACTCGAAACAGAAATATTCATCCTGTGTCAGTTTGTTACGAGTCGTTTGTACCAACGAGCTCTTGATTGATGAGACAAGAACGGATAAATATGTAGTCCTCTCATATTGACGCATTCGGAACGTATCATGGCCCAAAAAATGTTTGTATTCTTTTCTTACAACTTCGCAGGGTCAAGATTTCCTTTTTCGAACGACGAGAACGCAGGCGGAAGCAGATCAGGAGGATAGGGAGGCAGAACAGCGGGATTTGAATAGGCTCGAGGAATATTACCCCAGGCGCGAATTAGTGGACAGTGTGAAGAGGTACAAAGCGAAATTTTGATCTTAATGTATTTATTAGTTGATTTTTTGATTTGTTTCTTTTTCTAATTAGGGCTCGACTGAAATTTACTATTAAATATACTCGTCTGGTAACAAAACGTAAGCGTGCTAATTATTACTAATTTAGTTGAAGCAAATCCGGCTCAACTGATCTTCCTCCACGACATCATTCACATTCAACACGACAGGATTGAACCCGGGAATGACACGCAAGTGCGACCGGTCTATCTCCCTGACTTGGCATACCACGTACCTAGTAAAACCAACGCTGAAATGAAGGCACGTGTTGAGAGGTTACGAGGGGTGCTCCGACAAAAGTACAATAGAGTTTTTGACTTTGTATCACTTTCTTGGTACTAGTTATGTTGTGCTGTTCGTTGCCTTGCGTACCAAAGCGATCTTTATCTGCTCCACGTGTGCGGATGAACGTAAGTATCGTTACGTTATGATTGATCCTACGACTAACAGGTACGGTGGACGACCAGGGCTGAACAAAGTCTTCCGAGCCTTCGCAGCTACGAAGCCAAGCTTCTTGCTACCTAAAGACTTGCATTTTGTGCTGGATAAGATGGGAATTGTGGCAGATATGCGAGAGTGCGAGCTCCTAATTCAAGCAGTAGATCGAACAGAGAAGGGTGCCATTACGTGCGAAGAATTCTCGGACTTGGTACCACAAACTTGTAGTACAATCTCGGTGATTTCAGAAGATTTAATAAGTTCTTGTTTCCTCCACTTGATTGGTGACAAAAATGAAAAGTCGTATGTTCAGTTCTAACTCGCCTTCAGCATTTTTGTCCGTGTCCCTCTGGAAAAAAATAGCTCATGAATATACTAGATTTTCTCACCGTTAATCGAAATCGGGCGCGGTGCAGAAGACGCCGTAGAGCGGCACACGGCTGCAATAACGCAAAACATTTTAGACATGCTCGTTGAAAGGGGGCAATACCTTGGGAAGGCTTTCTGCGACGTGGATCCAGATCGCAATTACCTCATCAGCAAGGAGCAGTTTGCTACCGCCTTAGGGACAGCATGTACGTGATTGTGCTTTCCTATGTTTGTCTAGTACTCTGCGCATTGTCTCGGGTTACACTTTTCGATTCATTTTTTATCTGCACAAGTCTGTACTTTTCCTCGTCTCTGTCTTCAGTGTCACTCGCTGTATTTACAAGAGTTTCGTTTTCGACGTTGGTGTTCTGAACTTCTTATAGATACAGGTAACCACTTGAGCGAGCAGGCAATCGAATTTTTGTGGGCAGCGCAGTTTCCTGTTTCGGGAAACAATGATGATCCAAATACCATGTCTCGACTGGTGGAATCCGTGAATCCAGCGAAGACTGGTATCTATGTAAATATATACGATACGCGGTGTAGAAAAATAACCGAAGATCATGATCAATCTTATAAGTATTGAGTAGTCGTGACAAGAGCTTGCCACTTCACGAAAGATTTTCCTTCCTCGAAAAATTTCGTTTCTTTCTTACCGCACCTGTTCAGCAAGCGCGTCCCCAGTGAAGCTGCCAGCAAAACCAGAAGCAAGCTCACCAATCCCAGCAGGCGCGAGTACGGGCACGGTAGGGCTGATACCCGGTCCTGAAGTACAAGAGCTTGGCCAGTCTTCGCCTAGTAGACTGCCAGCGCTGGACTTATCAGCTAGCGGCGGTAGAAAAGCGAGTGGATCGCCACCACGACCCGGAACGACTGCGGTCGGAGTTAGAGTAGGTAGTCCAGCCGGTGGCAGTCCCGTAGGATCACCGGCTCCCGCAGTGAACACGCAGGCCGAACTACCAACAAGCGAACCGCCGGGGGCGCCTTACGGGTTTCTACCAGGATCCGGGAGCAGAGTGCAAGTAGTGTCTCCAGCACAGGATGCTGAGCGACTAACAATGGACTTCACCAAGCAGACAGTGGCTCTGAGTAAGGAGGAGAGGATAAAACAAGCGAAGCTCGACTCAAAACGACGGGCAATAGTGAAAGGCGAGCGGGTCCCGGCAGATCCGTACAAGAACAAGATTGATTGGACCATGTTCATGAAGCTTTTGACTGACTACGTAATGTCGCTGCGCCCCCTGACGCCTGTCTATTATCAGGGGAAGAAGAGACACTACGATCTCTTGCAGCGCACAGTGGCGCTAACGGGTGGAGCGGTTCCCGACCTCGACCTGAACAGGCCAGGGATGGATCCTGAAACGAAAATACAAATAGTGGCCGATAGAATGGTCACGAAGGAGCCGAAACTGGCATATATGCCGAGCGAAGTAGGCAATTTAAGTCTTGATGTCATTGTAGGTTGCTATCGATCCCAAAAAAGAATGTCTGCAAGTTCGTTCGAGAACAGATTTCTAAGCACTATGCATGTCTACAAAGAAGTTCGAACTGAGTTTTGATAGAACTAAAAACCAGTTCTGAGCGTGAGCTTGCACTAGTCGATTATAAAGATTTAACTCACAAGATCTTTTATAAAGGTTACTCAGCATCGATAACGGCATTTAAATATACTGTCAGGTTGCAATGCAGACTGTGAATTACAACGAGGCGATCCGAGTGAAGGCGTACGCCGCAAGGCGCGCGATCTACCATAATATTAGCAAGGAGAGGTTTGCTTATTTAGCGAACACCTATGAGCAGATCCCACGGCAGGACTTTATCAAAATTGTCCATGCAGAGGTTTTGCGGCCAGGATCCCAGAGACCGTATCTGCGTCCAGGCGGAAGTTTGCCTCCGGACTACGTGTCGCCTAGACCTGATATGGACGAGATTGAGCGGGTGCGGGATCCAGAGCACGTTGCAGAGTTCGCTAAGGCCGTATATGGTCCTTCAGTGCTCGAACCAAAGACCAGAGGCAAGGGGCAACACATACAATGTGAGCTGGCAGATGTCGAGGCCTGGGTACTTGAGTATGCTGAGCCTAAGCCTTTGTTTATGTCTTTCATAGTTGCAAAATATAGGTCCCAAGCAATGATCGCCTCGATCAAGCAGACAGTTGAATGCATGCTTACTTCTACCATCACCAAAATTCCATCAGAGAATGGTGAATCAATTTTGAAGACGGAGCTTTCCTCACACCCACACATGATATTCTTCTACTCATGCGTTTTTTCCAAAATTTTAATTTTTTTCAGGTCGGTGCTGAGTTTGGGAATAAGGACGACATGATTGCCCCGCACAGAGCCTGGAACATTATTGAGAAGCAAAATGAGGACGCGCTTTCCAGGGTAGACGACACGCGAGATGGACTGAACAGGGCATTGCGGCAGTTGCGACCGATGCGACAGCGACCTAGGGACAGCACTATGACAGAAGAAGAGCGAAAAGCTGCTGAGGAAGAAGATACTGGGAAAGCCAAAACTAGTGCTAGTTCAACGCAAGACAGAAGAAGAGAAAAAGAGATGGAAACGATGGTCTACCAAGAAGACATGCCGCCAGAGCCGGCCTACAAAAATTACTGGCAGGTACATAGAGCGCCTGCAGGGCTTTTTTTTGGATCTTCAAGGAAAGCTATTGATGGATGCGAGGCAGTTTGGCTTTCTTTCAGTTGTAACAAGTAAGTAGTACTTTTACTCTCCTAGCCCTACAATCTGCTAGATCTCGTTCCTAGCTTTTGTGAGGACCAGCAATATAATGTCCGCATTTCATCAGGCGCGGTACATGATGGAACTGGTTTCGGATGGACTAGAGAAAATGGAAAATGGAGCAAGCGGAAAGCTGAGGAGTTACAAGGCCTTTAAACGGCTAGACAAGGATAACGACAACTATATTACGCTCACCGATTTAGATGCGACCTTGAAGCAGTTCAAGATCCCAGCGACCGCTGAAGATCTTCACGCTTTGTTTTCCGAGCTGGACACAAGTGATAGAGGCTCAGTGGACATCGGACAGTTCAGCAGGAGGTACAACGAATTTCAAATTTTGTTGCGAGTCACTCTCCACGTCGGAGACAAGTACTTCAATAAAACTAGGTTGTTCTATGAATATTGAACCTGATTCTTGTTCTTATTGACTTCAATCTAGTCCATTCAGATTCACCATCCTCATACGTAACCTGATGAGAACGACAATGGGCTACAAGTCGAAAGCTAACCCGGGCTGATACTGTTGTGTGCTGACTCTCTTAATTTTCATCTGCAGGTTCCGTACTTTCCAGGGTGGCCTCCTTGACAATATGCAGCGGCCAGTAGCGGCAGTGGCGTTCGACGGGTCAGCACCTTTGAAGATTGGCCCGTTAGCTGAGCGAGAGCGCATGGAGGCTGCGCGACGTGGACACGGAATACAACAGTTGACTGATATGTACACTAGTACCGCTCCTGCCGGTGGTGAAATTGCGGCAGACGCGGCCGCCGGGTACGCAACTGAAGCCGCTGATGGAGCCGAGATGCCTTTAGGAGCTAGTAGTAGTTCCGGTAAAGCATCTGCTTCAGGTAGAGCAGTTGTAGAAGAGGGTGACGTCGCTGGTGTTTCCGCAAGCGCACCGGCCGCAGTCCCCGCAGGTGTAATGGCACCACCTGAGGACATACCAGCTACGCCACATGAAATTGATGAACCGATGTCACCAGGCTATGAACAAATGATCCATCCAGACGATGATTTGGAATCACGAGCGGGCGACTATCGAATGAAGCCGTATAGAGGCATACTGGGAGAGAAGCGTACGTACGGATCAGTGACGCAGGTCATCAAAGCTCGAACAGACAGGTAACGTAAACATTAGTGAAAATGTATGTGCAGTTGTAGACGCTGGATCCTTTAGAATCTTAAGTAAAGCAAAAGCATCTTCATGGTTCCCGATCTTAACTACAGTCACAAAGAAATATCGATGTAGTTTCTTTCCATCGCCTTACAAGAAACATTGATTCAGGTGGAAGCCAAAAAAGCACGAGCTCTACACACGTCTCCCTCCCGGTAGATTTCAACGGACACTATATCCTGATACACGGGGCACAATCGAGCCTATACCCGACAAATCCATTGCCAGTTACATGCCGGACGAACAGCGGTGAGGTTTTTTTTCCATCGTGATCGTGTCGTTTACGTATTTGTTGCAACTGTTCCTTGTTTGACTTCGAACTTTAATGAATGATATAATCTTATGATCATGGTAGGTTCAAGACGATGTCCTTAGCGCATAGTATTTATGCCGCACCGGATTCGGAGATACCCGCACGATTCGACCGGCTGAAGAGCATGGCAATTCGGGAATTCCGAGTAAACAGGTTGCAGAATCGTATCGCGGAAATCGGTAAGCGCAAAGAGCTTGCAGAGGAGGCGGCTCGGGAATTTGAGGAAAAACGCATTGCCAGAAAGGCCTTAAACCTCATGAACTATGAGCGTAAGATTCGTGCAACTGCGTGACTTACGCCGTTCTCGCAGATGTTCTCTTTCATGGGACGGATGCGCTCGCACCTTTTCCTTCGATCTTTGCGAGTCTATTTCTTTACCTAGGTTGAACTTGAAGTTCCTGAGAATTCAACGTATACTTATCCGTTCTGCTTCTTGACCTACGCGCGTCTTCCCGTTCGTGCTGGTCCTAGTTTAACGGAGGCGAGAGGAAGTTGAGGTTGACACTTAACGACATTTGAAATTATAGTGAAATATAGAGAGATAAACTTAAACTAGTTTGATAAATTCTATCATGTTATTCGGCGAGGCCACAGGCCCTACTTGGTATGTTGAAATAAATGTAAACTGCATATTGTTCTGGATCGGTATCCATTGCGAAAAAAGTTACTAGTATGCGCAAAAGTTTTGTCTGGGCTACCGCAGCAAAAGCTGGCTAGCAAAAGTACTGCTCGTCCTTTCTTAAAAGCGATAAATTTGAGCCGAAACACCCCGTAATTCAATGATGGTTTACTTCCTTCTTCACTAAAAACTATTGTTAAGCTTATAACTCTTACTGACTGTAATACACGATTACCTTCTATTAAGTAACTAGTACTCCTTCGATTGATTTTTCAAACTGCTCAAGCTCAGTTTCCGCGATTCATTGAAAGAATGTCAGACCACCCTGCCCCGCCACAATAGATTAAAGCCAGGTAATTGCACAGAAATCTAACTTACGACGTAATGTGACAGAGTATCAGAGGACAGTGTCTATTACTCCAAAAAATATTCGAGTTATTTTACCTTGTTGTCAGTGGGCCGTCGAACTAAAAGCGCATACTGCATCTTCGTTTGAGACATTTTGATTTGTATTCACAGCACCGTATTGATTTTCTTAGGATTTATTAATGTGATGAACTCGTGCAGGCACGACTGCTGTGACACGGCCCAGATATGCCCGCAAGAGGGTTGCCAACGTCGCCGACTGAATGAATGAGTGAGGAATCTACTGAGCGATCTTGAAAGTATTCCTTATTTATATAAGCAGAACTTTGCAAATGGAAAGTAATATTTCCGTGTCGCGGAGAGTATGAGCAGGCGCCCTGACCAATGCCGGGCTTTCACATTCGTGAGTCAGAATCAGATGGAAAATAGATCCCCATTTAGCTTGTCTAGAAAGAAGTACGTTTTTGTCATGTTTCGTAAGATGAAGCATAGCAAAAGAGGTTGTTTTGTACAGACTTGAAGAGACACGTCGAAACTGACTCATAAAAATACGTGCATAGTCGTTTCTTACTCGACGACGTTATTTTTGATGAGGTAGGCAGCGATGCCTAGTAGCGGTTGTTGCCTAGGCAAAGGAGGCCGGGTCGTTGTCGAGGTGAGACCGGAGGGCTAGCGATACACATTCATTTATCATCGTGTGCATGACCTGAAAAATTTCTAGACAATCGTCGTGCCGAGACAGATATTTCAAGCATTGCTAAGATGCTATTCCTGCGAGATGACGAGTCTAGGAGTTACCAAGCCAGCTATCTATGTCATGACCATGAGTCATTCATTGTATAGTACATTCTTTCATTACTCACATGATCTATTGCATGCTGATGCGGCTGGTATGGGTATGTATCAATCAGTATATTTGCATCATACAACTACATGCACGTCTTCCACCTATGAAGGAAAGAAATTCTATTCTTTCAAGTATGGCATGAAGGCGTCGCCGTGCGCGCTTGAGCAACGTCGTGCTCTAACTCTTTCGAAGTCGTGTAAACATCAACCTAAATGATTGTCAAAACAGCACTCACAGAACTAGTAGATGCAAGGAGGTGAGCACTCTGAGGAAGAGTAAAGGACAACCTCAGTGGTTCCTTGCATGAGGAAAAGGTATTGGTAGGTCGTGATTTGTGAGGCAGGGTAAAGATGCGTACCTGAGACACCCAGAAAAAGATGCATTTGCAATTCGTTTGACTCGTGAATTCTGCGTATATCACCATCATCACCCAGAAAAAATGCAAGAGTTGGTAAGCGTCTGGCCTTCAATTGCTGGAACGAAAAGAACGAGACTACTTCTGAATCAAAAGTCATCATGATGAAAAGAATGTTCCCAATCGGATGCAGTGAGACAAGATTAGCGCTTCATCTTGTATGCGAGGACAACAATATTAATGTCGACTTTATTTATTTCAGCCGACGATTTCCAAGAAGGCAAGAGGACACCATCTTGGTCTTCACGCATGCTTGCAATTTAACTCTGTCGCCTGCGAAGCCCGATTGTAGGTATCATAGTTACAGAGCATACAGAAAGAGCGATCGCTTCATATAACAAACAGGATCCTACCTACGTCGAGAAGTACAGACGTCTCTGAATATCCACATTCTCATTCAGGACGTACGTTATCCACAATCATCAACACACTCTCATGTTGTAGCTGTTTTGGAATTATCTACTAGAAGATGTAGATATTTATTATTTACATTTAGTAGTGCTGATTGCAACGAAGCGGGTTCAGGTTCGTTACATTGAGAAACCTAGGAATAGAATGATAGACTCAACATACTCGTAATTTCCGGATTTTTTCTCACGCTTACCAATTATTTTCATTTGACCTTTACAACACAAATAAGTTCAAAAACAGTCCTAGCATTTTAATTTTATTGATTTCTACGTCTTGGTCTTCAATAAGTAAGTATTTATAAAACCGCAACATCGTTGTAAAAAACTTTTCTTTTGCTCATAATTTTTGGTTTACATATGGTGCTCATTTTTGCAATTTAAGTACAACATGAATATGATCCAATTTTAATTCACCTTCACATATGATACCCATATTTTTTGCCGCATCAATTTGTTCGAATGCTCACGCATTGTTGCTTTGCGTTGCACACCTGTCTTTGCCTGGGTATATTTTCATACGTCAAGCGATGAAGATCGAAATGGATCTGGTGGGAGTATCAAATACGAGTCCGTGAATTAGAAAAGTTTTGCAGACCCTGACACAGAATCGCAAGAAAAGGAAGCCTGAAGCGCTAGGATCTATTGAGCAGAGGAGTCTCTGCGGAGCGAAGCCGATCATGATGATGAAGGGCCCGGTAGCAGCGGGGTCGGAAAGAAGTGATGGAGCAGTGGCAACTTTCTCCATTAAGGCTAGCTATTGCTTGATCATCCTAAGCGTCATCCTTGGCCTCATTTTCAAGGGAAAGAAAGCCCAGGGATGCGCTCAGGGATGCGAGCGCGGTAGCTCTAATGATGGATCAGAGGCGACTTTCTCCACGGCTGGGAACTTTGGCGCTACGCCGAACCAACCGACCCTCTCCAACGAGAATGCTTCGACAGCTGGTTTGAAGCAGGAAAACCCGACTTCGTTAGGCTTAGCCTTAGCTGAAAATATGAAAGGCGTAAGTGCGTGTGTGGGCAGCACTATCAGAGACGCACATCTTGTAGGCCTTAGGTGGAAAGAAGGTGGGCCTACGACAGTTGTAGCGTCTGCAGCAAAATGCACTCAACTTATGGGCACCATGAACCCATCGTTTACGCCATCTCTTCACTACAGATTCTTTCTTAGACTAAGCTAAAAGATGTTCGACAAGATGGGCTGTCGATGCCTCTAATCAATAGGCGGCGCTCGTGGGGACGGAGCTTCTCACAGCGTCTGCAGCTAGAGCCATTCAACCGGCGATGGTTGAAAGAACGGAGCTTCCTGTAGTCACCCAGCCAGCGCACTATCACCTACAACCAAACAACAACCTACAAGACCCCTCGAAGCTGTTTAGCATGGTGAATGAAGACCTGCAAGCAGAGATTCGGGAAACCGAATACGGTGGCGAGATCAAGTACTTTCGTGGCGGCGTTTCCGAAGAAATCTTCCCAACAAAGTGCCTCGTGATTAATTCCCACGACTATTTTCAGTACAAACTTGACATGCTTTTTTCTTTTTAGGTGCTGTCTGCAGTTTCTTTGCTGTCTGCAGTTTCTTTGTGTGTCGAGTTGCTGCTTTCCGTTTTTTGTATGCAGTTTGAAATGTAAAATAACGCTGTGGAAGACAACGGAGCTTTCACAACATCTTGTGGTCGTGGACGTTATTTGTTGTAACTGTAAGACGTGGCTGCTTGCCCCTAATGTTCGTCGTGCATACCATCACCAAGACGAAATTCAACCACGCCAGGATATCAAAAGATTATTGCATCGTTTGGAACCGGGATGATACTAGAGTCTTCGTCGCCGTCTCCCAGCTGACTTCAAATAACGCGAAATTATCGGGTAGATTGGCACCGCATTGGGGCAGGCATATTAGAGACAGACACCACTGGCAATGGGAGGTAAATCCTCTGCGTAAAACAATCTGACTAAAACATTTTGTTTTTTATTTGACCCCTCTTCCTTGTAAGTATATTGCTAATCTATCATATGAGAAATAACATCTACCGGACGGATTTTGGGGTTCCTTACAGCATAAAAAAATTCGTGTGTGTGAAGATCAAAACTAGTCTCTGCGGATGCAGTGGGCAGCATTATCAGAGACGCGAACGCGATCGCGACATTATCAAAACTCACAGATGGCCCGAAAACGCCAAGAGCGTCGCTTTTCTATGTTTAGGATTCTGGGATTCCATCTTCAGCAATATTTTGGTACCTTTCGCTTTCCCCTGCTCTATGAGGGAAAAGCAGACTCAGGGCTGCTTTCGAGATGGATTCCGGGAAGGTCTAACATGAGGTGGGACAATGGTGGTAGTCTGCGCGAGTCACCTCAGGGGACACTCCAATACTACAAAGGACGTGGCAAGGAGATGCCGACAAACGTAGAAAGTGGCCGGCTTGATATTCCCTTCCATGGGAGACCCTCGTACTCTCATCCCTTTTCCTCATCAATACTTGTGTAATAAACTGTAGCAGTAAAAAAGATACACAGCCTGGCTCCTTCGGGACGAAGAGCATTAATGTTAGGGGAGCATGATCTAGCATTTATCATAGCATTCGCAGCAGATGTTGCGTCTGTCTCTGTGTGGATGCCACGAATCGTTTGGCTCACTCCTCACTCTAGTTGGGGATGTTTACGAAAATTCAATCCCATTTATTAGCTATGCAATGATATTCATCGTGGGTAGCTGCATAGCCATTGCCTGCGCATCAAGCATCCACTTCATTTGCGTTTTATTTCTTACGCGGAAGGCTCATTTTTTTGATTCAAGAGAAACGAACTCGCTTACATTTAATCTCACTCCCACTCGCACTGTACGCCCTCTTCATATCGCAAACTAATCACTAATAGGATTGCGTTCGTAATTTCGCCCGACAATTATGGAGACCAAGGCCCTACGTTTTTGCTACATTGAGTGTTAAGTCAGCGACACAGTGTCCACAACTAGCGCCACACTGTCACAACTTCGCACAGCTTCGGAATAATAGAAGTAAAGTGTGAAAAAGCGTAGCGCTTTGGCCTCTCAAAGGATGTCTCATAATCGGACGATACCGCTGCGAGATAGATGGCCGTAAAAAGTTCATCGACGCCTACCTCTGCTCAAGTGTGTTAGAGTTGCGGCTACAGTGCATTTATCTTCTCTCGGTGCCACGCATTTTGGAAGCCCGCTGCTCAACCAAGGGGTAGCGGGCGCCAAAATTCTCTATGAGATGAATGTGCTCTGCGTCCAATAGAAGCATCGGCGCGGGACACAAAGGATTGGGTATTTACCGGTTCCCTGGCGCAGTATGACCCTCTACCTGCAAGCTATTGCCGTCTTGGAGTGCTGTGTGACTCTGATGAGAGCAATGAGGGACAAAAAAGCAAGGCAGTTTTTTCCGTGCAGCCTCAGCGCCTGCAAATCAAAGGTTCAGAGCCGTCTTGTGTCCAAGGTGCTGCTGCGCCTGGATACATGCCGCCGGTGAGTACTATTGGGCCGTTCCCGTCCTCGACCTCGTTTCCTCCTGCATTGCGCGCGAGGCTTCATCGGCAGGAAAAAGGCGGGCGTGTGCCAGTAGTTGCACCAGAAAAGAGCAAAGGAAGAAGACCTTCCGTGTCTGCTACACAAATCGACATGGCTGGGACTGCTCTTCAAATCGACGCTCGCGAAACGGGCACCGATTCCAGTATCGAAATTCGTTGAACTTGCTTATGATTTTTGTTGTAGCGCGGATTATATACACGGCATGTCGTGGTTAGTTATAAATATTTATAAGAAGAAATAGGTACTGTGGAGACGTGGCGTAGTTTCAAACTCCAACATCATGCCTACAGGTACAGTGACACAGGTGGTGGTTCCTAACGCAGATGCTCGAGATACCGAGATGACAGAAGTCGAGATGGTGCAGTCAGCCTCTTCTGCGACTACGGGAATAACTGCTGCGCCTGCTCTTGCTACCACGATGACGGAACAGAAGGTGCAAACAGGACCAGCTCCAGTGAATATTGTTGGTGATGATATTGTCCCAGGCTTATTGCCGAACGGCTCCATAATAATACGAATACCTCCAGAGGGGCACAGCATGAAAATTAGTAGAGAAACTAATCTAAAGGCGTTGTCTGATGACGAGACGACGATCGTGACGAATGGCACAAAGCCGACCGAAGAAGGAGTGTTGACCTCGGAAAACGAGAGCGAAATGGATCTTGGTGAGTGCAGTCGTTACAGTCAATGCGGGAAAGCACAACGGAAAGAGGAGCCTGAAGGGGATTGCTCTTTGATCCAGTCATTACGCATGAAGGACAGTGATGTTATAGATATTGTCGCGAGCAGAAAGGTCGAGACTGACGTGGCTCTGAGTCGATCGCGATCAAGTAGACAAAGACGCCCTTGGCAATCTAAATCTTCCGACCGGCATGATGCTGGGCAACGTTCTGATCTGCTTACCAGAGCTGCCGACTCCATTATGGATCTTTACCTTATTTGTAACTAAGACTCTTCTCTTGCTCTTCTGTGCTCTTCGTTGAAATCAAAATGAATTGGTTAACAACAAAAACGCCACTTGCTTCAGCGATGTTGTGGTTCCTCCATTTCGTTAATAGCATTAAAAGTCGTCGGTCTTTAAGACATACAATGACAAAGATAGAGCTTAGTTTTCAGACACTTGTAGTTCTCGAGAGCGGCGCTAACGCTCGGAAAAAGGACGGCTTGCCGCGACTGGCGCGATACCCGCAAAACACCTACTCACTGCTCCGAGATTTTGACACAGGAAAAGCAATGCACAAACGACGAGAGAAAACAAGTGATGAGAAGTCATCTGAAGACCCTTCGGAAATCGGGAATTGTGGGAAAGTGCACCAGTTGGAGCCTCACAGCAGATTTGATCCAGAGTTGCGTGGGATACGCGTCGCGGAAAATACCTCGCCTGCGGTTCGGCCGATGCAGGAGCCGGTGAAAGATCTACCCGATGGCCCTGCTGATGACACTGGCGCGAGTATGCACTTGCCCGATTACGAGGACCAGCCTGAAGATGATGCGAGCCCGCACTTTAATATCGTGGATCGAGGCGTAGCATTTCTCGTAGACAAGACAAAGCGACTCCACCAGCGTGAAAGGAAGAAAGCGCTCGCTGAACAACCTGGAGCAACATTGAATGCAGGCAAGCATCGGAGCGGGATCAACAGCATGGCCTTGGAGTCAAAGAGCAAGGAGACAGCAACCTCCGGGGCAGCGACGTCTTTTGCGTCTATGTCGATCACAAGAAAGCGCTCTAGCACGGCAGCCCTGGAACGAACAGCATCAGACGACAATGACACTCTAAAAGATGCGACTGCAGAGGCTTCTGCGCCTCGTCATCTTGGAATCGAGTCTGCAAATGCAGATCCACCGGACCGAACTGGCGCTGCTTCTCCTGCTCATTTCCATGCGCCATTTGTCGCCGCGTCGTGGCCAACGATTGCTGCACCTGTGCACGTTGAGGACGCAGGGTCCCCCAGCTTCGGCGCCTCTCGTCAGAGCGATGCGGGGGCAACCTCCTTCGCAGCCAAGCCAATCGATCCTGCTCTTGTGGCAATAATTATCGCGGCTGAGCAGCCAAGAGATGCCGCTTCTACGGCCATCCCGAGCACACAGAGTTCAAGTGATGACGCACTTGCGACAAGCACTTGCGAAACACACTTGCGCATACGTGTCCAAAGTGCTTCTGCGCCTGGCCACATGCCCCCAGTGAGTACTACCAGATCGTTTCCGTCCTCGTCCGCGTTTCCTCCTGCATTGCGCGCGATGCCTCATCGGCAGGCAAAAGGTGAGCGTGTGCCAGTACCACCAGAAAAGAGAAAAGGCAGAAGGCCTTTCGCATCTGCTTCACAAATCGAAACGACCGGGACCACTGCTCCTCATATCGACGATCACGAAGCGGGCGCCGAATCTAGTATAGAAGTTCGTTGGCCTTGGCCTCGCTTGTGATTTCTTTTGTTAATAGTTGGGTCACTTTTATATGTGTGGCATGATGTAGCTATATAAATACTGGCTTATGAATGTTGATGCTCAGCGACACATTTTCTGGCTGCTAATGCAGATGCCCGATATACCGAGACGACACAAGTCGAAGTGGTGCAGTGGGCCTCCTCTGCGTGTTCGACTATGGGAATAACTGCTCCGCTTGCTCTTGCCACCACGATGAAGAAAGAGAAGGCGAAAACAGAACTGTCAGTGAAAATTGTTGACGATGACACTGCGCCAGGCTTAGTGCCGAATGGTTTCGATGCCGAGGACTCTGGGCAGGCAGGTGAGGGCACGGATCCGATGAAGACAGAAGCCGCAATCAGGGGCGACTATGATTATGTGGGCTTCGGTGAAGACCTTCCGCCGTCGCAGGTTTCCATGGGGGGTAGCGAGTGTCCGGATAATATTCGCTTCGCAGCGGAGGCCGGCGAGAAAAGGGAACACGAGAAAAGTACGCACGTGGGTTTGGCACCAGATGTCTTCGAGGTTGGCAGACCGAGGACTCCGCAGGCCGAGCGGCGGGGGGGCACTACCTTCGTCGCACGTGAAGACTCCGTGGATAGAAACCGGAAGACAGAAATATCGCATCAGATAATACCTACGGACGGGCACAGTATTAATAGAGAACATGGTCTCAAGGCGTTGTCTGATGACGAGATGACGATCATGACGAATGGCACAAAGCCGACCGAAAAAGGACTGACCTCGGAAAACAAGAGCGAAATGGATCTTGGCGAGTGCAGTCGTTGCAGCCAAGGCCGGAAAGCACAAATGATAGAGGAGCCTGAAGGGAGTCCTCCCTTGATCCAGCTACTACGCACGAAGGACGAGGATGATATTGCAGCGAGCACGAAGCCCGAGGCTCGGACCCGATCGCGATCACGTACACAAAGACGCCCTTGGCAATCTTCTGAGCAGCATGATGCTGGGGCTTGTGGGCGACGTGCTGACCAGCGTACCAAAGATGCCGACTCCAAAATTATTGATCTTAAGAAGTGTAACTACTTTTCTTTTTTACTACTCGTTGAAATGAAAATGAATTGTTTAACAACAAAAACGCCACTTGCTTCAACCATGTTGCAGTTCCTCCATTTCGTTAAAAGCATTACAAGTTGTCGGTGTTTACACAATGACAAGGAAAGAGTTTAGTTTCCAGACGTTTGCAGTTCTCGAGAGCGGCTCTAATACTCGGGAAAGGAATGGCTTGCTGCGAAAGGTGCAATACCCGGAGAATGCCGAGCCACTTCGTCGCGATTTCGACACAGGCAAAGCAACGCACCAACGACGAGGGACGAAAACAAGTGACGAGAAGTCATCTGAAGACGCTATGGAAATCGAGGATAGCGGAAAAGTGCACCAGTTGGAGCCCCACAGCAATTTTGATCCAGAGCTGCGTCTGGGACACGTCCCGGAGGATACCTCTTCGACGGGCCGGCCAATGCGGCCGGTGAAGAATCTACTCGACGGCCCTGCTGATGACACTGGTGCGAGTATGCACGTGCTTGATTACATGGACCAGCCCGAAGATGATGCGGACTCACCTTCTCCTCAGCTGAAGCACTTTAGGGTGGATTCAGTCGCGGCATTTCCCGCAGACAAGCCAAGAAAGCAACTTCACCAGCGTGAAAGGATGAAGTCGCTCGCTGCACAACTTGGAGCAACATTAAATGTAGGCGAGCATCGGAGCGAGTTGAAACGCCTGGCCTTGGAGTCAAACAGCAAGGAAGCCGCGATCCTAGGCGCAACGACGAATTTTGCATCTACGTCGACCACAAGAAAGCGCTCTACCACAGCAGTCCTGGAACGAGCAGCATCAAGCGACGATGACACTCTGACACATGCGACTGCAGCCGCTTGTGCGCCTAGTTCTCTTGGAAACGAGTCTGCATATGCAGTGCCACTGGATCGAACTGATGAACTACAGACGGTCTCTGCACGTGCAGGTGCTGGCGCTGCTTTTTCTGCTCATTGCAATGCACGCTTTGGCACTGCTTGCTCGCCGACGAATGCTGGACCTCTGGAAGTTGATGACGCTCGGTATCCCAGCTCCGGCGCCTCTTGTCGAAGCGATGCTGAGGCAACCTGCTCGTCCTTCGCAGCCAAGTCAGTCGAGTCTGCTCTTGCGGCAACGGCTATCGCAGTTGAGCAAACCGATGCTGCATCTGCGACAACCCCGAGCACACAGTGTTCAAGCGATGGCGCACCTGTGACAACCACTTGCGCACACGAGCCGAACCATGAAGCCTTCGAAGCAACTGTTAACGCAGCTGAGTCGGACGATGTTGCGCCTGCGGCAACAATTATTGCCGTCCGAGGTGTAAACGACGATGCTACGCCTGAAGTAACTACTGAAGCGCCGGGCTCCAATGCAGATGCTGAAAACATGCCCTCGAGCAAAGAAAAAGATGATATGCTCGTTTCAAGCGATGGCACACTCGAACAAAATACCAGCGTACCGGTTTCGAGCAATGCTGCGCCAGTGCAAATCGTGAGGCCTCCAGGCTTAAGAAATGATGCACCTGCGTCACGCACAGAAGCGCACTCTTTAGCCGATGAAGCACCTACATCTGGCGTGATGGATGGTGTACAGGTCACCGAAAAATCAGTCGAGTTATCACCAAAAATTGCGCCAAAAACGCCGGTAAATGAAGTCGTGGAAGTTTCTGATTGCTCTGACGAAGAAGAGGACGGCAAACAAAGTAAGCAGGTCAGAGCTGCGTCTCGCAAGGTAGACGAGGACGAAAATCAAGACGATCGGAGTTCGAGGAGGCAACTTCTTGAAATCGGAATGCAAGATGAAGAGGAAGAAGAGGCGTCGACTTCTGGCGCGCTAAGGCCTGTGCTGAGTGATGCGCAGCGAGAAATGGCGGATGAGATGCTCGCAGTGTACCAAAATATACCTAACGGCATGGAAAAGATCCAGGATGATGATCATTGGACGAAGATCGATCTCCGAGTAAACGACATGCGAACGCTTGCTCCGCGCGGGTGGCTGAACGACAACGTGGTCGATTGTTACCTGAAGATAGCACTGCGCGATATTTTGGGCACAGAGGTGGTCGACAAAAAAGTTCTCTGCTGGAACACCCAGTGGTGGATGCGGATAAGCGGCGAGGGGAAGGGTCTTATGGCAATGGAAGTAAGCAAAAGCAATGTCTCTCGAGAGGTCGTGAGAAATTTGGCCTAGAAGTTAGAGTGTATTCGAAAGATCCTCCTGCGTGCCTCTACCTGCATGAATACATCATTCCGAATCGGGGGAAGTTTCACCTTCCCGGTGAGAAATTTGGACCTACATTATTTAGTCTTGCTTTTTTACTCGAGTGAGTTTTACATTGATTGAGCGGGACTTTGTAGTACTACTGACTGGTCTAAGAAAAAGAACACCGGAGAGCCGCAGTATTGTTACGCAAACGTGAAGCGGTGGCCTCTGCGTCGGAAAGCAGACATCTTCGCATTAGACTTGATGATTGTGCCTCGCGGCTCTGGAACGCATTGGTCATTGGGCGTTGTGGACTTTCGGCGCAAGCGTTTAATCCACATTTGCTCGCTAGGACTCAGGAATACCCTTTTTATGGAGGTGGTACGCCGATACTTAACGGATGAGTGGAAGGACAAGAAAAATGGCGAAGGCGCCTTCTCTTTTGACGGATGGACAGAGCTCTACTCTAGTGACTTCGAGAAAGAGCTGGGCACGCGAGTTCCGCTGCAAGACAACGACTTCGACTGTGGTATGTTCACGATTTTGTATGCGGTTCAAGTTGCGGAGCAGTATCGTGACCGGGGAACCGAGCGGGGGCCCAGTTTCCGCTTCACCTTTTCACAGCAGCAAATACATGACTACCGTCGTAAATGCTTGCTAGAGCTGCGAGGCGCAGCCGTGGCCAAAAGCTGCCCCTTTTCCATAATTGAACTAGTTCAAAAATAGTTCAATCGTTCAATTTCGTACAATGTGATAGAAAGGCAACTTCTATGAGTCCAATCAAGTAAGAACGTTAGAAACAGCTCCTCTCGTGTGTGATATCAATCGAATCAATATATACATGAGCGAGACATCCGCAGCATTCGTATCGTAAATGCAGGCTTTTCGCGACATGAGTCGAGTAATAACAAACAAAAGTTTGTTATGAGCAATAACAAACACAAGTTTGCTATTAAAAAACTCCAAGAATAAGAAAGAATAGCGTCATTATGATTATTTTCCAACATGTTCGCTTAGAACTGGACAGAGTGCACAGAGGAACACCAAGTGAACAAGCCGGACGCTCAAAATGAGACGAATCAGTGCAGGAAATTGCCAGCACACCCAAATAACCTTAATACTGATATGTGCGTATGCGTGAGTGATGTGTCCGTGACCGTATCGGAAATCCTCCTTGGACAGAATCGACATGAGTGGCGTGGTGCGTTCTTTCACTTTCTTCAGCACAGACTGACAGTGTCAAGTGAAGTCGCTGTTAAAAATCCACACAGTATCGCATCCGCCATGGATTTCGGAGGAATTATTATCTCAGCTTTTGAAAGATATACTTCGCCTTTGTTGAGAAAATTGCAAGCATGATCCTTGCCACAAGGGAGCTTTGCTGTCATCTTGGCTCTTGACGTGGTTTAAGCACCCAGGATTGAGCGCTTTTATCATCGTCTGAGTACCTCAAAAAAAAGAAGAGTTCTCAAATCAAAAAAAAAGCTCAGTACAACAACATCGAGGACGATGGTGATGATGATGGTTTGAAGATGTTGCTGTGTGCATAGAAGTGTTGAGTTGAAGCATAGATCAGTGTCTGAATATTTGCAGACTAGAAACTTCTTCTTAGGTTTCCTCTTCCTGTTTACCTTTTGTGCGAAGTCCTCTGCGTAAGTATGAAATGCTTTCGGGTTGTCTTGTGCATCAATGCGTTGCAATAGAGACCGATGCTGAGTTTTTTTAATGAATATGAAATATGCAGGCTTTTAGTTAGTCGCGGGACCGCTTCTACCACGGCCACCTAGCAGACTTAGAAACTGTTTCATTGATGAGATCGGCTGCTAACAACACCAAACTTTTACGCCCCGACGATCTTCAATTTGTCTACTAAGAGAGGGTGGAAGTAAGTAGATGGATACAAGTTTTTGGAATGTCCATAAAAGAACTACTTCAGTGCCGAACATATCATCGATGATGTGAAAGGTTTTACAATACTGATTTCATTTCTATAATATCGAGTACATTTGTGGTCTTCTAATTGCTGTTCTCCTAATTCTAGAATGAGAAAATATCTCATCCTATTTTTGAAGCGAATTTCAAACAAAAAGGATGGAGTTTGGGGCACATGCGCAACACATTGCAGAAAGGAAACAAAGGCTTGAAAAGAAATTTGCTTCGCATCATCCCGTACCGAAGTTCCCCCTGAACACCCCGAGCCCTGTCGCAAACAGCTGGATGGCATCCGCGGCGACTTCGTTTTCATCTCGTATTTTTTTCGCCATTCTGCATGTTCTGGGCCATCTTGCAACTTTGTTATTAGTTTTCGACTGCAGCCGGACTTGTTTTCCTAACACCAGCCACTATTCTGATTTATTCACTTTCGCATGTATGTTGTCTTCCTTTGAGTCAATGGTGCGCCGGTTCAGTAAAGCTAAAGATCGAGGCAAACAGTATTTATATATAATACAGCTGGAGACTCCGCCATGGCGTCGCAGCAGCAGCAAAAGCAGTGCGTGACCAAAGGCATTGCCAACGCGAGTGAGGCTCCTGCGGTGGGGAAGGGTCAGCTAGAACATGGGTCGGTGACAAACAGTGAAATGGTGACTCCCATTACTGCAACGGGCTCGGGCAAAGTCGGTTTGATGGTGAAGGGCAATCAAATGTCTGGCTCGGAACCGTGGAGCAGCAAGGATTCGATAGCTATGATGGCTCCATGCGGAAGCAAAAATAGAAAAGGATACGGAGTAGCCACTCCCCTCATGCAGGAAGCCGCAACATGTGGCTCGATGGGAGGAGAGCTAACTTCTTCAGGCCGTGTAAAGGAGGAAGATTCCACTACGGGAGAATCAGAAGTCACTACATCATCCGACCCTAACTTCAGCACCCTCGCCCTGCTTCCAGCTGCAGCTCCAGACATAGGGCCGCAAGAACATCAACAAATGGAAATGGCGCTCGTCACAGCTAACTCTCCATTGTTTATCATGCACAACGAAGACTTGGGGGCTATGATTGTCGAGACCGAAGATCCGAATGGCTACATAGAATACTTAACTGGTGCTGCTCCCATCCCCGGGCGCTACTCTCCACAGCCGCGACGCCTTCTGACTCCAAAAGAGGACTTTTCGTATTATTTTTCTTGAGTAAAAAATACACTTTCAATTTGCCGAAACACCTTGGGCGAAAGTCGTTATTTTGTCATTCTTCGAAACTTCTTCTTCACTGGCAATCTATGCTTACATCGGTAAATAAGAGAACTACTACTCAAAAAATCCATGGACTGCTCATTTACACGTACAGGATGTCACGAGATACATTTGTGATTTGGGATCGCGATGACACCCGAGTGTTCGTCGCAGTTTCCCAGTTGACTTCACGAGCAGCGCGGCTTTCAGGCAGACTAGCACCGCATCACGGCAGGCCCCTGGGGGAGGAGGTACTACAGCGAGCTGACCTAACAAGAAGATAGCGCTTCGTGAACTGTTACTGGTTCTAGATTGTATTTTTATCGAAAGATTTGCGATACCAGATACAGAATTGACTGCCAAATACAGAGTTGACGAATAGAAAAGCACGAATGAATGCTTACTGTCATTGATTGATGAAACCGTCGAAATACGCAAGCTTCGTCTTGCTATTCTACTATAAAAATACGTGTCGCGTGTGATTGACATTTGCAGGAGGCCCAGCAACGGCGACAGGGTTGCTTCTCTATGTGGTGGGATAGTGGCGCTTGTCTGCGCGAGTCACCGAAGAAAAAACTCCAGTACTACCCAGGTCAAGGCGTGGAGGTTCCGTCGAAGAGGCCAAGCGCCCGCAGTGATATTCCCAGCAGCCAACCATGGTCCCAGTATACTCTTACACATCTTCTTGAGTTGTTCTTCCGATCTTGACAAGAAATATTTTTGGTGAACACCACGATAGAGCAGACAGCTTCGCTTCAAAATCTGTAGAAGTTTAAGTTATTGCATGGATGCGGCATTGGTCCCTCATGATCCTCTGTGAGAAGCTTGCATGTACGATTTAGAGCTCGTTGCCGTTATGCAGTACTATCCTATGGTGCATGATAAGTAGACCTGTTGTTGGCCATCATATTTCAACGACAAGGCATGCCGCTATGTATACTATAGGGCGCGCGTATGCTAATGTATTTGTATGGTTCTGGTATTTGGTAACCTGAATTTGATCACAAGGATTCTCCTCTTGTTTTCCTTATGATCCCAATCTATCAGGTTACCAAATACCAGAAACATTCAGTATTATCACGCTGACACTAATTTCAATTTTGGCGACGCAGTAGAAGCCATTGAGCCTTTTTGTTTTTTTACCTATCTCAGGCATTTCGAAATTTCCGAAGATAGTCTCGTGATCTGGCGATACCGCTTTACCGCAGACGGTCACTCAAAGTTCGTTGATGCGTACATCCACACCAAGATTCTAGAGGCGTCAGAGCGAGACACGAAGGACTGGGAGTTTCGCGGTGCGTTGGCGCGATATGAGCCTACTCCCAGTTACCTTCATCATCTAAGGCCACCGGATGATATTGAGAGCAAGGGAAGCAAAGGCGAAGCAGTGTCCTGCCTGGGGCCGCCTCAGCAGTTGCAGATCAAAGGCCCTGACGTTTTTGTCGAAAGTCCCCGCAAGGGTGCGACTTCGTCAGTGGGAAAACAAGGCAAGAAGTGTGCCTCTTTTGGCACAACCATGACAATGCCACGCATTGGAGGGTTTGGCCCATTGCCGTCGTTTCCCCCGTCCGAAGGAGTACCTCAGTGGTATCCAAAAGGGGCACCTCTGTCGGCACCAGGAAAGGCGAAGATGGGAAAGTCCTCCTCCTCGCCTTTTGCTGCACATTTCGCACCGCAGGCGCAAACCAAAAGTAATGCCCCAGATCTCACTGTGCTGCAACAGCAATTTTATAACCATAGTAATCCATTAGCAGATGACTCGACGCATGCACATGTGGGACAAGCTGAAAATCGACAGGATACTACAGCACCAATGACGCTGGATGCTGCTCTTCAAACCGGCGATGGCGGAATGGGTATCGAGTATCTTTATATCTAATTCTAATATTTATTTCAAACACAAAGATGAAGCTGTCACGTCTGGTTAACTATTTTCACTCTCGACGACTCCTCTGGCGGTGGCTTGACATCAATACTTTTCCGAAGATCTAACTACTTACATAAAGTTCTTCGTTGTGCTTGTACTTCACGCGAAGTGTATGCTATTCTTTAACTCATTTATTTCCTACCTCTCCAGGACCAGGAGGGCCAGCCTTCTTCGGCCCCCCAGCAAATGGAATAGGACGCATGGATGTCGCTGAGGCACTTCAGGCTAACGTCGAGTACGCAAAAAGCACAAGTGCTTCCTCTGCTGCTATGGACGTTGATGCAAGAACACTTCCAACGGCAACAGCAGACGCCGGCCCAGCAGCTACATCCCATTTCCGCCTAGAACAAAGCGAGAGCATGCTGCAAGTAGGTGGAGAAGCTCCTTCGAACGCAATGCGGAGCGCAGAAAGTGCACCAGCTGCCACGCATGCGAGAGAGAGTGTTGTGGAGGCTGCTCAGCCTCAAACTGATACGACGAATACAACTGATCTACTTCAAGCTGGAGAGGGAGCGCCTGTTGCAGCGGCGGAACCTGTCGCGAACTCAAAGAAGGACATTGTTGACACGATATCAGTCGAGTTCGTGAAAAATTCGAAAAAGAACCTTGACACAGAAGGAAGTGATGCGCAAGCAAGTAGAGACGCTGACGGAATGACGCAAAGTGAAATGGCGACGCAACGTGCTGAAATGGCGAAGTCAGCCAGTTCAAAGACTGACCTGGACGAAACGTGCGCCACACCTGTTATTGCTGGGGCGATGACGAGGGAGCAAACAGAAACAGCCGCGAATATTGTTGATGACATTTCTAACATGATGCTAGGCTGCTCGGCGGCGCGCACGGGCGCAGATACGATGGAGAAGGCAGGACCTGTCCCTTTACCAGGAGACGACAATAACTCCACTGAACTGCACCGGCAAGAAGCCTCAAGAGATGCTGGCGACAACACCACGGGAAAAAAAGACGGAGATGTGAAACCAATGTCGCACAGCAGGACTGCTACTCACAGTGACATTAAAGTGAAGGAAGTTGCAGAGGCTGGGCGGACAGCGGGAGGCACGGAGACACTGAAGAGAGAGGCCAGAGGGTCGACAGGAGAGGAACAAGCCTCTTCGAGAATCGAAGACGATCATGAAGATGTGGATTTCGGTGAGGAGATTTCGGCCTCGCAGGCTGCCACAGCGAAACGATCTGCGTCTGATCGCCTCGAAGCGCAGGACGGCGAGGATAAGGAAATAGGCAATGCACGAGCGGAGTTGCAACGAGGCGCCTCCAATTTAGTTGCCAGACCGACCTCTCAGAGTAACCGGCGAGAAGGCAATGCGCCGGCAGCACATGACAGTGCTGACGCAGATCGAGCAAGCGGGGGCGCAGACGCTGAAATCCCGACCCAGACAAATAGGAAGAGGCGACGCATCAGACAAGCACAGAGTGATGGGATGACGCCGTCCAGTGAGCAGCGAGAGGGAAGGCCTCTAGAGACGATGGAATCGCGATCAAGGTCGCAAAACAAAAGCGAGATGAAGAACTTAGGCAAGTGCAGCAGCCGTAGTCGAGCAGGAGAAGTGCCACAAAAGAAGCTTGGTAGCGATACTAGGCCCTCCGCCACGGAGTCAATAAGATTCATGGGGAAAGTGGGGCACATCGACGTTGGTCGCGATCGATCACCACCTCGCGGCCGCTCGCGATCAAGTCTACAAGCCAGCCGCCAAAGGCAACAACAGCGATGGCCGCAGGCGCCCGAGCAATCTGCCGAGCAACATTACAATTTGGATCATGGGCGACGCACGGATCAGTCTTCTATTGCTGTCGTCGCTATGGCTTGTCTCCTGATAGCTCAATATCAAGCAGCCAGATCTCCATCCTTAGCAATTCCCTTGATGAGAGGCGTTGAGTCAGAAGTTGGGCGTCTTTTCGTTTTCACTTTTTGCTTGCTTTTCTGAGTTGGCAGTGGGGTGTCTACGTCTTATATTTTAATCTTTGTATTTTCATGAGCATGATGCTAATGCTTACATATCATTTTTTATATAGACATGGATCATGCAACATGAGCATTAGATAGGTCACCTCGTCTCCAGTAAGATATCCGTGGATCATGTCTTCGACTTCGAAGTAGTTCGTTGTGGAGTATTTTCCACATTATATTAGGGGAAGCTAGGCGCACTAGAGTGGCTTCCATAGTAGGAATTCCGTATTTGGCGAGCACTCTAATACGCGGGAAAAGAAACAAGGGCTTCCCCGATGGGCGCAGCACCCATATAACTTCGGCCCACCACTCGAAGGCCTCAAGAAAGCACAGACAAGGTACAAGCGGCGAAATCAAGCAATTGAAGAGGAGTGTCCCGAATGTCCTGCGGCAATCAAGGAACGCGGAAAAATGGCTCAGTGGTATCTCGACAGCAAGTTCGATCCAGCCTGGCATCTCGGTCCCGCTCCGAAGGGCACATCGCCGCCGAATGGACCAGTTCGGAGAGTGAAGAAGCCACTTCGTGGCTCAGACGCGGATCTCGACGCTGGTAATAGTTGTATGCACACCCCTGAATACCGCTACCAGCCTCTAGACGATGCGGACCCGCCCTTTCATCCTTTCCATCTCACCTACTATCCGGGGGATGCAGGCTCGCTATTTTTGGTGCACGAGAGAAAGAGATTCGAGGAGCGTGAAAGGCTGAGAGCGCTCAAGGCGAAAGATGGCACACCCCTTCTCAGTGAGGTAGAAGTATGGAACCGCTTTTTTGGACGACAAGTTTTGGAGAGCGACCATTGGCCAGCCCCGCAGACAACCAACAAAGCGTCTGGCCCCGGTCACCGCGGCACACCCTTTGCGGTGGGAGCACTCGATGACGGTCTAACAAGAAAGATACAGCGAGAACCAACCACTTTCGAGAGAGACAGTCTTGGACCTTCAGGGAGCGACCGAAAACCAGCCTTGCAGGCAAACAGCAAGGCGTCCGGCCACCGCGGCACAACTTGTGCGTCAATGTCAATCGAAGCCGTCGTGCCTGTTGAAATCAACGCCGGCGCATCCGGTTCGAGCGATGTTCTTGCAGTGACGTCGGTCACAGACGAGGCCGCCGTAGCAGACGAGGTCGCGCCTGTGGTGATTACTGGCGAACCGGATACACGTGGGCGTGAAGGTGATGCTGCAGCCACGTCAAGCGAAGACGAGCCAGGTTCATCAAGCGGCTCTGTACCTCAAGCACCCAGTGCCGCGTCCTCTTTACACAGTGCTGTACTTGTGGCAGCCTCCAGGACAAGTGCATCAGGCTCTAAAAATCATATGCCAAGTAATGCCGCACCCGGGTCAAGTAAAAACATTGCACCTGCGGCTTCAAGTGATGACCCAGCTGAGTTTTCCGCTGCTGTACCCGCGGCAAAGACTGAAGATGGAGCTGAGTCCAGCGAGGCTCTACCCGCGGCAAAGACTGAAGATGGAGTCGATTCCAGCGAGGCTCTACCCGCGGCAAAGACTGAAGATGGACTCGATTCCAGCGATACCGCAGAAAAAACTGAAGACGCAGGTGATTCCAACGGATTTGTACTTGCGGCAAAGACTGAAGACGCAGATAATTCTAACGGAGTTGTACCTGCGGCAAAAACTGAAGACGCAGTAGATTTGGACAGTGGGGGGGCAAACATTGACGCATTTGATTCCAGCGAAGCTGTTGTAGCTGCGGGAAAAGCTGAAGATGCGGATGCGGTGGGCGACGGTGTACCTGCTTTTCTATATTCGGCATCCGAACTCGCTGAAAGTGTGGTTGTGCCCACAGGCGTAGCGTCCGCCGATAAAGAGGTTAGAAAAATCATGGTTCCCGCAGACAGCATCAAGAATACAGAGCTAGCGCAAGCCGCTGCCGCTGCGAGCGATTTGGAAGTATGTCCCCCGGAGCAGAAGAGGGCAAAAACGAGCGAACGATCGAGCAAGAGTCTAGAAAAAACGGCCGAGGCAGCAGCAGCAGTGACGGTCGCGACTGCCGAGCTGGATATGGATAACGGCAGTGATGAGCAGGAAGACATGATCAGTAGCAAGGACGGCCCGAGATTATGGCAAGCCATTATTGACTTATTTACTAATTTAGTGTCGCAGAAGCAGAAAAAGATCAAGAATACATCATAGGACTCCTGCTCTCTTGATTATTAGCACAAGGGATGTCAGACTCCGATGACGATGAGGTCAAGTTACTGACAGCAGTTTGAGAGGTACTTCTACTTACTTTTGTAATCAGTCCCGGCGTCGGCGTCGCCTCGTAGGGATAAGGATGCTAATTTCAAAATAGCGCGTTACTGCATGCTATAAAGCTCTAATGCAAAAAGCGGCCGTGGACGAACCACACCGGCGGCAGGGAGCGGCGGCACGGCCACACCGTCAGCGCAGCAGAAGCCGAAGAAGGCGCAGCAGGAAGCGCCGCCACGACTCGTCCCGAAGTCGGAGGCGCCGCAGAGATCGGAAAGACAGAAGACGAGAAAGACCAGCAAGTCCTCAAAAGGGCGATGGCCAAAAAGCAGACAGTTCGCGTGCGGCTCCGAGTTCGTCTACAGCAGCCTCACCAAATCTAAGCAGAAAAAATCTTGGAGAGAACAAGCAGGAGGCTGGTAAAAGTCAACCGGTAGAGGCAGTTTCCCGATCGAACCGCGGCGAAAAGGGTTCCGGTAAGGGTAGCCGACGAGGCGAGAAAAGTTACAAAGGCACTACTGGTAAAAACAGCGGTCCCTTCACCAGGAGAGAGTCCGGAGGTAAGAAAGGCTCTTCCAGCTGGCCTGGCAAACTCGAAGATATTTTCGCTGCATCTACGAGCTCGTTGTGCACAACATCTTGGCCATCCTCCGCAACCCGCTCTTCAGCCCAGCCTTCAAATCAAAAGACTGGTGACAGTGACGATATTTTCGCTTTTGTCGACCTTTCTCTGGGTGATGCAGCTTCGAAAGTGCCACCCCCACTGCCTTTGGAGACTCCTACATCAACAAAGAAGGGTACGACCCCCACAGGCAAAACGGGCAAATTTGGAGGCAAGCAGGGAAAAGGGCGAACGCCTCGCGTGGCAGAAGCTGCGGCAGGCAAGTCCGGAAAGTCCGCAGCGCATCAAGACGGGAAAAAGTATGACTGATTTTTGCTACAAGTAGCTGCTGTGTCAAACGAGAGAAGCCGCTGGATTTTCGTCAGAGTATAGTATCATTTCTGTTGGATCATCGACGGACTTCTTATATCTATCGATACATTTAGGAAAAAGCAAGAATGACAAAAATTATCGCCCATGCATAGATAATAGATAACATCTGCTTCTGCTACTGCAAGATGTGGGTTAAGAAGTCAGTCGCTTTTACTTACAGATACATGATACAAGAAACATACGGTAGTAGAGATACACGACGAGGGGCTTCACGCTCTAATAGACGGGTATGAAGCCTGCAACCGCGGATGCCGGAGGGACCACCACGGCGAGTAGTGTGGATTACGGAAAAATTTACAATGCGTGGAACGGTCTCCCTCTATCAGCTGCGCCGAAGAGTGAGAACGAATCAACGCAAGACGAAAAGGTACAAGAAAAGACGGCCTGGGAAGCTCCGCCGCCACCACCTCCTCCTCCACCGCCGGAAGAAGATGTGGTACGCTAGGTCTAGGTATTGCTTTTGTTTCCAACTCTAGATTTATCATTTGAATGTATAGTTTGGTCTCGAAAGTGACTCTGACGGGTCAACATAAAAAGTTGCATCACGCGCTGCTCAGATGTCGTCTTGCTTCTTCATCTTTTCCTTCTATTAGTACTGGCCTATCGACGTGAGAAGGATGGTGAAGGAGCCGGTTGCTTGCAATTGTGGTGTGCATCAGTTTCAGTATCGACAAGGTGGCTCGTTAGGAAATTTTCTCAATGCAGTTGTAGGTCGAATGAAATGTTGTGGCCTAGTGAAGATCCCCGACAATGCAACAGGTTTCCGAAGAGGCAGGAAATGTGGGGAAAAGTGGACAGAGCAAAAAACTTTCGTTTTGTGGTGAGGAATTGGATGCCATGACGGCGAGCAGTTGGACGTGAGTGGTGTGCAGCCATCGCCGTCCGAAATTTTCCTAGGCCATAGACACTAATAAGAGAAGCATTCCCTCTTTTTTGATCTTGCTATTGATCCTGAAGTCTGATTTTCTTGATCTTGTTATTTTCTTATCTCTACGGCATCATCAACATCATACTAATCTTTCATTTGTTCTATTGATGTGATTTTATTACTTTTTCTTGCTTCTTGTTCTTCAACCAATCGATCATCAATGAATAAAATATGACTGATGCAGCACTTTTCTCATTCAAAAAATTACGTGGGATACACATGATCGAAATCAAAGAACAAAAAACTTCTCTACCAAAAACTGTAGCTATGCAGGAGTGAAAAAGACTCCTTAGCGCGTAGCTAAGAGAAGGAAGCCACCGGAGCTGTGTGCTCTAAAATCACCTTTACAAGGAAGTCGAGGAACCAGTCAACGCCGTGCGATATCACTAGGACGATTCGTGGACGAACGAAACGAATGCTTGAGATAATGAGGCACAAGGGGAAATGATTTCGATGGCGTAGCCTGTTTATGTTGTTCCTCGAGGTCGAGGAACATTTTTGGCAAGATTTTTCTGATTGTAGAATCTATTATCCCGTGGCATGAAGATCTGACGCATGGAGACCACAATCTTTGAAGTGTTCGCATGATCAAGTACCGCGCACAACCACGCACTCTAAAGAGAAGTAGGTGATGATAATTTTGGCGCGCAAAAAGACAAATATCACCTTCTGAATTTTGACACAAACTTGTAAATACTATGCCACTTTGACCTCGAGACTAAAGCACCCACTCCGACCCTGATGACATGTACTTAGCAGAATCCTTCCTGCGCTATCATTCCTCTTATATATACCCGTACTACACACCTAAAAACACAAATACTTGCGCAGCGAGATTGTAAGGCACCAAAAAAAAGGCCGGGCACATGAGTGAATGAATTGAAGGCGCGCAACGCGGTAAGCGACCGCAGTCTGAGTCGAGGATGCGCGAGCAGCCGCCTGATATTATCGATCAGCTAGTGCACTATCAACTGGGCTAGTACACTGTTTCTGCTGAAGAGAGCTGAAAGCATTGAGAACACTATTACTACTTGCCCCTTATTTCATGATATCTGCTTCTGGAGGGAAGCAAAGAAAAGAGTAACCGCTATAGAGTACGGATTCCTGCCTGAGTGTCTGTGTGTGTGAATGTCGATCATCATCATCATCACCATTAATATCATGATAGTTTTTGAATCTGTTGCTTTGACGAGGTAAACACGCCTCCGATCCGCCTCACCAACTATTGGCCACCTGTGCGAAAAATATCTGTCAGAGAGCAGCGTTAGCAGGAGAATTACCGTAAATCCACCTGCAACTGCACTTATTTTATCGAATGTGCACCTGCACAGATGCCAGTAAGACGTCTTTGTCAGATAGCTTGCCCCCATCTATCTTTGAATAATTGTATTTTTTGTTTCTGAGAAAATCTGGAATAGCATCAAAAGTGAGGAACACGACGATGATGTAAGTAAATGTACGCCTGTGTTGCATTTTCCTCTAGCGAGGACATGCGAAATTTCTCAAACCGTAGCGAATTTTACGATTTCAGCGATGAAGTAGAGGACGCTAATTTCATGCATGAATATGAAAGAGGGCTGCTATCAATCGTATTCCCCCGGGGTAATTGAGTGAAACTATAGCGGAAAATTGTAGACCCAGGTCCCAAAAAAATCGTATTGCTGGCCGCGTGAGTGTATGAATGAGTGACCAATTTTGACGTTTTGAAAAAAATTGGTGATGACGACCATGCTGATGTTTCACATTCACAGAAAGATAAAGACGACCCAAAGCTATCGAAAAACATGCCGTATCAAAAACGTCCTTTTCTGTCCGACGGCCGTTTTCTCCGCAACTGCGTCTTAAAGACAGCTATTCCCGAAGAAGAGGAAATCGGATATAAAGTATTGGTTTCTCTCCCCTGTCCTCCGCCAATACGCAAATTTGGGCGGGAAGAGTTGCAGTTTTTTGATCCTAGACCTGTCATGGACGAGATGACCATCAAGATCGCATCTGCTCCCGCATCCTTCCGCAACACTGGTCTCGTGTCTTACGACAATGCCCTATCACCCAAGTTTTTCAAAGCCATTGATGAAGACGCGAAGGGTCGGATTCAAGAGATTGAAGAGAATGTTCGGAGATTCTAAGCAGCTACGACTGGAAATATTGCGGATTTGCTCTATTTCAATAGAGTATCCTCAAGAGAAGATGAAAAAGGTCGCTTTGATATGAGAATGGATTGCTTGTTGAGGGATCGGTCCTATCGCGTTTTAGCGTCACTAGGGGTTGGTTTCAGCGAAAAGGAAGAGGCCAGGAGAACCCTGAACACGTCCACGACTTACTATCCTGCGGCGTCTCCGTACTCCACGCAATCGGCGGTCAATGCGGGGACCAAACTTGGCACGCTGACGGTCCTCATATTGGACGTGGAGAAAGCAGCTTTGGTAAGAATGACCAAGATTCAGCTTACGGATTGTGTTGTTTCGTGGCTTTGACGGATAATGGTGGAGATGATGCTGGTAAAATAGTTGAGGATGAAGAAGCAGATGGCTGCTCTTCTTCCACAAGCGCAGGAACTAGCTACGGATTCCATCACTCTTTCGAAGACTACAGCATCGCACGGCAGCTTCGGCGGTACAGAAGTTTGGCCCAAGCTCCTCGGTTTCGGTGCTGTTGGTCCATCTCTTGAAGTCACTCTCGATACGTGTAGTGCAAAAAAGGGAGATGCAATGATGTTGTATGATGACAGAGAGATTCCTGCGTCGGGGATTGGCCAATACGAGAAATGGGGAAATGAGGCGTGTTTTTATTCGGAAAAACGGAACTAAGGGAGGGCTAGTGTGTTTGACATGTGATCTCAGGCATGCTGTTGAACAGAACGAAGAACTGTCCTCCATATTACATACAACGTTCATCTTTATCGACTTATCTTACAGACAAATAACGCTGGTAGACGACAAAAATAGAAGCGCCTCTGTTAAGAGACAGGCCAGGTGTGTTACTGCAAGGGTGAGCGGTCGCCGTCGTTCCTTCACGCAAGTCTGTTGTTGTCCTAAACGGAGCATCGGACAAACTACTTTGCAGGCTGACAAAAGACAGGAATAATAGGTTTTGTTAGGACAAAAGCAGATACTGCTACTGGTACATTGACATCACTGTGATTTTTTTATCACTAGCAGAATTTTCGTCTTGTGAAACATCATGATTTAAGGAGTACCTCACTGCGTTGAAGGAACACGTTTCAACATCAACATGGTCAATTTCTTGATCCTAGGATCTAGCGTCGCCGCTGGCCAAGGCGCGTTGAAGAGCGGATGTGTCGCAAGATGGGCACAGCAAGAGGGCGTGTCCCGTGTCTGTTTCTCACGCTGCCTGGCGTTATAGGAAATAGTGAAGGCAGCTGCAATGCTGGTGCTCAGAATGGAGGCCAGCCGAAGAACAATGATACCTCAAACGCTCATAAACATCCGATGACAACGCTTCTCACCGACCTCATATCACCTCCAGCACAAAGACCACTCAAAATCGGTAACCATGCAGTCGGCGGCACGACCGCAGACTATTGGTTACAGGCAGTTAGAGAACATGTTTTTTCCGCGTCGAACACGACTTCAACGAACTTACGAAAAGTTCGATTGTATTGTTCCTAGCCTATCAGCAGCAAACGAGGGTCTATCGCTTGCCCAAAGGCCTGAACACTTGCGGCTGGTAGAAGAGGGATTTGAAATCACCGATGCAACAGTTGATTTCGTTCTGTGCAAAGCAAGCCGGCGCGGTAAATTTAGCTGCCGACAAAGAGCTGGCAGAAATAAAGCCAAAGCCTCACTATCGGAGGACCTTATCCAAACGACTCTTACCTAGAAAACGCGCATCTGCCCGTCTTATTGCGGATTAGGGATCGTTTGAGGCAAGCTTGCAAGGAGATAGAAGGAACTTGCACGACTTTCCGTAGAGTCTTCATAGATTTTTTACGCCCTGACTTTACATTGCACGATGGCAAAGGCTGTTGGGGTGCAGGATTAGCGTGTGATCTTTTTAAAGAGACAAAAACTTCTTTGGAGAGACAAAACTTCTTTAGAGAGAGTATTTTTGTATCTTGACGTAATCGGTAGTACAAAAAACGACGCGCTTCGCCGACATTTCTACAAGCCAAGGTAGCCCATGCGGGCAGTTTGTTGAGCTGAGAAGTGTAAGTGGCCCACGGCATCGGTGTCTCAACATTGGTTATTTATCGATGCTCCTTTCGCATCCATAACAGACGTCAGGGTAAGTAGGTTTGGTCTTATTTACGAGCACACTGCTTGTAGTCCTCATCCTCTCAGAGATACTACACATGCTGTGTCTTTATTCTACAAAAAAATTCACACTGACTGAGGAACTTTTTTTGCTCATGTTGCTCAAAATTGTACTTATATCATGGCTCATGATAATTAGCTTTCTCACTATGAGTTGCAGTGTCAAAAATCAAAATCGTGAAAAGACCAGCTGAGGTGAAACATCGATCAACATCGCGAACGTCAGTTGTCCTGCAAAATCGGATATTTATATGTTCCAGGGCTCAGGGCGGGAGGCCCCCCCCCATCTAACTTACTGAGGGGGGGGCCTCCCAGCCCCGGACCCTCTTGGTACATAGGGGGGGCCTCCCTCCCTGGTACATATATATATACATATGTGCTGCTTTAATTCTCAACAAAGCTTCGACCATGATTGTCTAAGTTCTCCGATCTTCAAACTATCATAAGTACTTGAAGTCGCAGGCTTCTTTTGTGCTGTTTATGAGCTAACCCACCACTACCAGTGAGTGTCATGCCGTTTCTGACCTGAGATCATGACTCTACTTGATTACCCCCATGATATTTAGTAATTTTTTTATTTTGCTTAGCGTTGCCGCGTCGTGCATCGATTAATCTTCGAATTGTTCCTCTGATTTTATCTACAGCTCTTTCCCCACTTTGCCTCCTTGTCGCTTCTTCTACTTTGCCTACGACTTCTTGCCACAGCACGCGCATGCGAGTCCCAGGTACTTGAGCATCCTCGACAACACCGCCGACGTCATTGTATTCTCCGCCATCCACTTGTTCAGCGCTGTCTGAGCTGCCTTCGACAGTTGTTGATCGATCTTCGGGTAGATCTGGAGAAGATCAGTACCAGGAATATTGTTTTCGTCGCTTAAACATTCTCTCTGCTAGCTCCGAAGGATCAGATGAGCCAAAAGCATTAGGGGTAACTCAGATTAGACTACACGAAGAGTTGCCACGTGCTTGAACTACAAGCGAAAAGGATCAACAAACGAACTTCGGTCTACTCACACACAGCTAGTTCAGCGCGAGATATACCAGTTTCCAGATCGGCCGTAACCAGACATGGTCGTCCAACAGCACGTCATTCACCTTGAAGCTTGATACTTCTAGAAATAGCTCCATCGGTTTCGGTCCAGGGCCGCTTGCCCCAACATCAGTGGCTGAAGGGCAGGCAGGGCTTGTGGCTGAAGCTGCGCTCGTTGGAGCAAGGAAAGCTCCTCCTCCTCCACTAGTAACTTCGGGATCGCCGCCTTCTTTCTCTTGGGACGCTGCTGCCTGTGCAATAGCTGCAGACAGGCTTGCGTTAGTTTCAGGATCTGAGTCTCCTTCTGGGTACAGCCGTGCGTTCACCACAAAGAACACCTCGAATGTATGCTTCATTGCTTCTGCGGGCATCTGCAGCCACTGTCGAGGTAGAAAGTCCAACACTGCTTCTGCTGCGACTGCGTCACTCTGGCCCTGCTCGGTGCCGCTAGTTTCCCCTGTGACTGCAACAGGTACAGACGAGGACATGGTCTCGTTGCCTCCCGCAAGAGGGGAGGAGCTGCTCCCACTCGTCGCGAACGCTAGTTGAAAATCACGCGAAGCCACTTCTTCCTGCGCTTGGAACTGCCGGTAAAAGCGTAATGCCTTCTCCTGCTCTGCCTCCTTTTTTTTCTCGGTTAGTTTGAGACCGCGGATTTCGTCCACCTGGCTGTCTTGCATCGACGACGTCTTGCGCGCGGCTTTGTGGCGAGCATTTTCCTGTGCGCGAATGGCGGCTTCGCGTGCAGCGCCAGTTGATCGCGGTCGACTACTACCTGCACCAGGAAAAAGCGGTCCGATGGCACGCGATCGAGCCGTGGACTTAGCGCCTGGCAAATGGCCATCCGGCCCAACCGCGACGAAGGAGGAGTAGATGTTGTAGTCTTTGCGCTGTAAAAACGCTCTTTGATACTGGAAACTGCGACTGAGAGTGCTTTGGTCAGTAGTTGTTGTAGGGGTCGTAGCGTTGCCGCCTGCTTTGCTGGCACCAGCGAATGCCGAGTTTGACGATGCCCCGCTGCGCAGTCCGCGGCCGCCAATCAAGCCGCTGCGCGACGCTCCACCAGGGCCACCCTCCCTCCAAAACTCATGGAGGTTGCCGGCAAATACACCACAGTACATGCAGTACTTCCCCCCTTCCAGAAGGGTGAATGGCTGCGCGCCGCAGTTTCGACACTTGTCGGCAGGGAGAGCATCCACCGTAGATTCTGCAGAGGCAGCGTTGGCCCCATTTTGCACACTTGACGGCTCATCACCTCCGAGTGCTACGACCCCACCATTTGCTCCTGTAGATGCAGCTTCAATTGTGACGCTCTTCTCTGCCTCCTCCTTGTCCTTGTCATCTTCAATATTGACCTCGCGGTAAACAGCTGCCGATGACGATCCAGACGAGGACCACGGCAAGCGAAGGTGGTCTGCTGCCCAACCTTGAACATTCTCGACAACACCTTCAACTTTCTCCTTCGTGTCGTCCAACTTGTCTTTTACCTGATCATGAGGATGAGAAGCTTTCACTTCAGCCGAACAATATTAGTATTCATAGCATAAGCAAGTTTGCTGAAACTCTTAAGAGCCTCCCTTAAGGGGCTTCCTTATCCTTCAGGAAATCGAAATGGCACTCCTTAAGAAATTTCTATTATAAGCATGTAGACCTTAGAATATCAAGACACTCAGGGTCATCTCAAAGATGAAGAGGCTTATTCTGACAAAGACTGCTGCGCCAAGTCGGATTGTCGAAAGAGGCCGCTTTTTGTGTGTTGGTGTGTGTGTGTCCTAAGGTTTGGAATCCTAGACGTTTTCCGTATTCTCCACTGTCCGCTTTTCGTGGAAAGCCACGAAAAAGCAAACTACCAGAGAAAGACACAAAACAGCATCTAGGTCTAGGAGTTCCCGCGTGACGTCACGCGAAGCCGAAAGGTGAGAGAGCGCAGAGGAGTGAAGGGGACAAGCGCAGAGGAGTGAAGCGGACAAGCGCAGAGGAGTGAAGCAGACAAGCGCAGAGGAGACAGGTGGGGCTGCACTCGTCTCATTCGATCGACCTGTCACATTCGTAAGGCGTCAGCGTCGCCGGCTGCCGCGGAGTCAAGGAAGCAGGCGACTAAACTAAAGGCAAGCGCATCAAGGGCAAGCGCATTAAAGGCGCAGAGGGCAAGTACCTGAGGGCACAGAAGGCAAAGACCTGAAGGGCGCAGAAGGCAAAGACCTGAGGGCACAGAGGGCAGCCACTTGACGGCACAGCAGGCAAGCATCTGAAGGGCGCAGCAGGCAGATACCTGGGGGCACAGAGAGCAAGCACTTGACGGCACAGAGCGCAAGCAGCTGAAGACACAGAAAGAACGCAGAAGAAAGGCGCCCGACGTCGTCGACCGTCTGCGCCTGTCGTCGATCGTCTGCGCCTGTCGTCGATCATTTGCGCCCGTCGTCGATCGTCTGCGCCTCGCGTCGATCGTCTGCGCCTGTCGTCGATCATCTTCGCCGGTCGTCGATCGTCTGCGCCTGTCGTCGATCGTCTGCGCCTGCCGTCGATCGTTTGCGCCTGCCGTCGATCGTCTGCGCCTGTCGTCGATCGTCTGCGCCTGTCGTCGGTCGTCTGTGCCTGTCGTCGGTCGTCTGCGCCTGTCGTCGATCGTCTGCGCCTGTCGTCGATCGTCTGCGCCTGTCGTCGGTCGTCTGTGCCTGTCGTCGGTCGTCTGCGCCTGTCGTCGATCGTCTGCGCCTGTCGTCGATCGTCTGCGCCTGTCGTCGATCGTCTGCGCCTGTCGTCGGTCGTCTTCGCCTCCCTGTCGGCGATCGTCTGCGCCTGTCGTCGATCGTCTTCGCCTGTCGGCGATCGTCTTCGCCTGTCGTCGAGCGTCTGCGCCTGTCGTCGATCGTCTGCGCCTGTCGTCTGCGTCTGTCGTCTGCGTCTGTCGTCGGCTGTCTGCGTCTGTCGTCGAACGTCTGCGCCTGTCGTCGATCGTCTGCGCCTGTCGTCGATCGTCTGCGCCTGTCGTCGATCGTCTGCGCCTGTCGGCGATCGTCTGCGCCTGTCGGCGATCGTCTCCGCCTGTCGGCGATCGTCTGCGTCTGTCGTCGATCCTGTCGTCGAGCGTCTGCGCCTGTCGTCGATCCTGTCGTCGAGCGTCTGCGCCTGTCGTCGGTGAAGCGCCTGCGCCTGTCGTCAGTGGAGCGCCTGCGCCTGTCGTCGATGGAGCGCCTTCGCCTGTCGTCGATCGTCTTCGCCTGTCGTCGATCGTCTCCACCTGTCGCCGATCGCCTGCGCCTGTCGGTGTCGTCGATCGTCTGCGCCTGTCGTCGATCGTCTGCGCCTGTCGGCGATCGTCTGCGCCTGTCGTCGATCGTCTTCGCCTGTCGGCGATCGTCTTCGCCTCTCGTCGAGCGTCTGCGCCTGTCGTCGAGCGTCTGCGCCTGTCGTCGATCGGGATCGTCTTCGCCTGTCGTCGGTGGATCGCCTGCGCCTGTCGTCGATGAAGCGCCTGCGGCTGTCGTCGGTGGAGCGCCTGCGCCTGTCGTCGATGGAGCGCCTGCGCCTGTCGTCGATGGAGCTCGGTGGAGCGCCTGCGCCTGTCGCCGATCGTCTTCGCCTGTCGTCGATCGTCTTCGCCTGTCGTCGATCGTCTTCGCCTGTCGTCGATCGTCTTCGCCTGTCGTCGATCGCCTGCGCCTGTCGTCGATCGTCTGCGCCTGCCGTCGATCGCGCGCGCCTGTCGTCGATCGTCCGCGCCTGTCGTCGATCGTCTGCGCCTGTCGCCGATCGTCTGCGCCTGTCGCCGATCGTCTGCGCCTGTCGTCGGTCGTCTGCGCCTGTCGTCGGTCGTCTGCGCCTGTCGTCGAGCGTCTGCGCCTGTCGTCGATCGTCTGCGCCTGTCGTCGGTCGTCCGTGCCTGTCGTCGATCGTCTGCGCCTGTCGTCGGTCGTCTGTGCCTGTCGTCGATCGTCTGCGCCTTTCTCAGGCGAGACAGATCGACGACCACACCCACAGACGAGACAGACCGACGACCACAGACGAGACGAATCGACGACCACAGGCGAGACGGATCGACGACCACAGACGAGACAGACCGACGGCCACAGAGTGCGCCTGTCGTCGATCGTCTGCGCCCGTCGTCGATGTCGATCGCCTGCGCCTGTCGGCGATCGTCTGCGCCTGTCCGTCGTCAGTCGTCTGCGCCTGTCGTCGATCGTCCGCGCCTGTCGTCGATCGTCTGCGCCTGTCGTCGATCGTCTGCGCCTGTCGTCGATCGTCTTCGCCTGTCGTCGATGGATCGCCTGCGCCTGTCGTCGATGGATCGCCTGCGCCTGTCGTCGATGGAGCGCCTGCGCCTGTCGTCGATGGAGCGTCTGCGCCTGTCGTCGATGGAGCGCCTTCACCTGTCGCCGATCGTTTTCGCCTGTCGTCGATCGTCTTCACCTGTCGCCGATCGCCTGTCGTCGATCGTCTGGGCCTGTCGTCGATCGTCTGCGCCTGTCTTCCTCTTCGGTCGTCTGCGCCTGTCGTCAGGCGTCTGCGCCTGTCGTCGATCGTCTGCGCCTGTCGTCGATCGTCTGCGCCTGTCGTCGATCGTCTGCGCCTGTCGTCGATCGTCCGCGCCTGTTGTCGATCGTCTGCGCCTGTCGTCGGCCGTCTGTGCCCGTCGTCGATCGTCTGCGCCCGTCGTCGATCGTCTGCGCCTGTCGTCGATCGTCTGCGCCTGTCGTCGATCGTCTTCGCCTGTCGCCGATCGTCTTCGCCTGTCGCCGGTCGTCTTCGCCTGTCGTCGATCGTCTTCGCCTGTCGTCGATCGTCTTCGCCTGTCGTCGATCGTCTTCGCCTGTCGCCGGTCGTCTTCGCCTGTCGTCGATCGTCTTCGCCTGTCGTCGATCGTCTTCGCCTGTCGCCGATCGTCTTCGCCTGTCGTCGATCGTCTTCGCCTGTCGTCGATCGTCTTCGCCTGTGTGTCGCCGATCGTCTTCGCCTGTCGTCGGGCGTCTTCGTCTGTCGTCGATCGTCTCCTTCTGTCGTCGATCGTCTTCGCCTGTCGTCGATCGCCTGCGCCTGTCGTCGATCGTCTGCGGCTGTCGTCGATCGTCTTCGTCTCTAGCCTCTTCGCTAAGACAGCCACAAGCATGACGCGCAGCGCGGTCCGCTTTTCACGGGTTGCCACGAAAAACAGACGCCAGACCAAGCGGCCACACCCTTCACTCGAGACGATGCCACGAGCAGACGCCCCGAATTGCAGACGCCGATACCCTCAAAACGACGCGCGAAGACGAGCCCCAATTGTCCGCAATGAATTCGTCGCGGGTTTCCACGAATTGCTTACACCGTCCGGCTCAAAACGACACGCAGAGCCAGAGAGCCCCAGCCGTTCACAATTCACGGGCGCCCCAAATTGCCGGCGCCGTCACTTTCAAACGACGCAGGGCGCGGAGAGTATCAACTGTCCGGAATTCGTGGGCTGCCACGAATTGCGGCCGCCGATACTCCCAAAACGAGACGCAAAGAATTCCAATTGTCCGCGGTTCGTCGCGGGTTCCCACGAATTGCTGACGCCGTCCGCCCCGGCTCAAAACGACGCGCGGGGCGTCCAAAGTGTCCGCAGTTCATGGGGCCCCGCGAATTGCTGACACAGTCCGGCGGGCTCAAAGTCAAAACAACACGCGGAGGCGCCAAATTAGTCACCCGCAGTTCGTGGGGCTCCGCGAATTGCTGACACCGTCCAGCCCAAAACGACGCGCGGCGAGTCCCTGAGTCGGCAACTTGGTCGCGGGCCTCCACGAAAAGCGGAGGACAAAGGAGAGAACAAAAAAACCACGCCAAAAGGCGCCACACTTTTTCCATATGGGCCCAAGGCTTCCAAGGATCGAAGCTAGCTGGCCACGGCTTCCAAGCTAGGCGGTGCCCGTGGCGGATTCTGCGCTAGCGTAGCAAGCCAAAGCCATGGCACCCATTGGCTTCTAAGAAGGTAGGCGGGCAAGCTGGCCGAAGCTTCAGAGCTAGCTGGCCAAAGCTCTGGAGCCAGCTGCCCAAAGCTTCAGAGTTAGCTGCCCATGGCTTCGGAGCTCGCTGGCAATGGCTCGGTGCTAGTGCTAGCGGGCCATCGCTTCCGAGCTAGCTGGCCAAGCCAAGCTTCTGAGCTAGCTGGCCAAGGCTTCTAAGCTAGCCAGCCACGGCTTCCGAGCCCGAGCTCCTCCTAAGCTAGCACTAGCAAGCCTAGCCACGGCACCCATTGGCTCCTAAGTGTGCTAGCTAGCTGCCCAAAGCTCCTGGGCCAAGGCCTGCGGGCTGCCTGCCCAGGTCTTCTGCGTTCTGAGCTAGCGGGCCATCGCTTCCGAGGTAGCTGCCCAAAGCTTCAAGGCTAGCTGCCCATGGCTTCTAAGATAGCTGGCCACGGGGGCAGCGTGCTGAGCTCGCTGGCCATAGCTGCTGAGCTAGCTGCCCAAAGCTTCTAAGCTAGGTAGCTGGTCATGGCTTCCAAGCTAGCTGGCGACGGCTTCTGAGCTACCAAGCCAAGGCGCCCATTGCCATTGGCTGGCTTCTACTCTAAGTAGGCTAGCAAGCTGCCCAAGGCTTCTGAGCTAACTGGCCAAGGCTTGTCCCTGCGAGCTAGCTGCCCAAAGAAAGCCACAGAGTTAGCTGTCCATGGCATCCAAGCTAGCTGGCCATGGCTTCGGAGCTGGCTGGCCATCGCATCCAATGGCACTGGCTTCCATCTAAGTCAACTAGCCAGCTGGCCCGCAATGGCTTCCGCGTGAGCTGGCGGGCTACTGGTTTTAAGCTCACTGCCGCCGGTTTCTCGGCTAGCGGCTATAGCTCCCAGCCTAAGCATCTAAGCCTTGGGACTCTAAGGTAGCTGGCTGTGGCTTTTGGTTTTAAGCTAGTCGGCTCGGGCTTCTGAGCCAGGTGGCCCAAGCTTCTCAGCCCTCTGCCTACGCCTCCCAAACTAGCTGGCTAGGGCTTCCCGGCTAGCTGGCTAGGGCTTCCCAGCTAGCTGACTAGGGCTCCCGCTTCTGCTTTGAGCTGCCTGGCTACCTATCGAGAGGGAGAGTGGCTGACATCTGAGGGCGTTTCCTTTGGCATTCTTGTCTGTCTACTTTTCAACCTCGGCCACCGGCGGGCCCCTGTTGGGCCCGCGTACGGGGCGCGTTTTAATATAGAGCTACTACGTGCTTTTTTGTGCCAGTGGATATGATAGATATGCTCAAGATCGCCGAGTGCTATCGAGCTGAAGGTAGAGATACGCAGAAAGTAGAATGACGACCAAGAATAGCAATAGAATGAACAATACACACAACTTACTAGGAAAAAAGGAGTACTGTGTCCCACTCCCAGGCCTCTCCTGCTCCTTCCTGCAAGTCATCGACCTTCTCCTCCAGAGTATCTGCGATACCTCCCAAAGCGTCCGTCACAGCCTCCGCGGCGTTTTGCACCTTGTCCGCTACTGCCTCGGCAGCATCCTCGATAGCTTCCCCAGCTGCTTCCATTTGATCCTCAACGTTGTCGTCGAGTACTTCCACCTGATCCTCAAACTTCTCCCACAGTGCACTAGCTCTGTCGCCTAGCTCCGCGAAGTGGTCCCCCATATCGTCCAAGGCTATAATAGAGTTGATCTCTCTGAACAACTCGCGCCAGCTGTAAAAACCAATTTGCACTTGAAACGCCGACCGAAAAGCGAAGTGAGGTCCTGAGTGCTCTGGTCCGGACAAGGCGGCGCGCCCCGTTGCGCTTCGCTTGTCCTCTGTGAAGCCTGCGTAGTTGCGCTTCTCATACGTCACAGTTCCCCCAGAAGTTGAGGTGGCATTGATTCCCGTAGTACTCGGCTGCTCTCCGGCGGTGCTTGGCGCGATTTTCACGTAGCTGTCTGCGGGGGCTACAGAAACCGTCACGACGTTGTTCAGAAGTCTCTTAGATCCGGAGGACCAGACTGTCACTGCAAAAACAAAGAATACGTGTGGAGCGCATCTATCTTTTTACAATGGGTGCTTCTCGTTCTCCTGCGTTACTTGATGAATAAGAAAAACGTATGAGTATTATCGAGAGTTCAACAGGAGCGCTATCCTATCTTCCTCACAAGAACTTACTCTGCAAAGCATTGTATCTGGACTCACCTACTCTTTGCTCGTTTTCTTATTTTCGCTTAAGTAGTTACTCTAGAGCTGTGCGTACTAGTGCTAGTACTCACTCGCATACTCTCCCATAAGTTTGAGTTCCGGGAGGTAAAGGAATCGAGAAATTTCGTCGAACATATCGTAGTAAGGTGGATTCGCGTCATCCGCCATTGCCTGCTTTGACAGACCCAACGAGCCAGGCGTGTGGCCGAGCCAAGCAGCAGGCTTCACTTCAACTGAGCCCGGTTTGCCGCTAGACAGGGGCTGGCGTGGTGCGGACGACCAGGAGGAAGGAGAAGTGCGGACAGATCCACTGGGGTAAGGCAAGTTCGATCCGAAAAATTCTGGTGGTGGCGTGCGGCTGTGAACCACTGGGCTCACTGCAAGAAATAACAAATATGAGGACAACAACATCGTTGGGATCCTGGTGGCGTGCTGCTCTTCAATGTGAAACGCAAACAAGATGGATACAATTGCTCAGCGAATGTGATATGATTATATATAATGAGCAAAGAGATGGATACAATTGTTCAGCGAACAACAAATATATTGAACTGATGGATTTCTGATATTTATTGATATACAGCGTTGCCATTGGTGATGATGTTTGGGATTTATTATGGCGCGCGTCAGTATATATTTTCAGACTAAACATAATAAGACGAGCCTAGGACTTTCTAAGATCAGCACTTCGGAGGAGTAAGAATGTAGAGAGGACAGCAGTCAAGTCTCTGAGATAGCAGGCGGCGGGCGATATCTTCATAGTGTTGCTGTTGTAGCAGGTGATTTTGTGGTTGTACTTGTAGTTGTTGTTGTTGTTGTACCTTCTAAGGGTGAGAGTTTTTTGTGGAATTTGTTGAGGAAAATGAAGTTAGGTCATATTTTCAAACTAAATATAAAAAAATTTTACCGAAAGAACCAACGTCGGGCAACTCGCAAGGTGCAGCCACGTCAGCGACGCTCTCACCTCTGAAGGCCCCTGTCTCTGATCCGGTGAGAGGCTGGGCGGCGTTGCGTCACAATTGACAAGCAACGAAAAGGGCACGCCGCATTGCTCAGATGAACCCACGGGCGAACCCTGTTCCGCTGATACGCTGGCAACAGCCGGGGTCGGTCGCATCTGCGTGCCTGTGTCTTAGACGTGAAGACCAGCAGCAGCCCGACGCTTCCCGGGTCCGTGTGGGAGCTGTTTGGCCCGCGGACAGCCTCAAGATCAGAAACCCAAAGGAGAGCGGGCCCAAGAGGTCACGCGCACTCTTGAAGACAACCCTCGAGGGGCTCTGGACTTGACCTCTCAGACCCCCCGCCCCTTGACCCCCCTCTATATAGTTTTGCAATATAATTCCTTCCCTTCTTCCCCTGCCTGGCACGCTGGCCCACACCTCTCAGGACACGCTACCGCAAACCCCCTCATCCTACCCCTCATTTTGTGGACACCCAATCCCGCTGGGCGCCTCTGCTCAATAGAGTCCACGGCATGGCGTGGCGAGGCCTGCAGCACAGAAATCGCAGCCAGTTCGCGAGAAGGCCAAAAGCTGAAAGCCCACAGGCCAACAGCGTTGGCCGGTTCTTCCATATGGTCGAGTGTGTGCCTGACAATAAGGCTCAAGCCTCGCCCACCGCCAATGAATGGCACCCTTCTCATGCGTCGACGCTGCTTCCCGGTGGCCTCCGGTGTCCGCCCCTGCTGCAGTTGCCGCCGCGGTGTTGCCTGTGTCGCATAAGTGCGCGCGCAGTTTGTCCAGTGTCCGCTGTCTTCAGACCATCCAGCAGCGCGGCGCTGTCTTCCCTTCTGCACTTTCGAAGCAATTTCTTTTACATAAAAACTTTTTATATATGACTAAGGGCGGCTCGGCCCCCCCCTGTGGATGGCCCTGTGGTGGCGCCCACGCGCTCTCTTTCACGCTAATTTTCGCGGATTCTACTGGCGGAAGGCGTCAAAACTGGGCGCGGGCATCCCCTTGCACCTCTCTGCATGTCCCTCAGGGACCTCCAGGCCCCTGCTGACCCTCGCAGGCTAGAGGCCTCCGGGGGAGAAAGCCGCCGAGGGCGGCCTCCGGCTCCGACGGTCTCAAGAGCCAGCAGGCCGATTGGCCCGGGTCCGGAGGGCACAGGCCACACGGCTCAGGGGGTCCACCCTTGCGCCTTTTGCCGCTTTCGGAGGCCTTCCACACCCGGCGCACTGCTGCGGCGACGAACCAAATCGGCTGTCTGTAGGGTACATGCGAAGGCCCTGCGGATCTCTCGCGACCCCTCTGGAAGGCTTCCACCCCCGGCATACGGTTCCCGAAAGGGCCCCGGGCTGCACGGTGCTCTCCTGCGCTAGGGAGGGCGCCGCCGCCCTGAGCCCTGGAAAATATACTTTCTTTCGAAATATATACTTACGCGCGCCATATTCATTGCATGCCTGATACAAATCAGGAACCGATTTTTTGAGGCAGATGGAGCCCATGCTCTGGATTGCCAGTATGGAACCGCTCGAATTTAACTCGTAAAGTTTAAGATCCTCAACTTGCTCAGACATCTACGCACACAGCTGTTCACCGATACATAGTCACACCTTCACATCCCAATCTCACCAGAACCGATTCGAGGAAAGAGATCGCCATGTCATCCTGCTGAACCATAACGACATGTCTTTGTGCAGATCCAGAAAATAGGCTAGAAGTAGAAAAGTATTACCATGAACCACGCAGACGCGCCGAACATTCTCGAACACACGCCGCGAACGACAGCTGCTTTGTACAAGTGCCTTCGCCACTTTTTCGTGGTTGTCTTCGCGTTCGTTTTTTTAGAAACCACGCGTGCGCATGTAATTGAGACGAAAAAACTCCTCGCCATATTGTGCGATCTGCGAAAGTCATTACTTAGGCATGTTTGTCCTAGTGTGCCTCTGCATCCTTCTCACCTAATCAAAATACCACTCCAGCATAAAGGTGCACAAGTCTGCGTATTGCAATCGTGATCTTGAGTAATCAACGATGATAAATTTTCCTGACTCAGTGTGTAAATTGGCGACGGTTGGGGCAGTCGTGGAGCTTCGTCGACTTTTTTACGCGCATACTACTATTCGGGTAATTGTATTTCTTCCTTAGCTCTCAAGTCATGTCCACGGCCAACATTATGATAATTGTCAGAGGTCGCGAATTTCTATGATAGATGGCATTCAACAAACCCGAACGACATGTCCATGCTTAATGAAGCAGTGGGAAAGAGTAATACTCGACGACTTGAGTTTGGCGACGAGTTTCTATATAGTTGAGATTGCTTCCGCTTCTCCTGTGCAGCAATATACTTGATTATTTCGGGAAAGACTAACGGATGATAATGATCTGAATCAGTCATGAATAGAGTAAATCAGTGAACAAAGTGTGTGGACAGTCTAAAAAAATGTAAACGCTGTCACCTCCTACGCAGGGCGTTGAAATAGAAAAAAACGAAAAGCTTGCCGACCAAATCACTAAATAAGCTGAGGGTATAAAAACAAACTCCAGCTCTAGACGCGCAGGCACATCAATGTTTCTCACCTGCTTCAAAAAGATAGAGAGAGCTTTTTGTGCGTTATTCTTATTACGAAGACCTGCAACTTAATACGGACTATGAGAAAAAGGCTTTTGAGATAATGATTACCAGAAGGTTCAAGGTTCAAGGCCCGCGAACTCGTGGCCAGGCCACGTTGCCGGGACGGAGCAGGCTCGAGTTGTTCAATATAATTCAAAATTATATTTATATAGTAAGTTTTCATCATTAGTGATGAAGACCAGATTTCCGTTTCTCATCTGCGTCATCGAGCAGACGCTGGCTCTCCTCTGGACCAGCGCTCTGCATCGCGTTGCCACGAGTTTCTGTTGCTTCGCCTGCCCCTCCCTGCTGTCGCGCGCTATTGCGAGACGCGACAGATGTAGTGTCATCTGCTCTAGGAACCATATTGCCACTAATGTTCTGCGACGCTGACTCACTGTCACTTCCTCGAGCACTGTTTATATTATTTGTGTCCTGCCCGTCCCGCTCCTCAACAGTGCTTCCACGTTGAGATAGTTCTGACTCCGCATGCGACTGCAAGCGTTGCGTAGCGTCCTGATGGCGCTGGCGAGCTACGCGTTGCATCATGGAAGGCCTGTACTGTTGCAAGAAAGCATTCAAAGAGAAGCCTCCTCCTTTTCCACCTGTTCTGCCAGCAGCCCCCGGTGGACCACCGAGCGCGGGATACATTCCATAGCCTTGGGGCGCCTGCAACAGGCTGCTGCGCTGACTCAGCCGCGAGCTGCAGTCCGTATTTCGAGGACTGCGGGTCACCACCGAAGGGTTCATGCCTCGGGTTTGACTCTGCGTCGGCTGCAGCACAGGGACGTAAATATCGGTTTCCACGACCGCTGCAGCTGGAGTAGTTCTAGTTTCCCTGTTGATTTCGACTGGCGCTGGTGGCGGAACATTAATAGTATTCTGGCCTCCTGCTGCTCCTGCACCAAATCCGGGCTGTTGTTCTGCAGCTCCTCCTGGTGTTGAGTCCGGAGTAACTCCTGCTCCACCTGCCGTCGTTGGAGTCTCGGTTAGCACTCTTTGCATCACAATGGCCTCCTGCTGTCCTCCACCTTGTGAGTAGCCTGCTCCCGAAGAGTTGCCTTGCTTGTTCGCAGAAGCAACGCTTGTGCCAGCGTTGGAGAGTGCTAGTTGTGTCGCGAGAAGGCCACTCGGGCTTCCACCTCCGTTTGAGGACCCCTGACTTCCGCCTTGTTGTTCTTCGTCATTCTTGGTTCCAGGAATCCTGTCCTTCGTCGCCAGGAGGGCAGCACAGGGCTGGCATTCTCCGTCCCCTGTGAACTCTTGCATCTCCGTTCCATAGTTTGCGCACCATTCTTCGATAATCTCGGGACAGTTTTGTAGCACAAAGAACGCAGTATCCTCGGCCTGTGCGAGATCGTGCCCTAACAGCTCGTGCACCTGCAAATAAGTAGTTGTATAGGGACAAGGTGACTGTCTTTATTTGCTGATCACATGCATGATGCAACTCTGTGCTGTTGTGCACGAGATGAAACAGGAGTCCATACTTTGATGAGATCAAGAGGCCGCTGCATTGATTGATTGATTGATTGACGTACCCACTCGCGGGGTGTAGCCTCTTTTTATGTGAAATAAATCCATCTGCTGATGCGTCCTCATGGTATACAGTAAGACAGACGTGCTTCCTGTTCCTCTATAAGTTTCTAATTCATCTCTTGTATCGATGTTATCGCAATGAAAATGGAGGCAAGTGCCTGATCATCAGCTATTTATAAGGTGGTGGAGCCAGCCTAACTAGGAAGTGTGTATAGATGTAAGGTGTACCTGCTTGACCGCTCTGGCTCGCAGCTTTGCCTTGTCGACGAATATGACGTAGAGCAGATAGCCGCCCAGGTCCAGGGTTCCCAGGTACGGGTAGTGCAGAAGTAGCAGAGGACTTGTTTCGTAGAACATGCGCTGCATTCGCGTTGCCAAGGAGAGGTAGACGCTGAGCCAAATCGCGATGAGGATCATGCGCAGCCACCACACCACGTTGAGAGCGACGATGGACATCGGGATTGCCCACACGACCATGTTCACTCCAAGCACAATAAGATATGCTGCCCAGCCTTAGAATCAGCTTTGATCCATCTTGGTCCCCTGCTCCTCTTGACCCCTTTCCCCTTGTATTTTATGAGAATGCAAGACAAAAGGGGAGGACCAAGATGCCGAGAAAGATGGATAAAAGCTAACCATAACAGCCAATGTTCATCAGGATTGATGCGTAGTCCACCGCCACGAAGCGCTTACTGCTGTGGTCGCGCCTCTGAATAATCTGCTGCCACAGCAGCTGCTTGATGTGGTAGAGCAGCACCAGACCTAGCAACATCACAGTGGACGAAAGCCACATAGTCAGCTTCACCATGGTGCTCATAAGCGTCGCCATAGAAACACTCACATCTTGCTCTGCACGCGGTGCGATCCCCAAAGCGCTGTGCGGGTCCTTCAAAGCCGCGATTACAACCGCCGCCTCGTCTGCTTTTGATAGGACAGGCTCGGCTTCATAAGGCTGGCTCGGGCTAAAACTATTGCCACTAGGAGGAGGAGGAGTAGACAAGTAAGGCCGCGGGGGTGCTCCGACACCTCTCGTTCGAAGGCCGCCGTCGGGTGGAAGCACTGGCAATGATGTTGTAGGGGATGTGTCGACCAGCTTTTCTGCTCCCAAGGACTGCACACCCACCTTGGCCGTCACCTGAACTAACTCTTCAAGCAAGGCGACCATGCGGCTGCCCTCAGAGGAGTCAGGCGCAAAGGAAATACCGACCAGATTCGAAATCATCAAATAGCTACCCAACTCACGCAAGCCGGCACAAACACGATCCAAGCTTTGGTTGCGTTGATCCACCGGTTGGAAGAGCAGTAAGAGCACCGTTCCGGTGAAGCCAAGCCGCGTCCAGTGTTTTGCTTCCTGCTCCGGAGAGAGGAGGCGCTTCAGGTTGCGGATCAAGACTGCTTTCTTACTTTCGCGTTCTCGGAGCCCGATGAACCGTCCGACTGTGTCCACCAGAGTTGCGCATGCGACGCAAGAGCGGCTTTTTGCCTTGCCTTGCCCCTGCGGCCCGTCCTCGAGTTCCGCAACGTCGTGGCTACGGTCATCGTCGCCGTCGTCGTCATTGTCATCGTGGTCATGCAGACCGTCACTGGGATCGTATCCAAAAAGCGCATCGGCGGGAAAATCGCGACCACGGTGCTGTTGTGGATGATATGCCGGGCTTTTAAATGCGGCAAGGTCGTAAGCCGGGTCCTCTACTCCCTGTGGATACGCGGGTTGGTACAGCACCGGAGGACAATTGGGGCCTTGCTGCACAACCACGCAGGGGCTCGCAATAATAGAGGGCTGGCCACCAGACGGAGGATGGCTGGCAGCTGCGTAATACGGTCCGACGGGCGAGCAGGGCGCTGCGACCTGGTAAAGCGGGCCTGTGCGGCTGGCGCGTGGAGAATAGACGGGCTCACCTCTGTGATTCATGGTAAGTTGCCAACTGTATGTAAGACTAAAAAAATGCGAGTTGTAAAATGAATTAGTCAACTCTTGTTCCTGAGGCTAATATGACGAAGAACGAGTGTACAAAAAACTTCACTGGAGATGATCGGCTTCTTGCTCAGTGGATTCTTCTTTTCGGGGAACTTCAAGCTGCCTCTACATATTTTCCGACGTTGGAGGCGGACGAGGTGGACTGAATTATGTTTATCTCTATCATTCGAAAATAGATGTAGGCATCTAGAACTACTACAAGAATGACAATGAGTAGGGCGGTAAGGTATTTTGAAGGATAAAAACCAAGATAATCTTGTATGTTGAATACTTACTGAGAGTTCGCTATAGTCTTGTTTTTTGAGTTCAAGAGGGAAAGACTAGCACAGACTATGCTTGCGCTGTAAGAGTTGTAAGTATGAAGACGGAACTGATGAGCTTCGATCCTCGATGCTCTTCAGTTACCTCAAAGAGTGTCGAACTTTTCGATTTACTACAATGCCTAGTAAAAGTTATGTCTTTCTTATTCTTATTTGCAAACAAACCTGCGCCAGCTGTATTTTCTCGAAAACTTGTATCGAGTTTTAGGAGGCAGTCGAGATAATCTCCCTAATAGACGATTGGTGTTCTAGATCTTGCGCATGCTGATCTTCAATCAGTGACGTTGGATCTTTTGAGATGATCTCGGTCACGACTGGTAGTTTTTTTATAAGTTGAGAACTCTTTGGTCGTAAGTACTCGCACTCACAATTATTTTAGGATCCCTCTTTAGATCTTCGTCAGTATAACGTCTGCGGATCGAATGATCTTGATGCCGTTCGTGAGTACTTAGTACTTGGCTCTACATGATCATCTTGCAATATCTTTTTATGCTACTGGGTCGTGCTTGTTTTTCTTGGTCTTGAGTGTCCTACTCGATAAATTTGTGTGTAACTCGATGTGACAAGAACAAAACGAAAACTGTATGAAAAAGTAAATCTTCCGAAAGGAAACTGGTGGCAAACTACTTAGTCCAATAGTCAGAGCAAAAATTTTCCTTCTGCGATTGCGTTCGTGTTTTCGGATTCTGCGATCCATGTCAGTCGCTATAGAAAAGTAAATCCTTGAACTAGCTGTAACGAATATTGAATCAAGTTGAAGTCTCCATGCTAAGATTGGGAGCCAAGAACGTGAGGAAATTGGTGGAAAGTCATTAGTTGGTGAGTTGTTTGAATGACGAGTCTGCATCCGAAATATATTCTCAAGTAGAAAAATTGAAGCGCTGAAGTGTCTCGATCATGTATTCTATTGCAATTGCATATTCTATAAATATAGTATAAATTTTAACCCTTCATCGCGAAGCTGCGTCTACAAGAAAGAGTTCGTTCACTCGTTCTCATACTGTGGCTTGAAGTTCCTGCCTTTGAGGAAATACGGCACAGTGGTGTCTCGATGCCTGAGGGGCGTGCGCAAGTTTGGATGTCCAAATACTAGATGCCAGAACTTCATCATATTTTGACACAGCGTCCTTGCTTTCAAATCCCAAGCCATAGGCCGTGGAAATGGACTGAGTGTGTAGCCCTTGTTCGTGGTGAAGAGCAACCGGGCGTCCCTGTAGAAACTTTGCGGCCGACGTTGTACGCGGTCGCGGCTGACAATAAAATGCGAACAGCAGTAAGACCGTGGCGCTACTGGCGGCCGCAGATTCGTCTTGAACAACTTTTTGTAGAGCTCGGTGGTCGCAGGATGCTCAAAGGAACTCGTGTCTCGATTGTGCAAACATGAAGGAAACACTAACTGCTCTAATGCAAGGTAATACTAAAATCTTGCTCCAAGAAAAGGAATGGATAAGAGCAAGCACGTCATGAAGATGATAAACTCAAACTCAGGCACTTCATCCTGACGAATAACAAACGACATCAATCAGCAGGGGCCTACTTATAACATAAGTAAGCACGAGAAAATTGGACGGAACAAATCGCTTAGGACATCAAGATTGTAAGTCTAGCCTTTTGATGTTCATAACGCCAAGTTTTGAAATCCCAGGTTCGGTATGTTTCCCACTAGTGCTGCGTTCAGTGCCGCTTCTAGAATGTTTTCCGAGCCCATGCTTTTTCTGCGTAAAAATTGTGCAGGCAGCTCCAAACGTGCCTCCTCATCGTGCTCCCTGCCCTCCGATTGAAGCTTTTTCAGAGCTTCGCCATACGCCGGATTTGGTCGCACCATCGGGTCAGCCTCGAAAATTGCGGGGTGCATGTTTGGTGGCGGATCAAACTGGCTGTCGACGTTTATCATGATGTGCTCATCCGCATCAGGGTGCACGAACATGGTGTACTCCGCGAGCGAAGTATACCGGTTCTCGAGGAATCCGAAATACCTGAACGTTGAGAAGAATTGTGATGAAGTGCGTTTTTGACACTGAAGAAACTCCAGACAAATTTCTAAAAATGGCGACTCTCCCGCTCTAACTGAAATTCTATACAAATTTTTAAAAATGGCGACTCTCCCGCTCTACGTTTGGGATGGCAGTTTTTGCTCCTAAGACTTTTTCAGGAGAGTGGTCGATACTAGACTTTGATGCTAATTTGGAAAATTGGCGATGCTCCCACATTCCTTTTGGGGTTGGACTTTTATTTGCTTTCAAGACATTCCTACGCCATCGCCGACACAAGCATGACCAACAATGAGTGTAAACACAAAAATATACCCGCTGCATTCGTCGCCTCGCACATCCTCATCTTCAATCTCTAGGAAATGAATCTGCTTGGTGTGATTGAACACTCGCTTGGGGACCTCGCGTAACTTTGGGCTATCACCGCACTTCATCACCACCGTGACAGTGAGATGAGATTTCGTAAACCTTGTGAACGCAGTTCGAAACCAATCGGAAATCCGCTCCACCGTTTCTTTGCAATAAGACAAATTAGAAGTTACTTCTAGCTGAGCAGGCGGGTCTAATTGAACCACAAATAGATGCCCCACGATCGCCGTTCCTTTCTCAGACAGTTCATGCGCATTTTCATAAGAATAACTAGCTCCACGCTTCGCTTCCGGGTATGGTACTGCGCCATGAAGTTTGCATGCTTTGTGCCTTGTGGTAGGACCGTTCTTAGATGGTTCCAGCCAAGCTCCAATGGCCACCGCCTAAACTCCTTTTCGCCGATGCGACCAAGCTTCATCTGTGATGTTGACATAGTAGAAGTAGTAGGGTGCCCAATCATGGGGTATAGAAGAAGTAAATTAGCAAGTCGTCCTGTTTTTCTAGTCTAGAAATGGCGTTCTTGTATTGTATTGACGCGCCGCGCATTCTTCATGCGCTCCTTGAGACTTGGCATCTTGTAGGTCGTTGCTGACTCCTCGCTTTATTCAATCACGATCGATCTTCTCATGAAGATACTTATTTGAAGCTTGCAGAAGCAGACTCAGAACGATTGTCACAACTTCTGAGCTCTACTTCTGGTTCTGGTGTAAATTCCTACATAAAAAAGAAGCTGTAAGCACGAAGATCCACCATATCCTGCAGTTGCTTGGTGTATTCTAGCATGCCCAAAAACGCATTGTGGAGTGGCTTCATCGCTAAGTCTTCCTCGAGCTTAACCAGAATCGTGACCAAGATGGCGGGCGGGCAGAGAGACTTGTGTGTAGCCCAGTTCGCGACTGCCTTTGCGTGCGCCTGGAACATTCGGGGATGCGTCTCCCCAAACTTGAAGTAGATCCACGCGTCGCGTCGGTAGTTCCGGAAGAAGGGGCTGTTGCATCCAAACAACGTCGCCCGGTCAGTTTCGTTCACGCGGGGTGGAAAGCAGCAGGCGTCAAAACTATACACTTCATCCCAACACGCGTCTTTCCCGCCATCAGAACAGCATTCCTCGTACGTAAACGCGCCATCCTCAAAACACGCTGGGTTGCCATTTTGGAAGGCAGACGGAGGCGGAAACGGGAAACTACTGCTAAGGCTGTTCCCATTTACTTGGAGATCTCCACCTCCGGCGGTCAAGGATCTGGTGGTACTCGGGCTACGGGGGGCATCGTCGTTATCTGGATCTGACAGGCCCTCTGCATCTTCGAAGAATTCCTTCCGCTCTAATTCACTGCCAACGAAATCATCGTTCCACTTGTTTCCACCTACACGAAAGAAGAAGAACCAGGCGAAGAGCAAAACCGAATACAAACATCCCATCCATGCGTAGTCGCTTAAATAAAGTGGTCATCAATGCAAGCAAAGAACGAGAAAAAATTTAGTTAAATCAACATCAAAGAAACAGGAATACACAAGGTAAGAAGAAGAACAGTGATTTTTTCTTCATACATTAGATGTATTTGCAGCTACGTCATCAAGAAAATCATATCAGAGAGTCAAAACTACTAGGCTAGGAGGTACCACCCGATATTTCGCTCAGAGTTAGTAGTCGACCGATATCAAATGTCAAAAATAATAAATATGCCACCTGGCCAAGCCATGGCCAAAACCAGATTTTGATTTCATCCGCTCTTCTTGCACACCTGGTCAAAACACACAAGCTACAGGTCCACGGCAGCTGAAGACAACATCAGCAAGAAAATCGGTGGTGCCAGTGAGGGAAGATAATGGCCTTGAAGTCACAAAAAATTTTGGAAATCACACATTCCGATTCCGCCAAAAGAGCCTCGTCCAAGAACAAGACTATGTCAACCATGCTTCTGCTTTGATTCTGTTGTTGTAGTACTATTCAGCGAGGAAAACAGCCGTGCGATAAAGCTCTTTCAAAATCGCACTCCCGCTGCGCCTTCTGTAATTTGCAATTTTTTTGCATAAGCGTCAGCTGCTGCTGCTAGGTTGCCAGAGCTTCTCGCCGGTGGTCTTGGTGCAGACGCGACATCATACAACGCAGACGATAGCATTTCCATTGATGATGATCCAAATTTCATTTCTACTGAACCACGATTGCACTCTCGCATCGCGACGAAGGCAGCAGCACATCCATCCGATGCTGTTTTTTCATGAGGTGTGAATAGGAAATAAACATACACAAAGCCTATAATTGAGAAGTCAAGTAAGTAGTTACTGGTAGTACATAATCTGGTGTCTGCTGGATGAAAGTGCAGATTGTAAAAAATTATGTGTCTTCTTGAACTTAACTTCTGCTCGACGCAATGACAGACAGGACACACAATCCTTAGAACAGTTACGCAAGCCCAAACAGTAGGTAGCAAGGAAACGTATTACTTGGTCTCTGCGCGCACCGGATGAGGGCATCGGCCTCCTTTTCACAGGCAGGCGGCATGTTGATGAAGGTATCAAAGAACTAGAAGATTCTACTCCTACCGTAAAAGCGAATATTCCGACTTCTACTTGTATCGGGATCTATGATGTCCATTCAATTTGAGATCACACCACACCAGTACTAGCTAGATGCATAGGACGTCCTCAACTCCTACTCCTTTCAGCAAATTCTTCTTGCTTACAGCATCGCCTCTCTGCTCGTACTCAACTAGACACGACAAGCAACTGTTTCCTCGGAGCAAGCACGTTACAATTCTTCTCAAAAATAATTTACGTCTCAAGTAGTCCTCTCAGAAGTGTTTCTGCTTACCGACAAAGGCATCAAGATCAATGTTAACTGCAAAAATATTTGTGTGCGTCCTGCTCTGGCTCACTGAAAAGGCAATGCCAGCGGTAAGACGAACAGCCGTCAAGATCTGGCGGCGAGATATCCTCTCCTTGCCGCTTCCTTTACTCTTTTCCGCTGCTAGCTGTCAAATACAATTTGTCCATCCTCAGGACCAGCCTATTGAATGTGTCAAGGTCGTAACCTTCAATTCGCGTAGTTACTTGAACGAGTCAACAATGAATGGTGTTACGGAGGCTGCTGGGCTTCTTGTCCCCAGACAGGCTCGGCTCTGCTATCTTATATCCAAACTTTTCACTTCTTGTTTCATAAAAGTATGAAGAGTAGTTCCCTTTTCATACGTCACCATCTTCACTTGCGGGAAGCTCTCTCGGTTAGATTTCATTTTCGTCAGAGTATCATACTCGTCTATGTATATATATTATAACATTCTGGGGCAGGCCCTAAGTAAGGGAGTCCATATGTACAGTGGGCGTTATTATGTCTCGCGCGCGTGGCTATCGTTATCGTTACATGGATAAAGTTTCTTATTCTGCCAGGACGGCTGACACTGACTCATTTTTTGCGATTTTTTACGCAAATTGGAATTACTGACTCAGCGGTGTCTTACTTTTCAATCTGATGTGCGACGCTGAGACAGTAATAGATTAGTTATATAGTATAATTCTAAATACTCTGTGCTTAAGAACCGGTACTACGAGGTTCTCACTTTTTATCGTCCAAAATAGCGCAATAGAAATGATTTTCAACCTAGACGATCGTGCTCTGTTTCTGCAACGTGTTTTCAACTGGATAATTAGATCGGTATCGATACGAAAACTTGAACTTGATAGAGGTCTCAACATTACTCATCATGCTTCGTTAGGAAGCGGTTAATTTCGGCTGGTCCAACAGCGACATCACCACTAAGGACCACACTAGTAGAAGACGATCGTCAGCATGAGATTGCCTATAATTCATCGCCTAGTTCGGGTAGTCGTCCCATACCGAAACTTGATCTTTCCCGCTTTTGCCAACGGTAATGCAGGTCTTCGTCCGGAAGCTTTGTTAGTTTTTGTTGTAAAAGAAAAGCAAACTAACAGCGATATTCGTGTGGGCGAAGAAAAAGTGAGGAAAAATTCGCTTATCAAGAATCCATGAAGCTGTGGTTCCAAGCAGTAGCAGTAGTACGCTTTGCCTCCTCGCGCAGCTATGGCTTCCATAATTTTGCGCTGACATCCTTCTCCTAGTGGTAGAGACAGCTCATTGTCTTTCTCTGGCAACTTGTGCGCAGCTCCCTTGGACCTGGAATTCGTGACGATCATGAGAAACCGCTGCAGCATAAGCACAATTTTCGTTATGCTAGAACAGCGCAGGGGTTCGCTATTTATAACAAATTTAGGCGGAAGGTTGTTTTGTTGGCATTGGTCTACTCGAGTATTCGAATCATTGGGGGCTGCGCATCCTACACGCAGCATGCACAATCGTGCGTGGTTCTCGAGTCGGTTTCTGTATTCGAGTCCAGCGATCGCGTATTCGAATTCTTCTTCTGTCTGTACTCGTACTCATTTACTCTATACTCGTACGCAATATTTTCAAGCCCTCTCCCTCCCTCCCTTCTTCGGTAGTCCGTTCGCACTCGCCTTCCGGCGGCATCTCGCGCGCATGTCCTCGCCACTTTCACACTCAGACTCAAGCACTCATAAATATGAATGTCTTCACCTTCGTGCGAATTGATGCCGCTAGTAGGCTAGTCTGAACGGCTGACCTACTAGCAGAATAATCTACCGCTCTATGACAACACCTGGGCCTTTCGCCCTCAATGTATCATGAATTAGAGCTAGACTTACTTTCATCAGGATTCAGGTGGGTTGTACTCGGTTATAATGCAGACACATCGTGATTGCCGTGATTTTTTTGCCGCAAGACGCTCCATTGTATACAGACGACTCGCTAAACATGATCATCATCATTATGAATTCTCATTATCTCCAAACCCAAGCCAGCCATGATAACACTCTTTGATCTCTCAACAGTTCACCTCAGGAAGTTCGGGCAGGTTATCTACAACTTGCACATCTAAATTTTGTTGAGCTTCTACAATGTTATTAGCAGGGGCACTCGGCGGCCTCTTTATTTGCTCCAGTTGTTGTTTGAGTGAGGTTTTGGGTGGCTTTCTTGCCCATGCGAGTGCTTCTTGTGACTGCATTCGCTCCCAACGGCCCGGCATTCCGTCTTACTACTACTACTTGGGGGGAGGGAGGGAAAAATTTGCAAGCTGAATCACCAGCGCTAGCTTATTAAAAGAGTTAGGAGTTCCTTGCCTATAGATTTGATTCAGGATCTTTGCAAATTTGATTGTTACGAGATCAAATAACTATTATCTCCAAACCCAAGCCAGCCATGATAACATTCTTTGATCTCTCAACAGTTCACCTTCTGCCAAGAACACAGTAAACTTTGTCGTTCGCGGATCCGGCCGCTACCTTCTCAGTTTTTTGTTCCAACTTACAACCATGGTTACAGTGGATTAGATCCGAACGAACTACATGCATATGAGATCTCAGAATGAGTTTGGTCTTGATATAAGTTTGGAGATCACAAGTCGGTAAGGCTGCAGTAAAGGGAACCAAGGAATCTTCTTGAAGACGATGCCGGGACCTACAGCAGACACTAACTCGAGAAAGAGATGCAAAGTTCCTCAATTCAATTAAGATCCACAACAAGACGCTCATCATCCATTTCACGTTTCCAGGATCTTTCCATGGTAACAGACGAAGGAGTGGATCGCATTTGTTAACGAGATGAGGAACTTTAAGCAGATTGTGCGGGTTTGTGAAGAATGGCGCACACTAAGTGCTACCAGGCTGAAAAGACAGGGGAAGGCCCGGATGTCAACCCGATCACTCAATTCCTAAGCTTTGCAAGCTGAATCACCAGCGCTAGCTTATTAAAAGAGTTAGGAGTTCCTTGCCTATAGATTTGATTCAGGATCTTTGCAAATTTGATTGTTACGAGATCAAATAACTATTATATAGAATTGCAAGTACTTTGTATATTCTCGCAGCCCTGGATCATCTTGATTCATCCACGCTCGCTGTGTAGGAATGTCGCAGAGCTCTGCATTTTCACCTACTAAGGCCTGTGCTGGTGGTTGGAGGTCTCGGAAAGACGGCACGCCTGTAGGCAATACATCAGGGAGAAATGTCGTGGTGTTTGAAAAAAACTCAGATTTATTTGATCACTAGTAGAAGTACACAGTCACAAATTATAGCAGAAGAGGCTGAAGGTGATATTTTCAGTTCCTAGCAGCTACAACCCACCTGCAGGTTTCCCTCGGAGCTCTGATTTTCTCTTCGCAAATGTCGCTGGGTCGTTCAACGTTTCGTGTGCCTCCGTAAATGCTGTGTGCCATGATACGTCTCTGTAACCCGGAGGATGTCTATCGACGATGCCTGCAATACATGAAGTAGAGTGAGTATGTGACAGTAACAGAGGATGTCTGTCGACGATGCCTGCGATAGTACATTGAGTAGAGTAAATAAGTATGTGACGGTAACAGAGCCGCGAAAGCATCATTATCAACGCGTCGCAAGCAATCATTCTTGACTACCGCCAAGACGAAACGATTACTCCTGCGATCGAAAGCGAAATTCTAACCAACTTCTAGAGGATTATTAACTCTTGTTGACAGAAAGGTGGATTGGCCATTTACTCAGAATTGCTAAAAACAGATTATGATTAGATTATCTTCACTTCACTTCACTTCACTTCACTTCACAAAAGAGCAACACAGTTGTATTTAGTAGTACATTCTTTCATCCACTTTCACGTGGTAAGTCAAAAATAACACTATGTATGGTTGATTCATCTACATCTGAAGCCTCTTTGTGGCACGTCGTTGAGCGGTCGTCGCTTCTCATAGCAAACTTCTGCTACGGTTTCGGATGTGATAAAATGCGGTGTCCCGGCATTGTTGAAGATAGCCTGTAAGTAAGAGTTGTATCATACAGGTACTTTACTTGGATCGACCTGATGAAATGAAATGAAGTACAGTCATTACTAACCCTGGTGTAGTTAATGAATGAAGTACAGCCATCGACCTGAAAATAAATACTTACAAAAAGAATTATGTGTACACTTGGTATTGTGCTCGGGTCCACGAATTTTTCGTGCGTGACACTGATATCGTATCTTTCAAAGCCGTCATCTGCAATGGCTCCTGTCGGTGGCTTCTTCCACCTTATCTGTCGACCCGCCTTTACTTAGAGCCAGCTTGTATTCATCTCGGTCCCCTCATCTCGGCCCCTCCGCCTCCCTTGTATTTCATGGGAAACAAAAGGGTACCAAGATGCCGAGGAAGATGGATAAAAGCTGACCATAATTCACGTCGTCATCACTTCGGATTACCTTCTCCAGCTCTGAATCACTGCTCTTTGGGTGCAGCCGGTCCTCGTACCAGTTGTCGGTCAGGGTCTTCTGACTGAAGCCCGCGCCCAGCATCCTGAGAAAATGATACTTCCTTGTTGAACAAGAAACGCCTTGACAAGTGGGACTTTACGGGTAGCCGAGAGATACTTTGCAAATACGAACTCAATCAGATTTTGCTTGATTGACTGATTGACTGATGATGCTGAGGCAGGACGAGAATACTACAATGAAAAATTATGAGAATAAACACTTTGGACTTGCTATTTACTATTAATTCTACTCACCACAAACAATCGCACCAACTTTTTCGAAAGTCTAAACGAATCTCAGATCAAGAAGAGGTTTGAGCAATAGTTATCTTTGTCGAGAATTCGACTTCGCAACAGGATGAATGCATTAGACGAAAAGTCCACGACGAAACTTGTAAAACATATACGTACCCCCGACACTGCGCTTTATTAGGATAGGATAGGAGTAGGCTCACTTATGAAGGAGTGAGCGTATAGGCAAGATACGCCATCAAACGTAACAGAACAAGAAATTTATTCAGAACAAGAAATTACATACTATGTCACGATGTCAAGAACAAGAAGGGGGTCTGGTGTGAAGGCTAGAGCTTGTCGGGCAACTAAAGGTGTATGGGTCTATGCTGGTCACGTCAAAATGTGTTCTCTCAACTGATGTATGAATATTTGTGCTCTACTTGTTGATGTAGTCGCCATTCTTCTTCTGAGGGACGTACGTCCGAAATGTCTCTCACGCAAAACTGATGCACTGGCTTAAGATTAAGTATGATTCCGAACGATGTTCATGATGACATGGGTACATCAATGATGGCAGTCACATGGCAGATATTTCTCGTCACTCTCATCAAGATGAAGAAGAACACGACATCATCGAGATCGTTGAAACTTGTGACTCGAGGAAAGCGACTGATCATGTCTTTGTTATAGCAACAACTACGACGATCATTGGCCGAGCTCGTTTGGTGGCTCCTGCAAACACAAGGACACAAACACGAATACGCAAAATAAGGTAGGAGCAACACCAACAGATGCAGATTTCCTGAATTTGCCTCCGCCGAGAGCAAGCAAGGAGAATGACGCAAGGAAGTGGCGAACTACATGCACCCTGCACGCAAACTAGGCAAAGAATAAGATGCGTGTGCAGCACCAATGAATCTTCCATGTGACGATGCATGTTAGTGTAATCCATCTGCAGCTCATCTCTTGGCGTTATCATTATCATTATGTTCGCGCGCGACCCTACCGCCACACACGTTCCGCGCACCTACTACCAGTCACTACGGACGTCGATGTAAGATCGGTGCCACTCTACGGGCGTCGGTGTTGTGGGATCTTTTAATCACACAGATTTTTTTCGCAAAAAACTAATAATGAATTGAGGCAAAAAAAGAGTATCAATAGTTCCAAAACGAAACCTCAGCAGTATGATGCAGGTTCCCGCCGACGCCCTGCCATCTCTGAGGCCTTATTCTAGGGCAGTTGTTGTTGTAATATCGCGGATACGTTCGTAAGCGACTACGAAATATCTATACTATAGCCAAAACATAGAACAATAATTTTCTGTGATTTATTCAGACATTGTTTGATTACGTTTTGTGCCTGGAAGACATAGATACATCTGATTCATGGAGTCACTAAATTTGACGTTTCAACACAGAAGATTTCTACCATGCGAGAATGTCCTAGAAATTACGACTGTGATCTCGTTATTGCTCTGACCATGGATGCAGTGAGCTGACATCTTGACTAGATATATGACCTCACGGTACAAATCAATGCTGGGAATAGGCGTATACATGGTCGGTGCACATTTGAAAAAAAATTTCAAATTTGTTCTCTCCGCTCGGACGCATTCAAAAACGAGCAGCATGTGACATGCAAGTATGTTGACAACAACGAAGAAGTCAGTCGGCACAAGGTGGGACACCAGCTGTGGAAAATTCTCCACAACGAACAATACTAATTTATATTATCCATCAAAACCCGTACCACAATTCTGACTTCAAATATTAGTTTCACAAAGATCCTCGAATGAATTATGCTGGTCAGTGTCCAGAAGTTGGAGGACTCACCTCCCCGCTAACCGATCCACTAGACTGGGGCTGCCGCTTTCGCTGAAGTTGTGTAAAAAAGAGGAGGTAAGCGTCTCGCTGGACCACAGGTTCTTGTAAAACGTGCCGGCGTCCTCCAGGACGGTTTGGATCGTCCTCAATGCGACGGACATAGTCGTCATCCAGCAGAAACCAGTATTAGAGCACGCCGTCTCCTGAGACCTCGAGAGATTAAGATTATCTTGACAGCTACGCTAGCAGAACGTCTTACAAGACCCCTCGTACAACACGTAGTTGTCAGACATCAGCAGTTTCATCATGTACCTTAGAGCCACAAGAAAATTACACTTTTATGTTAAATGAGAGATCTTTACTTGTAAGTACTTGGCCTTAACATGAGCCCTTGACGCGCGCAATCGTTCGATAGTGGCCAGCGTGTGGCCCAGGACCGTCGTGCAGCACTACCGAAGAAAGCTGGTAGCAGTTACTGGCTGTTGAACTGTGCTGCTGCGCTCGTGGCACAACGGGTAGATCTTGACTTAAAGGTTGTAGTCACATTACATTCTATGTCAGAGCTACGTCTTACTTTGACCTAAGTTTCGCCCTTGCAAAAAGGTCGAGGATGTGAATGAAGCATGTAACTAAATGTGGAAAGAGCCCTTAATTGACTCGCTGCAGCAGCAGCAGCGGTCGCGTTTGAGCTGGCAGAAGTTGTATGGTAGTTGTCTGCTCCGATGCAAAATCGTTCCGGCAGACTCACTTGAGTGGCTATCTTGTCTACGCGTTGTTAGAGCACCTCATGCTAATTGTTCATCTGCAGCACACAAAGAACTTGAAATTTGCAGAAGCGAAGTACTACGCTGCTCGCCACTACTTTCAGAACAAGTAGATTCATCTCTTCAAAATTCTAAAAGAAAAATAGAGGAGGTGGAAGATTGTCTGACGTGAATATCAAAAATTAGTATTTAGTAGATTAGGGTTAGGCGTCTTGTAGTTGCACTTTTTCTTCTCGTTCTCCTTAGCACTGACACATCGACTCGTGTTGCGTGTGAGTGAGATATGCGATTGAATGCGGATGCAATGGAATTATGGACACTCATTATGGGCCTTAACGTTGTGTGACTGATCCATCACTGCGCTGTTCGATGTGGTAGCGGAACCGCCCGAGCCGCACGACGAGGACGCGCGGCGGTGGCTTCTGCAGCTTCTCTTGCTTCCAGAAGGGATACACCGTTTTCTTGATACCCGTATTCGGGTCGACCACTTCGTCTTTGCGGTTGCACCGCTTTGCGATCTGAGGGGTAGGCCAGGTTAAGGGGTTGCCGCCGAGAATGTGCTCACGCTTTGTGAAGTATTCGCGGAACAGGCCGATGAAACTGAGCGGCTGCGACCTGGGCACGACAATTCCACGGGTATCGCTCCTCGTCGGATGCAGGCCTTCCAGCGGCAGCGTCAGGACCGAGCATTCGTCCACGGAAACGACGCGGCACTCCCTTTCCAGGAGGACATCAATGCTAGTGCGCCCATCTTGATCTTCTTCTGTATTTCCTGTCGTGGTTCCGCCGGCACGATCCAAGAAACCGGTCGTCGGTGTGCCTGCAAAAAGTGCAGGTGCCATATCTTAGAAGGAGAAATCTCTTAGCCGTTCTCTTTCCGATCACATGTTTATTTCATGGGTTACACTTTCTGCATAAGCATATACTTAATTACATACTAGAACGGACTTCAATTTTACGTTGTCTATCCTCCAGAGAAAAGCGACGACCTTGTTCTCGTTGTGTATGCAAAGAATAAAAAGAAATGTGACAACATACTAGACAATGAAAATTCAATGATGCATAAGAGCTAGGCCCATCCATGTCCGGCTGAAAGACAGAGTAGATTTGCGCGACACGCGCCACATCCCAGTTACGACGGCCTACATTAGAGGCGTTTTCTGTGCTGCTGTTTCCCGTGTGATATGTTCTTCTCTCTGAGGAAGAGGAGAGGCAAAACAAATGGTACCAGGAACATCTAAAACTTACTTTAGACAATAGGCTCTACCCAGGTGTATTGTGATACCCTCAAGTACAATAGGCTCTAGGTGAATCTTAACTACAATAGGTTCCAGGTGTATCGTGAAAAGCAGCTCAAACAGCTCGGACGCATCTTGTTGTCCACCGTTGGCCCAGTCGTCGTTACCGGACACCAAAACCGCCTGCTGTCGAAAATAGATGATTGCCCGCGTCAGAGTTTTATGAAAAAAGCAGGGGCGAAGCGGAGCGTAGGCGTCCAGTGGTGTACTGGTGGCGGATAAGATAACATCATACTCTAGAGGTGGTGATACAAATTCTATCTAGTGAAAAATTCGCAAATCGTGCGCATTTGTTTCGTCGATGTAATAAGAGACACATGTGAAAAACAAGGCTGTCATTGGCACGCCCTCGCCCACCGTGCTAAATACTACTGCCACATTTATCTACTCGTTATCGTAATCGCGGTGATCATCGTCAGAGAGGTTGTGGTCGCGTCGTTGGAGGCTCCGCCTTCGCAGCCAGTAATTTTGAAAGATACAGGCAGCACTGAGCAGGGGATAGGTGAGCTTGAGGGTCTCGAATGGTCCCTCTGAACATATGTAATCGAGGTCAGCTTGCACGGCAGGCAAGCGCCAAACAGCCTGAATGAGCGCGTTCCAGTAGCAACTGTTGCCTACGTTCTCGATTCCAAAAACCACTTGATGCGATTCCTCCTCTTCCGCGACATCTAGGAGCTCGTCATCGTCGGACACACTGCCCCCAATTTGTCGTCCTCTTTGCGGGCTTTGTGCACGCGCTCGGCCTCGTGCGTCGCTTGGGTCGGGATATCCTCCGCTCCCGCGCTGTCCCGACCTGACATTTCCTGCAGCTCCTGGGGGCGCGGCGTCCGCATTCCCGCTCTTCAGGGGGCCAGCGCTGGTGGTTCCACCAGGCGCGCTTTGTCCCTGTTGTTGCTCTTCAGGAGCATGCTGTCGTCGAGACGGATCATGCCCATCTTGAGGTCGACCTCTTGATGTTGTGCCCGAAGAAAGATTAGGTTGATCCTCTGCTGACCCTGACGGGCCGTTGCCTTCCTCTGGACCTTGCGAGGATCGTCCAGATGTTGAAGGCGGCTGGTCGCGATTGGCGCTCGGTGGAGGTGAGCCTGAAGCGCTGCGGGGTGGCGCACTCGGCCTACTTTGCTCTTCGGTCTGGTCATCAGTTGTACCGAAATTGGTGCTCGCCTTTTGTTTACCGCTCGACACTACCTGAGGGGCTTCACCCCGTGCGCCCGCGTTCTCCGCATATTCCTGTGGCTGTTGCGTTGGTACTGCTTGCACGACAGGTTGTGGACTTGCTGGAGGTGGTGCAGCTTTCGGACCTGAAACACTCACGCCTCTGCTGGTTGTTGTTCCACCATCCCCTGATGAATCATCTTGGCCGCCGATTTCTTGAGGCAGCTCGGGGACAGGTGCCAGGTGCTGCCCGCGTGGGGCCGACGACTGAGTTAAGGCGCCACCAACCAATCTCCATGTGGGTGGGGATGATGTGTGGTGCGTAGCTCCTGACAGGTGCGCTCCACCAGTTGCGCCCACAGGAGCAAGGTGATGGTGTGACGAAGGAGGGGCGGTTGCGCTGGTGCCCGCTGCTGCAGACGAGGCTGCTGCTGCAACACCAAGTCCAATATCTCCTCCACCGGCCGGACAAGCTTTTCCCGAAGCACCATTCGGAGGTTGAAGTTGCACCAGGCCGCTGCCACTATTACTGGGGGATTGGCTTCCAGTCAGTGTTCCATTTCGTAGAGCAGTGACACCTGCTCCGACTACGACCGTCGAGGCAACAAGACCTGCGGTCCAAGCAAAAGCCGACGTCTTATAAAAAGCGATTTCACTACTTCTGTAATTGCTAGGCTTGTTGATCATGTTTTTCGGACTTGCTCCTTCGTCTGGAAATACTTGTTCTTGAATATATTTGGCGCCGCCCTCCTGCTTCATGTCAACCTCGGCGCTACAAGCTGATGAAGGCCGGTCCGCATGACGCGCAGCTTTGTTGTAAGATGAGTGCTTGGAATTTTCAGCGCACGGCGCAGCGTTACCGCCGCTCGACGGTCGCCCGATGAGAGCGTCCCGTTCGCCAAGAAGCGTCGGCTCTGGCATGTTGATGGGTTCCTGCTTCCACGAATTTCGATTTTGCTTCGCTTGAAAAAAGACTGAGTTTTTAGCCTAATTTTTCCAAGCTGTTGAATCGCGGCGACGACGACCGCACAGGCGTACTATGCCGTAGACCAAGCTTCTGAAGCACGAAAAGTAGAGACCTCCATTCGAAGTGAACTAGACATTTTATTGCTTAAATCTGAGTTGTTGATGAGCTGAGAAACAAATTGAAAGCTGCAATATTGAACAAAGGTTTGATAGAGTCTCAAAAACATATCTCGAATTGAATGAAGGCCTGACACTCGTTCTCTTTCTTTTTACTTATTATGTAGACAGTTCCACGACGATGTTGTTTCTGCTGGATGAGATCGCATTGCGCGATAAGGCTGTCTGGTGCTGCACGCCGCTGCAACAACCTATTCTATTACAAGTTGACAAACAACAACAACAACAACCACAATCGAGACCGACATTGTACCGCTTCGTTGTATATCTATTACCGACAGCGGCAGCAAAAGAGTACCACATGACCTACGTACACGAATACCACACCCATTCACGCACGTACTACCAAATCTAGCAGATCCAGGACCTTTCAGATTTATGTCTTCGATTTCTGGCAACAATTGAGAAGAAGTGGTTGAACACAAGGCAACTGAGAACGATGACTCAGGAGGACTCAGGATGAGTCGGTTACCTCTGGCGCAACAGCTACGGGTCGTCACGAGGACCATACTGGTCTGTTAGTCAATTGAAAAACTTGTCAGCTGAAATCGGTGTGGGCACGAGCGACGTGTATTCTAGTTGGTGCACAAGCGTTGTTGAACTGGCTGAGGAATAGAGGTTCCTTGATAATATCATTCCGGGCTTTCGAAATGGTTTTTTAGGGGCTGTGATGGTCTGCTGTTTACAACGACCAAATCGAATTTACATTAATGTCGTCTCTTTTCCTATATGGAAATCCTCCACTTTTTCATGTAATATTTTTGTATCTCCTTCTATAATTCTTGTAGAACTAGTATAAGCGCCCTGAGCCTCAAAGAAAAAGTTACTAGAGCTTGTTCAAAATAAGATCCACGAATTTGACACACTCCGCCATGAGGAAACCGTCTACTTGGTTCGCAATGGCCATTACTGAAGGGTCAGCATCGTCTTTGAATCCGAGGACTCTCAAGAGCTCTATTGCTTCGGGAATGGGCGCGATGCGCTCAGTGAATGCCTTGCCCGCTTTCTTCAATACTTGGTATTTCTTCTCTTCGGGCTGTGACGAGATGTGAGATAATCCTTCTCTACTCAAGAGAGACAGATGTCGGGAATTGAATAATAGATATTCAGATATATACTCCATGACTCAGGGCTGAAGGCCCCCCCGATCTAACTTTTTGAGGGGGGGGCCTCCCAGCCCCGGACCCTCTTTTCGAGGGGCTGCCGGGCGGGAAGGCCTCAAAGCGCCCAGCTCTGACCCCTTCCCGCTTCTTGCCTGTACCCTAGAGCGCCACCAAACCGGAGGACGTTGAAGCTGGCAAAGGAGGCAAGGCAGGACCCCGCTGGCTTGTTGCGTGTACTCTACAGACCTGGTAAAGGTGGCAAAGGCTGGGCCCTCTTGTCGTGTTGCAGGTACCCGACAGAGCGGGCAGAGGAGGCAAGGCGGGACCCACCCCCTTGGCGTGCTGCATGTACCCGACAGACCTGGCAAAGGTGGCAAGGCTGGACCCCTCTGCTGGCGTGGTCCACCATAGATCCAGCCACAGGGGGGGGCCTCCCTCCCTGGTACATATATAGATACATATAAGCAATGCACCAGCATGGGTGGAAGTAACTATGTGATCACGGTAATATTTCGAGATTAATGAAGAAAAGAGTATTAACAATGACCTACTAGCTCTACAAAACGAAGTACGTTGTCATGGCAGTTTTTAGCAAAGGTCTTGATAGTCGTTAGACAGAGTTTCAGCTCCGCAGGTTTTGTTAGAGCTCGCCCTAATCCATCTCGAGGTACATCCTGGGCCTCTTTTCGCCTCGCGAGGGCTCTTGCCTAGGATGACTCTTCGGAAGATCGATGGATGAGGGGAAGCCTTAATTTTGTAGCCGCATGCTCCTTTCGCATAGCCTGAAGCCAGAAAGTTAGCTGCTGTTTACTCGGCTTGGCCTTGATGTCATCCTTTTTCTGTTCTTCCTCTGGCGGCGGTTCGTGTCCGAAGCGCTCAATATAATCGAGCCGAAGTTGTTCTTTCAGCTGTGCTGCGTGCTCGTCGTGCGCACTCTTCTCGCGTTTTCTTAGAACATCTTCGTTCAAGAATGTTGTCGGAAAAGCAAGCAGATGGATAAAACTTAAGAAATTATTGTTCAGGCGTGAAATCATATCGAAATGAAAACGCTGTGTAGTAGTTCGACAGCAGTTTGTTGATGTGCAATATGCATTCCGAATTGATGAAGTTGAACCATCTAGTTCTATCAAAGCTGCATGTTGGAAGGCCTTAAGTTTCTTTGCTCAATGTCCCGCTTTCGCTGCTCTTCTTGCAGAATCGCATTCGTTTCCTGCATCATCTTCTGACTTTCTATGCGGGCCTTCTCTTTGTCCTTCGCCTCTTGTTTCTCTCGCGCTTCTCGTTCCTCCTTCAGTCGCTGTTGCAATGCTAACGCGGCTTTTTCAGCTTCCTCTTTCGTCATGGGTATGAAAAAAGGAGTAAGCATTGGAAACTCATTTTAAGATTAAAGAATCCACTTCGAAGTGGAAAGATTCTCAAAGAAACGTTCATATACGAATGTATTGAGGTTGGCCGTGGCATGTGTAAGGGGAAAGAACGGCAGTGAGAATAGTATGTTGTAATGTGATTATAAATAATCAAAATCAATCGAGGTCAATAAAAGTTAAATCACGTCGTGAGGACAAGCGAAAGCCTATTCATTGCTATTTCTCCATACACTTCGGTTTCGCAGGTGCGGATGGTGCCGGTTCCTGGATTTGTGAGAATGAAGGAGAGGAATTACAAAATTCCAAAAAATGTAACAAATAACCACAACCGCTTTATTGCATCAATTCTTCTAAGTCATCGCACTTTTTACAGATGCTTCATCCATGGGTCACTTTTCTGACGGATTGCACTTTATCACCTGTGTAATCGGAGCGTCTATATCTGCGTCCTTCTCGTGATCTGTCATCCACTGTATCGCGTGTTCTAGCGATACGCCATCTGTGAAGTAACACGCCTTTTCCGCTCGAATCTGCCCGAATCCCATCTCCTGAAGAGACGTAACTAGGCTTTGGTTACCTGGTAATGAGATATTGCCAATGCCAAAACACCAGAGGAGGCTGCTACTTCTTGCACTTCCCAATTGACAGATAAACATCAATGACTATTCAAATCTCTTCCAGCTGCAGCTTGCTAGTGCGATGCGCTCACCTTCCCACCTGCTATCTTCGTGATCATTTAGTCTATGCATGGCTCTGGCATTTGGTAACCTGAATTCGATCATAAGGAAAACAAGAAGAGAATCCTTGTGATCCAATTCAGGTTACCAAATACCAGAGCCATACAGTCTACATTGCTTCGATATTTGTATCTATATGATACAAGGACGCACGGCCCCCCACCTGTGGATGGCCCTGTGGTGGCGCTTGCGCGCTCTTTTCCGCGCTGCTTTTCGTGGGTTCTCGGGGTGGAAGGCCTCAAAACTGGGAGCGGGCGCCCCCTTGCGCCTCTTTGCAGGTTCCCGACTGATCTCCCGGCCTCTGCCGATCATCACACGCAAGAGGCCGCCGGGGTTAGTAGAAGGCCGCCGAAGGCAGCCACTGGCTCGGGGCCTGGCTTTTTTGCTGGGTTGCCCTTATGAAATGCGCGGCAAGAGCCAGCAAGCCGATGCCCAAGGGCCCGGAGGGTACAAGCCACGCGGCTCAGGGGGTCCAGCCTTGCGCTTTTTGCTGCCTCCGGAGGCCTTCCACGCCCGGCACCATGCTGCCTCGGCGAGGGGCGAGCACATAGGAAGTCCGTATGGTACATGCAGGCAGCTGGAAGGGAGTGGAGGAGGCCCCTTGGAGTTGGACCCCTTTGGAAGCCTTCCACCCACGGCACACGCCTCCAAAAGGGGTCCGGGGATCCACCCCCCTCTCCCGCGCTCGGGGGGGCCGCTCCCCTGAACCCTGAAACATATATAATAGCTAGATTAGACAAGTTGGGTCTTTCTCCAGGATTGGATCAGTGGGCACGCTTGGCACGCTGGGTCGCGGGGCGACCCCAACGTGGGTCTTCTGCGAAAGATTTCGCCCACCGTGCGCCCACCGTGAGACTTGGGGCCGAAAGTCGGGGCGTTCATCGGGCGCCCATTTCTGAAGCCCCCTCGCTAGAGTAAGCGCATGCATCTTGGATCTGCAGCAAGGTGCATACGAATCGGGGCGCACAACTACTGGCCCGCCTGGGAATATCCCTCAGCAGCGCCGGCCGCACATTGCAGCAGAGCACTGAGGCACTCTGCAGCGCTTCGCCGCACAATACACACCCAGGCGGTACTGCATACGGCAGCGAAGCACCGCAAGCAGCGAGAACGTGGCCAGTCCGCGAAGGAGCGCAGCGCCGCGCCGCCCTCGACTGCGGCCCTGTACATTGGCGGAAGCAGCGGGGCAACGCCATACGGGCCCAGCGTGAGCCCACCGTGCCCCCATGCGTGCCAAGGGTCCGCCCAACGTGCCAAGCGTGGCCGCCCAGCGGCCCAGCGTGCCCACCTTCCCACCATCTATAAACTATTCTACTATATTTATATTAGTTTTACGATGGAATTGCCTTGATGAATCTATTTATTGGAGGAAGAGATCTTCGTGAGTACACTTCGCTTTAAGCCACGCGCCATTTGCAGTTGCGTCAGGATCCGTAGGAAGTTTATTGGATGTTGAAGAGTCTGCGGCATGGTCTCCTACAGCATCGACGTCCATGTTGGAAGACGTGGCGCCACCCTCGGCGGCCGTCCCAGCAGCGTCTGCCGGGAGCAGGATCGGCTTGTCTATCTCGGGATCATTCTTGTTTGCTTCTATCCAAGCTTCGGCCTCTGCCACACCCTTGTTTTCAGTGAACCAGCAGGCTTTCTCCGAGCGGATCACGCCGAAGCCCTTCACTTCGACCAGTGCATCAATGATCTTCTTCTTGGCGTAGTTGATAACCTATGCATAACGTGGGACGAATGTAATCAGTAAATCAGTTTCCGCCACCTTGTAAAAAAATTTTCAATTGCGCTCCCAGATTCTCATGATCCTTTCAGATTAAGATCATTTTGATTTGTAGGGGAAGATTGATACATCTGGACAAAATAGAAAGAAGTCATCGCGATTCCAAAAAGCTAACAGTGCGTGCGAAGCTGTACTCTTGGATCATTCAGGAACTTCCGCTCGTGTTCCTGCATGATCTTCTGGTATTCCTGGACCGTCACTTCTACTGTCTGGAAGTCGGGTTGCCTTGTGCGCTGCTTGAAACGTTGCAACTCATCCGGCGACCAGAAGCAGCGCCGCCTCGTCTCTGCGTCCACGAGCAACTTCGCGTCGGCCGCAACTTCGGTGAAATCTTGTGACCCGATCTGTTCCGCATGCCGCTGCGCCTCGTCGGTCGAGAACAGAAGCTTGCCCGTTTTGTTGCATTTGACTATCATCTTTCTGATCTTTGGATCTTGAACTTGTTGTATGATGGCAAGCTTTTAGCAACCAGGAGACACTCTTAGAGGTCGTCGACACAAAAGAAAAATAGCCCCCGAATATTCAAAAAGTACAATGAATGAAGGAGTAACGCCCGAGTAGCTCAAGGAAGAATATTGAAAATACAACTAAAATTGATTACTTAAATGAGTCCTGACCTGAGTAACGACAGGATTGTAATTGATAATGAGTCCACGGGGGCTGATAATTTGCTACTGCTGATATATAAAATACTGGATCCTTGTCCTTGCACGCGACGTGTACGCTTGGTGGCACGAAATCTAAATAATTCAAGATTGCAACCTTCTTGTAGATGTCGGACAAAGGCTTGCACTCGTTGAACCTGTGATATTGATATTCATCATGATGCCATGCCTACAGATTCTTGCTCTTTTTCGGCCAGCAAGAACGATGATTGCTGTTGAAGCGACGATCGCTGTTCTTTTATCACTCAGTGTTCGACTCTCATTTTGCTTTTCGGCGTTTGAATTGTGCTAGATCTCGTCTATATTTCAGCATGCCATTCTAGTCTGAGACAGACAAACATCGTCGAAAACTTTCCAGCAGTGACCTCTACCACGTCACAATACATCTCCGTGAAATGGGGTCACCGACAACGTCCAGAAATTACTAGTGCTATTTTCTGCCTCACGATCTTTGCTCTTGTTTTGAGGTAATGTGCGAGGATAATATTGAGGATGAAGATGAACTTACTTTATCAAAGTTTTTGAAGATTCCAAATCTTTGTCGATGAAATATACTTCTTGTTCTGTGTGAGTGTGGAGGTGGTGGAGTGTTGCCGTTCATCTCCAATTTCGTTTCTGATGCTTAACCCAATAAATCACTTCTAAGCATCGAATTTGAAACCATGATGATGGTCCATATTTAGAAGCACACACGACATCGTCAGATCAAGTATACAACGAAGCGCTGTCGTGCTGCTAGCGTTAAAACTCTGCAAAACTACTTGCTTTTAGTGTATTATGTATGGATGGCGTTCTTATTTCCATGTAGGCAGACCATCATGGCCACCCTTTTCTCCGCCTAATCTAATCAAGGGGTGAAGCGGGGTAGCCCGAGTCTTGCGCCTTAGAAGGGTACTTATAGCCTTAACCAGGGGAGCCTCGATGATCCGTTACAGATGAGAGAATAAACTTAAACGTCATCCATATATTATAAGTATTATGGGACTTCTCTTGTATGCATTGAAACAGAGATTTATGTGAATTTCTTAACGGAAAAAGAGTCCTGGAGATAGGCCTTGCGAAATCGAAAACGGTAATTAATTTCTCTGACTTCTTGGGCTTCCACCGCATTAAGTAGTTACTTGCAGGAGTACAACTAGCTTCGTTCTTTCGGAAACTAGTAGCGAGCTTCTTTCAGAAATACAGGAGTACAACTAGCAGCAAGCTTCTTTCAGAAATATTAATTTCATCACCTCGACATCGATTTCTTGGAACTGTGAGTATTTATAAGTACTTAACAAGCATGAGGAAGTTATATCTATGGATATTACGTCGAGGTAATCAATTTGAGCCCAATTATCATTGTGCACTGGGTACTGCATAGTCTTTTACCGAGACGGAAAAATTGCGAATGAACCCATTTTCGAAATCCTTGCAACTGCTGCTTAGAATACTGCTGTTCAAAAACACACCCTCCATTTGCGAAGGTAATCATGAGTGATAAACTAACTCAAACAAGAAAAATTATACACGGGTACGAGGATGTACTGCAACAATGTCTTACATTTCTAGTATCGAGGATCCGACTGGAAGATATACAACAAGTATTGATATTGAATTTGTTGAATGCTAGGTAGTTCGTAGTCAACGAGTAAAAAAGAAAAGCAAGAAGGTTATCGAAATTTGTACGTATCGGTTTTTGTTCTGTACGCTTGTTGTTGAAAAAAAAGTATGAGCGTGGAAACCAAAAACAGCAAAGACTCGTTGTGCTTACGACGCGAAAAGAGATGGAAGGAACTCATTGAAGCTTAGGCTCAACGCTTTCTAAAATGATGCCAATGTTACAGTGACATCGCTGACGTAACGCAATACTATGGTATATTGTGACTGCTTTCACTCTAAGAGGTAACTGTGCCAAGCTGTCGTTGACACTTAGCACGTGGTTGTGACTACAGATTGAAAATATATACTTCGCCAGGTTGATCCCGATAAAAACTGCTCCTCTTGCTCAGCAGAGGACCATGGTTCCCAACACTGTTCTTCTTGCTCAGGAGAGGACCATAATTCCAGGCATGCGCGCGTAGGTACGAAAGCCTTCCATATTTGTACAGGACTTTAGTAGTGAGTCGTCATTTGGGTCCGCTTGTCGCAATGTGCAACGGCTTGTCTTATTAGAGTGCGCGAGGGTGGTGGCGATGCACCCGACGCCAACTTCCTGGGGTGAAACAAAAGAAATCGAAATTCTATGATCAACTGGGCCAGTTGTCTGTCATCTTCCACTACCTTGAGTACCATAAAAGGTGATCTTTTTAGCATCAGCAGTAGATTAATCAATAATTCCAGGCATCTTGCTGAATTTTTTTGCAGATTTCTACACACAGAGAAAGGCGATGCTGAGCGCATCTAAAATGGTTGGCGAGTCATGGTGCAGGAGGTCTCCGCCTTAACCTTCTCTTCGAAAACAAAACCGTCACAACCAGGACGGCGATGGCACCACTCAGCGCATTTGTCGAGATGCATAATTTCACTCTCCACCTCATCGCGTCCTAACGCGAACATCACAGTTGTCGCGTTTACCTGTTGAAGAAAAGACTGTAGTTGTTAAAACACAGAGAGGAGTGTGGTTGTGGAGGGACCAAGAGCAATAGGAATAGGTTGACACAACTAGTAAATTAATATGCTGACCAGCAAACTTGCTTATAACAAAAGAAGTTAGCATCAGTTAAGACGCACGGCCAAACAGATAACGACTTTGTCAACTGCAGAAGGCCAAGATCAAGAACGGACGAGAAACAATGCAAAACTTGAACTTTATTTCAGCTAGTTGTACTCATTTACTTACAAAAGCAGCATTAATAAGAAGGCAGACTGAGGCCAGAAGATGTTACAATTGAATCATCCGCGTCTATGGGAACGCCGCAGCTTCGGCCGGGGTACAAAACGAAGTCCTGAACCATTGCACCCAATCGCACTTGTTCGGGCATGGGGTAAAGCGGCTCGGTGGTCGTGCTAGTGGTTGATGTTGACGTGGTCGTCCCCGTCGTGGTCGTTGTCGAAGTACTGGATGTTGTAGTGCTGCTCGTCGTTGGGATTGTGGTTGTATTTGCTGCAGAAGTAGTCGCGACTTGCTTGGTCGTGGTCGTTCTTGTTGTGTAGGCCGCACTTGTGGTTTCTGACACGATGCTAGCGTTTGCTGTTGTACCCACGATGCCTGCTCCCGTGCTTGTTGTTGCGGGTGGCGCCACGGTGATTGTTTGGTTCGTGACCGTGTAGTTTGTACCTGCAGCCACCGCAGCCTGAATCGCCGCGCCGAGTCCGCCTGGCACCGAACCCGCGGCCCAGCCTCCCCCGCTTGCTGCAAGTGCGGATGCGGCCGATGCTGGAAGCTGCGTTCCAACTGTAGCATTGACGGATGTGGACGCTGTAGCGGAGGTAGAGAACTTCGAGCGGCGTTCGGATAGATGCACACCAGCAACGACGTTTCCTCGTTCTGCATGCATCAATACAACGGCGGTGCCCGAGCCCGGCATCAGGTCACACTGCGTCACGTCACCCGCGGTGAGCGTTGTGGTAGTGATTACCGCCGCGGAAAATAGGCCGTTGTAAGTCTGCGCGACGGCTGTTCTGACAGCTTGCTTCACGTCTGGGTCGTCGCAGAAGCCCTGGGCAGTATGTTAGAAATAGTATATCATCATCCTTGGTGTTTCGTTGGGTGATCCCCTTGCTGATCCCGTCCTGCGACGAAACTGAGGGACTGCACTCAAGATTGCCCACACTAGATGATGACGCACTACCCATAAGATTGGCCCGCCGCCAGAGAAACTGCCAAAGAGAACGCCCGCACCTCCACAATCGACCCTGCTGCGCCTGTCGTGCTGGCGGCTCCCGTTGCATTCGCAGCAGTTATGTTTGCGGCACCAGTGGTCCCGATGATGACATTTACGTCCTGTTCCACTGGCTTCCCGACTATTATATCCACATCGTCTGTGGTCGTGGTGCCCGTTTCCGTGACGGGTCCGGTGGTTGCTGACGCTCCTATAGGAGTGGCGCCCGATGTAGCAGACACGCCTGCAGGGGCTGTTGCTCCCCCGGTGCCTGCTCCCAGGGTTGATGCAGCTCCTGTTTCCGAGGCACTCGGTGTACCAGACACACCTCCGGTGGCTGTTCCTGCTACTGTGCCTGCTGCAGGGGTCGATGCAGCTCCTGGAGCCGTAGAGCCTGGAGTACCAGACACACCTCCGGTGGCTGTTCCTGCTACTGTCCCCGCTGCAGGGGTCGATGATGCAGCTCCTGGAGCCGTAGAGCCCGGAGTACCAGACACACCTCCGGTGGCTGTTCCTGCTACTGTGCCTGCTGCAGGGGTCGATGCAGCTCCTGGAGCCGTAGAGCCCGGGGTACCAGACACAACTCCGGTGGCTGTTCCTGCTACTGTGCCTGCTTCGGGGGTTGATGAAGCTCCTGTCGTAGGCTCCGTGCCGGCTCTGCTTTCCGCTGCTGCGCTTGTTGTGCTGTCTGCCCCTGTTACACTAACAGCGCCTGACACGCCTACGGTGCCTGCCGCGCCGGCACCTTTTGTGTTCGCGGCGTCGGTGGTACCGACGATGACAGGCTGCCCAACAGCGACAGCACCGTCGTCTGTAGTCGATGCAGGCGTTTTCATGACGGCTCCTGTGGTTGCTGATGCTCCTATAGCAGTGGCGCCCGCTGTAGCAGACACACTTCCGGTGGCCGCTCCTCCTACTGTACCTGCTTCGGGGGTTGATGAGGCTCCTGTCGTAGGCTCCGTGCCGGCCCTGCTTTCCGCTGCTGCGCTTGTTGTGCTGTCTGTCCCTGTTACACTAACAGCGTCTGACACGCCAACGGTGCCTGCCGTGCCGGCACCTGTTGTGTTCGCGGCGTCGGTGGTACCGACAATGACAGGCTGCCCAACAACGACAGCAACGCTGTCTGTAGTCGATGTAGGCGTTTTCATGACGGCTCCTGTGGTTGCTGATGCTCCTATAGCAGTGGCGCCCGCTGTAGCAGACGCGCCTGCGGTGGTTGTTACTCCTTCGGTGCCTGTTCCGGAGGTTGAGGCGGCTCCTGTGGCTGTGACGCCTGGTGTACCCGATACGCCTGCGGCGGCTGCTGCTCGCCTGGTGCCTGCTTCTGTGGTTGCCGATGCTCCTGCACCCGTTGCACCCGACGTAGCAGACGCGCCTCCTGAGGCTGTTTCTCCTCCGGTAAATGTAGCAGAGGCGCTTGGTGTTCCAGAGACGCCTGCGGTGGCTGCTGCTCCGCCGGTGCCTGCTCCTGTGGTTGTCGAAGCTCCTGTAGCCGAGGCGCTCGGTGTACCAGACACGCCTGCGGTGGCTGCTGCTCCTCTGGTGCCTGCGCCTGTGGTTGATGCGGCTTCTGTGGCTGTGGCACGAGATGTGCTCGTGGCCTCAGCAGCGCCGGTGCTGCTCGGCCAGGACGGTGGCACGACGCCGGCCGAGTAGCTCGTGCTTTGTGCCACTGCGGCACTGATTGCTCCGCCGAGACCACCTGGAACCGCACCGGCGGCCCAGGCGTTGCCGCTTGCAGCAAGTGCTGACGCAGCTGAGGCTGGAAGCTGTGTTGCAACTGTAGCTTTCACGCTTGCTGAGGTATCTGAGAAACTCCTCGAGAAGTGTAAATTGTGCCCCGATATCAAATGCTCGTTCTCCGCGCTTCTTCTCTGTTCCAGAAGTATCAAAGCGGTGCTGCTATTCGGGGTCAGGTCACACTGCGTTACATCATCCTTGGTGAGACTGGTATCGGTAATTCCTGCTGCCGCAAAGAGGTCGTTGTAAGTATTGGCTACACCGGTCTTGATTGCATCCCTGACGTCTGGATCATCACAAAAGCCTTGGGCAGTCTGGCCTGTCGCTAGATCAACAGTCATAGAGAATGTGCGCACCTGTAGCGTCGACGTATCAGCTGAGCTTGCGGGTACCGAAAACGTCGAAGAAGATGCGGGGCTTGTCGTGCTTTCCGACGTCCCGTCGATGACTGCTACATCATCGGTAGACGTGGAAACCGTGCTTGCCCCAGAGTCTGTTGTGCTCTCTGCTCCTGTCGAGGCCGAGCCGACAACTGTTCTCTTTTCCGGACTTGTGCTTGTTAAAGTGCTTTTTGTCGGTGTTGTACTCTTCGGCGTTCCAATGACCACGACGTTCTTGTCTTGCGTCACGGGTTGCCCGATAACAACATTCACGTCCACCGTCGCCGTCGTGGTATTTTGTGCGCCTAATGCAGCGCCCGTGCTGTCCCCTGCCCCCGCTGCGGCACCTGGAGTAGATGTAACGGCCCCTGAAGCACTGGCAGAACTTGTTGCCATACCTGCACCCGCCGCTCGCATGCTCGTCGTGCTTTCAGGCGTTCCAGTCACAACTGTGGCGCCGTCGGTTCCTGTGGTGCTCGCACCTGTGCCGGCGCCCAACGTGCTTGCGGCGCCTCCCGTGGAGCCAGCGGGACCTGGCGCCGAGCCTGCGCCACTTGTTGCGCCGACGCCTCCTGCGGTGCTTGACATGTCTGCGGCCCCTGTGGTACTGGCTGCGATTGTAGTCATACCTGCGCCCGCCGCGCCCATGGTCGTCGTGCTTTCAGGCGTGCCAGTCACAACTGTGGCGCCGTCGGTTCCTGTGGTGCCTACCGTGATGCCGGTGGGACCTGGCGTCGAACCTGCGCCACTTGTTGCGCTGACGCCTCCTGCGGCGCTTGACGTGTCTGCAGCTCCACCTGTGGAACTGGCTGCGCCTGTAGTCATACCTGCGCTCGCCGGTCCCATGCTCGTCGTGCTTTCAGGCGTGCCAATGCCAACTGTGGCGCCGTCGGTTCCTGTGGTGCTCGCACCTGTGCCGGCGCCCAGCGTGCTTGTGGTGCCTACCGCGGAGCCAGTGAGACCTGGCGTCGAACCTGCGCCATTTGTTGCGCCGACGCCTCCTGCGGCGCTTGACGTGTCTGCGGCTCCCGTGGCACTCGCAGCGTTTGGAGTCATACCTGCGCCCGCCGCTCCCATGCTCGTCGTGCTTTCGGGCGTGCCAATCACGACTGCGGCGCCGTCGGTTCCTGTGGTGCTTGCACCTGTGCCGGCGCCCAGCGTGCTTGTGGTGCCTACCGCGGAGCCAGTGGGGCCTGGCATCGAACCTGCGCCATTTGTTGCGCTGACGCCTCCTGCGGCGCTTGACGTGTCTGCGGCTCCCGTGGCACTCGCAGCGTTTGCAGTCATACCTGCGCCCGCCGCTCCCATGCTTGTCCTTGTCGTGCTTTCAGGCGTGCCAGTCACGACTGTGGCGCCGTCGGTTCCTGTGGTGCTCGCACCTGTGCCGGCGCCCAGCGTGCTTGCGGTGCCTACCGCGGAGCCAGTGTGACCTGGCGTCGAACCTGCGCCATTTGTTGCGCTGACGCCTCCCGCGGCGCTTGACGTGTCTGCGGCCCGTGTGGAACTGGCTGCGCCTGTAGTCGTGCCTGCGCTCGCCGCTCCAATGCTCGTCGTGCTTTCAGGCGTGCCAATACCAACTGCGGCGCCGTCGGTTCCTGTGGTGCTCGCACCTGTGCCGGTGCCCAGCGTGCTTGTGGTGCCTACCGCGGAGCCAGTGGAACCTGGCGTCGAACCTGCGCCATTTGTTGCACCGACGCCTCCTGCGGCGCTTGACGTGTCTGCGGCTCCCGTGGCGCTTGCAGCGTTTGGAGTCATACCTGCGCCCGCCGCTACCATGCTCGTCGTGCTTTCAGGCGTGCCAGTCACGACTTTGGCGCCGTCGGTTCCTGTGGTGCTCGCACCTGTGCCGGTGCCCAGCGTGCTTGTGGTGCCTACCGCGGAGCCAGTGGAACCTGGCGTCGAACCTGCGCCATTTGTTGCGCCGACGCCTCCTGCGGCGCTTGACGTGTCTGCGGCTCCCGTGGCACTCGCAGCGTTTCTAGTCATACCTGCGCCCGCCGCTACCATGCTCGTCGTGCTTTCAGGCGTGCCAATCACGACTTTGGCGCCGTCGGTTCCTGTGGTGCTCGCACCTGTGCCGGCGCCCAGCGTGCTTGCGGTGCCTACCGCGGAGCCAGTGGGGCCTGGCGTCGAATCTGCGCCATTTGTTGCGCTGACGCCTCCTGCGGCGCTTGACGTGTCTGCGGCTCCCGTGGCACTCGCAGCGTCTGTAGTAGTACCTGCGCCCGCCACTCCCATGCTTGTCCCGCTTTCAGGCGTGCCAATCACAACTGTGGCGCCGTCGGTCCCTGTGGTGCTGGCACCTGTTCTAGCGCCCAATGTGCTTGCGGCGCTTATCGTGGAGCCAGCGGCACCTGGCGTCGAACCTGCGCCACCCGGTGTGCTTACGCCTCCTGCGGCGGTTGATGTGCTTTCTGCTCCTGTGGGGGCTCCTGTGCTGCTTGCCTCCTCCGTGGCGCCGTTGCCTGTCGCCACGCCAGTCTCCGGCGCGGTAGTTCCAGGCGCCGCTGCGGTTGTGGTCGTTGTTTCGATATCTTGCGAGAGTTGCGAAATTCCTGACACAGCGATAATGCTGTCAAGACCTGCGTCTGCAATTTGCGCTTGCACGTTTGCGACAAGGGAACTGGAGAAGCCGCTTCCCGTGCTAGTGTTTAGCGCTTGCGCCACGGCTGCCTCAGAAGCGTTCATCGCGGTTGTGGTTCGCACTTTTAGATTCTCGTCTGTCGTCGCCCCGGCGAGAAATGCAGCAATATCGGAGAAACGGTGCCAGTCCGTATCTAGAAGTGAGGCAGCGCTGTTCAACTTGCTTCCAGCGCTGCCAGAGGAAGCACGAGTTGGCGCACTCTGTCTGGAGAGCAGCGTGTGTATGTCATGTGGCCTTCCCGCCATAGTCAAATCGAGCCCCGTCCTCAAGGGCATCCTCCTGTATGAAGCCGTGGGATCATGTGACTCCGACGCCTGCGGCAGAGATCGGTCGACAGGATGTCTTTTGGCACTCGCGGAGGGTGCGACTGGACTTGCTTTTTCACGATATCGCACCTGATATTTGTTCAAACTGCTGAAGGCGGGCTGCGTCTCTTCTTCTTCCTCGCTTTTTTGTAGTGAGACTGTGGCAGCCGAAGTTTGCCGTGGCGTGTCAAGGTTCAGCTTTGAGTTTTCCTGCGCAATTCTCAACGCCGTTTCCGAGGCGAGCTGGAGTGCGGCGACTGCTGAAGCTATGACTGTCACTATGCAGCTCGTTACATTGTCGCTGCTCACACTGGAAATGCCGGAGCCTGCGTAGCTCTCCACAACGCCACTCGTCAGTGCGTCGGTGAATGTTGTGTTACTGATGAAGTCACCCAGCGCTTGGCCTGCAGCGGACGCGTTGAAGGAAATTGGCAACGTAAACTCCAGCGCAACATCAGCAGTACTTGGCAAAGGAGAAGGCGTTGAGGATGAGGACACGGATTCTCCATCAGTTGCTGTACTTGTACTGGTTGTGCTTCTCGGCTTCTCAGAAACGACAGTCACCTGATCGGTGGACGTGGCGCTCGTGCCTGGTGCAGCGCCTGGTGTACTTGTTCCTCCTGCAGCGGTAGCTGCGCTGGGGGATCCTGTTACGCTAGCTGCGCCTTCTGTCGTTGAGCTGGCACCTGCCAATGTGCCCGATCCTGTTCCGGTGCTCGTTTCAGCGCGTGTTTCTCCACTAGCACCACTTGTGTCTGTATTTGCGCCCGCGGTTGCCGCGCCTTTTGTGCTTGTGCTTTCCGGGGTTCCTATGACAACATTAGAAGGGCCACTTGTGCTTTCCGGGGTTCCTATGATGACATTGGCAGGGCCGGCATCCGTCGTGCTTGTGTCTGTAGCAGTGCCTTGTGATCGTGTTTCTTTGGCGCCGGCGGTGGTTGTTTCCTCTGCGGCAGCTGCCGTATTATTTGTTCCTTTTGTGGCGCCTGCCGTGGTTTCTCCACCTGCAGCGCCTGCGGTGGTTGTTCCGTCTGCGGCGTCTGCCGTGGTTGTTCCGTCTGCGGCGTCTGCCGTGGTTGTTCCGTCTGCGGTGCCTGCTGTGCTATCGGATCCACTGGTGCCTGAAGTGCTTGTGCTTTCCGGGGTCCCTATAATGGCATTGGAAGGGCCACGACTTGTGCTCTCCGTGGTTCCAATAATCACATTTTCCGGGCCGGCATCCGTGCTGGTGGTTGCGCTTTTTGGTGTCGTGCTGTCGCCTGGCTTCCCACTGACGACAGCTACAGCATCAGTAGTCGTGTTGCCCAGGGCGGTAGTTGCAGCGCCGGTGCTCGATTGTCCCGTACCCGTCGCGCTCGCAACCGCGCTTGTAGATGTTGTACTTGAGATGACGATGCCCGGCACGTTACTTTGCTGCAGGGCCCCTACATCCGACACGCCTGTGACACCATTGAGCGAGACAGAATTGAGCGCATTCAGGATTGTGCTGGTAGTCATCTGCTGTGCTTTCGATGCCTGAGACTTGCTCACAACTGTAGTCGCACTCACGGACACGGTTTGGTCCGTCGATGTGCTCCGAAGTGTCTTCTTCGCGATTAGGGGCGCACTGTTGCTGGGTGCGTCTCCTAGTCCCAAGTTAGAAGATGAGGCAGAATCGCGGGCGGAAAGATTTCGAGAAGCAGAAGACGGCTTTTGAGCTTTTCTGCCGTCGACTAGCTGAAGCGTCGTGCTCGACGGGGTGATTGAGAGAGCAAACGTTCGTCGCTGTTTCGCTGAGATTGATCCTTCTCTTTTGGACGCATCAGACACCATCTGTTGAACGTCGGCAGACGAGTCCCCGCCTCGGATGGAGGAGGACGAAGATTTTTCGCTCGTGGAAGTGGAACCGGTGCCGCTGTCGTCCGTTGAGCTGTCCGTTTCAATATTCAGGCTCAGAACAGATGTTGTTGGTCGAGAGCCTCCTCTTTTGTTCACAGTTTTCAAGAGGTTTTCTTCAGAGCGCGGAGATGTTGCAAGTATGTCTTCCAAAAGCATCATCGTAATTCCATTCTGATTAATGGTGAGGGAAGTTACGTTCGCAGCGGTGACTCCGGTGATGCTCAACGCCGTATAGGCTGCCGCCACTGCCTCCTTCATCTCCTCGATGGTAAGGTCGTCCTTCAAAAATTCCTCAAAGCTCAGGCCTGCGACTGCGGCATCAAAGCTGATAATCGTTTCAAAGTTGAGCGTTATAGTAACAAAGCTATCGAGGCCTGCGGCAGTTGTAGCACTTTCAGCTCCTAAGGTTGTGGACGTACTTGAAGCTGCTCCGGATTTTGAAGCCTCAGAGGACGTTGGCGCTGGGGTCGGAGGCTTAGAAAAAGGTGAAAAGAAGATTCTTTGCGATTGTCCGAAAAAATAGTGGACAAAATTGAAGTTCAAGATTATTTCTATCATCTAGAGTGAAATACGTACTCATACTTCCGTCGCGGCCGTAAAAGTGGTCGTGGTATTTGTTATCGTACTAGTTTCTGTCATCGTGAGCGTGCTTGTCGTCGATGTATATGTCGCTGTTTCGGTAGAAGTTGTCGATGTCGTTTCGGTCGTCGTTGTTGTTTCGGTCGCTGTTGCTGTGGATGTGTTAGAGCTACCGCAGGAGCGCATCCTTGAAGCCATCCCCTTGGCTTTTGCTTAGCTGAAAAAGAAGCCAAAGGCGATGCTTAACAGGATAGCTAATTCATTGCAGCTGCCATAATCGTGATAGTGGTTGTCGATGTGACCGTGACAGTCGTGACAGTTTCGGTCGCCGTGGTGCTTGTCCCTGTTTCGGTGAAGGTACTCGTGGTAGTGCTTGATTCCGTAAGGGTGGAGGTCGTAGTCGCAGTTTCCGTGGTACTAGTAGTACTCGTTTCCGTTTCAGTCGTGGTAGTTTCTGTGGTCGTTGTTACTGTCGTACTGGAAGTCGTGGTGGAAGTCGTAGTGGTGCTCGTGACGAAATTGAGACCCGAAACGACAGAAGGGCCACTCGTATTAGCAACGGCTGTTAGAGATATCCACAATTACTACCAACACTTCTACACTAACTCATCGGCACTGCTCTACGTCTACACTCGTGCACTGCACCCTTTCACAAATAAGTGCATCTAGAAGAAGGTCTGGTAGACGTATTTTCAGATATACCACATGCAATATTGAAGATGATACTTACATATAGTCACAGAAGCTGAAGCAACTTCATAAGAATCAGAGATGGAAGCTTGATGTTATTACACATTATGTACTCGTTTTTATTGTTCTTTTCTAAGTACAAGACGGGGATACGGATAGTATGCGCGTGCACTGGTAACCCTTTTTTCTGGATTTTTTATGCATCTGGGTTAGGCGTGGATATGCGTGGCAGGAATGGGCGACGGTTAGCCGTAAGGTCATATAAAACAGGTGCCACGCAGTCGCTTCTTCAGCTCCCTTGAAGCTCCAGGAGCGGGCTACATCTTTGCCTTCGGTAACATTATCATATGCAAGGTACCACGAATGGCTAGTCACCTTTTGCCACGCTTCGAAATAATAGTCCTGCGAAACCGTGTCCAAGTTTTTATCATCCTTAAAGCTGTTGGGGTTGGCACCAATACCGGTGCAGTATATTCAACATAGCTTGGGGAGGTTGTTCGGTCCTACTTAATATTACCAATTTCTCGTCTAGTTCTCCCATCGTTTTTAAGAAACAAGCATGATGGACATTGAGTCTTTATCTTGAAGGGAAGCGCGCCATAACGCAGAGAATACACCATTTGGTCATCGCGTCTTCGCCAGCGTCTCCGTGGATCAGAGCCATCAGACTTAGATTGGTGAGCCCACGACGACCCAAATAGTATCATTTGGAATAGGCCATTTTCAGAGTTGCTAATGACCATTCAAATTCAATGCGTCGTTTACATTTTTAGTTACACCTTGGCCTTGACGAGGGAGCTTTCTCTCCGTATCATGGGAGGACAGCTCAGAGAAGCTTGCTGTGGGATCCGCATATGTTTTAGAAATACCCTTAGGGATGGACTAGGGAAGGCACTGGATCTTGAGGGAGGTGGAGCCGTAAACTGCGCCCTGACACTGCAACGCAGTTAGCATTATCTGCGCATTCCTCGACACACCGCGATCTCGATGACAATGGACTTGTCGCAGAATCTTAGATAATTTATTTATAACCATAGATGATAACCAATCCTGGTACAACCTCATAAATCAATCTATAGAGAATGAAAGATGAGCAAAATGGGTTTACTTACATCGAAGCTGCTAACAAAACATAGATAGATATCTATCAGAACATTACGATAATCACTAGGACTGCCCACTTAGGTATCAATTGCTTATGCTAGTCGTAGTCGTCGCACTATAACTGGTTTTTTTAGTTGGATTTTTCTGCAACTTCGAACTTCAATAGCATTCCAGTCCTGTATTGACAAAATGAGAATTGGCGACAAGTAGTCTCCAATCCACTACTACTACAATCAGAAACGGATTGGTTGAAGCGGTGACGTACTGAAAATTAGAAAAGTGGACTTCCTTCAACGCATCAAAGTAAGACTTATTTCCTCAGATTTTAGATCTTATGGTGCTGATTTTTCCTCTTCCGTTTTCGGTATTTGTTATTTTCGCGTTCTTCATAATCCGTGTAGATTGCAAGACGAGCCGAGTCGCCCGTGTTGCCACACTTGTAATTGTCTTTGTTACCATTCCTCACCATCAGTGTCTCTGCTGCTGCCGTCGCATCGAAGCGAGCGAGGTTTTTTTAGACCTTACTCTGTCATGTCGTGGCACCTCTTTCATAGCATTTCGCGTCTATATATGAGGCCATTCAGTGTAGAGCTATACCTCCATAGCTTCCCCTTATTTACGTGAACTTCGTTCCTCAGAAGCTGCGACGCCGATTGTTGAATATACCTAGATCTAGATGAAGGTCGGGTGTACATCTTTTTGGTAGCCAACATTCATCGAGCTAGTACATTAATATATAAGAATTTAATGAAGATTCTTTGCCGAACGCCAATGGCATCAAGCTCGTGTTCGTTCGACTCGTTGTACGTATTCCTTGTAGTTAGTAGATCACGTGTAGTAGCTCACTTTTACCGGAAGCCATAATTGTAGCGAAGGTGGACATCGTATGTCGCGTTTGTTTCCCCTGCGAGTATTGGCTGATCAAGTTAGAGCTTCTCCACAACAGCAGCCATAATTTTCACGAGCAAAAGCATCGACGTGCACCCTTTTTCCCAAAAATTTACGTGAACATCATTCCCCAAAAGATGCTTGTTCTTCCGCTGCTGAGTTTAAAAATATTGCGCAAAGGACCGTAATCAAGGGAAATGCTTCTGTATCCGACAGCATCCAGAGAGCTTTGGTCGACGGCAATTAGATAGGTTAGGTTAGGTGTGGACACACTAGGAAAACTAGCAGGCATTCGTAGTTGGCTACTGAAGATCCAAAAAACCAGCAAGCTATTTTTATCCTGTGTATTCCTATTTCAATGCTAATGTTTAGTGTTTAATCGTTCATACTTATAGCCAGTTTCCAGAAGAAGAATAGCAAGCTAGTAAGTAGAAGAAAGCATCAAGCAAGCACAGCTTCATCATACGTTTTGTTCTCGAGAAAAGATACAAGAACGAGAAGATGGTCGTCTTTTATTTGAAGAAGTAGTTGGGTATATATTTCTAATAACCGAGCATGCTAGAAGGGAATAATCTCAGACAGATACTCGTAGTTCATTGTTTTTGTTACTTGCATATTTTGAGTATTCGAGTAAGTCCTAACTCTAGAAGACTGGTGGTGTTCACAAGGAAAAACGCCCGTTGCGCGTTGGGCAAGTCCGAGGAGACGCTGGCGGATTCGAAGATAGTCGTGCTATTGTTCTCAGGGTCGCTGTGATTGTACAGCAACTTCCAGACGGTTTGGTTCGTTCCATTGTCATCAAAATATGAAGAAGGAGGAGAAGATCAACAACAAGGGACAAACTAGTATAGCTGCCAGTGAGTCAGAAGCTCCACGACTGCACGCAAACTGCAATGCTCGAAAACATCAATACCCAAAGAAACGTGAGGGGCGGGCATGCACAGAAAAAGTTGATGAGGTCACTGTTTGGTGTTGTTTGCAGAAGTAAGCAACCATAAACTTTAGGAGTAGTTGTAGAAGTAACCCCAATGCTGAGGAGAGAGTAAGTACATACATACTATGGTATAGGTATAGCTTCTACTTATCTAAGTCAGTGTGTAAGTAATCTGGTGATTTTGATATCATTTGATGTGTTCAACATCAACAATGTATAAGTGGTTAAAAGAGCAAGAACTTTTTAAGGGGATGCTGAGAGAACTGGAAAGGAAAGAGGAATTGACCTCCAACGCGATACAAGTAAGTAGTTGCAGCATGTAGCAGCCTCATCCTCCATTGGTGCTATTCACATTGTTGGCGTCCGAGTCATAAGACGTAGGATCCGAGGTTCCACTGCGGCTCGAATGTGAAATGATAGTCGGGCGGCAGGAGACTGCTAGCTGCGATACTTCCGTTCAGGTCGCTCGATTTGTTTAGGCATTAGCGGTGATCCGTCATCGTGCAGACCCGACGAGTTCCATCATGTCATGTCAACATCATTTCCTGACCAATTACCAGCCTACTAAATCAACAACGTTGTAGTTCCCCTTTGTTTCTTTTAGAAATCTTCAGGGTGTTATCTTGATAACAGTAACCTCTTTTTCTGAAATTTGCCCTTAAATGCAAGTGAGGGCGAGACCACTGAGTCCTTCGGCTGCTGCGAACGTCATGTGTCCAGCATCGCCTTAGAAGATACAAGTTAAGGTTTATCAAATCAGAAATATTTAAACAATATAGATATTGATATTGGTTGACAATGGTTGTCATCCAGGCAAAAAGAAGCAACTTCGGAAATGGATTCTGTAGAGTCTGTATCTAACTGAGTATTCATATTTATATGATCCGGCGCGCAGGGCGACGGTACGCCCGCCCTAGCGTAGGGGGGGCACCGTGCAGCCGCGGGCCCCTTTTGAAGGCGTCTGTCGGGGGTAGAAGGCCTCAAAGGGGGGCCAAGTGACCTCCCCCGCCCCCTTCCAGCTGCCTGGCTTTTCCCTACAGGCCTCCGATGTAGGTGGGAGTCTTCGAAAGGGGCCCAACGGGACCGCCTGCGCCCCCTTCCAGGTGCCTGCCTGTGCCCTCAGTGCCTCCGATATGCTTCGCTGCGCCGGTTTTGGAAGGCCTCCGAAGGCGGCAAAAGGCGAAGGGCTGGACCCCCTGAGCCGTGCGGCCTGTAACCTCCGGGCCCTTGGTCATCAGCTTGCTGGCTCTTGCGACCGTGGCCGCCTTCGGCGGCCTTTTACCCCGGAGACCTCCCGCCTGCGAGCGTCAGCAGAAGCCTGGAGGTTCCTGAGGAACACGCAGAGAGGCGCAAGGGACCGCCTGCGCCAAGTTTTGACGCCTTCCACCACTAGAATCCGCGAAAATCAGCGCGGGAAAGCGCGCGCGCGCGCCACCACAGACCATACCACAGGGGGGGGCACCGTGCAGCCCTGAAACATATAAATATTAATTGAAAGAAGAGATGGGGATAGCATGCATCTTCAGCTTCACCAGCCTCAGGTGAAGCATGAGCAGTATGAAATAACTAGAGCACGAAAAGTGAATGAATCTCCCCGAAAATATAGCCCTAATGCAAGAGCATCCCTTTCTTCTCCATGTCACCTAGCAACTGAGGTTCGCACTGCAT